TTATTGTATTGTAAAGTATTTGACTTGTCCTATATCATGTACAATGATCCATGGATATGATATGAAATAAATAAATAAATAAATAAATCATGGTATGAAACTCAAGTGACAGGGACCATTTAGATCACTTGGGCAGAGATGGGACAACAGAGGTAAAACTATAGTAATTTTGTAGATTCTAAAGGGTTCTGATGATGGTGGATGACACACAGAATTACTGGGGTTTTGGACTTTTTCCATCATCCAGAATTCTAGGTAATAGGGGACACGACGTTTCAGAAACTGGATCTGTTTCCATCTTCAGGTGAGAAAGGAAGATCACTGAATTCAGTGATTGAAATTAGCTCTTTCTAGGGGGCTCAACTAAGTAAGTGTCTTCCTTTCTCACCTGAAGATGGAACCAGATCCAGTTTCCAAAATGTCGTGTCCTCTATTACCTACAATTCCGAATGATAGAAAAAGTCCAAATAACCAGTAATTCTACAGCAATCTTGCTGGTTCTGAGGTTCTTGCAGCACTGACTATAAAGACTACAGCCTTTGGGACGCAATGTTGTGTAGTCCAGATCACCTATTGGACAACATCCCAGAACAGAGTGCTTTGTATTATAATCTTACAGTAATATGGTTAACTCCACCCAGCTGGCTCAGGATAGGGTCCAATGGCAGTTTACTATGATTGTGCTGATGGACAGTTGCGTTCCACAGGAGCAAGAAATGACTGACCATCAACTGACTAACACAGAGTCAGTAATACAAGATTCTGAATTTGACAGTTGAAATATTTGAGCAGTAATGGTCACCTGCTCCGCTGTATGGCAAGTCAGCAGCTGCTGCAAAGTCTCCAAATTCATAATCTTCATCATCCTCCATGGCATCATCCATGGGAGGGGGTGATGTGGGCACCATTGGAGGGATGATGTTTGACATGCTGGCTTAGAGCTGCTCCATCAGTCATGAGGCTCCCTACAGCACAATAATATTTGTTATGAACCATAGTCACAGATAGCAAAGAGAGAAAACTAACAGTGATAAGTTTGTTTAGAATAATGGTTTCATACAGAACTGTTATTCAGCTGTTGAGTCATATGTGTAGTGATGGACACAAAAGTCTCAAAGGTGCCCAGCTAGAGACATGTGACTGCAAAATGGTCAAGGTGTAATAAAATCAGGTCTTATCTAGAGTTACCCAGCAAATGACAATGAACTTCATTCCCTGTACTTGACCCATCAACAGAACTAACAATGTAATATATGTTTTGTTCAATATGTTCATAAGTACAAAGGAAGAATATTATGCACTATCTGCATGTGATGTTTGGGTAATCAATTTCCAAATGGATAAGATTTTATTGTTGCTTGAATCATTTAATGCTACACATTGAACCTCATAATAATTACAATAAACAGAAACATATTTTAAAAATATTTAGATATAAATGAACACAAAATAAATTTAATTTTGATATACTCAAACTGATATCACAAAATTCTAACATAAACTGCTTTATATGCTGTTTCCAAATCTATGACAAACTGTACAACTTCAAATACAACTTATCCCCATATTTATAAGCACACCAGTTACATAACTGTCCCATTTAATTAATAAAGAAAAAAGTAAAGCTAGCCCCGTACCAGACCCTGAAGGCCCACAGGGTTGTGAGACGCTGAGGGTCCCACATTGTCTAGACAATCGGCTCAAAGATGGCGGTAAGGTTGTCAGCCCTATGCGCCGGCCACACTTTACTCCCCAGGAAAATTATTTTAATTAATTCCTGATACTAATTTCTGTTAGAGGCTGAGTAAACCCCAGGGCCTAGTGCAGCTGGAAGAATTATGTCAACTGAAAAAAATCCAACGACCTCATCGGATCTTGAACCCACTTGTAGCACAGCTCCTCAACCACTACGCTACCGTGTGCCCCTCCCATATAATTAATACATTACAAATTCAAATATGGTTAAACCACTTTAAAGCAGTTAAGCAGCCTTAAACTATTATTATCCTCATGAAACACTTAACAGTTCACACAGCTACAACAATTCTTCTCAGTCCTGTCTATATTCTGCTTTTTCTTCTGCAAAACATAACCCATGCATTTTCTAGAAGATTGGGGTTTGCGCCCACAAACATTTCTCTTTTCCTATTCTCACTGTAGTACTCTGTGGCCATTTGCTTGCAAATTATGATCAACAACTGAATGTCAATTTCATATATAAGAATTAGAATGATTTTTGGTTTTCGGAAGATAACCTCTGGATTGCTTCATAACTTGTACTCTTCTCCAAGTATAATTAGAATGATCAAGTCAAGGAGGATGAGATGGGCAGGTCATGTAGCACGAATGGGGGAGACAAGGAATGCATACAGGATATTGGTGGGAAAGCCAGAAGGAAAGAGACCACAGGAAAGACCAAGGTGGGTGGACAATATTAGAATGGATCTTAAGAGAGATAGGATGGGATGGTATGGATTGGATAGATCTGGCTCAGGATAGGGGCCAGTGGAGGGCTCTTGCGAACACGGTGATGAACCTTTGGGTTCCATAAAATGCTGGGAAATTCTTGAGTAGCTGCAGAATTGGCGGCTCCTCCAGAAGGGCTCAGCTCCATGAGTAAGTAAGTAACCTCTGGAATGCAAGTGCTGCATGTTCTACATTATAAAATTTTCGCGCCTAAATGTATGGAGTCTGTAACGAGTTCCTTACACAAACCATTAGAAAATTTCCGATATTTGTTTTAACATGAACTCACACACATACACACATGCAGAAGTTATTTTAACCCTAAAATGACAAATATCCCTTAACGCAATTCAATGTACATTAAATTGTATTTAATTTATTTTATGATCAATTTAAAATGAAGGGCATGTAACCTATCAAGTTCCTAGATTTCGCATATACGTGGTTAAACAACATGTTACTTCCTCTTAAACCGCAACCCTATGAACTGGATCTAGGGAATTAAGTTTCTGTATATTATTTATTTGTTCTGGCTTGAAATAACAACAATTTGAAACAAATTTCTCTCACATAGGACTCTAGTAATTTACACCTTTCCACGTCACTTGTCATGTGACATATTTATAACGCCACTAATTAACACATGCAGATAAATATGCTTAATGTAGATGTGGAAATTCCGCAGATTTGATTTTGGGATTGCTGGTGTGAAATTAAATATTATCTAATTCATAATGATAAATGTACATATGTGGTTCCTATTTTTCCGAGACTTACCGACCGAAGTGACACGAAAACCAACTACTGCAGAGAAAATGACACTATCGCATCGATCGCATCATTAAATGTTCACAACTACGTAATTACACTTCAAAGTACAATATAGAAAACCTGTATAACAGCACCTACACTTAACATCGCACAGCACTCCATATCACGGACTTTAACCATGATGACCATGATACCCACGATTCCCACTTCGTAGATATCATCTGTTTGGGCGCAACTTTTCAAACTATAAATGCTAGAAATGGACGGAAATGGTGTCGAGCGAGTCGAGTATCTGTAGAGGTTGGCAAGAGGCAGAGATTGGTCCTATGCCATGGTACATTATATACTATTGAAAAACCTTGCACAAGAAGAGGCAATGTTGGAGCTAGTGTTCAGAAGTGGAAATGCGGGGGGGTTTCAATCGGTTCAATGAAGTTCTTGCTGATACGTTTGGACTTCATTTATGACGTTGCCATGACAACAGACGCGAAACTGCAAAGTGTGAAAATATTGGAAAGCAATTGCAAAGAAAAATGTGCCTCTGTCTGGGACCTACGGGATCGGGAAAAACTCTGCTTCTAAAGAAATTACAGAACCGGGATGCGGTTGACACAATGTCCAGTACTGTGCCAACAGTTGGCACAAACCTCATTACAGTACGATTTGGGAATCAGAAAGAAACCACAATTCGGGAAGTAGGAGGTGCAATGGCACCTATCTGGAAGAGTTACTATTCTGGAATACAAAAGATCATGTATGTAGTAGATGCAAGCAACCTCTGCCAAATTGCAGCAGCAGGAGTTCTGCTGTATACAATATTGGCTGAGCCATGTCTTCAGAAGGCAAAGGTATGGAACATTTGTATACTGGTAATCACATTCTGGAGCATTATCTTTTCAAGTGCTGTGAAGTCTACCTGTTTTGATACATTTCACATGAAATGTAAAGGTGTATTGTTTTTTTTTGTAAACAGCATACAATTAATTACTCCTAATTTATGTAACCATTATTTAGCTTTTGATTTGTTGTAAAAAGAACACAGTGGACCACAAACACATACAGGACAACATTAAAGAACCCTCTTCTCAAGAATGACAAAGTGGCACACATTCGGCCCCAGCCAAAAAAAAAAAAAAAAGAAAAATAGTAAGAGGGACGACACAAACCAGCTTGGTTTATGAATTCCAATAGAATCTTAACAAATTAACTATAAATATTTTAATGTATTGCAACAGCTACTGTAGTTGTAAAGACTTAGATTTTACAGCCAATTATATATTATTTATATTGTATGTATATATTTTAACTTCAAGAACATGTACTGTAATAGTGGCTTCTAACTGTGTTGATGTAAGTGTCCCTCTAAAGATGGTGTCTGAAGACCAAAACATGTAAGGGCATGAATAATTGAAGTAAGAAAGTCTTAACTAGTCACACTGGACAGAACTGTTTAATTTTTTCATCATTTAGCTATTTATTGAATCTGCAAAGCCCTCACCCACTCATGTCTGATCATGAAGCCCAACTCTTAGCTTTAAATTTACCATTTATTTATTTACATTTATACATTCCGTTGATCCTTATGGTACAGCTGACCAGTGGATATGGATTTTGTCCCAAGCTAATAGATTAAAATACGCAAATACAAAAACTACATACATACTTTTGTCATTAAGACAGCTAAAAGATTTATATTAATGTACAATGCATAAAATGATCAAAATTATAAAACAATAATTGATACAAAATACTTAGGTAATGATATAAAATTATAACATATCAGGGATACAATTACCAATTTTAAATACATACATGGTTAAAGTATTCCTCTAAGGAATAAAAAGAATTTGAAAGAAAAAATCTTTTTAGCCTCAGTTTAAATAGTTTCACATCATTACTCATACTCTTGATTCTGGATGGCAGGTGGTTATAAGCCTTAATACCAAAGTAATATGGTCCTTTCTGAAAGATTGTTAGGCGTGATGTGGGAAGGTGCAAATTTGTGGTATGTCTAGTATTAAGATTGTGGGTCTCATAGTTTGAACTGTATAGGTCTCTATTATTTACAACAAACAGAATTATAGAGTATATATACTGTGAGTACATTGGTAATATTTTTAGGTTTTTGAATAGTTCCCTACATGAGTCTCTAGTTCTTACATTCATAATAGTTCTAATGATCCGCTTTTGCATTCTGAAAACATTTATACTAGTTGCTGAGCTACCCCAGAAAATTATCCCATATTCCATGATAGTATGCACATAGGCAAAGTAGATCATCCTTAGGGTTTCCTGTGACATGAGACCTCTTACAGTTCTAATTGCATAGCAAGCTGCACTCATTTTAATTACTAATTTATCAATATGAGACTTCCATGATAATGTTTCATCAATATAAATACCTAGAAACTTAATATTTGGCACATTAGTGATATTCTTATTTTGATGATATATGCTTATGTCTGTTACCAAACTATTTTTAGTCCTGAACAGGAGATGATGGGTTTTATTAAAATTTAAGGATAGCAGGTTAGCTTCAAACCATTTGTTTATGGCTAAGAATTGTTTATTCATATTAATTTCCAAATTATGAGGGCTCGAATCGGATATTATGATACTAGTATCGTCAGCGAATAAAATAATCTTCGCATTATTTGTTATTACTTTGGGTAAGTCATTAATATACAATAAGAAAAATAAAGGACCTAATATAGAGCCTTGTGGGACACAATATTTGATGATCTCCCAACCAGAAAAGGTGGTATTATAGGTTGTCCTATTATTTAATACTACCTTTTGGTATCTATTGTTCAAATAAGACTTGATTAATTTTTTAAATACTCCATTTATCCCATAGTATCCCAGTTTATTTAAAAATATTTCGTGGTTAACACAGTCAAATGCTTTCTTCAGGTCACAGAAAATGCCCCCAATAGTTAATTTATTGTTCATGGCTACTAAAATTTCATTTAATAATTTAAAAGAGGCCCTATTTGTTGTAGGGTTTTTTCTAAATCCATATTGATCACTAGCAAGTATCTTATTTTGTATTAGATGCTGGTTAAGCCTTGAATATATTACCTTTTCAAATACCTTAGAGAAAGCCGGTAACAAAGATATTGGTCTATAGTTAGAGATGTTAAGTTTATCCCCACTTTTAAATACTGGTTTTACTATTGAAAATTTCAGTCTAGTTGGGTAAATTCCTGAAGAAAGAGATTTATTTACAATATATGTTAGCGGAGAACTAATAAATAGGGCACTAGCTTTCAATATTGCGACAGGTATCTCATCATAACCATGGGAGTATTTGGCTTTTAAGGATTTGATGATTCCTTCTATCTCATGGGTAGAGGCATGCATCATTTATTTTTAAAGAGAAACACACATACTATACAAGAAATATAAATAATCATGACATATATGACTTTCAAACTAAACTGAGTTATGAAAATTGGGAACCTTTTTTTTAATAATAGTGATATTAATACTAGTTTTAATGTATTTCTAAGTATATTTTTGAGACATTTTTACTCATCTTTTCCTCTAATACAAAGGCAAAAGTACAAACCGAATTCATGGATTACAACAGGTATTGTAGTAGAATAAAAAAAAGGTTTTGTATGCTGAAGTAAAAAAAAGTAATAATCCTGTACTACAAAAATATTATAAAGATTATTGTAGAATATTAACTACAGTGATAAATCAAGCCAAAAGAATGACTTATGAGAAACAAATTAGGGATTCTGCAAACAAAATTAGAACTACTTGGAATGTAATTAATAGAGAAGTATGTAAGAAAGCTAGAAAAAACAATATTCAAACATTATGTATTGAAGGTAAAAATACTAATAATTTGAATACTATTGTGGAGGCATTTAATAATTATTTCAATTGGATAGCAGATAGCATTTACAATCAAATTAAAGAAAAAGGTACAAATAGAAATAATATATCATCTACACGTTATGCAGGAAATTACATGACTTATATGTCAAATGCTTTTGGTAGTCCATTTCCTAAAATTCAAATTAGGAAAACTACGAGTTTTGAAATAGAAAGGATAATAAAATCTCTTAAAATAAGCCATACTCATGGATACGATGAAATTTCTAATATATTGAAACCTTGTAAAACTTACATTAGTGCTCCATTAAGTTATCTGTGTAACACAGTTTTGTTTGAAGGTGTATTTACAGACAGGCTAAAATATGCCACGATTGTGCCAGTGTACAAAAGAGGTGACAGGAATATTATTTCTAAATACAGACCTGTTTCTATTTTGACCTCTTTTAATAAACTATTTGAGAAAGTAATGCATAGTAGATTGATAAAGCATCTTAATAAGAATAACATCTTAAGTAACAACCAGTTTGCATTTAGAGCGAATCAGGGGACTGATAATGCTATTTTCAATTTAATCTCTGGAATACTGAATTCACTAAATAAAAAAAAAAAACAACAGTTAGTGGCATTTTTTGTGACTTGGAAAAAGCATTCGATTGTGTTAGTCATGTAGTATTATTGGATAAATTAAAGTATTATGGAATAAATGATAAAAATATAATCTTTGTAAGTCTTATTTACAAGGTAGATTTCAGAGAACATCAGTTTTAAATGGACCAGACAATAAAAACGAACTCTGAATGGGTTAAAGTAATGAACGGGGTTCCACAAGGTTCAGTGCTGGGACCACTGTTGTTTATAATATATATAAATGACTTACCTAAGATTTTGGAGTCAAACAGTGTCCCTATTTTATTTGCTGAGAATGCTAGTGTCTTGATTTCACATGCTAATCCTTTACAGTTTAAAAATACACAAAATTAAGTTTATGGGATACTTGATGATGGTTTAAAAAGAACTTATTGTCATTAAATACAGTGAAAACACATTGCATCGATTTCACTGCAAAAAACAATATGTTGGGTGAGAGGGATATGGGAAATGTAGGTATATGCATTATGAGCTCTTATGACACTAAATTTCTTGGCTTGACTATTGAGAGATCCATTACTTGGGAAAGACATATTGTAGAGGTTACAAATAAATTAAGCTCAGCCTGCTACATGATAAGGAACATAAACCCACTTATGTCTATAACTACCTTGAAAATTATTTATTATTCTTACTTCCATTCAGTCATGACTTATGGCTTGATTCACTGGGGAAACTCATCACATGCTGACACAGTTTTGAAGATGCAGAAAAGAGTTATATGATTGATGATGGGTCATGGTTACAGGGAATCATGTAGAAATCTCTTCAAGGAAATAAATATTCTGCCTTTAAAATCACAGTATATATATTCATTAATGATGACTGTAATAAAAGACAGAGATAATTTGTTACAAATAAAGATTATTATGAAGTTAAAACCAGACAAAATATTAATTTATATATACACCAGGTTAACTTGGCCATATATGGTAAAGGAGTATATCACATGGCAGGAAAGATTTTTAATAACTTCCTTATAACCTCAAAGAAATCCCTAATAATCCAAAAAAGTTTAAAGTTAATTTAAAGGACTTTCTGAATTCAAATTCTTTCTATACATTGGAGGAATTCTTTAAAAGATGATTGTATTATATTTGCAAAAAATGGAGTATTATTGATTATATTGTTATATTGGGATGATTTTACACATATGTACATATCTATATTTGATGGAATGTATTTGTAGTTATGCTTTGTTGCTATTTAATAGGTTCTTATTACTAGAGTACAATTATGTTCATATTACAATGACTTAAGAATTGTTTCAGTCATATTGGGTGGTGTGCATGTTTAGGCTTACTTTGTTGTGTACTTGCTGATGTGTATGACTATATATACGTTGTACTGCTTTGTTTGTGACTATTTCCACATCCAGTGAAATTGTTTTCTGTATGGATTTATGGAAAATGAATAAATGAATGGAGCTGAGCCCTTCTTGAGAGGCTGCAATTGTGCAGCTACTCAAGAACTGCCCAGCATTTTATGGAAACTGAAGGTTCATTTCCATGTTCACAAGAGCCCTCAATCGGTCCATATCCTGAGCCAGATCAATCCAATTCATCCCATCATATCTCTCCAAGATCCATTTTAATATTGTTCACGCACCTACACGTCTTGGTCTTCCCAGTGGTCTCCTTCCTTCCGGCTTTCCCACCAATATCCTAAATGCATTCCTCCTCCCCTAATTCATGCTGCATGCCCTGCCCATCTCATCCTCCTTGACTTGATTATTTTAATTATATTTGGAGAAGAGTACATGTTATGAAGCTCCTCATTATGTAGTTTTCTCCAACTTCCCATCACCGCATCTGTCTTCCATCCAGATATTCTCCTCAGCACCCTGTCTTCAAACACCCTCAGTCTATGTTCCTCCTTTAGTCTCAGACCAAGTTTCACACCCATACAGAACTACAGGCAAAATTATAGTTTTGTATATTCTAATTTTTATGTTTTTAGTCAACAAACAAGAATACAAAAGGTTCTGGATTGAATGGTAGGAAGCATTACCCTGAGTTCAGTTTCCTCTTATTTTCCTCCTGAATCAGGTTTTAATTTGTTATAGTTATTCCCAAATATCTGAACTGTGCCATATTTTCAAAGCATCTGTTACCTGACTTTGCAGTGCATTTTGGTGATGAGATAGTAACATATTCTTAGTTTTCTCTGTGTTTACTTCTAGCATGTGCAAAGGCCTACAATGTTTGAAGTACTATACGTGTATGGTGTAACATAAACATGTTTCATATCTGGGTGTATTAGGAGTCTATGTTGAATGGACAATATCATTTTTGTTTATACAGGTCATTATTTGAAGTTCAATCCAGAGATTATTTATTTACTGGTATGTATATATGAGCTCATTTACAAAACATGGTACAAAATGTCATTAAATGTAAACATTTATTTAAAAATTTTGCAGTGTAGTGAACAGTTAACAGAATATAAGGAAAAATATGACAGTTTGAAAGAATAGTTTTCAGATGCAGCCTAAGGAAACCGATTTTTAGCATTCATTTGTTTTTCTTAGGAGAAGGCATAATTCAGATATGGAAGCATGATGACAGAAGTGTGACAATAATTTATAAGAAGAAAAGTAATATTATTTGCCACTGATATTAGAAATAAGGTTTCTTGTAATATGTGTGAATGAATACATAGTTCACTCCTATAAGACTATATTACCCATAACATTAATGAATTAAATATAAACATTTTATTGTTTATGAAGTTATGTATTTAGTAATTACTTCTGTCTTTAGAATACTTGTGTTTATATAAATATATATATATATATATATATATATTTATCTTCACGCTTCTTTCCACCCTTTCATTATATTTGCTTCTTCCCAACCCTCGTTTATTTATTCCTCATCTTTATTCTTTCTCTACATATTTTCTCCCTTTATTATTTCTATCCCTCATCCTGTCATTCGNAACCCAAATATAAGTAAGATCACTAAAATTTAGTGGAATGTAGAAAGACATACATTATTTAAATTATAAAATTACACATTTAAATGATCTCCAGATCAAAGAAATTTTGCCCTGCTACAATACATATTTGCATCAGGACTAAATGAGGTATGAATCGCTATAAATGCATTTGGAAATGCAAGTGTACTCTGATTTGGCGTACACTTTACCTACTTGTTATTCTGATTTCATCATATACGATGGGGTACCCAAAAGAAACCGAACTAATTTTTTTGTGGGCAGAGCTTTTGTAGTACCACGTTTTGCCGCTATGAGCGCATAGAGCTAATATTCCTGAGTCGATAAGCCGACTACCATTGCTTCAGAAGGTAAGGACTAGTTTCGGCAGAGTTTATAGTGACAACTGTTTTGTGTGATCGTCGTTTTTGCAATGGCTGATTTTCGTGAACAGCGTGCGACGGTGAAATTCTGCTTATTGCTCGGGAAAAGTGAAACAGAAACTCTTGAAATGTTAAAAACGCCGTACAAGGACGATACTATGGGGAAAACTCAAGTGTTTGAGTGGTTTTCCCGTTTCAAAAATGGTGAAAAGTCAATTGATGACAAACCTCGTTCTGGTTGTCCTTCCACGGCCCGAACACATGAAAATGTTAAAAAATTCGTGAAATCATCAAGGAAGATCGACGACCGACCATTGAAGAAATTGTGGAGCTGTCAGGAGTGACTTGGAGCTCAGTTCAGCGAATTTTGACAGAAGATTTGGGAATGAAAAGGGTGGCTGCAAAATTCGTGCGACTGCTGACTGCTGAACAACAAGAAGGTCGCGTGGAAGCATGCTGTGCTTTGAAAGAAGAGTCCCAAAATGATCAAAACTTTTTTTTGTTTCCTCGAATGAAAAGAGACATGAAAGGAAAGCGTTTTGCTGATGCTGAGGTGAAGGAAAAAATATCAGAGGCACTGTCAAGCATCTCAAAAGATGAATTTAGACAATGTTTTGAAAAATGGAATAAAAGACTTGACAAGTGTATTAGTGTAAGTGGAGAGTACTTTGAAGGGGAATGAAGGTTTGTGCTTAAAATTTGAATAAATAAGTTTAAAAAAAATAAGTTCGGTTTCTTTGGGTACCCCCTCGTATTTCCCCATTTGGATATATGTATATAGAACCATGTTTTTTATCAATCACTCATCATTTAAAAGCTATATTATGTATTAAGAGACATCTATGTATGACACCTGTTACTCAGGCGTTCAATCAGCCAGAAAGTTTATGCATTCTTGAAACAAGTAGTCATCCTGATTGGTGAAACTGTATAATATAGAACTGAAAAACAAATGGAGGACATCTCGGTCAGATCTGTGATAAATTTGGTAAGGCTTATTTGGCAGATTCGTCTCAAATGAAATTTTGTTGAATCTGTTATATCTCCAGATCCTCCTGGTGCTGTCCAAGATGGATGCCTCATACCGTCAGATGAGAAATGAGGCACTGCTGATGCTGCAGCTGACAAGATTGAAGAAGGAAATCTCACAAGACATTGCAGTAGTGGAGGCAAGTGCTATGACAGGAGAGGGCATAGACAACATGCTCAAGTGGCTTCAAGGTGATAGCATTGCTCCTTGCAAGTCTAAGAAGTGACTTATTACCTCATCCAATAACAAACAAGTTTTTGATGTTCATGCACAAAGGCAAGAATTGAAAATACTCCCATATAATGCTTCTTGAAACCTGTTCTCTCTTTTCATATAAATACACTATGACATAATGTAATGTAAAAATGTAGTTAATGAAATCCGAATGCAAGAATGCTATGCTTCCTACTGGTTTGACCATCACAGTTTCCCACATGGTATGGTTCACTGCCAGTTTGTCAGGTGTCTTGTGCACGTCAGTGGAATTTCATATGGGAGTATGTGATAGATACTTCATACATTCTCAAACACAGATCAAAACAGTCTAAAAATATTTTACAAATTCCATTTTTAAATCACTTTCTGTGCATGTACTGAATAAAATTTGTTAAAAAAAATCTTTCTCTCATGAGTATATAATATGTAGTATAACTTTGAGATAAAAATTGACATCTCTGAAGTGTTACAACATACAGTCTCATTTTGAGATTAAGAGATGAGGTTCCAAGAACAAGATCTTCAGAGGACCTGAGGAAAATAATTTCTTAAAGGGAAATGTAAAATTAGGTTTTGTTTTGATCTACTTTTGTATTCTGATCCCAAGCAATTGTTTCATTATATTTCAATTATAAAAATAAAACACAAGTGTACATATTATCAGAGCAACTTGGAAATACAGTGGCAGTATGAGAACTATTTTTTACTTCAGTACTAAGGAAAAACTAATACAACCTGAGTCATAATGAACCACCTGAAACTGCATAAAAGTAAAACCTTCCAAATGCACGTATTCATATTTTCTTTCACTTTATGTATAAAACTTTTCTCCTGGAAAGTCACTCATTTCTGTTTAATTTACTTCTTGTTCTCAATAAAATTATAGAAAGCACGCATACACATGACACCTAAGATTGCCAGACAAGAAACAAAAATACTGAAAACCGAATGAGGAAACTGATGACAGTTATTAGCTACAATTGGTAAAGAACGCATAACGAAAACTGTGCAACCTGAAACAATCGGCCAATAACAAATATCACAAATCAAGTCAATAAGTTGGTTAATTGGTCTGCAATTAAGTATCAACTGCATGACAGTTTGACTGTCGAGAAATGAATAATAGTTGTAAGGCCTTTGAACATATCGTCAGCCTTCAGATCCTGTGAAATTCATCATTAATTATTCATTATTATATGAAATGAATTAAATGGAAAATTTTCTAAAATGTTACACAATGAACTTCTGAAGTAGTAACATGTTATATATAAGAACTTGCACACTGGTACATTTAACATCATTCTGATGAATATTTTGGTGGGACTGAAAACCAATATTCTTATATGGGAAGCATTGCACATCATGAACTTTGTAGGGTTAGGTCATTCAGGCCTGTTTCTGTGAATCCCAAGATGGTTCTGATCCCATAAATGAGTTGTAACACTTGGTTCACACTGGTGAACAACTTTTTTCAGTTTGCATATTTCCAGTTCTTATTCAGGTAAACTATATTCCCTCCTGTCATACTAGATACTTGAGTGCTGAACCCATCTTCTGAAAACAAGGACCTGGAAGCTGACTAACATCACAATTCCAGTACACAGCTCATGACTCCTACAGTTGGGATGGGAAGCAGGCCAATACTACTTTGAGGGAAACACTATATAATACAACCCTGCCACATCATATGCAGTGATCTGCAGATTGCCACCTTTATTGCTATTGATATGATGCTGGCCTGAAGTACAAGTTCTCCAGGAAGACTGGTCACATGAAAAAAAACTCTACAACTAAAAATAATAATTGTTTTAATCGATGTGTAAGCAAATTACAGCACTAGGCAGAGTTCATAATTAATGTATTTACAAACAAGAGTCACATTTCTTTACATAGGTGTTATGTATTTCTGGCATTATGCAGCTGCTCAAAGTTAAGAAACAAACACAATCAGTGAGAAAGTCACCTTTCCATTTCAACACTGACACTACCATGCAGGGACCAAAATACTGTCACATCATCAGGGTGTTTTTCCTTTTCCTCTTATTGGACCTGGGATGGGGTACTGCAAACGTCACCTATAACACTGTTCTCTGTGCCCACTGCTGTCTGCATGAATTTCACTAGATCTTCTCTTCTTCTAAGTCTGCATAAAGTGCTGGCTGATAAAACAATCCTTCTGCAGCACTGTGACAACACATGATCTGCTGACCATCTCACATTCACAACAAACCCACAACACATCCATCTCACTGATATTTATCCGAGTGTGAGATATGTTGCTTTACGTCTCCCGAATTAAACCAGACTTGCTTCCACTGGGCGTTTCAACATACAAATTTATTTCACGGGATCAACTGAAACACGTATCTTGTCAATAATCAGTGTATTCTTGTCAGATCTTCAACAATCTTGACAAGGTCATCCACTGTGGCATCTTGCTTCATTCCGCTCCCATTGTCTACCTGCAGCTTGCAACACAACAGACATCTATTTAGCATAACCAGGTGGTTGCAAAAAATGCCAATATTAGTGTCCCCACCTGGAGCAGCCTCTAAGCCAGTTCAAATCATATGACATCCTCAATACTTCCTGCTTTAACATTGTTTTTAATATTATCTATGAATCTTGCAATTTTCCACAATTACTTACTGTCCCTTCAAAATGCACTATAATCTGCCTCATTTTATTACTTTAATAATACACCTTTCAACTTAATTTTTACAGGACAAAGCATACCTATGGCTGTTAGCCAATATCCCATTCCCAGTTAATGACACAATGTAAACATATGCTGCACTGCTGATATTTCAGAGACCTTTACTGTTGCCATCTTCAAGCTGAAGTTACTAACAATGCCTCATGTTGACACAGGATGTTGGGAACTGTTCCATTGCATCGGTTAGTTGATAATGAATAGGAAGTGAGCACACTGTACGAATGGCTGTTGATGTAATGAGGACGTCTGGAAGTGAATAAGCATGTTTCACCACTAAAGTACATTCCAGGTAATAAATGCAGAGCCCCTTCAATGCTCCTTTATAAAGATGCATTGGAAGAAATGGGTTGCAAAGCAGAGGACTGTGCAAAAGAGCACTGCAGAGACCTCTGGCTCCATTGCTCGGCACGTTGGAACATGCCGCCACATTCCCCTGTGGCACGCCACAGTGTTAGCAAACAGCCTCGCTACACCGTGCATCAGACAGTCAACAGGAAAGGAGAGGCGCTATTAGCTCAGCCAAGCTTGGAACACCACTGTCCACACTGTGAAGAAACTGAGAAATGCCTCATCTCCATAAACCTGCTGGTTCTGCTTCAGTGGCTGAAGTAACTGTCCAACCTCTCCAGATCAGATCAGATCTGGTCCTTTCTATGGCTAGGCCCTCAAACACTCCCCTATTCGACTTTTATCTCTTCACACCGATAAAAACCACAGGCAAAATTGTAGTTTTTGAATATTCTAATTTTTGCATTCTTTGACAGCAGACGAGAAGACACAAAAGGTTTTGTCTTGAATGTATGGTAGCAAGCAGCTATATATGACTGTGCCCTGCATTTTGGAGGTCCCTCTACCACCCATAAAGATACTGTCCTTCAAAAGTCTGTTTTTATAATATTTCACTGGTTATCTCTTTTGAATGAAATGGAACAGGTCACATGGTCCTGGACACTGGGTAATCACTTCAACTTGAAGATGGAAAGGGTAGAAATCTCTGAACTGCAGGCAATACAGGTGTCATCTACACACCATCCCCGCAAAATAACGAAATCTGGGATATGTAACAAGTTTCTCACCTGCAGGCCTAGTGACACCTCCCTCATCTTGTTGTGAGACAGGTCCAAGAAGCTCTCTACCAAATCTCCATCAATGAAACCCTCACACGGCTCTGTCTTGATGTCTGTGTTGAAACTTCTCCAGAAGGAGTGCTCAATTTTGCCAACTGACTTGATAACATGCGTCAGCTTTTCCTCCAGTTCACGCAAGAAATCATAGAAATCTGCAGGAATCTGAGTCACCAAGCCTGTGGAAGTAACACGTCATGGTACAAGCAATTCCCTGTTGTTACAGAACCCAAAGCCTATTATCTGGAGCACTGCCTTGCAATTAATTAGCCAAACCCCTACATGATGTGCTACAGGAGTTAATTCTGAATCAAAACAGACTAATGACAGTTTAATAAGTATTAATTTACAAGCTCCTCATTAAGTAATGGTCCCCATTTCTCTTGAATCCAAACATCCCTCCCCCAACCCAATACCATGCTCTGATATGCTCATAACATAAGCTGTTCTCTGAGGAGAGACCAAATTCTACACTCATACAGAGCAGTATCTACAGGAACATTACATATGGAAGTGAATAGGAACAAACCAATGGCGCCACTGACAGTGCCAAACAAGACGCAGCCCTGTGTTGGTGTGGATGACTCCCCTACATGTTGCATTACAAGGGATCCATGCCTGAAGACATTAACCATGTCCCCCAGGTGGAACTGGCCCACCTCCTGCATCTGCTGGCGCTCCTCATCAGTAGTGGCAGCACTGAGCATAGAACATCACAAGTCAATGTTGCATCTGTGCACAAGATAACACAGATGAACAACACATGGTAACATTGCTGTACCTGTCTTTCTGGCAGACAAACAAGTTGAAGGAATTTTCAGCTCCAAGGAATGTATCGTCATCCAGTATTTCCACTGCTGTCATCCAGTTTGGATTGTAATCCCTTGCCATCTGCCAACATCACAACCAATCAGCATCAGCTGCCACCTTACAGCTTTGTGGTGCAAGGTCTTACAGTTATGAAGAAAGCCCCTGCTTTTATGGTAATCAAAGGACTCCATTCTCTTTCTTAAAGATCCACTTTAATATTATTCTTCCTGTCTAATCATATGTATAAATACTGCTTTCAGTGATACTCAGACACACTCTATCAACTAAAGAAACTAATGGAACCAAACTTTCTAATGGTACTTCAGTGGAACAACTTAATTACATGTTTTTGCTCTCACAAAGAAACCTTCACAACTGGTGCAGCAGCTGTTGGCAAAACTGCATGCAATGTTCACTATACTCGAAAATCACCACTGCAATTGCCATGGCAGTACTGTTCCCCCTGCTGGTACCTCTTAAGTCACAGTGGTGGGGCTTGCGTGCCTAAATGAACATGAGAGCCATGCCAGTGGTAACATATATTACCAGTAGGGCCTCCAATACTGGACAGGTCAAAGGTGATAGGCCACACCAAAAGAGATACCTTGGTCCTCCAGGTTTGGGCTTGGGGAATAGGACTGACAACCTCATCCCTGTTAAAAACATAAATTGTTAGGAAACCTTGGATAAGAGACTTGGAGATATCAGATGGATCAAAATATATGTGACTAAGAACTAGAACATGGAATGTGTTGACTCTGTATAGAGGAGCAGCCTTAAAACAACTTGAAAAAGTGCTGCAGGATTACAAGGTGGATATAACAGCACTACAGGAAATTCGTTGGATTGGTCAAGATGTTTTGAAGAAGAGGAACTGCAGTGTGTACTGCTGCTGTGAGAAAAGTAAACATGACTTTGGATGCTGATTTGTAGTAAATTAAAAAATTTAACATTCAGTAATTAACTTCAAACCTATTAATCGTACACTGTGTACCTTGCAGGTTAAAGGATGATTTAACAACCTAAGCTTAATATGTGCACATGCATCAACAGAAGAGAAAAACGAATATATTAAAGACAGCTTTTCTGAGGAGTTAGAAGCCGTTGTTATTGGGTGTCCAAAGAATGATATTAAGATTCTTCTTGGAGACTTTAATGCTAAGGTAGGGTTCAAAGATCAAGACATATTTGTTGTTGGGAATTGTGGACTATATGAGGAAAGTAATGATACTGGATTAAGATTGATTGATTGGCTAGTGCACTAAATATGTTAATAGCGAGTACTACATTCCCACATCGCAGACCAAACAAAACACGAAGTCAGAAAAGCACTCGTGAAAACAATGGGTGTTCACAGCGCGGTATCACATGGCAGATTGGTGCAACTGGCTTTCAGAAGTGTGACTCTGGCCTCCCCTCTCATCATCTTTCACCAAGGCAGTTACAACAATAAGAGTCTGGGAACTTGCCAATAGCGCCTCATATACCTTATGCCAATGCAAGGATTGGGTTCCCTGAGAATAGCATGCCAGGTAAATACATATCAGAAAAATTTAACACCTTGTGGATTAAATGGGAATACATGAATGTAGCCACATAAAGTCTCCCATTAATTTTAACATGAGAAATCTTCACCATTACACTTGTATTAACTTTGTAATGTGAAGCCATCCAGTGCAGACTAGTTCAGTACAAATAATCCTATCACTTACATGGCCATACATGTTTCAGACCTTTGGGGAAATCTTCAGGGGCTCACCGATAAAAAGGAACATGATTTAGAACTACTGTAGAATTTAGTACAGGAATGGGCGTAACTGCCGGCCCTTGCACTGTGACCTTTAATGATCTATTGTGTATACTCCTCCATTTTAACCTTTCAACAGTCCTACACTTTGAATGAAATGCATGATTCTCCTCACAGGGCATCATGATAGTCATCTGCTTCCATAAAATAGTAGTGCAGGTGACGAATCTTAAATAAGCTATGGCCTCACACTTGCATAGGATGTGTGTTGCTGTTTCATCTTTTTGTAGACATCTTTCACAAATAGGACCATCTGTCAATGCCTAGATCTTAGTATAATCATAAGATATAAATTATAAAATAGGCTAAAACTGTTGATTTTTAAATTATCAATATAAAGGCTTCCTGCTGTATGTTGTATCTATTGACTGATACTTTTTGCCCACTGTTGCTTGTTAAATGTCTGGATGTGTGTTGAATAGGGAGAGTTGGAGAGATGAGAGAAAATACCAGAGGGTGTGTTGGGATATATAGAAGAACTATAGCATATTTGGCAGACTGAGTGTATTCAAGATTTTGGCATGTCTCTGGCTCCATTTTTGGGTGTATGTTCAAATCTCCATTGAGCACAAGTTTGCTGTACAGTACAAATGTCAGGTGCATCCTCTTGCCAAGTCCACCCCACATCTCTCAGCTTGAAGTCCAGTTCTTTCTTCATTTAATGTGTCCAAATCATTAGAATATTTTGGTTTTGAAATTAGTCTACTCACTTCCTCAAAACTACCTTCCATCGTCTTGTATTGAAGGAGGGTCATGGACCGCATGAGGTCGCCAACCAGGATGAAGTCTCCCTTTCTTTTCAGGTACAGTGCAATGATGTTGTTGAAATGACTGCATTCCAGCCTCAGTTCCTTCTCTGCTGTCCACTCAAACAATCGCACCTGCAAGCAAATCACAATCGACATCCTTTGCTTAGATAGCCTTCCTAATTACCATTAAAATCACGCCACCATTTGTATTTCATAATTACTTACCGTCAGCATTACCAGTTATGCGTGAGAGCACCCTGAACTTGTCTGAACTAATAAACAGATGCCGGGTGGTGTGAGTGCTTGTGAAAACAAGGTTCTATTACAAATGTATCGAAGTAGGGAATCTGGTGACCATACAAAAGGCAATGAAACCAATAAGTTAAGTGAGGATAATCAAGTGCAGGAAGCTCAGGATCTTCATGAAAGAACTTGTGAAAATAAGGAAGGCATACAAGAAGATATAAATAATCAAATGGAAGATATAAGAATAACTGAAGGGAACACAATGACACAAGAAAAGACTGATCTACCATCTAAGAGAAATAGACGTCAACCATAAAAAAAACAAGGATTTTTATGGTAAATCCCCTGCTAGAATATCTTTTTTCTCCAAGTAGAGGAAGATCTGATAAAATACAATATTTGAGTATTCTACATCATAATGTTCAAAGTTTGGGAAATAAACTATCGGAATTAAATGCATTGCCCATGTCATGGGTATCAAAGTCAGATATTTTATGCTCTTCCGAACAATGGTTACACAAGGATAAAATTTTACATATAAATATCGAACATTATAAACTGGCAGACAGTTTCTGCAGGGATAAAGATAAGCATGTGGGTTCATGCATATTTGTCTCTAATGAAATATCAGTTACTGAATTAGTTGATTTTAAAATTATAGTAATTTGTATATATAGATCTCCTCACAGTGATGTAAAAATCTTTCTAGGAATACTAGATGAAATTAAACGAAAATAAAAAAGGGTCACTTTTTAGTGATATGTGGTGATTTGAATATTAGCCTATTACAAGAAAATTCTAATCAAAAACCTTTATTACTACCACCAAGGTAGTAGAACTGAGATATTTGGACTATTTTGTCCAGGTTACGAACATAGCTGTCAAATCCCCCCCAGGTTGATCCAGGGAAAATTGTAAACGCTCTTCTCAAAAAGAAATATAAGGTATCAAATCAGGATGGTTAACAAAAGGGATGAAGGCACCAGGTTGTGACTGCTAAGTTTGTTAAGGTCAGCAATCCGTACCAAGGCAATACGGCAAATAATAAAAAAGGCATCAGGTAATTATAATAAAAATCAAAGCATATCTTTAAAAATAGGCTCCATGTTAGTTTCAAATCACAGTATATAGCTCATCAATTTAATGCTTTTTTTCTTAGTAAATGTGGATAAGATGTTAAATGAAAATAAGGGTTGTAAATTTGGTCATGACACTGTTAATAATAAAACATTTATCTTTAATTCCATGTTTCTAACTCCAATTACTGAAGAAGAGATTTTAAATGTAACCAGTAAACTAAAAGGTAATTTTCAGCTGGCTGGGACGAAATACCTGAAAGGATAGTAAAAGAAAGTACTCAGTATTACAAGAAACCAATAACCTTTATAATTAACATTTCATCAAGTTCTGGAACCCTTCTAAATTTGATGAAGACTGCAAAAGTTAGGCATATTCACAAAAAAGGAGGGACACAAGAAATCTCCAATTATGGACCAATTTCAATTTTGCCAGTATTTTCAAAATTCTTGAAATATTAATATATAAAAGAGTACTGACCTTAAACACAACATGATATCTGAGGCTCAAAATGGCTTCAGAGAGAAGAAATCTAGCAAAACAGCAACACAAACCTTCACAGAGGATATCCAGAAAGCATTAGATAATAAGCTGTTAGTTATGGGCCCATTTTTAGATTCAACTAAGGCGTTTGATGTAATGAATCATAACCTGCTGCTCGCCAAATTGGAGCTGTATGGACTTAAGAGGGAAAATACACTCATGGATGAATTTGTATCTTACTGGCAGAACTCAGTTTGAGGGAGTACAGCATTTAAATGAAAAGACCACAAATATAAAGCCCTTTGCTTCATCGTGTAAAGAAGTAAAATATGGTGTACCTCAGGGTTCTGTTTTGGGACCCCTTCTGTGCTTGTTGTTTATAAACGATTTGCCCAGGCAGTTCAAGAAGCTAAGGTGGTGTTATTTGCGGACGATAGAAATATATTACTCATAGAGAAAAACCTCTCGTTGTTAAAAGAAAAATCGGTAAAACTCATGAAACAATTAGAAAACTGGTTCCTAACAAATAATCTTATAATAAATACTGAAAAGGCTAAAGCAATACTAATTCAGGGAAGAGAATCTAGTTTAACTCATGGACCCATTCTGTATCTAAAAAATAAAGAAATAACTTACGCATCAAGTTTAAATTTTTTTGGTATTTATATCGCAGATACCTTAAACTGGGCCACACATATACAATACCTTTTTCATACATTAAAGAAAGCTCTTTATTTTATTAAATCCATACAAGACTCAGTAAGTTTACCAGCACTAAGAAATTTTATTTTACTAAATTTGTATGTAACAATGATGGACAGTAGTTTGGTGGCTCGGGTTGGTTTTCATGTTATGTGGATGCACATAGATGGTATAAGTGTATATGTTGCTTTATACTGGATTGCTGGGGGTTGTCATCTGCCATTGCTAAGCTTCAGTGGGGTGACTCCACTGTTCTTAGTCTTGTGTATCATTTTGTCCATATTTAAGTTTGTTGACATGTGGTGTTTTAAATGGTTTAAACTGACTTGTCAAATTGTATCTGTCCAACAGTTTATGGATGTAAATAAATTATGAATTAAAATTTATGTAGAACAGTAACTTTATCAGTAGTGTGACGGTAGAGTCACTGTACTGATAAAGTGATGAACAACTGCAAAAATTACTACTTAGTTCAGCCTATTTTTCCCTTCATATTTCAATAATATTTCCCAACATTCATCACTGCCTGCTTTCAGGGCCTCATACTACCATAGTCAATAAGTTCGTGGACAGGCCGCAAAGCGTCGTTGCAGTGTATTACAGCGGATAGGTTGAGGCATGATATGATGCCTTGTCAGTTCATCTCTCGCCACAGCAAGAGGCAGTTGTGTGCACACAGTGTAAGCAGAACTACTGCCTCTATTGTGAACTGCAGTTAAATGCAAGTGGTGGTAATCGAAAATGTGGCAGTTTGAACAATGGGAAACATCAAGTTCTCCCAGAAACTAGGCAAATCCCCTAGTGAAACATTTGGTGTAGGAAGAATTGGCTGTTGCTACATGACAACGCCCCTGCACATCACTGTTCTTGTCCAAGAGAAACTGGCAAGGCAACAGGTCACTGTTTTGCCACACCCTCTGTACTCACCTGATCTTGCACCCTGTCATTTCTTTCTCTTTCACCACCTGAAAGCAAAGCAACGTGGTCGTAGGTTTCAGTCGTCCGAGGGGGTGGTCACTGCCACAAGAAACACCGTACGGGAATTTCCTGCCAATATGTTTCAGCAATGTTTTTGGCAGCTATATCATTGGCAGACTTGCATAGCGGCCAACGACAACTATTTTGAGGGCTGATGTGGATCTGTGTAAGTGTATGTTAATACCTTGTAATATGATGTGTTAAAACCACAGTCCACGAACTTAATGACTGTACCAAATACACGCAGTTTCAGAATTCATGTTCATAGCAGTACCATGAATCTCAACAAGAAGAAGTCTGTGATATGAACAGTAGTTTCAGGCTCATATGAGACAAGCTGTGATGAACACAAGTCTGCAAAAGTATGAACACACTGAAAGAATAGACTGTATGTCTTCATGACCTTTTGAACCTTGAGACCCAACAGAATAAACATACTGAAGAAACTGATTGAAAGTGGAGGGGAAAATGTACTGAAGTAGAACATAAAAAATGTGAGATGTTTTGGAGAAAGGGTGCCAGAAGAAGAGAAGAATCAAACAATGCTGGTTTCTCACCGTGCTGTTGATGCTGGCTAGCAGTCTTCCGTTGAACTCTACAAGGGAGTAGCATGCCCCTTTAATCTCCTTCTCAGCCACTTGGTGCAGCTTGCCATCCTGATATTGGAACATGAGGATGCGTCCCTGTTTGGGCTCACTTTCCTCAGGGTTTACCAGTGCTGTGCCAACGATGTAATACGTGTTGGTATCATCCCCAAGCTTTGTGGACACCAGACTCAGGGCATACTCACACTGCATGAACTGGTGGGCATGCAGCACTGCAAACAGTCCCCCATTTTGGTCTTTGTTTACAACACAACATAATGAAGTAACTTGCAAGTGTTGCACAGCATGTTAACCTGTCTGGACTGTGATTGCCCCAACATTCATGAAAGTGATCACCTATGAGGGTGTGAACATTCTGCATGTGGCAAGGGCTCCTGTGGCTAACTGTACTCCTGTACTCCAGCTGTCCAGTCCATTTTAGAGACTGACCATTTTCTGTTATAAGAATCACATTGTGATGATAAGTGCTCTATTAATTAAACTGATAGAGAACTGTTGTCTCAGAAATAACAATTTCTCAAACTGAATTGGTGATTATTACATGTCATGCTTCAATTAAAATGACTATACATGGTACTTAAGGTGGTTATAAGAAGGCACGATGCCACCAACTTTCCCAGCTAGGTTGCAGTAGAGTGCCACTGCCACACTGACGCAGTTAGACTACCTGTATTAAGAAATGTTTATTTTACTAAGTTTGAATCTATACTGAAATATGGTATTATTTTTGGGGGTGGAGGGCTTATGGAGTCTGAAACTGTATTTAAAGTACAGAAAAAATGTCTAAGAGTTGTTAAAGGTGGTAACAATATAGTATCCTGTAGAAATATGTTTGGTGAATTTAAGATTTTAACTGTTAACTCACTATATATATATATATATATTTTTTTTTTGTTGAAATTTTATAATAAAGAATAAGATGTATACAACTCAGTATTCTGACATTCACAGCTACAATACCATACGTAAACATAATCTGTATGTTCAATTTTGTAATACCAATCGTTGCAAAAATAAAAAGGATAATCAATATGGGAACTAAAATATTTAATGGTCTTCGCCTTGAATTGAAAAGCATTGAAAATGTTAAAGTTTTTAAGAGGAAACTCAAAAATTATTTGCTGTGCAGTGCTTTTTATTCTCTTCAAAGAGTTTTTCAATTAATGTTGGACTGATGACTTGTTTGTTGATTCTTTTGGTTTGCAATTTTTAATACTGTGTTTACATGTTTTATATTACTGATATTTTTCTTTTGGTCTTATGTATCTTTTATTGTTATGTACCTTATAATGGTTGTTATAGTATCATAATAGATCACTGTGTAATTTTTATGTGACTTTGACGTGTGATGTATTCACTATTATTTCTTGACATGTCCAATTGAATTCATTTCGGTTATGGACAAAAATAAAGTTGAAGTTGAAATAGCTTGCCTCATGGTCCAGCAGGACACATGTGAAGCTGTTTAGTGGAGGTGTGAGCAGTGTATTCTGTAGTCTTCTGAAATGAGCAATTCAAGCGAACAAAGAAACTGTGTGTCAAGTTTTGTTTCAAGCTTGGTACAAAGGTTCTTGAACTCATGTTCTAAGTAGCTTTCACAGAAGGTCAGACAAGCTTGAACAAATGTCACAGGCATATCAACTGCTTCTTCCCGCGCCAAACTGTCAATCAGCAGTGTTGCACAAATGTGCCCATGGGAAAATATCTTGAGAAATGCAAAAATGGACACTGAGTAGCTCATCATTATAACATACTGCACTGTCATGGGCAGAGATAAAATTGTTGTGGCCTTCCACCCTTACAACTTCCTTCCTAAGACTTCTTCCTCTCTCCATACATGAAAATGGAACTCAAAGGTACCAGATTTAATGTCAGTTTAGACACTTAGCAAAATTCACAGCAGGCAGTTCAGTATTACTAAAGAACAGTTTCAGACATGCTTACAACAGTGGAGCAAATTACTGGGGGTTGGTGAATGACATGATGTGTAACTTGGTCATATAAGTCTCTGTTTATAAAAGTACTCTCATGATTCTGCGGTATCACCTCAAATAATATGTACCATTTATGAATAGCATAGCCATCCACACTCTAAACAATTAGCATTTAAAGACCTGATTTTATTTTGATTTCATAGGGTCTGCCTTTGATTTAGATAATAAACATGGCAAAGAATATGACTGGCATCAAAACTTGTCCATAACTTCACCTTCAAATGTGTGTTGGTCTATAACCAACAGGTTGTGAACCTCGACCTCCTGTCCAAATTCTGCAGCAGTGTTGGCACCCATGGCTCCAGGTTTCACCATAGAGAGTGAACCCATGGCTGATGATGATGTGGTACTCTGTGTCTGTGTGCTGGCACTGGGACGCACAGCGTTGAGCCCCGCTGAGTCCTGGATGTCTATGCGCATGGTGATGACACCAAATGTCTGTAACCCAAAAGCATGTTGAAACATTTATCCCAAAAATAGCTACAGTGCTATATTTCATTGAACAAATACAATGCTTACCTGTGAACTCTCTTGGTATGCTATTCTTCGAGGTGACTCACCAAGCGGAACTGTTCGTATGTGCAGTTTCTGTATCTCATCTATAGTCCCAATTGTGACTGTGCTGTCGGTGGCTAATGCCAGACTGCAATAATTTTGCCATATCAGCACCCCTGACACATAGTAAAAGTGACATTATTTCAGTGAGTGCCCTACAAATTTTAACACTTACCTGTCTGGGTAAGCCTCTGCATTCAGGGAACACATGTGGTTCACTTCTTTCAGGTTCACATTTGAAAATACAAGCTTATGGTTGGAGGAGTAGATGACAGTTGGCCGGTCAGAGCAGGCAAACACATTTGTTGTAGACAGAGACCTGAATGTGCGCAACACTGTCGGCTGTGTTCCCAGAGTCACCTGCAGGACAATAACACCTTATTACTGATTCATCATCTGCAAAGCCTTTCTTGCATCATACAGAGAAACCATGCAATTTGGTAGAAAGCTACTATGACAATATGTAAAAAACCAGGAGCTTCTGGATCTTGAAATCATAGAAATGTAACAAAGGCATCCACTCCTAAGCAACATCTTGTTAAAATATGCACCTGCAGCAATGAATATTCATGCAACAGTTGGGGGACTGTTTGAAGTGGTGTTCTCTAGTTGGTCAGCAACAAACTGACATAAAGAAACAAGCCAAAATCAATAACTAGTGGAGAGTTACTGAAGACTCCCAGAGCTCTCACACAAAATATGGTCATGAGTACCCTGAGATTCAAAACCAAGAATAACTATGCTGGCAAGGGCCAGAAGCAATTCAGCAGTTGGTCGGTTGGTCGGTCAGTCACTTCCATCTCAAACTGCCTGCTGTCGCAATGCAAGCCATAATGAACACTTTGCATACACATCAAGCTCACCTTCTTCTTGTCTGACAAGAAGCCAGACTGTTTATTAAGTGAGAAGTAGTACATGGATCCATCACCTAGGGCACACAGCAGGTAGTTGAGTCCCTCAAAACAAGTCATCAGGATTGAGCGGGGGATGATCTCTGTGGTGGCAAACAAACAAAAATCAAACATACAGCACACTACTCTCAAATACCCCTTTAGGTGGGAGTCAAAGTTCCACATCAGCAACAGGGAGGAGTGTAACATTATACTTTTGTATATTCTAATTGTTATGTTCTTATATAGGAGGCAGGAAGACAAAAGATTCTGAACTGAATAGTCATAAACATTCACCAGTTTTAATCGCCTTATAATTTCTTTGTGAATGCAATTTTGATTTGTTAGTGACTCCGATGAACAGGGATACCCCTGTTCAAGGTTTCTTTTTAGGACAGTGGATTTGAACACAAAATTAAGGAACATCTTATATGCAATAAATTGCACAATAAGAATACTAGCTTGGAATCAATGAAAATGAATGTTACATGAAGGAAAACCTAGATTGAGGAACATTATATGGGGGTTCCACAGTGTTTGATCTCTTTGTCACATTCTTAGACAATTACTAGCTGTCTTTATAAGAAGGAAAACCCAGATCAAGGGACATAAAATGGGGGTTCCACTGTATTTGAACTCTGCCACATTCATAGACAATTACTAGCTGTCTTTATATTATGAACTCGTCCTGCATTCTGGTGATGAAACACGAATATACTGTGACACGTAGACCCACTGCTAGGGAATGAGTGAGAAACACATTTCCATAGAGATGGATTCTTGGAAGACAACTTGTTATGGAACACGTTTCTGTGGATACAAGTGATCAACAAACATTTCCTTGGATATGGATATTCTGTATAAGAGGAGAAGGCAGAAGCCAGTAGAAGATCAACCAGAAGAGAAGTCAGTCGTAGTTGAGATCAGAATAGAGAGAAACCAGAATGGAGGAAGTCCTAGGCAGTCATTTATTGTGAGTTATTGTAATTGATCGTGATTACGACTGACTGTAAAAGAAGCGATCAATAAACTGAATTGTTCAATCCAAGACCCATTATTATTAATCATGACCATAAAACGTGACAATACATTTACCTCTAGACCAACCTTACTAGCACATAACAGAACTGCATTCTTCTTTATGGTATTTAAGTTTTCTGAAATTAATTATCATCAGCACAGGTTTCAAGCTGATGTTTTTCACTTTCTGGACCTCTCTGATGGCATATTCATAAGCAATGGCAATAAGGATCTCCTTGCTTCACACCATTCTGAACAGGAAATGCGCCACAAATATTTCCACCTACTGAGTTTAATATAGGTTTCGTTCAAACACAATTCAATTTCTCTAAATGGTTTCATGAGTCTAGAGAATTCAATGACAATGTTTTACATCTCTACTAAATAAATCATGGGCTCTCTTGGAGTCCATAAGTAGTTCATGTATTTGTCCACTACTGCTCCCATTTATTTTCCAGCATCTAAGATTTTATGAAATGTAAGCTCAGCTCCTCATAAAACTTTTAGTATAATTTTTATTCTCAACTGGGGAATGCACATTCAAATAATTTCACACCAGAGTGCTCCATGAAAGTCTGTAATAAACTTTACTACCTTAACTACTAATATGATACCCTTATGTACAAGAAAGAGAAAGCCTGCCCCTAAGTGATGATTCTCATTCCCATTTCCATAGAAAAGAGTAGAATTGCCTCATGGCTCAGTGCCACCCTTGCCCCATCTGACTCTCTGTGCTCTCACTGAATCCAAAACATACTCTGGTAATTATCTCAGTTCTGTTTTTTGTGAACCTGCCTTATGAAAACATCTTATATATATAAGTTCCATTTATACAACATCAGCCACTGAATTTCCATAAAAACCAAAACATAAAGTTCCTTCGCAAACTGTCCTGAGTGTAAGGCCAGGTGCACAATTTCATTATACGCTAGTTTTTCACAAGGATTATAAAGCCACACCTAAACCCAGGAAGGAAGATCACTCCTTGTCAGCTGTTCACAGCTGTTTATTCAGTACATTCTTTGCTGCACTCCATATCTGGAGATCATCTCCTCTACCTGCAAACCTGAGGATATGCCATGCTATGGTGGCAAAGGACCCATGTGAATAAATCTATTATCTAACTACAGTTTAATGGGCTCATTTTGCTGTGTCTCACCTCCACCAAGAAACTCCCTGTTAACTTCTTCAAGCCCAGGCAGGCGTAAAATGCGGGCTGATATGTCAGTCCAGAGTCCCACTGCCACTATCTCTGCTTTCCTACTTCCCTCCTGAAGAGGTGTGACATCAAGACATGCCACTTCATGCTCCAGGCTTGCTTGACTGAACACATCATCATCTGATCAGATTCAAATACTGTACTGCAATGCTTGGAATTAGATGACAAGGCCTTGCATATTGTATATAGCATGTGCTTGCTTACTGACACTAGCAATGGATCAAATGGAACAATGCTGTGCCATAAAGATTCTCAATCATGAAATTTACAAAGACAAACATATCACAACTTTCCAATATGGCATGAAGATGCAAAGCAATAAAGAATAATCATATTTCACATTTCTTCATTTAATTATGTGAGGCCTAAGGTTCTCAAAGTGACAAGTATGAAGAACACAAGCAGTCTGGTAGAACAAGTTCACTGGCATTCCTCCAAAATATCAGCAAACTTCTACCAGACTGCATGGTGCCACAACCCATATTTAATTCCATTTTCCATCTGGAAACCAGGGACAATTTACTGAAACAGGACACAGAAAACACAGTGGCTTTAAGAAATAAGTTATGTTTGATCAAGTTTTAAAGGAATGGCAGCAACTGCAAAAGAAAGAACTCAAGGGGCACATTTCTGTTTTTCTCTCACCCTTTCTGCACCAGCTCTTTTTCACAAATCTCCAGGTAATAGAGGTCACTGCCAGCAGCACAGAGCACCTGCGTGACATTGCATGCTACCACACTGATTGTCTTCTCAGACGGAGGCTTCCACTCACTGCAACATGTTTTGAAACAACACTGTATCATTTGCTGAGGTTGAGTGCAGCCTAATAAAAAAAAGTGACCTAGATGGATTGCAAAATCTTATGTGCCATATCACTCACTGGAGCAGCTGTTTGGTGTCCACAGAGATGAGGCGTGCCGATAATGGAGTCACCTGGATGATCTGGTCATGATCCACATTGCCACAGAAGAATGACTGCTGATCTGACACAAAGCCTGGTATCTCTGTCTCCTCAACCTCCTCTCCATTCAAAGTGAGGACCCTAAAGAGAAATTGGTTCAATGAGTAACAATGGTACAGTTGATGTGCAAGGTGCAGAAACTGCACACCTTACAGGGAACTTACCGTGTCTGTCCAACAAATGCAAGCACCAGCGTGTTGTCAAACTTGTTCGATGTTGCTACTCGCAAGGCCCACATCCCCTTAATGCCAGGAAGATCTATGGATGCGTGCTCCTGGATCCCGATCCCATTACGGATTATCCTGAGAGAACCCTCCTTATACGCACCTATAATACAACAAAGGATGAGACACAGAAAAGGGGACCATGCCCACACATAACATCCAGTCTGTCACTCTAACCTGAGCAGGTAACAAGCTGGCCCTGTCCCTGGCGCTCCAGGTCCACAACGACCATGTCCACAATTGGGGCAAGATTTGTGAATGTTTCCATCATGCTGACATATGAGCCACCCTCATCCTGCTTCACGTTCAACTTGATGAGCTGTGAGTCTCCAAGACGTGAGCCAATGAACAGCACACCATTATCCAGATAGGTGATACACTCAGGAACACTGATCTCACCTGCACAGCAATACAGTGTGACACTACAGCCTAGAGAATGTATCAACAAATGATATGCGGTAGCTAGGTAGCTATATGGAACACTCACCCAGACATTCCACTTTGAGATCTTTCACAGTGAGTGTACCATCCATTTTCTCTTCCTGCTCAAGAAGCAACATGAATAGGTGCCCTGCCATATCACCAAGAAGGTACCGTGCACCATTTGAGTCCACCTGGGCATAGCACACAATAGTGCTTTGCTGAAACAGATGGCACAGAAAATAGCTTGTTCCACAGAACACACCAATAAGAACACCTCAAACCAAGAACATCATGTACCTTACATTTTCATGTGACTGTAAAGGCCATGTAATCTATATGCACAAAATCCTCAGGTATATTTCCACTTAGGGTTGAGCTGTTTCAGCGTCACTAAGCAACAACCATATTGCATAACATGAAACACATGTAACTGAGGCAATAAAGGCATGAATACCAAGTTATATATGGTTACTATATGCAGTGATATGTATATTTTGAGAACAATAAGATGTATCTGAATTACAGGAAGCACAGGAAGGGCATGAATGAACATTTAATAAGGTGTTATTCTGGAGAAAGTGGCCCTCTCCACACTATTGTGGAATCAACAAAATAGTAAAGAATCATAGCCTGAGCCTTCAGTTACATATTAGTGACTAGACACCAGGTTTGGATTGACAACTGGATTTACTGAACACCTGTTACTTGCAACTGCAAATAATTGTAACACCATCACTAATCTACAGCTACACACTTCATCAAACCATCGTTGCAAACACTGCATTTTCTGTCTGTTATGTCTACACTAGGAGTTGCCTGGCAGCAGCTCCCAACAACATCTCTCTGATTCCATGCTCACATCACTGCTGGCTGTCTATGGTCTCAAAACTTGTCCTCAACTACCTCTCAACTGCCTTCATAGGCTGGCTGGCTTGCTGATAACTTGCTGCTGGCCTCGCCAGCACAGTCATTCTTGGTTCTGAGTCATGTGCGACTGATGACTATACTTTACTATCTCACTGTCTTCAAGTAATCATGTCACACTTCAATAGCTCCATTTGCAAGCCACTAAAATACTTACAGCAGCTCCACATTTGCAATCATTCAACGTTTCAACCAATAATCACAGGCATTTCATATTTGAAAGCTATTTAGCCTTTTGAGTGACCATCAACAAGTAACAGACACAGACTTTTGACAAAATCTGCTTACACCTTCTTCTGAAACCTGCATTCCATCTCAGGCAACTATATGTTGCCCTCTCAAGGTTTTATCACTCAGCTCACCAAGAGCTGTTAGGTATCCGAGACGAACAAGACTGTAATGCTTACATGAAAATAAATAAATTATGCTGATATTTAATTAAGGGCCTCTAAGATATGCTAGAACAACACATGTCACACTGGGTACAGCTAGTAACAACATTATATGGCACTTTCTAATGCCCAGTTACAGGTGAGCAGGGCCATACTCAGTGTGCATATAGATGCTCTTCACTGTGAAACATGAGGAAAGAAATGCAAATATGAGGAAGCCATGACTTTGCGACTATTAACATGCAAGTCCTTATGTACTCTAGAGGAACATTTCTAACACAGCCTATCACAAATGGGCACTTTATTTCATCTTTTGTGTGACACAGTCTACTGCAAATCAATTATACTGGATCCGGCCAGCAGTTTATTAGTGAAGACAGACGTAAGCATAATTCTGAACCTCATGTGAGGTCTAACCTGTTGGTCACAAATAACACTGACCTTGATTACTGGAGGTGCGACTGCTACGTAGGTACTGCCATCATGATACAGGATTGATTCCTGGCCAATGATGATGGCACCACATAGTGGCTCTGGTACAGGAATTACCATGGATGCCTCAGTCTCCACATTGTCTTGTTTCCATGGGATCTGCAACACAGAGCGCATCAGTTGGCAAGGAATTAAACATAGTAGGAATGTCTGCAGGCAACTTATCAGAATGGAATCATAAAACAGACCCTATAAGATAAGAGGGTTTCAGAGCACTGCAGAGTGCTGCTGACAGAGCCAAACATCAGATGGCATGCCTCCATGCTGCATTCTTGATGAGATACACTTGTTTCACAGAGTTGCTACAGATCAGTTTGCACCACAGAAAACTGCAAATTGTGTACTGAAAGCTCTTTGTAATGTGACAACTATCTGCTTGAAACAGCGTCCCTTTAAGAAGCTTAGCACAATTTAAAATTGTCTATTCTGAAAGATGAGACACTTGGAAAAGTTTCTTTGGTACTCTCTGAATATTTAGTTTTAGACCCATCACTTTATAACTTCCATTAGATTGCAAGGTATCACAAAATGTGTTCATGTGCAAAACAAGACTGTATTCATTCAATGTCTCAAAATCAAACACCCATTTCCTGCAACCTCAGTACCAATTTTACCAAGCTGACTGGAGGCCATCCACCCAGTACAAATAGTAATAATACTTGGTCACTGATCTCTGTCTTTAGTGCAACTTAAAACTGTTCACACTTTCTTTTTAATGTAAAATAGTATTAAAATTACTTCAACTTCTACACGTTTAGGCCTTACTTGGCCATCTTTAGGCAATTGTTCACTGTTAGAAAACTGTTGCACTGCACTAGATCTTAAGCCAATATATTTCCATTCTATTGAATACTGTTGTTCACACTATAATGTATTTGTTTGGGAATAAAACTCTCTCTTCATTCGGCATTATGTCCATTTATCAGCGCCCACTTCATATGTCTGTTCTCACTAGCTGTGTGTTATGTCCCCTGTGAACTTCAATCATTGGACCAGTGATTGAGGTTAGCTCTTTCTAAGGGACCCAACAGAGTAGGTAGGTGTTTCACCCTCACCTGAGAATGGAAACAGATCCAGTTTATGAAACATTGTTTTTTCTAGTTTTTATAAAACCCGATTGATTGACAAAGTCTGAAAATCCAGTTAATTCTGGGTGTGTTAAATATTACTAGAATTCAAACTTTGATAATTAATCTATTAAATATAACATCAGTCCCTTAAAATGCATATCCGATTCACATCTTCCAGATTTTGAAGGGTTTATTATCTGCCCCTATATTAGAATTCTGACCTGCATTTAGGTGACAAGAGAACATAGTTCATATTGTGTAGTATTTCCTCACCTCACAATACCGGTCCTTAATTTTAACAAGTCTGCATAAGCTGCATTACAGGATTTGAGGTTCCTGCAGCTGTAGCTGTGAAATTTCTATCTTCTGGGATATAATGTTAAGTAGTCCAGTGAAAATCAACCAAAATTATGAAGGACCACATGAACCACCCTCTTCATGGGTGAAGAGTAAGTTGCTGCCTCCTTCATGCTGGTTTCTTTCTTTGCTCACCCTTCAACCTTGAAGATATGCCCCTTTAAAATACTGGATGACTTTCATCAGACTACACAGAATTATATCCCAGTAGTCGGAACCCTTCATGAACTATACCGTTTAATGTACTCTTCTGACCAATTGTATGTAACATGATCCTTTAATAAATGCTTTCAAATGCATGACTTTTCTTTAGCTACTGAGAACATTTTAGAGGATATTATCAGATCTGCCAGCTGACTGCACATGGGAAACTGAAAGTTTTCTCTGTGTTTACTTCTAGACCAACCTCCTTACTAGCATCATTAAAGTTTGTGTGTTTTTTTATGGCAGCAGATTCACATCATCAGCACAGACCAGCAGCTGATATGTCCCATTTAACTTCAGTCCCACCTGGTTTTCCTGGACCTTCCTAATGGCATATTCTAAAGCAAAGTTGAAAAGTAGATCCCATTAAAAAAATTTAAGAACTTTCCAAAATACCTAGGGTGAGCAAATATTTTCATGGAAGAACAGAAAAATATCTAACAATTATAAAACAAATGGGTAAACAGACACACTGGAGAACTACTGAAGTAAAAACACACTAAGAGAAACTCCTGTTTTTGGAAAACTGATGAGCAGAAACAAATGGAAACATATTTGAAATTCCTGACATTGCTGTGACAGTGAGCCTGATGATAAAGCACACCAGCTCTGCAAAATAAAGCCAGGTTTGCAGAACTACATAGACATAATCAGAACAGTTTATAAACCAGAAGTAATGACGACTCTGTGGCAAGGCCACCTCAAATTTGAAATGCATAACTCGAAGAAACTTGTAACAGCTCTGCAAAATAAAGCCAGGTTTGCAGAACTACATAGACATAATCAGAACAGTTTATAAACCAGAAGTAACGACGACTCTGTGGCAAGGCCACCTCAAATTTGAAACACATAACTTGAAGAAACTTGTAAAATATGGAATTATCACATGCATGTCATGCAAGGCCATCACATGATACATATATACTGCCAAAGGTAGAAAGCTTCAACTCTGGCAAGATAATTATTACTATATCGTACCCTTTGCAAAATATTTTCTCTCTAGACCACAGTTTGTGGTATATCCAGCCAAACAAAGGGCTTCCTGCAAATATGATAAAGGATAAAAATATCTCCAGAGATGGGGAGTATTTTTCTACCAGAGAACTAAAGTTTTACTGCAGATGTAGAGAGAAATCAGAGCAATGAGAATGGCGAACACCATCTGAGATACAGACCAGAACTGGAGAACAGTGAGGAAAATATGCTGTCACTGACTATAACTTGTATATGACATGAGTTGACAGTCACACTATTCCGTCCTCAGAAAAACAATGGAATAAAAGGACTGTACTCTGTCTCTCTGCAACTCATTCAGAATACACAGGACACAAAATCCTGGAAGTTAATTGAAATACAATAAATGCTTTCTTGAAGCAGCAGGATAATGAGCAGCAATGCAAAGAGAGGTTGAAGGATGTGATGGCACACATGTGGAGACAGCGCCCAGCACAGATCTTCCTGGAACATTTTCTGATGACACCGAACAACATACAGTGCTGGCAACTACTGAGTCAGAGGCAAAGAAGTAACCTCAAAATCCTTGAAGAGCACATACTGCCCATAAAAGATGGAAAGACAACATTCACTCCTTTTGCAGGGTGATTCTGAAAGATTTGAGTCACAAATACAACACACACTGGTCATACCAAGTTCAATATATAAAAAGGTAAAGCTGTCTCTGTACTTAACTACATAAGCACTATGCCATGAAGGCATATAGGGGAGTGGATGAATAGACCCATGTTATCTTGATCTCAGCACCAGTTTGGAGGTGAGTGGTCAGCTTCGTGCGCCGGCCGCTTAATCCCCAGGGAAAGAGCTCCTGATACCCATGGGATAGGAGGTTGCACAGACCCCACAGCTGGTCTGGAAAACATGGAGAAGTGAAAATTCTTGACCCCACCAGGACTTCAACTCCAACCCCTCAGTTGTCCAGCCAGTTGCTAGTCACTACACCAACTGCGCTATCCCAGATCCCGCTTCACAAAAGTTAAAAGATCTTAATAAGATCATGTACTTTTGCCCTGAACATGCTTCAGGTGCCTGGACTAGAGGGCAGTGAACTACAGCAACACACTCGCACACCACTGTACTCATATAAAGGCTGTGAACACACAGACAGGGGGTCAGCTACTCAAGATGTATCCAGCTTGATGGTATATACTGTATGTCACCTTCACGAACTCCTTGTCTCGAAGTGAGATCTCATGTGTCTTCACGTGACGGCCGTTCAGGTCCTGGTGGATCAGGATGATGGTTGGGTTTGGACAGCCATGAAGAAACTCCAGGTCTTGTACTTGTAGCTCCTCCATCCTGGAGACATGATACAATCTGATAAGCTGCACACTGCAGATGCTGCTGTCTAATCTGCTATGCACATCATGCAATTATAACTTTATAGCTCCCTATTATCAACAATACCAATCTTGAAATCGCCCTTTGTGTATGGTGATAAAATTTGGCAATCTTTATCCTGGAATATTAATATGAAAACTGAAAATAACAATATGGTGAGCAAGCAAACTATCTGTGTGTGATAAATGGTATTTTTTTTATTGTTAGTCGGTGGGACTAAGGCCCTTGTACTGTGGCCACTTCTAGCCTATTGTACCAGCCCCAGATGATATGTGAGGGTGATTGTGGAGCAAATGGTGGAATGAAGATTGGCAGGGGAAACCGAAGTACTCGGAGAAAACCTGCCCCAGTGCCACTTTGTTCACCACAAATCCCACTTTACCAGCCCCGGGATCGAACCCGGGCTGCCGCAGTGGGAAGCCAGCGACCAATCGCTTGAGCTATGGCACGGCCAGGTGATAAATGGTACGTGATGATCACTGCTACTTGACCAATGGACATGTAATGTCAACCAGCAGTACAGATTATTTTGAAACTTACACTGGCTGATCCTTTGGAACCCCAACATGCACAACGTTCTGGCAAGTTCCTCTAATACATTCAAGCAAATGTGACAATGCAAGTATCACTGCTTAGCAACCACTGTTTACCCACCAATGCTAAGCAATGATACTTGCGTTGTCACACTTGCTTGAATGTGGGCAGTTCCCACACGTTACTTCTGTATTGCCCATATGACATTCCAAATGTTTTGAAAAGCATTTTGGCATTTGACATTCCATCTGCCTTGTAGGAAGAAATCATGCTATACATACTTCCTCAGCCTCTCAGTGATTTCAAATCAATTTGCCAATTTTCATGAGACTCAATGAAAAGATGTACAGGGCATATTTTTCAACTGATACTAAAATTCTAAAGTGTCAGATACAAGTAAAGGAGGCTACAGCAGGTGCATACCGTATGCTGGAGGCCTTTAGTTCGCTGTTGTCCTTCTCTAGGGGGATAATCTTGAAAAGGCCATCATACAGTCGCAGGCCGATTACTCTTGCCTCAGGATCAATCACTGCAATGATTCCTGTTTCTGAGGGCTTCCCTATACGGTCAGCTACATTCCCATGTGCTTTTGTGATGATCTCCAGGTTATCACCTTCACCAACACACTCAAGAATCATAGCATTATACCGTGCTGTCACAATGAAGAGCAGGTCCTTCTTCTCATGCTGCACCAACAAAACAATCAACATCCATGTGTCATGTTTCTTATATTACATTTGTCACCTGAGAACCTGGAAGGTACTGATATGCAAATCTAGTTGCCAAAACAAAAGGGCACCAGCTCAATGGAACATGTCATTGCAACCAGCCTGATTTCTCTTCATGGTGAAAGTCTTGAATCAGGATAACAAGTAATCAATCACTGTCACCTTCATCAGGGACTGACATCACATCAATCCCTCATGGAGACAGTAACAATATTCAAATGTTGCAAATTCATTCCCATCTGGACACCGATGACCACAAGGCCTCTTAGAGGACCCCATATTATGACAGATCTAGTACAGGTCTAGTCAGATCTTTACAACATTTGCTCTTAACTAAACATTATAATTACACATAGTTTATAGCACAATAGGTTTCAGACTTAGCTTTAAACTCCTGACCCACCTTCCATTATACACTCCTGTTTTGACAAGAGGGAACAATTCATGCATATGCAACTTGTCTATAAAACTCACCATACCACACAAGGAGACAAGGACAGACACAAACAGTAATACTTAACAACAAATTATTGCATTAATAAACAATAAAGGACATATATACAAGAACACAAGTATTAAATGCAAAATGGACACCAAATTAGAGCACACAAGGAAATTAAGAAGTCCATGCAAATTCTGGTGTTCAATAGACAAAAGAATACAAGCTGCATGGAACTTACTGGTGGTCTGAAGAACTTCATCACAGACACCTTTCCATACAGCCCAACTTCTTTAATGGGGCGGAGGCCCTCTGGCGTAACGAGGTAAATTTCCAAACGAGTATTCTTAGCCAAGATGAGATTCAGATCACTTGGAGATGTGAAATTTCCTATAAATATACAGTTAACAGGGTAGCTCTTTAATAAGCTTCAATAAGCAGTGGCCTGAGCAACGAGAAAACGTGTCTGAAACGATGGATTTGTTCAATTAGTGAATATTACTATACTATTACATATGTTTAAGAATTTTAATTTTATAGTTCCTTTCATTTCAAACGGAACGAATGTAGTTAGTAAACATCACGAATACCGGCAACGCTGGCAACCATGATCTCCTAAATATGTAACAAAACATTCATTCTTGTACGTTCACACTAAAGTGCAGAAAATTCATGCCTGAAAAAAAGAGAATCTATTCCACGTGAAAGGGTATTGCACCACCTTTAAAAGAAAGTGTTTCCAGGCACAATTTCATCAGATACTGTTATACCTGGCAATGACTGTATTCAACTTCTTTACCTGAACATCCAGCAAACAAAAGAAACAAGGCCGGAGTATAGAAGAGCGCAAATGTATACTTTTAATGCTGTCAGCATCCACACTAGAAGTTCTTACCTGTAACACATGCTGTAACTGCAGTGGGCTTGTGTGCCGTAACAACGTAATGATGAGACATAATTCTATTTGTTTATGAGTTACACACAAACTTTACTTCGTCTTCTCACATCTATATGCTTCTTCGCATATCGATCTCTGCAAATTCGAGGTGAATTCGTATCGATTTACAGTCTCTCCAACTATTTAGAGGGCGTTACTGAGTACTCGCCAGTACTTCCTACGTAACTGAACATGTATTGTATAATTTTCAGGCATTCTCATGTCTGATTTGTGAAATATTGAGTCAATTAATTAAGGAGATAACTGCCTTGTAGGATGTGTCGTCGTGCAGACTAGCAGATACTTATCGTAGTTCTGGAGTGCATCTTCCGCCCTGAAGATGGAAGTAGACAATATGGCTTCGTGTTCCACCGGAGAGCTTGGCAAATTGTAAGTGGGATTTGTGGTCCACAAAATGGCGCTGTGGCAGGTTTTCTCCGAGTACTTCGGTTTCCTCTGCCAATCTTCATTCCACCAATTGCTCTACATCACTCTCACTGCTCTCACCTATCATCTGCGGCTGGTACAATAGGCCAGAAGTGGCCGAAGTACAAGGGACTTAGTGCCACCCGTCCCACCCTACTAGCAATAAAAAAAATAATAAAAAATCATATGTGATCATAGTGCTAACATGAAGTCTCAATTAATTAAGTTGGTCACACTGTTTTGTCGTCTGCAATATGTAGTAGACGGACGTATCACAAGGTACTTATTTGCAACATGTCAATAGCTACTTGTGCTTCGCAGGTGGACGGCACGGAAAAGTAGATTGGAAAGCACGGTCTTTAGTATTGTGGTGGATATTCCAGATATCATTCCATATGTGATTAGCACCATAACAGTTTTTATGTGAAATTTATTATGGAATCGCAGGATGAGGTATTAAATACTTGAAGCTGCTTCTACAGTACTTAAAATTAAGTTATGCAACTAAGCAACGTATTAATACACTTGAGTGAAAGATAAGGTGCTGCAATATGGTGAGCTGATACAGCCATAGGAAATGCTACTTTGAGTGTACTTAGTATAGTGTTATATAAAAATTTCCACAACCCTCTTGTGGACTGAAATAAATTAGTTATTAACTATTTATTAAATTATCAAATTAATAGTGCATGATTGTCTTCGTTTCTTTGATTATAGAGTGCTCCATTGAGCAATGAACCACTGTACAATCCACATCTACTCCAGAGACTTGACATGGCTAAATGTAAAACAAGGTTTGATCCACCCATTTCTCCAAATCAGCCAGGTGAAGGTCTGATTATGCGGCCTCTTTGCCCAGCAGATTATGACAAAGGTGATGTATGAGACTACATTTCTTGTCTTGTTAAATTCTTTATTAAAAATGCCATTTCTTTTAATATGAAAACTGGAATTAATCCACTTGAACAACTACAGCTAATGTAGGTCCCCAAGTTTTACCAAATTCAGCAGAGGGAAATTGGAGCTATTTATCCCTCAGAGCTACTGGACTTATTTTTATTGCTTGTATGCTGTTGTGTTATATAACGTTAAAGTACTGGGGGCTGTCAACACATCAGTTAGTTTTAATAAATCCATTAAAATTATATAAAATTTGAGGTTTTCATGGCAGTGACTATGAAGAATGCCATCTTCTTGAATGTGGCATCATGTAGATCTTGTGTAAACCAACGTTTTGGAGGAAGATGGAGGTGATACGTTCCTCTGGAACGTTGGTTCGCACGAGATCTACACAGTGCCACATCCCAGAAGACAACATTGTTCCTATTAAAATTAATTTACTTTGTTATTGTCTCAACAGCCTTATCCTCAATCGCTATTTGGTTGCTTGTCCTCCCCTCCTCTGAAGATATGCAGACTGTTGATTTAAGATGCTAATCACTGGAACTTAACTTTCATTCATTCATTCATATGCATATTAACTGCACAGTTGGTGAGCTTACAGAATGGAAACATCACAAACTAACATTTGTTTCCTTTCATGTTGTAACACCTGACTATTTGAGCCTCGTTTCTATATACACAGGTCTACATTAGCATTGTGCAGCAAAGTGGAGCAGATGAAATAAGAAAATACACAGAAATTATACTTGTCATCTCCATTACAGTCACTCCCACTCGAAACTCTTGGTTAACATTACTTCTGGAGAATTTGCTCATAAGTGCTTTGTCAATACAGTGGCTGACTACAGAATTTGAATCTTGGGAAGGCTGACCATAGGGAGGATAGAATACTGAGCATTAAGATAATATCCACTATGCTCTGCCTCCATGCCCCCTATATGCCTGAACACAGAAATCAGCAGTGACCTACTTTTTTGCTTGTTTTGCATGCAGGCTTTGTTCAACTGCTGTGCCAGCTCACCAAGGTCGGTGAAGTCTCCAGGAACCAGTTTCTCAGTAGGTATAAGAATGGAATGAGGAAGCTGTGTCTGTCAAGGTTGTAGCTGTATATGTGGCTCTCAAACAGCATATTAGAAAGTTTACAGGATTTTGCTCTTATTTTGAGAAGTTCTCTTCTTTACTGGTGAAAAATATCAAGTGCAGAAGTTACTTAAAATATAAGAAGAGTGACTTGAGGTATCTTCTCAACTGCTTTGTGCCTCTTCTCATGTAACACACATTTATTAAACAAATTTTTAACCATCAGCTGAAGAAAAAAAATTTGAAATTAAAATTAAATTAAGTGCTTGAGAGAATGCACACCATTTTTGGGTGGGTAAATAGTTCACAGTTTACTAACTGGACTGGTTATCCATGACTGCCAACACGAAGTTACCTACTTTTAACAGCTGAGCATACACTTTTGCTCATTTGAGAAATGTGTCTCTTAATCGTGCCATGTCTCTCTGCCTGTCCACAGCCAACAACTACTCAAGAAACCACTGAACAGAGTTTAATAAAATTCAAGAGTTCTAAAATGTGTGAGAATGTTTCACTTTTGATCGAGATCTACATAAAGATATACAAATAATCTGCACATCTCAGGCGTAACTCACAAAACATTTATTGGAGCAGAATGTGAGAAACACTATAAAGAAAAAGTAAATGTCTTCTATGCTACATATTTTCTGTATATCTTATGTTTTTTTAAATAATTACATAAGAATGTACCAGAACTGTTACATCATGCATACATTTCCTAGCTTGTTCCTTAGTAGCATTTCCTCCATACTGAAAATAGCCGCATCAGTGTTTATGAGGGGGTACCCAAAAGAAACCGAACATTTTTTTTTTAAACTTATTTATTCAAATTTTAAGCACAAACCTTCAATCCCCTTCAAAGTACTTTCCACTTACACCAATACACTTGTCTAGTCTTTTATTCCATTTTTCAAAACATTGTCTAAATTCATCTTTTGAGATGCTTGACAGCGTCTCCGTCGTTTTTTCCTTCACCTCAGCAACATCAGCAAAACGCTTTCCTTTCATGTCTCTTTTCATTCGAGGAAACAAAAAAAAAGTTTTGATCATTTCGGGACTCTTCTTTCAAAGCACAGCATTCTTCCACGGGACCTTGTTTTTGTTCAGCAGTCAGCAGTCGTGGCACGAATTTCGCAGCCACCCTTTTCATTCCCAAATCTTCTGTCAAAATTCGCTGAACTGAGCTCCAAGTCACTCCTGACAGCTCCACAATTTCTTCAGTGGTCTGTCGTTGATCTTCCTTGATGATTTCACAAATTGTTTCAACATTTTCATGTGTTCGGGCCATGGAAGGACGACCAGAACAAGGTTTGTCATCAATTGACATTTCACCATTTTTGAAATGGGAAAACCACTCAAACACTTGAGTTTTCCCCATAGCATCGTCCTTGTATGCCGTTTTTAACATTTCAAGAGTTTCTGTTCAACTTTTCCCGAGCAAAAAGCAGAATTTCACTGCCGCACGCTGTTCACGAAAATCAGCCATTGCAAAAATGACGATCACATCAAACAGTTGTCACTATAAACTCTGCCCAAACCAGTCCTTACCTTCTGAAGCAACGGTAGTCGGCTTATCGACTCAGGAATGTTAGCTCTATGAGCTCATAGCGGCAAAACGCGGTACTACAAAAGCTCTGCCCACAAAAAAATTAGTTCAGTTTCTTTTGGGTACCCCATCATATATGAGCATTGGTTGATGTGGCCCACTTCCATGCAGTTGCAAAATGTAGAATGTGTGGAGATTTACCTCAGTATCTCTTATGCACCTTAGTGACCATGTTATGGACCACTGTCACTTGGGTGAGTAGTCGCATCACTTATACAGCCATCATCTTTCAGGACGCTATGCAACAATGAAGGAATGCCCCAACACATACTATGTGACAGTCATTGAGGACATGACAACAAGTCAGATTGTGGCCTCTGCTACACTGGTTGTGGAACAGAAGTTCATCCATGATTGTGCAGTGGTAAGCTCCACCCTGATACATCACATCCATGAATGAACTCCTAGCTTAAGTTTTTGTAGGGTCAGATTTCTGCAGCACCAAGAATAGGGCAGGAATTCTTCTAGTGGCTAACAAAGAAATATGTCAAGAACTAATTACGTGTGAACATCACAGAACCAAAATCTCCATTATAGTCATAATGAAACTCTGGGGAAATATGTAATTTCAAAATTAAATTTCTGTAAAAAATGAGGAGAAGGAAATGTTTGACTCTATTTAATTATGTCACCTTGCCATTTATTTTGCATAGAGAAATGCTCTTACTTTTACAGACACATAAAACTACACATGTCTGGGAACAGTGTTCAGGAAAACATCAGGATCTGATGAGATGAAGTAAATGGGGAATGGAGGAATTTTACAATTTATGCAGTCCACATTGTATTATGATAGGGAGACAAATGTGCATGAAATCTCGGCAGTGAAGCTTATAGAAGAGTTACCATTTGAGAGACAGGATGAGATACAAGGTTAATAGTGTAAGGACGGGAAGTGAACTAGCTCAGTTGCCAGAGGGTGAGTTGGCTGTCACAATTCAGCCTTTTTCTCCATGTAACTTGTAGAATATAACAAGTTGCTCTTTACAGAGGGGTCGCCTGGAGGATGTGGTGGTAAGCGATGACTATCGTGGGAAGCAGCTTGGAAAACTGTGAGTACTCACTCTTACTGCTTTATGGTCTGGTAGAATAGGACAAACATCATGGTACATGAATGGACTGTTACAGGATCATCACAGTCGTCACACTGCTTGCCCAGCATCTGAACTGCTACAAAATCACGCTCGACTGTAAGGACACGATGATTCCATTCTACAGCAGACTAGGTTACAAGCTTGAGCCATGCAGCTCCAACTACATGCAGATCCGCTTTGAGAATTCCTGACAGTCAAAGCTGTGAGGTGCTGCAGGCAGCATTCTCTTGTGGCAGCTTCTGTGACAATGAGTTCCTGTACCCTGATGCCATATTCATCTCTGAAATTATTCAGAGGATTTCAATTAAATTTGATATTAAGAGTTATATACCAAAAGCAGTTACTGTGTATGAATTTCATTTGATCTGTACTCAGCTGCAATACCCCTACTTTATATGAAGCTCAAATTTTACCTCTGTCAAATTGTACATAAGTGTAGACCTAAGTGTGATCTATACAGTTTATATTTATCTAATTACAGGCAAAAATTGTGTATGTTTGAAATATAGTTGTACTGCAGTGGATTATACATTTCATATGAGTTGAAATTTCACACAGTCTGTGGTTGTTGATCACTGTGCTCTTGTAATTTTGAGGAAGACCATAGCCTCTGTTCACCAATGGGAACCTGCAGATGTCCTAGTCTGAAGTGCTTTACAAAGGAATGAATATGCCAATTGATATTGACTGTTGTAGGATTGTTACCCTGTTCAGGTGTGGATGATGTTTACAGTGTTTCAAAGGTACATACTGCATCCATTTTTGGGGTCGAAGTGTGAATGGAGGTTTGGTTGGTGAGATTCTGTGTATATTTATACACACTTAGGTCAAAACTAGAAAGAACATGTTATGGTATTTTGGGATGTGACACTGTTTAGCTTGGTAGATGGATATCAACATTTTGGAGGAATGTGTTACCTCCAATCTTGAGGGTATACGAGGTGTGTTCAAAAAATGACGGGAATTTCCGTATTTTGGAAAAAATATTTATTCATTCGTCTACATTAATGTTGTCGCCTTCAAAATAGTCCCCATTCGATATTATGCACTTACGCCAGCGCTTCTTCCAATCATCGAAACACTTCTCAAACTCGATTTTTGGGATAGCCTTTAGCTCTTTCAGCGATGCGCTTTTAATGTCATCTATGCTTGTAAAACGACGGCCCTTTAAGGTTCTCTTTATTTTTGGAAATAGGAAAAAGTCACACGGAGCCATGTCTNTATTCCATGTCAAAAAAAACAAGCTGAAGACCTTGCGCTGCATGTCCTGTGACATTTGGTTTTTAAGATACACATCATTGTCAAATGATTAAACCATGAATGCCTCATAGTTAGTTACAATAAGCATTCAAAGTGGTTTCCGACTATTTCAAGCAGATGGCAGTGTGCTGTAGGGCATTCACGCCTCTTGATATGTTGGCACTAACCATCATCGCAGCCTCCTAAGGTCTTTTGAGGGATAGTCCTGAGAAGGCACATGTGGTCCTTCAGGTGTCCCCACAGGAGGAAATCGACCACAGTTAGATCTGGTGACTGAGGAGGCTATGCCATCAGCCCTTGACATCCAACCCGCCTTCTTTGATATATCACATTCAACCACTGCTGTAGTAAGTCTTCCCCTCACCATACAGGGACTCCACTGTGCTGAAACCACAGCCTCTGCTCGCAGCTAGATGCACATCTTTAAGCAGCGCTGGTAGAATGGTTTCCAGCAAATTGTGGTATCACTGATGTCAGCCCATCAGATAGCAGACAGGGGGCCTAAAATAATGTCCCTGGTGATTGCAGCCAAACACTGATGCTGAAGCAGACTTGATACCCACATTCACAGCTAGCATGAGGATTACTGCATGCTGCAGATGCTGAACACACACACACACAAAACATGCTTCATCTGTCCAGAGAATTCATCTATGATGTAGCCATTCACAGAATTTCATCCATAGTGGGCAATCTTCAGGAATCAGATGTACACTCCATGAGCAGTAGTATGGATGTAATTGATTAACATGGAAGTCCTTTTAGGACCCTCGGTTGGGACAGTCTCCTGATATAATGTGAGCCTCTCAATGGCTCTCATTCCACAGTGGCAGTTATGGCATCATTGGCTGGTGTCAGTACAGTCTGTGGTGACCTGCATTCACAGGTAGATGTTGTTACACATCCTGTCTCACAGAGATGCTGCTTCAGTTGTTAAAAGACATGTATAGGCAGTTCAACATGGCAAGTTGTACACTCATTGCCACTTCCATGGCAAACAGGAATACAAAGTTTGGTGAAATTTTTCCAATTTAATTCAAAATGGCAATGTTATAACACATGGTACTTTTCTGTGGGTATGGCTAGGTCATGAGCTATGTATAAAGGAGGTACAATGAATAACTCTGTGATCTTCTATAATCAGAATGAATAAGTCAAAAATTTCTAATTCTTTGATTTCATCATATATGTACTCATGACTGTAAGTCTTCCTACCAGGAACCAAGCTGACAAGTTTCAGGATTCAGATGAAATTCACACCAAATCTAGTATAAATAAACATAACCTTAATCCTAACACACAGAGAAATGTAATTATAAGTTAGGTCTATAAAACAAAGTTACTGACTGGCCATGTACAAAGAGAGAACTCACACAGCAGTAATCAGTTCAAGTGGAGACTGTGCCTCACTTGCAGACATATGAAATGTTGGTAACTCTTACTATATACTTTAAATTGACACCTCACAATTCTAGGGCAACTTCACATGCCCTGAGGAATCACACCTTGTTCATTTGTGACAGTAACTCTCATGAATAAAAAAGCACTCTCAATATAGTAAATAAGTATGTTAAAAATGCAAAACTTGGCTGCCACTGCACACAATGCCAGGAACTGGACGTTGGCAGCACAGCACCAGCACATCCGCCTGCAATAAATTAAGTGAACTGTAGGTACCACTACTGCATCTGGACCCTGTCCTGTGCCAATCTAGTCTTCACTGTGTACTCAACAGTTTTATTTCCTCTCTAACACTGTCCCAAGATCTATTGACCTCTTTCTTTTCAGTTTTTCAAAACTGCAGACCTATCACAGTGTTATTTAAATTTATTTAAATATCAGACTTTCTTTTGTTTACTTACTTGTGCAACCATTTAACACTGGTCACTGTCCTACAGTCACCTCTGCTGAAACAGAGAACATGGCTTTTATCTAAGTGATCTTTTTCATTACCAAATATAATCAAAACTGCTTGTGCATCATTTCTTCATGAGAACTTCAGACTGAATACTGATGCTGCTCAGAATCTCATTTGTTAAGTTCCCCGAAACCAACAGTTCTCAGCCTCCTCTGAGTGCACCCACAAAAAGCTGAGTGTCATTTAGATGTTTTGCCCTGCAGCATTTAATACAATGTAATCTGGTCACGGATGTGACTGGGCCCAATGCAGCCAGATCTTGGTGGGGACTCATCAGACTCACTGACAATCACAATGGTAATGGCAGAGACGGTGCATGCACTAAGTTGCATTCTCCCAACTACAGTCTGCAACTGGAGTTCTCCAGTTTCAGAGTTCTTATTCAGTTCTTCAGTATAGAGGGGGTGGGTTTTCCCCGTGCACTGCGACTAATAGTCTATTGTACATCCCCCTTTAATTTCTACTGTCGCCATACCCTACCGATATTGGTGCCCGCTATCTCCCCTTTCTACCAGCGAGGTCAGCCCTCTACTGGCAGTGATACCCGATTACTCTGCCAGCGAGGTCGGCCCTCTACTGGCATTGGTACCCGATAACTTCCCCATCTACCAGAGGCATTGGAAACTACTTGGGCAGGAAACTTTTTGCCTAATTTTGCTCAGAGGTCTCCTGGAGACATGAGGATCTTTTATGTGCCGTAAATCTACGACACGGGACCCACGGCTTAAAGTCCCTCCCGGAGGACTTGTTCCCTGAATTTTTCTGCCCTTAAAAATTCCACGACCTCCACCGGGTTTGAACCCGCGTAACTTGAGTCACGAGGTGGGAACATTACCCCTAGACTACGCAGGCCGCTTTCAGAGTTCTTACTATGGCAGATTAATCACTAGACCACACTTGCATTAATGCATATTTCTGTGTGGTGCTCACTCACCTGGAAATCTCTTGTTTCTAGTGTGTGGCAGTTATATTTTCTTTGTTCCTAGTTTCATGGGTCCACCTGTTAATCTGGTTGCTCTTCGAGCTTCGAGTTCCTTCTGGCGCTGCAGTTTCCGCTCCTCTCGCTTTTTACGTGCCTCTTCCAATCTGCTCGAGGCTGTGCAGACACATAATGTAAGACTGCCCTCCAAACAATTTGGTGCTACCACACAACCAAGATAAAGAGTGCATGTACATACCTCCACCAGTCTCCTCCAGAGGTTCCCACTCGGTGTCCTCCCAGCTCTGGAACACATGACAGGCCCCTAAATATAGCAGAATTGAACGTAGTTCTAAAGGTTTGATGTTAGAAATTATTTTCTTTCAAAATTATCCATTGTCATAATCGGAAGAATGTACAGCATCCCAGAGTCTGTAAGCAGTGCCCATTCTGTTTGACAGCATACAGATCATAGGAAGCTCATAATGAAGTTACAAGCTGGGTCCCCTGAGCAGCAGACACTGCTGCTGTTGCTACAACTGTCTCTGGATCTGCGTGCCATGTCACAGGGACACACTCACTACTTCTCTCAATCTTGAATTATATTTGCCAGTAAGGATATTATAAGGCTATATTTAACTTATTTATGTTAGTACAATGTCAGACATGAGGACCACCTGTGTCCGATTTGCCGACTCTTCCTTGGTGCCATCTCCCCAGTTGTAGGTGTTCACAGATTTTGTTCCGGCTGTATCCTCCACAGGAACAAAGTCTGTTGTGCCCCACCCTTCCCCTTGACCACTCTCTGCCGCCTGAAGAATAAATAAATTGTTTAGATACAGTTTGAGTTCCTTCATCCCTGTATCTGTGTGGATGCACAGTGCTGGCACATCTGGAACAAGGTTTAACAGCTGTTAACAGAACCACACTCATTCACGGGAATGGGATTCTACTTTCTATCTTGGAATATCAGCTTTGATAATGTAACTCAAGCAATGATAAGCAGGTGATACTTTTGTTGCAGGTGTTATGACACCTGATGTTTCATGGCTGTCATCAGTGGATCATACAGTGAGCCGGTTCAGTCTTTCACATTTTCACAGTGCTTCCCTATGACCAATTTAATAATATGATCCTCTTTATCAATCTCCCAAATTCTCTTACCATGAGGCTTTTATACTAAAATTTTGTATTTATTTCTTTTTTACTCCCATGATTGGTATGTGTCCTGCCTACCTCATTATGTAAACAAATATAAAATTTGCAAGAACTGTGACAATCACCATAGTGAACATAAAGATTACAGACTGCAGGGATATGCTGCCATGTAGTTGTACTCATTCTCCTGTTGCACTAGTATTATAGCCTTTTGTAATGAGATACTTGAAAAACAAAAATACATGTTGCATTTAAAGACAGTGGTTACGCATACAGATGGTAGGTAGATATTTACAAAACTCTGATTCAACTAGGATTCGATCATACAGCTGTGTGTGCACGAATCCAGCTTGCTAACCCACCAGCTAAGCTGCACTACAGTGTTAAGACTACAAATTTACATTATCTTGTTATGAAAGGAAAGTATGCTTTATGAGTTCTGCCTGGAAGTCCTGATGATGGACATTTGCTCAGGCACAGGTACTATACCAAATCTTCCTCCAGACTGCCCCACTCCTCCATATCCCAGCCATCAGTCCCCTTCTTTTCCTTAGTTCCTGGCAGCAGGCTCTTTGGTTCTGAAGCTGTACTCGGTGGGCTTGCTGGGGTCTGCAACATTCACATTCACGTTTATAAGTCCAAACCCACGAAAAAGGGTACATATGGGATTTAAGGTTCTCACAGTGGTGGCTATGGAGAGTTCTAGCAACTGGGACATAACAGCATCTAGTCAACTGAAAGTCCACTGACGCTTCAGAGGAACATGTACATTATTGCTGCCTACTTCATGCTAGTTTCCTGCCTGGCTTACTCTTCAAGCCTGAAGACAGAGGCATCATGTTCCTCTGAAATGTCGATTGAGTTTCAGGACACTACATGCTGTTATACAGCAGAAGACAGAACTCTGTGCATGTATATACAAATTTTAACAATCAACTTCTTTTACCTCTCTAGTCCTAATGGCTGTATTCAGCAAACTAGAAACTATGGCTGTGTAGTCTGGTAGAGTGGTACCAATGTTTGAGAGAAAACTGCTGCTCTGAAGATGAGACCAGCACACTCCTCTAAAACATCAGTAACCTTCTACCAGACTACAAGGCTTCACATTCCAGAAAATGGTATTCTTCATAGTCACTACTATGAGAACCACAAATACAACACCTTTCAGTCTGTCCAGCAATCACTGAAACATATCTGAGAAAATATATCTAAGCCCTCATAGAGATCAAGTCTGTTCAGTTTGGTGTAGGTTAAACATACATACTGCAGTCCATGATATAAAAACAGACCAAAGTATGAGAAGTGCTAACAGCAATTATATTTATTTTTCTCTAACACTTGCCTCTCCACTCACATGACATACAAGGCAAAGGACAAGTTGGAATGACACGGTTATCAGAGACACTGTGATGAGACAGCCCAAGAGCAAGAATAATATAATAGTGCATCACAAGATATGATGACACTCACATCCATTTCACCCCAGTTCTCTGTGTCCCATGTCTCATCATAGTCGGACACTGACTCGGCCCCTTTACTTTCCTCCTGCTCTAGCGATGTCATTGATGTCACACTTGATGTTGTCGTGGAAATGCTGCTGCTAGATGGTTGTTCTGCCAACATTACAATTTATGTAGCATTGATTTTCATGAAAGCTTGTTGTCTCTGATCATACATTATGCATCTTTTTAATTCAATCTGCAAAGATGGTCAGATGTGGCACACAAGACAGGCCTATCCTTTTGCATCAAATACACTGTTCTGGATGTACCTTTTCTTTTGTACATGATCATCTAACACTGCAATGGTAGTGATCTCAATGTTATGATGGGCTGCACCTACAGCTTGCACTGGTGGGGGGGTGGAAGAAAGACAAAGAATTCTGGTACGGAAATCTCTTGGAAAATTATCATTTCGAGGACCGTGAGTTAAGAAGGATTTTAAGGAATTGGATGCCAGTTTGTGTCAAACGGATGGCTCTGGTATTAGTGGTGGTCACCTTTATGCCTTTTTACCAGCATCAGAAGCGACAGAAAGATACAAACACATGCTTCCTGTCTTATATATATATGGAAGCAATGTGACAGTAAGTCTTCAGTTTGGTTCCTCATAAGAGCAGCTAAACAATTCTTTTTTGAGGGGGGTTAAGTAGGCTGGGCATTCGATCTGCACTGGGTTAAATGACTGCCTACAAAACCATTATGTATTTACTTATTTGAGGAGGAGGAGATACAGTCCAGATTTCTTTGATCACTGTAATCTGAGCTGATGACATAGAGGAATGTTTGAGTTCCATAGAATATGTTACAGTGGTTACAGTACCCAATGAGCCAGGCTTGCTCAGTGTCTTGCTGGCGACTGGAGTTATCGACTTCACAGTATCAGACTGGCTGCGGTAAAACTTGGAAGTAACTGCAGTTACAGCCCAGCCTGCCCATGTGGCAGCAGCGTTGGACAGGCTTGGCGTGGCTGTGTGGACATCAGCCTCTGTAACAGCCATCACATGATATTATGAATACCTACCAGTCATGCTACACACATCACATAAAGAAAATGGCAATTAAATTAATGAATGTGTTCCAACATCATATGACGCTGTAAGAAATCCAACCACACCACATCTGGTGACGTTTAACAGCTGGAATAACACAACTGCTCCAGTTATGTTCCTCCATTTCAGATTAAGACCCAGATTCAAGTACTGCACTTACCCATTGATTCCCTCAGGCTGGGATCCTCTGACACCTTTTCTAGCTTTCCCAGGAACCCCTTGATAGTCCGGAACACATTATCACGCACAGACTTCTCTGGATCAACTGTGAGTTGGCAGAGGGCAGGCAGAATACGTACTGCAACCTCAGACAGAAGGAAATACTGCTGTGTGGCAGCCAGTGCTAGGACACCTGCATATAACATGTCAGCAATTAGAACTGAACTGACCATACAAAATACTAATAATTCTAACCAACTCCCTGGCACAGTGTCATGAATAAACTTTCACATCCTCATGAGCTACTTCCATCTTAATATTAACTTCCCATTTATGGTTTCGTCTTTCAGATCAAGGAAATCTCAGGCCCCACCCACAATGATGTATACCAGTTTCTACATTACTGCTACATGTCTGATTTATCACATGCAGTCACTCTAATAATATTAGGCTGAGTACATCCTGTTGAATGCTTGTGTAACATTATCAATTTCCATCTGTTCCTTCTCTTTGAACCAGATGTCTTTCAGCCCTCTGTCCTCAAACACCTTCAATAATTAATGTAACACCACTTGGCATACATCTTTGCGATTTGCTTTTATGCCGCCTATGTGCAACGTCAGTTACTGTTCACTTGTCATTTCTCTTTATTGACACTATATGTTGTGGCCTAACTGGCCATCTTTAAGTGTACAGGTGTACTAAGCGTACAGTTTAAAAGTCAATGATGGAGAATTTTCAAGATACATGCCACATGGGGGTTCCAGATAATGTGGCTAGGTAAGTATGTAAAAAGACAGAAGTCGGGAAGTTTTGTTAAAGGAGTGCCTTATTCTGTGTTACAATGGCAGTTCAGATACGTGGACAATTAGCTGATACTGACACAGGTATAAGATGGTTAACAATTTAGGAAGCATAGTTCATGTATCACCAAAAGAATAAATACTATTCAAGTCAAAGAAAAAGAAGGTAAATTGTGTATTGAGGAGACTAATTATAAAATGGAATTTAAAGGGTAACATTTGAAGCTAGGTTGTGTGGCTTACCTGCACTGCGGGCAGGAGGAAATGGGTCTCGCATGGCACGGATGAAGGCAGAGATGAGGACCTTCTGCCGTATCTGGGGATGCAGGTGCTGGGCAATCTTGCCCAGGCACACAGTGGTGTTGGTCCTGATGCCACCCTGTAACCAGAGCACACAGTGACACTGATGCAGTAACTAACTGAGTCACCAGTTACAATCAATTACTTAGTAAATACATTCAGTAGACCTTTCATTAAAATGAATTGGCAGTGTGCCTCCACTTATGAAATTGAAAAAATTATTATATCATTAAATACTAAAAACTCAAGTGGATATGATGAAATTTCACACAGAATAATAAAATTAAGTTCACCATTTATAATTTCTCCATATTTGTAATGCAATACTTAATACTGGTATTTTTCCTGATAGATTAAAATTTGCCACAGTTGACACTATTTAAAAAAGGGAAAACCCATATTATATCCAACTACAGACATATATCATTGTTGACTTCTTTTTCTAAGATCACTGAAAAACTCATATACGTGAGACTTATTACTCATATTGAAGCAAATAACTGGTTGGTACACGAAGAATATGGTGTTAGGACACACTCCTCGACAGAGAAGGCAGCTTTTACATTGACAAATAATATTTTATCTGCAATGAATAATAAGTTAATGGTGGGAGGCATTTTTCGTGATTTACTAAAGGCGTTTGATTGTGTTAGCCATAAAATATTATTGGATAAATTGGAATTCTGTGGAATTTAATGAAAATTCAAAACACTTATAGGATCTTATTTCACAGGTAGATATCAAAGAGTTGTAGTGGGTAACAGAATTGACAGTAACAACTCATCCAAATGGGAAACAATTAAATGCGGTGTTCCACAGGGCTCAATTCTTTATCCCTTCTTTTTTCTGCTTTATATTGATGATTTACCTAAAATAATAAATAAAAACGATAATATGGTATCATTTGCAGATGACACCAGTATTATAGTAACTTACATTAATAAGTTAAACTTTGAAATAAATCTTAATTAAACTTTCAAAGATAATAAATACATTGTTTAATGCTAATTTGCTTACCTTGAATTTTAATGAGACTCAATATGTCGAGTTTCGACCTATGAATTATTATAATATTACTACTCAAATTAACTATTATCAGATAAATTTAACAACTGTGAATGAGACAAAATTTCTGGGATTAATTACTGATGATACTCTTTCAAGGAAACAACATACTGATTATGTTATTAATAAAATTTCCATTGCATGTTTGCATTAAGACATATAAAATATATATTGTCCCTTTAGAAACGTTAGAGCTAACTTATTTTCCTCATATACATTCTATCATAAGTTATGGTATAATTTTTTGGGGTGGCTCTTTTTGTGTTAACAAAAGTTTTTATATTGCAAAAGAAAGTTATTAGAATTATAATGAATTCTACACCAACAGAGTCTTGTAGGGACATTTTTAAGAATTTGGAAATAATCTACTCTCAGTACACATATTCATTACTTTTATACACAATTAATAATAAACATTTATTTAATTTTAACAATGAGATTCACAAATACAAAACTAGAGCCCTCAATAATTTATATTTACTTGCAGTTAACCTAACAAAATACAATAAAGGTGCGTACATATCAGGTATTAAAGTTTTAATCATCTTCCTCAACAATAAAAATGTTAATAAGATCTAAAAGTTTGTGACGATGGTTTATTGCTACAAGTATTGTTTTTGGACATTATCCATCTTCTTGTCTATTTTTTAAAAGAACCATCCTGTTTCTTTTTCAAAACAATGTTTTGGACACTGGATTCTGTCCCCGTTCTCAGATAAAACCTACCCAGTTGGGTCCAATAGTGAGCTAGCCCCTACCTCCGGACACCTATGCCAGTTTCAGAAGCAAGCACAACGCAAACTATCTGTGAGAGCTAAGAAAATATTCAACTATTGAACCTTCACACATATGAGGCCTTGCACCAGAGAAGTATCTTGAATGTAATCATACCTGGAGAGAAGCAACACTCCTTGTGGTGCCAACACCTGAGGACAGGGACAGAATCCAGTCTCCAAAACGTTGTATTTTGAAAAAGAAACAAGGCGGTTTTTTAAAAAATAGACAAGATGATGGATAATGTCCAAAAACAATACTTGTAGCAATATACCATAGTCACAAACTTTTAGATCTTATTTGCATAACCAGTATGGACCTGGTATATATCCCAATTTTAGAAAATTTGAATGACTCAAGATCCAGTTGGCTAAGACTTCCAAACATCTCACTTTTCTTATGAAATGCAAGACTCATGATATTCTTCCCAAAGATCTCATGTTGAAAGCTACACATCACAGTCATTGCTCTTCTAAGATAACTTTACGAGCCAGCAAGGCCCTTCTAAGAGATAGGATCCAGTTCCACTGTTTTAAAAAAGCCACACTCAACAAACAAACCAACGACCTGGAATCATTTTTCCAGAGATCAACCAACCATTCAGACCAACTCTGCATCTTGGCTGCAGTGGAAAGCTCTTACAAACATCATTTCCTGAGGCTGAAGGAGATCCAGATTTGAAAATTCTCAACTCTAAAAAATCACCATCAAACCACCAAGAACCTTGAAGCCATTCAGGGGTCCGAGAAATTTGTCATACACTTATCCAACTATGTTCTCACAGAATCTGAAGAATCCATTCTCAAGAAAGGGCTGAATTTTGCAATGACCAACAGAATGTGTAATCTTGACATGGCATGTGCGGCAGAATCTGTAAGGTCCAAACTTCTCCCCGCCTTGACTATGGAGTTCTGTTGGCGGATCTGGTGTATGTTAGAGAAAGCAAAACCTTTTTCATCTAACATGACTAGGAGGGAATCCATGATGTTAAAATCTATAAAAAAACAATAGGCAGGTACGAATTCTACAAGCTGACAAGGGAAACTGCACGGTGGTGCTGAATGAGTCTATTTACAAGGAGAAGATATCCAGCCTGCTACATTCAGGGGTATATGAAATTTTACGCAAGGATCCTACAGCTCAAATTGAGAGGAAAATACAAACACTCCTTACTAAACACAAAAATGTCCTTCCCGTGGCATTGAAATGTAAACTGACTCCCTACCATAGCAAACCCCCTCACCTCTATGGACTCCCCAAAATACACAAGCCTGATATCCCATTCAGACCGATAGTTAGTTCTATTGAGTCTCCCTGCTATGCACTGGCAGAATTCCTCCATAAGATCCTCAGCCCTCTGGCTGGCAACACAGGTTCCTTCGTAAAGAACTCTGAACACTTTATAAAATCAATACGGGATATCAACCTATAAAAAGAAGACTGCCTTGTAAGTTTTTACGTTGTCAGTCTGTTCACCAATGTACCAGTGGAGGAGGTCTTACAAGTCATAAGAAATAAGACTCAGAACCCAGAGCACTCACCTTTACAAGTTGAATACGTGATTGAACTACTGGACATCTGCTTAACAACCACATACTTCCAGTTTGATGATACGTTCTATCAGCAAAAAGAAGGTATGGCAATGGGAAACTCACTATCTCTGGTGGTCAGTAATATTTTCATGGAGCATTTTGAAAAAAAAAATGGCACTGGACACAGCTGAATACAAACCCGCTAAATGGCTAAGATATGTTGATGACACATTTGTGATATGGCCATATGGACCAGAAAAGTTACAGGAATTTCTTCAACATATCAACAACATCAGGCATACCATTAAATTCACTACGGAAGTTGAGGCTAATAATGCACTTCCATTCTTGGACATTTTGGTTATGAAGCAGGGTCCAAAACTGACCACCAAAGTGTACTGAAAGCCTACTCATACTGGTCGTTATCTTCACTTACATCACGTAAAAACGGGAGTCGTTCACAGTTTGGTCAACCGAGCGAAGGTCATATGTCAAAACCAGAAGGATTTTGGCAATGAAATCAGAAACATAAGACAAGATCTGATGCTCAGTGAATATCCTAAAGAATTCGTGGACTCTGTAATGAAGCCACTGAAAAGAAATCGTCCCTCTTCAGACAGAACATACCAGGGCACTGTAGTCATTCCATATGTCAAGGGTATTAGGAACCGTTTTCAACTCAGGACCATCTTCAAAACTAAACATACACTCCGTGGGATATTAATGAAAACTGGACCTGTTAGAGATGCCCAGCAAACGAAGCAGTGCGTGTATAGCATCCCATGCGACTGCAGCAGATGTTACATCAGCAAAACAAGCAGACCCCTAGAAGTACGCATTAAGGAACACAAATATAACCTGACACAGGGCTTCAGGAAAAATCTAAATTAGCCCAACATGCATATGAGGAAGACCAGAAAATTTGTTGGAATAAAGCAAAGGTCTTGCAGATCGAACCCAACCCCACATACAGGAAATACAAGGAATCAGCCCACACATCTCTGCTGGACCATCCTATCAGTCAACCCAGTGTGGATCTCTCTCCCATCTGGACCCCTGTCATCACAGCAGAAGTCAAGAGACTACAGCGCCATCAAGTGTAGTTGGAGTGGGTAACTATTTGTTTCGTGTGTTGGCACCACAAGGAGTATTGCTTCTCTCCAGGTATGATTTTATTCGAGATACTTCTCTGGTGTAAGGCCTCATATGTGTGGATCTTCAATAGTAGAATATTTTCTTAGCTCTCACAGATAGTTTGTGTTGTGTTGTGTTGGGTTTATGAAACCCTTCTGCAACTGGCATAGGTGTCCAAAGATAGCGGCTCGCTCCATCTATTTGACCCAACTGAGTAGGTTTTACTTGAGGATGGGGACAGAATCATGTCTCCGAAACGTGTTTTGAAAAAGAATAGACAAAATGATTGAAGAGGTTATTATACCATCATTCTTTTTATTCCATAAATGAATATTATCAACACAATTGGTCATAAGTGTGTAAATTTGTAATGTATTTAATTCAGTTAATATAGGTAATTTAAATTAAATTGTATTAATTCAAGTTTTATAGTAAGTTATTTTCAAATTATCTTATTAAATTTTTTACTTTTTATTATTATTTATGTTAATCGATTAATGTAAGTGATTTTGATTATGTGACTCATGTAATTTTGTATATGTATCTTGATATATCTATTTTCATAGGGACCATTTCCACATCCTAGGTTTGTTATCTGTATGGATATATGGAAATTAAAGGGAATGAATGAACATGCTCCTCACCTGGTCATCCTTGGACTGCAGTCTGGCAAAGTGGCGTAAAACCTCCACATTCAGGTTGTTGTAGTTGAGCTTGGGGGCAAGATGGATCACGGACTGCAACACACATATACAGTGTTAGGGGGAGGGCACATCAAGGAAACTTGCAACCGCAATTTTCGAGAAATATTGCTGATTTCAAGAAGGCAACTGCTTTCCAGTTTAGCAGGCACACACTGAGGAAACTTATGTTTGATTAGTGGCTCACATCATCTTAAGTGGGTATGTTCGTCTGATGTAATGCATTATTGTTATTATTTAATTTTGTGCGCTTACCTTCTGCAATAAAAGATAATAATACTGATCATATCTTAATATTTTGGTAGTTGAGACCAGTTGAGATGGCTTGAGATGGCATGAGAAGAGAGGACGGCAACCATAAGGAAAATACTGGGATGTTAATTAATTTGTTTCGATGAAGGTCAATTTACTTTCATCAGGAAATATCACGTCCACACACAATAAAAAATTCTGACATACAGTGCAAGAATTTTAGCAAGACAGAAGACATATGTAGCTGAACCATGTAATGTGGAAGAAGGGTGACTATATAATAAGTTGTATTTAAGATGGAAATATTGAAATAAGTAATATATTAACCTTTAACGGCTGAATGTTATATATATATGCAGCAAGCAGCACCCTGTGTTGGCCGAATGTTATATTTATATGCAGCAGGACACGTGCTCTCTTTGGGAGTGCTGAAAATTTGATCTTGGGGTTGAAACCAAAACAAACCCATGTATTGCCATGTCAGTGGTTCATTCCTTAGCTCTGAACAATGAGATCGTTTATCACAGTACTGGTTTCGATACCATTTACGTTTAAATATGACTGTTTATGACCTGGTCATCAAATATAGCCCAGCTTCTTTTGAGAACTGATAAGGAAATATTCATCGGTGCTTGCAGATGAGTGCTTCCAGAGCTTTCAAGGAAATGTGACCTATTCAAGGATCGGTTTTCAGTGGCAAATTATCAGTTAGGAAGTCAACGTCAGATTGAAATATATTTCTTTATCAGTCAAAAGTTAGTGTCAGACTGTCATGTATTTCTTTGTATACCATTTTTATTTTATGTCTTGGAAGAGATATAAACCCACTCAGCCAGTATTACTTTGTGAGTAAAAGGCATCTTCACCACTGTGACTTTCAGTATCAGTGTCGGACTGACATTCTTTTCAACTAGTATTATAATTACATTGCATTACTAACAGGTGAGAGTGTCACTTTGTCGATCACCATAATTTATTAAATTTCACGGGAACCCCCCTCCCCCAAAATGATTCTTCAATCGCAAAAGGCGAATATCACGGTCAGTGGCGTTTCTCAGGGGAGGCCAAGGTTATCTGGGGCCCAACTGAGTCGACTGGAGGTGAAACATTCACAACACTGGCCAACCAAAGGGAAATAAAGACGTCATGTGTTTCGCTAAATAAGAAAAGCAGGAGCACCATTTTCTATTGCAAAAAGTGTGATGTTGCATTGTGTGTCGTGGACTGCTTTGTGAAGTGGCACATGCATCACAGTGTGAGGTATCTTAAACTGTGAAGTGACGCAGTTCAAAGTCACGTACAGTCTGAAAAAAATATTATTGTATATAGTGTGATTACATTTACAATATCACCAAGTCTCAAAGTTGAAAAAAAAAATTACAGGTAAGTCCTCTGGAATTTCATAACATAATAAAGAATAGATTTTGCATTTCATGACAAAATAATCACAGTTAATTTTCGTCTGTAAAAATTGCTCTTTTGTGTATATGTAGAAAATTTTATTGTCTTTCAGGTTGTTTTAAGTCTGTATTTCTATGTTGCATAGAACGGAAAATATGTAGTTTTTTCTGAAAGTTTGCTGAAAGTTGTTAATTAATTAGGGCAATTTAAATTTTGGCCGCAGAGGGCTCCTGGCAAATTAAAAGTCCATATGTTAAAGGTTAATGCAACAGTATGCTTAAATACAATATTAGGAAAAGAAAACGGGTGCATCCATTCTTCTGTGACAATTTAAACTGAGGTATTTATAGTGTTTCAAAAGAACTTAACCTGGATCCAAATTCCTTCGTCACATGAGAAATTCCTTCCCAAGCCAAACCTATTTTGCCCTGCCTAGCATAGTCTGGGTGGCATTTGCCATATATACCAGACCCCTGCTCAGTTAACTGCATAAAAACAAAATTAACAGCTTCGTCAACCTTTCGTGCCATCTTAAGAAACAAATCACTGACACACATTACAGAACAGCTGACACTAAGAAATCGTGCGGCAACATAATTGTGAGAAGACTGACATGCTCCGTCGCCTTAAGTTGAGTTTCTCAGGCTTCCCATGAGTTGTGTTGCCGTTTCCTCAATTTGAGCTGCTCTATTCAGTAACATATGTTCAACTCAAGCTGACAGCAATTCTCAGAAATTGCAATTGCGTTGTGTTTGCCAGTTTCCTTCGTGTGCCTTGCCTTTAGGTTCATGCTCCTTATCAGTGAATCGCCCATCCTTGGTGGCAAAATTTACTTACCTTCACTGTCTGCTCTCGGATGGTTGGGTTTGTATCCATGAAGCCATGTGCCACTTGGGGGAAGATCTGGTCATTCACTGTAGCCGCCTGCAAATGTCCTGCAACCAAACACTTGTGATGTGACAAGTGCATACAAAACACAGTGAAATACACATTTAAGGATCCTTTTGGGGGACGGGGGGTTGGAATTGAACACTAAATTGCAGAAAATATTAAATGGATGTAGTTTAACACTTAAACTATTGACTTCAGATCGCTGAAACTGAATGTTAAATGAGGGGAATACCAAAATTAAGGGACATTCCCCAGCTGTTACATATATCTTCGTGTTCACCAAACATTTACAGCATTACAGCATAATATCAAAATTCTTACATGTTTAATAATTTGAATCAAAATTTTGTGCTTTTATATAATGATGGCAAATTAGAATTTACCAGTTTAATAAAGTGTCCCACTGCATCACACAGTGATACCACAAGACTCACCAGACAACCTGTTACTAGCCTCTTCTCATTTATATTGAGCTTATTTAATGATGTCAGAAACTTAACTATACAGTATAAAATAATAGGATGATTAGCAAATACGGAAAGGATATAGAAGGAAGCTCTTATACACTAATTTACCTGAAGGGCCAGAGGAAAATGATGAACTTCGGTTAGGATATCTGCTCTTTAGGAAGAGAACTGAAGCCAGGAACTTCTAACCAGGAAGTGCCACTCATGTGATTATTTGTACTTGCAATTTCTGTGCCACTATTTCATTATGCTGTACTTAATTAAACAGTTATGGTATATCCTACATTGTAATAAACCAATTAAAGATGACAGAGGGGAATTCCTTCTAACACAGGAACAACAACTAAAAAGATGGGAAGAACATTTCTCCGGAATCTTGAACAAAAATAAAGATAAAAAGACACAGGGTACTGAAAAACAGACAGAAGAAAATTAAAATGAAAATGAAGATATACAAATAAAACTACATCGCCCAACATTCCCAGAGATTAAAAGGGCATTAAAAGAGATAAAATCTGGCAATATATATATGGGCAATATATGCCCAGAAATAGTTACTTTAGGATTCTGACGATGGTGTATAACACACTGATATATTGGGTTTCTGGACTTTATCCATCGTCCTAGTTTTTAAGATAACAAAAACAGTGATTGAGGCTAGCTCTTTCTAAGGGACCCAACTGAATAGGTGTTTTCCTTCACCTGAGGACGGAAACAGATCCAGTTTCCGAAACGTCGTGTTTTTGTTATCTTAAAAACTAGGACGATGGATAAAGTCCAGAAACCCAATATATCAGTGTGTTATACACCATCGTCAGAATCCTAAAGTAACTATTTCTGGGCATATATTGCCCATATATATATTGCCAGATTTTATCTCTTTTAATGCCCTTTTAATCTCTGGGAATGTTGGGCGATGTAGTTTTATTTGTATATCTTCATTTTCATTTTAATTTTCTTCTGTCTGTTTTTCNGATCTAGGAGACTTTTAAAAAGAATTAAGAATGTAGTTGAACTACGCCTTTGTAAAGAACGGCTGGATTTTGTCATCAGCAAAGTTGTGTTGACTTGTATCCTGAACTGTTATACTTAATGGAACATCACTTAGATCACACTTCTATCCATTTATAGAGCTCCATCTGGTAACTTCTCATATTTCCTAAATAGCTTAGATGCTATTTTAAAATCCCTTTAAAATACTAATTTAGAATTCATTATCTATGGCGATATATACATAAATTAGCTTGTTGACAGTAATATGAAAAAAAAATTAGACACCTCTCTAGTACAAATAGACTTGAAAGGATTCTGACGATGGTGTATGCTGTACAAAACTATTAGACTTATTTTGGACTCTATCCATCATCTGGTATATAGAAGACAAGAAAACACAATGTTTCGGAGTCTGGATCTGTCTCTGCCCTCAGGTGGATGGGGCAGGATAAACTTTTTTAAATTTTTTTTTATAATTACCTTCCATAAATCCTGTAGAGAATACACTCTCATGCGGATGTGGAGATCGTCGCAGTTACAGTCACAACTAAAAATTACAGCTGTCACCCAATAGCATACACATTTGTAATAAAATACTGATGAACATATACAATATAATAAATAAGTTAATTTCAGTAGTAAAAGTAATGGCAAACCTTATACAATTTGTACAGTTTTATACCTACTCAGTTGGGATCATTAGAAAGAGCTAGTCTCAATCATTGCATAAAACCATTATTTAAAAATGGAGATAAACCTAATATGACTGACTACAGACCTATATCATTAGTGACATCGTTTTCAAAAGTTGTTGAAAAGGTTATATATGCAAGACTGCACCAACATATTGTGACGTATTGCGCTGTGAAGGACATCCCCCCTCCCCCCACCAGCGGTGGCATAACATTGCTGCCGCTGCTACGGCAACAGGCCAGTCAACACTCCGCCCCCCTCTGCCGCGGTGAAGTGGCAGTGCTTCCCACAGTGACGTGGCGGGGTGCACCGCGGTTGCTACACGGCTAGGCAACCTGTAAATACGGCATCAGGCAACACCTGTCACGTAATTGTTTTCTGTGTTGTCCGTGCCGAGGCTAAATAAGGAGCAGCGAACACTATTCAGTTAGTAGTGAGTGGTGAGTATTGAGCCAGCTACTAGAGAAAGAGTAACCAGTTAATTGCAGTCTAGTATTTGTGATACTGCCGATGGCAGTAATTTGGAAACTGTGAATTGTATAAGTGTAAGAGTGAGTGTTCAACAAATTCGCTATATCAAATAAGGCGTGAAGTTACTTGTCGCGCGTTATACACCCAATGTGTGTCAATATATTGAGTAACAACATATTAGCAAATGAACAATGGCTTTAGGAGTAACTTATGTACAGAAATGGCCTCACATAAATTTATTAGTGATACATTAAATGCACTGAATAACGAAATATTAGTCGGTGATTTTTCTATGATTTGAAGAAAGCTTCTGATTGTGTTAATCATGACATTTCACTATCTACAAACTAGAATTTTATGGAATAGTTTGTAAGGCCAATGTATTGATAAAATCCTATCTCAAAGACAGGTACCAAAGGGTTGTAATCAATAATTGGCATATTCATTCCAGATGGGACAAAATTAATAATGGTGTTCCCCAGGGATTGATACTGGGATCTTTATTGTTTCTTTTACATACAAATGACTTGACAAAGATTATAATTAGTCATTCAAAACCTGTTCTTTTTGCAGATGACACCAGCATAATTATCAGGAATTCTGGTCCTTTAGATTATGAAGACAATACTATTCAAACATTTAAAAACATAAATGATTGGTTTAAAGCTAATTTATTGACACTAAATTTTGATAAAACATGTTTTATATAATTTTTGCCTGAATAGCTATCCAGTGGATATGCATACTGACTAAGGTAACAATCAGATCGCTAAATCTACTAATACCAAATTTGGGAGACAGGAAGAGAGGAAACTTTGATTTTGTTGATGACATATGTTTATTGTCACAGGGACATAATGGTATGAAGGACAATAAGACTGCAACAGAAAGCAAAGCTAGCTGGGCTAAATATCAATGTAAATAAAACCGAAGAGATGAGAAAAAATGCCCAACTAGAAGAGAAAGTATTCATTACTAATAAAGAAATTGAACAGGTTGACAGCTTTACTTGTATATATCTCAAGATGGAGCAACAGATAAACACATAAACCAAAGAATAAAAAAAAGCAAATATAGCTTCTATACAATTATATCAGGTATGGAAGAACACAATTCTTTCAAAGAAAACTAAATTATGGATTTTCAATACTAATGTAAAATCAGTTCTCCTTTATGCCTGTGAAACATGGGAAGTATTAAAAACAAGCATGAACAAATTATAAAGATTCATAAATAGGTGTTTAAGGTAAATTTTAAACATAAGATGCCCAGACACAATATCTAATAACCCTCTGTGGGAAATCACCAAACAAGAACCAATTGACATTCAAATTGAAAAGAGATCGGGCACACTTTAAGAAAACCAGCTGGTGCCATAGAAAAGGGTGCACTAGATTGGAAACCCCAAAGGGCTAGAAGGAGAGGGCAACCAAGGAAAACTTGGAGGACAATAGAAGAGGAAATAAGTTGGCTACGGATGAGACGTTTTAAATCTGCACTGAAGAGGTTTTTATATCATCATTCTTTTTATTCCATGAATGAATATTTTCAATATAATTGGTCATAAATGTGTAAATTTGTAATGCATTTAATTAAGTTAATTTAAATTAAATTGTATTAATTTTAAGTTTTATAGTAATGTTCTTTTTAAATTAGGTTTATTCATTAAATTGTATTAATTTTTTATTTTATTATTTATGTTAATTGACTAATGTATGTGGTTTTAATTATGTAACTCATGTAATTTATTATACGCATCTGGACACACCTATTATCAAAGGGACTATTTCCACATCCTAGGTATTTTACCTGTATGGATATATGGAAAATAAAGGAAATTAAAATAAAAAATGAAAAACAGAGATGGGAAAGACCTGGAGAGAGGTTAAAGCATTGGCCAACCAGAGGAGAAGATGGAGAAGCTTCACATGAACCCTGTGTTCCACTTGGATCTAAAGGAATTAAATCAAATCAAGTCAAGTTTACATTGTAATATACAATAACAAAATATTTATTTTGTCACATCTATGTATTCTTATCTCAAAGCCACAAGAACAATTATGGTTATGAAACTAATGTCCTCAAATAACTACATATAACAGACTGTGAATGCTTAAAGCAGTCTGAATGTAGGCAGTTCCATTACACTGACCTATGAAGTGCTCGAGTTGCTGCAGCAGTCGTATCCGCGTGGCTCTGTCTGTGGATGTGAACAGTTTCACGACACAAGGCACTACCTTCTTCTGGTAGTCCGGCTCATCCAACAGTCGCCCCAACTACAGAAACATGACTCTATAATCTTGCAAACTTAGCACATCAAATCACCCAGTCACTTTAGTCTGAACCCCAAGTGGGAATTGGTGAACACCTTTTGGCAAGGTACACTTGCATGCTAGGCTGGCTCTGAGTAATTATGTCTATCTAAATTATGTTTAACTAGTTAGTGAATTTATGCATGTGTAACAATGCTGGTGCATTTACCCCCATTATATCTCAATATTCTTAAATCTTGTAGAAAAAGTGTACTGGCCATAAGAATGCATGTTCCATTTTTCTCTAAAAGTTCTGCTAGTAACAATCTTTCATTCAAATAAATATTCTGTGGATTACTCCCCAAAACACACTGTAAGTCTATATATAAAATGTCCATTACTGTTGTCTGATTTTAATCAAAATCAACAAATTTTAGGAGAACCCATTAACAAATTCCATGAAAATCTGTTCAGCAGTTCTTGAGTTGTTTCATGTGAATAGACGGATAGACATGACAAAGCTAACAGACACATTCTGCAAACTTTACTTGTGAATATGCCAAAAAGGTCACTTTGTACATCACAGAAAACATATGACATCACATTACAAAGGACAACTGTTTAATTCAGCTTAGGGAAATAATTGCTGTCTGTTCTGTCTAGGAGAGTTTTAAATGTGCATGTACTGTTGTGCTTTCACTAGCTGAAGTGCTGTTCCACGCACCTTGAACATGGGCATGAGGACGACAGACCCAGCATCTCCATACTCAAATGCTGTGATCAGCTGTGGCAGAATCTTATGACGGCAAACGTTCTCAGGGAAGTTGTCCAGCTGAGGTGTGATGGCACTAAAAAATCGGTTCTTTTCTCCTTTATCCTTGATCTGAATCTCCTCCAAAAAGAGCAGAGTATCCACCAAGTCATTCTTGAAGTAGCCCCCTAATTTGCGGCAGCGTGTGATAATGTCTGCAGGGTTTGGTCGGGATGATGGGTTGGCCCCAACTAATTCACAGTACACTGTACTCAGCTGTTTCGGGATCTGCAACAGTGCAGGTACATGCAATGCTCACATCTAACAGCTGCAAGTTGAAGCCACACAATACAATCAAGCCAAGTTAAAATCGGGAATTTTCATATTATTTGCACAACACCATCCAAGCAAAAAGGTGAAACTATCCCTGTGACAGGCCATGGAGGTCCATAGGGTTGTGAGATGTCGAGTCTCCCACATTTTATAGACAATCAACTCAGAGATGGTGGTGAGGTCAGCCTTATGTGCCGACATGCCTCCCTTTAGCCCCAGGAAGATCCCTGGCATTCCTTTCTGTTACAGGCTGAATCGACCCAGGGCCATAGCATAACCGGAACGATTAGGTCAATTGAAAAATCCAATAACCTCATAGGGAATTCAATCCACAACCTTCAACTATGCTACCATCTACAACCTAATACATCTTGTAACTGAATGGTATCATGAAATAGACTAGTAAAATCTGAAACTTCATCACAAAGACAAATAGAAATGAAATATGCGATAAGGTCATTACGTTTCCCAAGTCCTTCAGCTGAGCCTGCTGAGGAAGTGGTCCATTGAAAGCTTCCCAGATCAGACAGCCAAGGCCCCACATGTCCGTGGAACTGAAAATAGACAGCAGATATATTTCTTTAAGTTCTACAGTTCATGTAATGTAGAAGAAGGGTGACTAAATAATAAGTTGTATTAAAATGGAAATATATGCGAAATATTTGATTTGTTTTGTTTCATTCTGGTCCATCACACTAACAATATTATAAAAGATAAAACAATTCCATCCAGTGTGATTGGTAATTTTTTCTTATTTCAATTGTTCATGCCCTTACATGTTTCGGTCCTTAGAGACCATCAACAGAGGGACATCAATACAGTTTGGAAACCACTATTACAATGGGTGTTCTGAATGTTAAAATGTATATTCATACAATGTTGACAATACACAAATGGATACAAAATTCAAAGTTTTCACAACTACAGCGGCTGTCTTGATATATTAATTTTTTTTAAACTTCTGTTATTTAAGTTAGAATTTATAAACCAAATAGGTTTGTGTCCTCTCTCTTATCACCTCTCTTGTGCCACCTGTCTTTCTTGAGAAGAAGGTTCTGCAAATATATTATGGGTATTGTATTATTTCAGCAACCTATTATGTTTCTTCTAAGGAATTTTGTTGTTTCGTCCTACCTTTGATGTCGTCCTGTGGTTGTTGGTGGCGCGCTGTGTTGTTTTTTCTGTTCTAGGATGTGTTGTACTGCATATTTATACTTCTTGTGTCTGTGATGTTAGACACAAAAAGTATAAATACGATATAAATACACACTGGATGGAATTGTTTTATCTTTTATAATATGTTAAATAAATGATATACAACAGTATGCTTAAATACAATATTAGGAAAAGAAAACATTGGGTGCATCCATTCTTCTGTGACAATTTAAAGTGAGGTGCTTATATTGTTTCAAACAAACTGAACCTGGATTCAGATTCCTTCATCTTATCAGAAAATCTTTCCCGAGCCAAATCTATTTTGTCCTGCCTAGTATAGTCTGAGTGGCATTTGCCATATATACCAGGCTCTTGCTCAATTAACTGCACAAAAACAAAATTTACAGCTTTGTCAACCTGTTGTGCCATCTTAAGAAATGAATGAATCACTGAAGCTTATTACAGAACAGCTGACACTAGGACACCACGTGGAAACGGAATTGTGAGAAGACTGGCATGCTCCATTGCCTTAAGTTGAGTTTCTCAGTCCTTCCATTAGTTATGTTGCTGTGTCCTCAATTTGCACTGCTCCATTCAGTAACATGAGTTCAACTTAGGCCGATAACAATTCTCAGAAATTGTGGTTGCCAGTTTCCTTGGTGTGCCTTGCCACTAAGAGTTGTCTACCAAAACGCCAAATGACCTAACCTAGGATCAAACCTACAAACAAACTCTGATGTCCACACACGTAATACCAGATTTAATCATGACTTGCATCTTCCGGTGGTAAACTTAACGATATTTCAGAAAGGTGGATGGTATTCTGGTATCAAACTTTATAACCACCTCCCTCCAGAGTTTAAACAATTATCTTATGACATTCCTGGATTTAAAGTGGCGTTAAAGAAGTTTCTTATCACCAGTTCTTTTTATACTGTTGAAGAATACTACTGCTGGAATAAAGATTGATCCCTCATGTATATTTAATAAACACTGCTGCCTATTGCTAGGATGCAACGGAATATGGAATAAAATACTCAGGAAAAAGGTGCTATCACTGCTGTAATATAGGTGTATCATATATTAAGAAAATAGATTTTATATTACTATATTAAGAGGCTTGGCGGTCTTTTAATCATGTATGTAATTTTAAATGTTATTTTGATATATGAAATGTATTGTTGTACAGTAGTTTTGTTGTGTTGTATTTTAAATTTTGATGATGATGACTATCTGATTATGCATGTATATTTATGTGTTATATTGCGCTGCTGACTTCTTCTATATTTTGAAGCAGACCCCTTTGTGGATTTTTTAACTGTAATAAATGAATGAATGAATGTATGAATAAAATGTATATTTAAATGAACACTGTTGCCTATTGCTAGAATGCAATGGACTATGGAATAAATACTCAGGAAAAAGGTGCTATTACTGTTATGATACAGGTGTATTATATATTAAGAAAATAGATTTTATATTACTATATTAAGGATCTTGGTGGTCTTTGATCGTATATGTAATTTTATATGTTATTTTGATATATGGAATGTATTGCTGTACAGTAGTTTTGTTGTATTGAATATTTAAATTTTGACGATGATGACTATCTGATTATGTATGTATATTTATATGCTATATTGTATTATTGACTTGTTCTATATCTGAGGCAGATGCCTCTATGGATTTTTTTGGAACTATAAATAAATGAAAAAAAAAAAACCTGAGCTGCCACAGTGGATTGTGTAGTACTGAATTATGAATAGGAAAGGACTGAGAAGGAAGCAGTTGTAGCTTCATTTTCACATACAACTCTTTAACACTTGCTTGGAGGGGCTGAGGAAACCAATGAATACTTCAGCAGAGATGACCCCTAAATAGAGAATAATCAAGTTTGAGATCTCCTATGATGAATACTTTCCTCCGAGCTGCCATTACTGATATACATATATTCCTTGGTGCAACACACTATAAATAACATACATTTGTTTACAAGAAATATGGAGGTTCATAATATTGGTACCAGACAGAATGTTAACCTATTTCCACCGAGTACTTCTCTTACTAAAGTTCAAAAGGGTGCATATTATTCAGGTATAAAGATCTACAATCATCTGCCTAAAGAGCTGAAACAATTATCTAATAACCAGAAATCCTTTGAACGTTCCCTAAATTTTTTTTTACATGATAACTCTTTTTATGCATTAAATGAGTATGTTAATTACAAATGTACATAAATTTGAATGTTTTAACGCCACATTTTAATATAATTGGTATGGGAGATGTGAGGGGTTGTATTGTGGTTACTTGTGACTTATGTCTGTTAATCAGGATATTATCTTTTTGCCTCGTATTGTTGTATGTGTTAGACAGTTAATGTGGGTGATCTTCGTTGTGTGGCTTGTGTGACTTTGTGTATGTGTTTGGTGACTATTTCCACATCCTGGGTCTGTTGCCTGTATGGATGTTTATGGAAAGTGGAGGATGTGTATGTATGTATGTATGTATGTATGTATATGACGAGTCCTATATCAATGCATTTTGATTTATGGGAAAATGAAAAAAGAAAACATTTAATTCAGTTAATTTGCGTAGTTTGAGTGAAACTGTATTAATTTTAAGTTTTTATAGTAATGCTATTTTTAAATTATGTTTAGTAATTATAATAAGTTTTTTTTATTTTTTATTCTTTTTGTCTATTGTCCGTTGTCTATGTTAGTTGACTAGTATGTGTGATTTTGGTTATGTGACTTATGTAATTTATTATATGTATACATCTATTATCAAAGGGACTATTTCCACATCCTATGTTTTTGCCTGTATGGGGATATATGGAAAATAAAGGGAATGAATGAATGAATATGAATTAACAATTAATATCAGTACTGAAGGTGGAGGCATGAGGTACATCTAAATATTGCTACCTACCTATCAAACAATAAAGGGGGCACGCAGTAGCGTAGTTGGTTGAAGCACTATACTACAAGCCGGAAGGTCACGGGATCAAATCCTGATGAGGTGAGTTTTTTAATTTACCTAATACTTCCAGCCACACTATGGCCCTGGGGTCAACTCAGCCTCTAAAAGAAATGAGTACCAGGTATCTTCCTGGGGGTAAAGAGCGGCCAGCGGGTAAGGCTGACCTCACCATCTGTGAACCAATTGTCTAGAAAATGTTGGAGCCTCAACATCTCACAACCCTATGGGCCTCCATGGCCTGTTACAGGGATACCTTTACTTTTACTTTACCTATCAAATGATAGCACATCACATCCCTGAAGACCTTAACTCAACATTCACTACTGTAGGAACATCAACTCTCACATAAATGTACTTTCCTTACTTACTTACTTACTTACTTACTTACTTATGGAGCTGAGTCCTTCTTGAGAAGCCAAATCTGCAGCTACTCAAGAATTTCCCAGCATTTTATGGAACCCGAAGGTTCATTACCATGTTCACAAGAGCCCTCCACTGGTCCCTATCCTGACCCAGATAAATCCAATTCATACCATCCCATCCTATCTCACTAAGATCCATTTTAATATTGTCCACCCACCTATGCCTTGGTCTTCCCAGTGGTCTCTTTCCTCCTGGCTTTCCCACCAATATCCTATATGCATTCCTTTTCTCCCCCATTTGTGCTACGTGCCCTGCCCACCTAATCCTCCTTCACTTGATCATTCTAATTATACTTGAAGAAGAGTATGATCATGGATAGTGAGTAAGGATTTGTATGGTGGCAGTTGTAGTCTGCTTGCTTTAAAAACCAAGGAAAACAATGAAAATCCTTGCTACAAGTCTAAACCATGGTTAAGAATCAATTTAGGTACCTTCAAAACATAAGTCTGTAGTATTAACACAAAACCAACCTGCCCTAATGAATTTATTAAATATTCTGACTGGTGCTGATGCTATAATCTTATTGATTCACAAACTGAACTCATACCATTTTGTGACAAACCGCTGTTTACTGGAGTCACACTTCTCAGGAGCATCGTACTTCTCCAACACAGGCAGGATCTTGATTGGTAGTCCTGTGCCCTCGCTGGCCCCAGCTACATATTCTAGACCCCCCAGCTTCCACTCACCAGCTGAATTGACAAACACAGATGACATGCACACATTGTTGTGTCTCAGGTTTCCATCATTGTTCAGGAAACTGAGGGCCCGCTGTAAACCACAAGTTTACCTTAGCAATTTTCTAACATTGACATAAATATTATTGGCTTAAGTTATTCCTTTGTTTGCAAATTGTAAATGGCTGTAACTTAAGTACACAAACACAGTTAAGAATTCCTTCTAGCATTCTTCATTCCCTCTGACACAATTCTGACAATAAGCGACTACTTACAGTTATTTGGAAAATACCCCAAGCAAGATAAAGTTCTCGTTGGTGTCCTTCTTTAGACAATTGTGTTAAATGCGTCTCCAGAGGTTCTACATACTCTGTTGCCATGTACAGAACTTTTTCAGACTGGAAATACAAATGTGAAATATAAGAAATGCAACAAGCATAACATTACACTCTGTCAGAACAAACTCCACTAATATCTTACTTCTAAACTGTCTAAATATGTAAGAATGCTTGGATGTCGCAATGTCTTCAGTCTCTTTACAGCAGCTTTTGCTACATCCAATTGTGTTTCACTGCCATTCTTGACATCAAATACAAACACGGATACTTCTTCTCCAGATCCCTAAAACAGAAGAAAATTATATGTTCACTTTCAAGTAATAATTCTGTCTAATATACAACTCCCACGAATTTTTGTTTCACCTTATGAACATATTACAACTGAAGCTGAGAGTTATTTATTTACTGCCACGTTTTCATATATTTCAAAATGAATTAATTTGTATTAATGGTATTGTCTGCGTCAGCTTTTGGTTCATTAAATTATATTGCACTAAATCTTGATCACTTGAGATCACATTTTGAAGTTTTGTTACAAATCTTGAGGCAAGCACGAGCGCAATATAGTATAAAAGTGTCAAACAAATGAAGGTTACCTTCTTCTTGGCTTTGTGCAGACTCCATACACTTTTATCTTCCAGACCTGGTATAGGCTCTCCAACATCGAAGGGAAAGTCCTTTGAAGGATCACGAGAAAAGAACGACCACATCACGAAATAAATCCAAACTGCATTTCTGTGTTGTATTCACAACAGGTACCAACAACAATCTTATTTGTCAACTCGGTCGGAAGGAAAATACGGGTTCGTTTGTCAGCTATCTCATTAGCTGGGGTGTGTGTGCATGTGGCATGGAAATAAAAATAAATACCGCATTCGCACACGATTTAAGTCAAGTACAAAAGTACATATCGAGAACGAACTGTGGCTTTTCGCATCAAAATAAATATGACCTTAATTAATGAGAAACAGGTAACTATACTTAATCAGCAGCTGATCTGCAAAAGAATGGAGTCCTAATCTTCGATTGAGGTAAATTTCTGCTGTCAACCGCTGTCAATGATGATATTGTTTCGATTAATTGAATATGTGTTGAACCTTTAAGAGCGAGTTTATTATTAATGTCCGAACAAGAATAGAAAGATGTTTGACAGAATATATAGCGATTAAAATACGAAAGACTGAACTGACGGAGGTACGAGCGACAGTGATTATAGTGGTAACGAGTAATTGAGCTGACGTAAATTAACGTATGATTGCGAATTGTATATTTTTTCTTTGTAAATTTATGCGTCTTGTATTTAAAACATGCATAACGTCACCTTAGACTTTACATTTTGTGCAAACTTTCCAATGATTTTAATGTGGTACAGGTAATGCCTATTCATCATTGACCGGTCATTGACTGAGGTGAAACAAACATGATGATGGGAGCAGATGGGAGAGCAACAGTAACTGCTGAACTCTTGAACCAACAAGACATGGTCCCTGAAAACGAATAATAGCAGAAGACGTTTATGGATCTAAGGCACTGCTTTTCACTCTGTATATACAAACCACACCTTAACTATGAAGTCATAGCAGAATATATATATANCCTTGAAATGACAATAGCTGGAAATGGTGAAAGTCATAATAGTGGAACAGTTATATCTCAAGGTCTCTAGCCTGCCTGCTTTTGTGAAGCAACTTCATACTGTTATTCTGTTTCAGACACAAAGATGGCACAGAGTGCACCACTAATCTTACGCCTTGTTGCATCATCCATTACTGCTGTGAACCGGGCAGGAAAAATCATACGAGACATCATGAATGAAGGAGACTTGGGGATTGTAGAGAAGGTAAGAAGGTGTGCACTGCTTGCAATGTGCTGTGTATGCGATCAGTAGAAAGTGTGTTCCTTTTTTTTTGCCACACACATACACTCACATTTCATTAATCCATCACTCGTCCATCAAGGGGTGAATATGAAACATGTCAGGAGATGTATATTGCACAATGCAGCTTCAACAAAAGACATTAAACAACAATATATACACAGTACATAAATGTCAAAGTAAGTACAGAATCTAGTGTAACAAAATATGAAGATAAGTGCTTTAAAAGTAGGCAATACAAAAGACTACAATAACTAAACATGATTAAAAATCTTTTATAAAAAGGAACTAATGATATGATATAAAATCTTCTGTAGAATACAGAAAAGATGTGTGTAAGAAGATAATTCCTTAAAGCGGATTTAAAAAATTGCTATCATTTCTTGATCTAGATATACCATTAGGTTCAATTTCATTGAATACTTTACTAGTAGAATATGTAATACCTCTGTGGATAGCAGAAAGTCTAACAAAGAGTATGTGTAATTGATTCTTATATCTTATATTAATGTCATGAACAGAAGAATTAGTTTGGAGGTAGTGTATGTTATCCACAAAAAGCAGCATTAATGAATAAATATACAAACTTGGAATAGGTAAAATCTCCATTTGTGAAACAATTTTTTGCATGACCTCTTTGAACTTAAATCTCAACATAATTCTTAATACATGTTTTTGGAATTAGGAATACCTTATGCATAGAACTAGTGTTACCCCAAAATATTATTCCATAGTTAACCAAAGAATGAAAATGTGCAAAATAAATGGTCCTCAAAGTTTGAATATTACGAGAATACGAGATAATCTTCTCATAAAACAGACTGAACTCAGCTTATGCAGTAAGAAATTTAATGGGGCTTCCATGAAAGATTTGGAAGTAGTACTAAACTGGTCATTTTTTTGTGGCTGCACCTGTGTGAGGATTGGATCCAGTGTTGGTATTGTGGGGCTTTGTTTTGTCATTACTTCAATGACAACCCACTTCTTCGGAACAGTTTGTAGGTCTTGAAAAGGACCGTTGGTTGCTGAGATGCTTGGCCAGTGAAGTAGCGCGGCGCGCGCCAGTAGGAAGGGATGTTGGTTGCGGTGTGTTGAGGCAGCTGAGTCAGTTGACTGGCCACAGTGCGGCCGTTGCTGGAGGTTGCTTGGTTGCTGGAAAAGGTTTGCTTGCCGAGCGCGGTCGCAGGAGTGGAGAGGCGGTAGCTACGCCAGTTGACCAGTGTGTCGGGCATGACTACCGGTGAATCGAGGCAGCCGAGTTGCCCAGTGAGTCGGGTGTGACCGCCAAACAGCCGGGGCAGTCGTGCCTGGCACAGCGAATTGCCGATGCCTCTGAAGACCGAGCGCTGGCGACAAAGTGTGCTGATTGCTTGAAGACTGCTGATGAACTGATGACTTGCGAGCTTGTGCTCCACATTTTATACAAAGCATGATGGCGGACAAAATATTTGCTGAGCACTGATTGGCTAGCGCGCGTAATGATGTGGATGCGGGCTAGCAGCAAGCGCTGTATAAATGCGAACGTCAGATGCAATTTGATTGGTTAGTGCGCGTGCTGGTGAAAAGTGAGCGCTGTGATAATATGTGGGATGTTCCCACAGTATTTTGTACTATCAGTGCTGGAACCCTTGGGTTCTGTTGCCAGAGTTGTTAGTTAAATGGGCACAAAGTCTGACAGTTAAAAATATCCTAACTGATTCTGTTAACAGGAACTGTTGAATGGTTCCTTCTATTCTTACCCACCTTACACCATCCCTGCCTTGCCTCAGCACATGGTTGTAATAAATCATTGTGGCACTTGTTCAGAATGTGTCTCAAGTTGCTTTCTTCTCTCTTTGAACTAATGGGTGACAGGTGTGTCTCACCATGTTGGTCTTCCATATATGGATTAATTCCTGCATGTGTCAGGTGGCCAGATCGTTTGGCATCTTTATCATATTTCCTTATTTTGTTTAACTCACACAAGAAACCTGTGTTCTACTGATTCTTCTTGCTGTATAAACTTGATGTCTTTAATATTTTATAAACATTTGTGCCATTTCTCTTCAGTTTCTATGAAAACATAATCTTTATTTTCTGTTTGAACATTCTTTCTTTGGCAGAGAAACTAGACATGGCCTCAGTAAAACACCTTCTGCAACTACAAAAGAGTGTGAATCATCTCATCACGTGCTCCAACATGTATATCTGTAGAATAGAGGGACTTAACTACAGCACCAGTGCTGCATCTGTGTTCATGTGCTTACAGGGCAAGAATGATTTGCAGACAGAAGCCGATCGTTCTGCTCAGCGCTGCATCGTGACATCTCTCTCCCGCCAGTTCCCATCTGTGACAATCATTGGGGAGGAGGGTCCATCCAATTGTGAGGTTCCCGCAGACTGGGTGGTGACAGATAGCGACCCACAGATTCTGCAGCTTACATGTCCCAAGGAGCTGCTAGATGTGAAGGACCATGAGGTGCGTGGCCTTATGTAACCATTGCAGATGAAATTTGGTTTTTGATTCCCGGTTTTTGTTTCTCATGTACAGTTTCCTGTTCACAGGTGGTGATCTGGGTGGACCCCCTGGATGGAACATCAGAGTATACTCAGGGTATGCAATTAGATGTGAGTTGATCAGTTTGTTGCTGATGCCGGAACCATTGTTCATCATGATATTGTGATGTTGCAGGATTGCTGGACCATGTGACTGTATTGGTAGGCATTGCAGTGGGTGACAGGGCTGTTGGTGGTGTGATCCATCAGCCGTACTACAATTACAAGTCAGCCAGTGGTGATGATGTGGGGCGCACTCTCTGGGGAATCACTGGGATTGGAACTGGTGGTTTCAATCCACAGTTACCACCAGAAGGCAAGAGAATCATCACCACAACAAGGTCTCACTCAAACACAGTGGTGCAGGCAGCCCTTGATGCCCTCCAGCCTGATGAGATCCTAAGAGTAGGGGGTGCTGGACACAAGGTAAAGAACCTTTTAGAGACATGAATGTTTATCCAGTGATGTGCTGTATTTGTGAAGATCACATTGCAGCTGCCCTCTATGAATATATGAAAGTAAAAGTAATCTATGTCCCCAGTCATGTCATGTGTAGTTGATATAATGAATCTCAGAAATTCTTTTCACTCTGTGTGTATGTCTGTGTGGCCTGTCATGTCATTGTGTATGTTTGTTACAACAGGTAAAAAGATTTTGCTTGTGTGTGCAGGTGATGCTGCTCATGGAGGGCAAGGCACATGCATATGTGTTTGCAAGTGCTGGCTGCAAGCGCTGGGATACATGTGCTCCAGAAGCAATTCTGGTTGCTACGGGTGGTTGTCTCACTGACATGCATGGCAACAAATATTGCTATAACAAAGACACATGTCACCAGAATGTGGGTGGTGTTCTTGCCACAGCAAAAGGGCAGGATCATGGCTGGTACCTGAGGAACCTGCCTGACACTGTTCATCAAACCCTTGTTTAAGTGATTTATGACTTCTCTGTTCCTTCAGGATTTTTTAATTGGCATTTCTTTGGGCGAGGAGTCCTCTGTGTTGTAATGAGTCTTCTGTCCCTAATTGTTGTGGTAAAATTGTGAGTATGTGTGGGTTATGTTGGATTGCACAGCATCCTAGTGAGAATGCTTTAACTTTTTTTGAAGTCAAGGCTCCAGCATATTGATCCTTGGTTTACAGAACATTGCTTTCAGCTACATAGTTTATTGTTCAAAAGTCGGATAGGGGAGCATACTTTAAGATACTATCCTGGCATGTGAGTGGGAGAGGAAGGCATATGAATAAACTTGGGTCAGGATAGTTAGTATCTGGGCTCCAGAATTGAACCCAGGACCTCCCAGATATGAAGGAGGAGTGTTAACCATTACAGTGCAGTGCTTAGTGATCTTAGAGGCATGGGTTCATATTTCACTTGGTCCTTGTTTTTGAGCTTATATTGGGGTTTCATTATCTGAACATCATTGTGTCGGTGTTCTGTTCCTATTCAGGAATGGGAAATATTTCAGCAGTTTCTTCAGGTCAGTTGTATGCCTTGAATTTTGAGAACAAACCTGCAATTCTACATTTTATTGCCATTGTTGATGCAGTGTACAGGTATTTTCTGAGCTATCCCTGCATTAGCATGACAAATAAATGAAATTAACCCTTCAGTCTGCAGATGGGAGTTAGGTGCAAGAGGAGCATTAGTAAGATAGCATTTAATGCTGAAGGCAACAGGAAAAAGTGTGGTAATACAAATTATTTACTTGAGAAGACAAGAACACTTATTGCTGCGGGTGTTGTAAGTTTACATTTACATTTATTTTTCACTTCGTGGATCCAATCATCTCCCTGTAGGGCTGGATATAAAACATGTCACATATTACAAATTCATGATGACTACACATCATTTGTCCTTGTTCCAGTAAAATATATAATCAGGCCTCACACAGATAGCTCAAGTTGTCAGGACAACACATATAGGTTGTGGAAACACCACTGTCAAATTCACACCTTGCCATTCCACACACACACACTCTGGCAAGCCATATCATCCAAACAGTTACATTATAAAATATTAAAATTCACAACAAAAATAGACATCATGCATACTATTACACTTACAACAAGCAAGTCTCAACAATGTATAATTCACGCACATAGACCATTTATTAACTCCTAACTTTTGAGCCTCTTGCATGCTCAACAAATTCATCAATTGAGTAAAATGCAGACCTCTCTACCCAAGATGTGAAGGAAGAATTGCTGAAAATAAAAAATTTTCACATCTGTCAACAAACATATGAATCACTTGGTGTACAACAACAGCAGATCAGATGATGTCAGGCCTCATTGGCTTAGTTTATGGGTAAGGAAGTGAGTTGAGGTCCTGTTAGTAAGATAAGCAGGATTTCTGGCATGAGAGCCAAAAAACCCAGAACCTCACAAATATGATGCAGAAGACCCGAGACAGTACACGTGCCATCCTTTTTCTTTTGATCATAGAACAAAGTTCGGTGTGTTGCGTAACTTCTGAGGGATGCTGTCAGAAGGCTCTTGAATGTCGCCACAGACACAGGTCTTGGCAAACACTGTCCTTTGTGTGGCTTCTAAAGGCAGTGTTGGAACATTTGTTTTGTTTTAATGTGTGTTTGTGTCTGCATATGTGTGTGGATGAACTCGAGCTGAAAATGCACAAAATGCCTCCCGCACAGTGTGAAATCCTGAGGTATATTTGATAAAAGATGTGATGGTATTTTTATCATTGTTATTGTGGTATATCATGACATTCCATTGCATGTCATTAGACTTGAAGTTCAGCAGGTTGCTGCCCTAATGTAGGTCATTTTCTGCATTTGCTGTGCATGAGAGACTGTTACCCAGATGTACAAACATTTGAATATTTCTCATTTTTCATATATATATATGTAACACAGTATAATATCAGCACGGATAGTGTAGTTGGTATAGCATCAGGCTCCTGGCTGGACGACAAGGGGTTAGAGCTCAAGTCCTGGTAAAAAACAAGATTTTTCTCTTCGTCACGTCATCCAGACCAGTTTGGGGGGCCACCCAGCCTCCTATCCAATGGGTATTGGGGTCTTTTTCCTGAAGGGCAAAGCAGCTGAGGTGTGAAGCTGACCACTCACCTCCAGCCAGTACTGAGGTGACATTCCCCCATATGCCTTCCTGGCATATTGCTTAATTAGTTAAGCACAGGGAAAACTTTACCTTGTACATAAAATGAAGACGTAGGATCAGAATGCATGTCCAAGAATTGTCTTGTTTTATGTTCGTAGTTATAGAAGTTTGTTACAGATGCTTATAGAGGTCAATAAAGAACTGCCTCTCTGTTCAAGTATTCAGCACTGCTAATATGTTTTCATTGACAATCAGTTTAACATTATATTTGTTCTTCTAAATAGTTGTTTTTCTGTTTACATTTGGATATGATCTGTGGATCTTGGCTTACAGCGGAGTTTGACCAATACAGTAGGCTCACCAAAGCTAATATTTTGACATAATCTTGTAAATGTTCTGTTTTCTGATGAGTTCTTCCAAACTCTAATTGAAAGTTTCTACATGGTACATCTTATCATACACATACCAAATTTGGATGTAATTTCTGAAAATTAAATATTTATTCCCATGCTCTTCCTTTATAATCATCCTCAAAACTGGTCATTAACCTTTGCACTTGGTATAGAACATCATTAAATAATGGAAGAATAGAACAAAATTATATATTCCTCTTTATGTACTTGTTCTTGTTTGATATAAATTGTGTTCCTTTCTCAGACTGAATGGTGGGGAGATCCTATCTGACCTTCCACATATATCATATTCATTTGATTTAAATAAATTTAGCCTTGACTGGCTGCACTAAACATTGTCAACTGGCTGTCACATTGGCCCACTGAAGTGCAAAGATTTGAGGTTCTTAGAGTGGTGAATGTTACAATCGTGATCTGGAATGCAACACTGTGTAGTTTTATAGATAGATATTGACATTTTGGAGGAAGGTCATTTCCCCATCTTCAGGATAGAAGAATGTATACATACAGGTGTCCCAGAATAATTGCATTTGTGTTGTTCAGTGGTGTAGAACACGTTTTGGCACTAATTTCAGACATTTTGAAAATCTCCAATGAAAACATCTTGACAGTGCATCTGTTTCATTTCATTTATTCACCTTCCATAAATCCTGTCGAGAATACATTCTCATGCGGATGTGGAGATCATCCTAGTTACAGTCACAATTAAGAATTACAGCTGTATTGTGATTTTTTCTAGATATTGCTGTTTAAGTGTTACAAATAAAGCATGAAAACACAAAAGACTGATAACATTGTTTTGTTACTCTGCCCATACTGATGATCTAGGCCACTTTACAGAAATGAAAGTAGTATAAAAGAATCTCATTATATGTGACAAAAAAAATATTTTCAACAAAATTAGTAAAACCCAATAAAATGTTTATTGAAACAATAACTTGAATGAATATGAATATGAACTTCATCAGGTCTACTGGAATGAGGTGACAGAATAAGTGAACAAGAAAAGGTAGTGATGCCGTTTCTTTACCACATCAGTCTTCTCCTGGAACAACTGGGGAAAACCACAGAAAATCATTGTGACAGCCAGTGATCCTGAATTCAGGCTCCCATGTTACTGCTAAGCCAAGCTGCTCTGTGATAAATAATGGGCAAGTCACCTCAACCTCATTGCAGTGTAATGAAATGATATCCAGGAATAGTGTACTAACTCCATTGAGTTTTTGAGAAAATAATATTTGCTGAGCTAATGAAGATATACCCAGTATTTTATTGAATCCAAAAGTTCATTACCATGTTCCCAAGATCCTGCCACTGGTACCCAGTCTGCACCCTCCCATCCATTTCTTTTAAGATCCACATTATCCTTGCATTTAACCTAGATCTTCCAAGTGATATTTTCTCTTGTCATGTTTTCCTACCAAAACTTTGTGGGGATTTCTCCTGTTCATAAAGAACAAGAACCTCCATGGCACAAGATGTTACTGCCCATAGCTTCACTGTGGAAAGACATGAATTATTCATTATGGTAGGGAATTAACTCTGACAAACTCAATTTCAGAAAATCAGTTATCATATAACAAATTAATGTACAGTGAAAATGCAATGAGCAGTGTCACATTTAATGTATATCTGTACCAGTTCCATTTTTAAAGCGATAGAAACTCTTACAAAACTACAAATATGCATCCATTAAGTAAGTTTATTTCTTTCATTCTATAGACTTTTTGAGTAGGACATCATGTATGTGGGTTACCAGCATTCCCAATTAATATATTATCTCTTTCTTAACAATCAAAAAAATATTTTCTTCACTACAAAATTAATTTAGTTATTTCAAAAAATTACTCTTTGTGGTATATTTAATAACTGTCAGTACTTACTTACTTACTTACCCATGGAGCTGAGCCCTTCTGGAGGAGCCACCAATTCTGTAGCTACTCAAGATTTTCCCAGCATTTTATGGAACCCGAAGGTTGATTACTGTGTTCGCAAGAGCCCTCCACTGGTCCCTGTCCTGAGCCAGATCTATCCAATCCATACCATCCCATCCTATCTCTCTGAGATCCATTCTAATATTGTCCACCCACCTACCCATTGGTCTTCCCTGTGGTCTCTTTCCTTCTGGCTTTCCCACCAATATCCTATATGCATTCCTCGTCTCTCCCATTCGTGCTACATGACCTGCCCACCTTATCCTCCTAGACTTGATAATTCTAATCCTGTTGTGGATGGAAGAGACGCCCTCCAATTTTGGAAGGAAGCTACGAATATATTGAATAAGCAGTTGCGGACAGCCAACAAGGGATGGCCCTCCAGCTTGGGGGTTGGGCGTGGGGCTTACAGCTCCTCACTGTAAAAATTACTTTGTTACAAAAATGAACACAAAGCCTCAGACCTCTGTAAACTTTGCCACATCAAAAAATCTTACTATCAAAAGTACAATGTTCCCACATCGTAACATCCATAAATTTACTTGGACATCTCCTGATGGGAAGATACACAATCAAATAGACCATCTGTTGATAGATAGTAGACGGCACTCAAGTATACTTGATGTCCATTCATTCAGGGCAGCAGATTGTGATACTGACCACTACCTGGTGGTGGCAAAGGTTAGGGAAAGACTGGCGGTGAGCAAACAAACAACACGGAGTTCATTTGGAGATGTTCAATAACTGTCAGTAGGCTGAAAAAATATGTAATATTGAATGATAGGATGATTGGTGAATAATGAGCTCAAAGGGGTGTGGATGAAGCAATCGTAGCTTGAGATATCCTTGCACTTGCTTAGAAGGACTGAGAAAAACTAAGAAAAATGTTAGTATAATGACATTCAGGCCAAGATTTGAACCAAGCACCTCATGAATAGATGTAGAAGCAGTGCTACTGAACAAACTGCTTGTGAACAGTTACACATGTTTCCAACTAGATGTATGTAAGAAACAAGAGGACACTGGACGGGTATAGTCACAGGCCAATGATGATATTAAAATAGAAGGGTTTGACTCTGATAATACCAACGCCAAATTGGACCCATTCCTCAGCCAGTTAAATCCTGTTCCTTTACAGAACTATTAGGCTTATTTTTGGCTCTATCCATCGTCTGGTATACCTAAGACAAAAAACCACACGTTTCAGAGACTGGATCTCTCTCCATCCTCAGGTGGATGGGGCAGGATAGACCTCAGTTGGGTCCGTTTGAAAGAGCTAGTCTCAGTCCAGTGATTGAGACTGAGTAGGTCTATCCTGCCCCATCCACCTGAGGACGGAGACAGATCCTGTCTCCGAAACGTTGTGGTTTTTGTCTTACATATACCAGACAATGGATAGAGTCCAAAATAAGCCTAATAGTTCTGTACAGTATACACCATCGTCAGAATCCTTTCAAGTCATATTTCCTGTTCCTTTAGTTTACATATATATATCTGGTTAAGGTCACGCCATAGCTCAGCAATTAGTCGCTGGCTTCCTCCGTGGAGGCCCGGGTTCAAGTCTGGGTATAGTCATGTGTGATTTGTGATGGACAAAATGGTGCTGAGGCAGGTTTTCTCTGAGTACTTCAGTTTCCCCTATCAATCTTCATTCCACCAATTGCTCCACAGTCGCCATCATCTGTCATCTTGGGCTGGTACAATAGACAGTAGTGGTCACAGTACCAAGTGGACTCAGTCTCACCCACCTAATAATAATAATAAAAATATTTAATAACACCATCAGTAGCTCAAGACTTAATGGAGTCGATTGCTAGGTTGGTTACTGGATGATGAATTGGAAATTGTGTGGAATTAAGCCATCATGGCATATTTGAAGGTACTCTCCCGGCATTTGCATGGAGGGATTGAGGAAAGCTACGAAAACCTTCTGTCAGATTCGAGGCGGTAACTTCCCGAATACAAACAAGAACAGTTGCCGCCAGAGATAACTTGCTCTGTCTGTTCCTGTAAGATCCGTTACTGATTTACAGATATTTCCTCACCAATATGAAGTAAGACTTTTTTGTATCGCTGTGTACGGTAAACGGAGAAGACAGCGGCATGCTAATTTTCATGTCATCAAAAGAATCAGGGTGACGAAACGAACAGGACATCAGTGTGTAACTGAACTCATTTTGTCGTGACGTAGTGATGACGCTGTGGGGCAACCCGCGTGGCCTGAAAGTCGGTCAGTGGAGCCAGCCTGATCAGTTTAGCGGCGACGGTAGCGCCTGACAGTATGGTGTGTGTCATCCTTCTGCTGAGGACCATAGGTGAGTAACACAAGCAGGCATGTTGTGTGCTGGCCGAATTTTAAGTATTAAGCTCTTCCTACCGCTGCGTCAACTGGAAAATTTAGTTTCTTCTCTGCAGTCTGTTTAACGACACTATATCAATCGCAGAGGTTGTTCATATTTATACGAAAAGAACGAACAAATATTTTTATTATTGCATTATTTCAACGTACAATTTCACAGTCATATTCACTATCCAGTTACTCAAAATGTGTGTTATAGAGGTTTACGGTTTTACCTGTTATAAAAATAACCCGCAATAAATGCATATATAATGCGACAGCAATAGGAGAAAATATGGTCACGTCTGCATTGTTGCACGTTCCGCGTCGTCACGAGGGCAAGCTTGAGGCTGTGGCTAGGCTGCGTGGGGCCCATGGTAGGGTTGAATCCCGTAGTCAACAAAGTCGGGGCCCTGTGACGTGCGATCCTAAGCCGAATCTCGAACAGAGCTAACATCACGAATGAATGAATGAATCAGCCAGTACTGCGGAGTGACTAAGGAGATGCTGGGCGATTTCGTTTTGTACACTTTAACATTACCTGATCCACCCCATTTTTTAATTGTTGGTGGGGTGGAATTAAGTCCCTTGTACTACGGCCACTTCTGGCCTATTGTACCAGCCCCAGATGATAGGTGAGGGTGATTGTGGAGCAACTGGTAGAATGAAGTTTGACAGGGGAAACCGAAGTACTCGGAGAAAACCTGCCCCAGCGCCACTTTGTCCACCACAAATCCCACTTGATCAGACCCGGGATCGAACCCGGGCCGCCGCGGTGGGAAGCCAGTGACTAACCACTTGAGCTATGGCGCGGCCCTGATCCACCCCATGCTCGGTCTTCCAAAGAGAGAATCGAGAACGCACAGTGTCTGTACCTTCATTAAGAAGTAAGGATGGGCTTGGCATGTAGCAATCATCATAAAATTGATCTCATGATTCCAGTTCGAACTGTTCGAAAGACAGACCAACATAAAACGCAATACGAAGAGCGGGACGTTGGGGAAAGACATCAAGATGTAAAGGGGAGACAAGTAGTTTAAGACGTAACAACGGAGCAGAGGTCACACTGATTTCAGACACAATGAACAGGATATCCGGTCATCACAAGTTCTCTGCGTTTCCATCGTCGTGACAGACTGACATCCGGAAATGGCTCAGCTGAGCTCCCACACTAAAGTCGCACGCCTCTGTATCACAAACGAGATCCTGGAGACCGAGTCGCGGTGACATAACTATTATATATGGTATCGGGCAAATGACACTGAATAGTTGTAACTTGAACATGTCTACATCCCATCTTTCTCTTCAGCTTCTTGCTGTGACGTTTTGTGTTGGCAGGAGTGCGATGAAGCCGTACCCCGTCGTGTTGCTGCTTCTGCTGACCGCGCTCTGCGCCTCAGGTGAGTAACGGGACTGTGTTCCCAACCTGTGCTCCACCGTCACCCCGAACATGTCATGAGTAGGGCCCGGATCTTTATGCGCTAAAAACACTTAAAATGTGCGCTAAAAAGCGGGAAAATATGCACCAAAAATAAAACAATATGCACTTAAAAAACAGGTCACTTTATTCACTCACCTATTTACATTTATCGTTCACTACAGAAAGTAGCATCACAATAGGCAGCTAGAAGTCTTTCAATGTTTTCTGGAGACAAACTACGTCGATTGTCCGTCAAAATGAGTTTATAGGCTGAGAATGATATTTCTGCACCAACTGACGTGATTGGACAGTATTTATACACTGGTGCCGAAGGTTCGGAACATTCATCTGGCAAAAGTAACAAGTAAAGCTATCCCTGTAACAGGCCGTGAAGGCCATACCCTAATTCCACTCAACTACTGACTAATTGGCTGAATCTTTTTTAGTCCTGGGTTCGATTTCAAAACCTTTTCTAACTTGAATTTAATCTTCTCTCCAATTTCGCCTGGAGCGGAATTCAGTGAGCAAGTTGCTTTCTGAACGAGTTCAAGTGAGTCGTGAAGGAGTGCACCGTAAGATTCTAAGCTCTCAATGGCTTTTGAAACTGTAGAAAAATGTGCATGGATAAAATTCACATCTTGATAAACAGTATCACTTCCAAACACCACTTTTGCTTCACGGACACATGCATACTCATTTTCAAGTTTTGTAACCACTTCTTACACTTGATTGAAATTCTCCTGATAAAATGAAACTGAGGATATCCATGTCCCCCGCCTAGTTAGGACAGGTTCAGTTGGCAAAGGAACCTGAGGTAGGCAATCTCTGTAGAACTGGACACGAGCTGTTGCTTTTAGGAACAGTGTTTTCCCACTTGCAATTATATCGTTAACAGCTGGAAACTGTGCGCGTATTTTTCTGCAATACGGTGTTATCCGTGGGCTAAACAGGTTACATGTATAAGATTTGGATAAAATACTTGTAAGGCCTATGCTGCTTTCAACATATAGGAAGATGCATCTGTGATTAGTACAAGCACCTTACATCAATTATTCTCAATTTCAGATGGCCATAGTAGTCGCAGAGAATCGTTTACAAAACTTGCTATTGTGCTATGGTTGGTTTTCTCTAGTACTTTGCAAGCAAGAAGATGAGGTTTGCCGGGTTCGTCTGGATGTAGCTTAACAACTACGAAATGTGCTATGCATCGGCCACATAAATCGGTTGTCTCATCCTTAATTATCCGTAATTTCAAACATATATGCAGAAATATGCTCTTACGTTTAGAATATGCAATAATGACCACAAACCCTCAAAATATGCATTTGCATATGCGCATATGCATTTTCAAAAAATCCGTGCCCTAGAGTGTATCAACAGTCTTGACGATCAGCAGCCTCCGATAAGTCTGCGAAAGAGGTATACTCGATAATGCAGCACACATTTCCCGACTATGTTCTTTGCTTAAGCTTACTTGCTGCCTCTTCATACAATATGTATGATTAATGGTTTATGATGTATATGAAAAAGTCAATTTATGGCTCTAAGTAAAGCAGTCTTTGTTATAAGGCAATAAGGCTGAAAATCAAAACTACCCAGCAGCTTTTAGTGAAAGTCTGCTCTCTCCATCGTGGTCCAGCCGTTACGACGTCACTTGTTCACCCGGAACTACCGCAAGTAGCAGGGTTCGAACCGCGATCCCTTCCACCAGATGCCGACGATACTAGCATGCATCTAGTAGGATATGTGGAGCTTCACTTCCACGCACCACATGTGCATTGACACATCCTGATGACCCGGTTTCGTGGCGACTGGAATGCGCTTTCACGCACTTTCCTTCCGTCTGACAGAGGAGCGCGGCGGCGGATGCCCGGCGCTGATCTGCCCCACAGAGGCCCAGAAGTGTGAGCACGACCGTGACTGCCTGCAGGACGAGAAGTGCTGCGCCACGGGTTGCGGGCCAGTGTGCGTGAAGCCTCTCTACACAGGTAAATGACGTCACCGACAACCCGGAAGCACTGTTCCCAACCTTTAAGACGTAACGTCTTTGTTGCAGTTGCAGAGGTTACAAAAGGTGAAGATGATCAAGAATGGTATTTAAGAACTTTGCTTGGAGAAACTGCGGAAACCCACGAAAACCTCAGCTGGAAATCTGGCCGTTATCATTATACCAACCAAACTAATTTTAAACAGCACAGTCTCTCAGCTAGTCAAGAAATACCTCCCTTTTCATACAACATAAGGGTCAGTACCATGTTTGATGGCCATTCGTGTCCTGAGCCACATGAATTCAGTCCTCATTATCTTATCATACTGCCTTCAGATTCACTTCCCATCTATGCCCATGTCTCCCAAGTGGTCGTTTTCCTTTAGGTTTTCCGAGCAGACTTTTGTGCTTTTCTTATCCATCCACCTCACACTACATGCCTGCCCGTACCACACTATCCTGAACAGCCCAGTTGTTGTCTTGTCATTCACATCTCCATGACCTGGGTTCAGTTCCTATAGCGAGGTTCTGGTGCTGGGGGTCTTTATCAGTGGGATGGAGAATCTGGCAAGAGAAACTGAGTAGATCAAAGTCTTAAACAACTATTACACAGATGTACAAAGTTACACATTTTATTTGCATTATTTTTAGTCGACTGGGTCACAAGTTCCTAAACCCTAACAAGGGATGATCAATGTCTTCACACTCTTTCCAGTGGAATAGTAAATACACGTACATGTACTTGGGACCACAGCAGATGGGGCACTTCTAGGGTTTCTTCTGAGGGGCAGAACCCAGAAAATGTGCTTACAAATTTACACTTTTTATAAATAGCTTTAATGTTTATTATTATGTGTTGGCATATTTCCTTTTCTTCAGTTCAGATTTTTTCTTAAGAATTGAGGCAGGGGGAGATGCCTGACTTGCTACGGCCTCTTAAATCAGGTATTTTAATTCTAAGTTACAGTCAACATTTTTGTTCTGTAAATTACTTTTTTCCTTGTTCCTGCACATTCTGTGTGGCTTAGTATTTAAGGAAAATTAAACATTTATAAAGGACCATTTTGCTAATAATATCTGAATACTGCTGTGGACTGGACTGAATGTTGGTAGTGCTTTGGGCTGGTTGACATAGCTCAGAGATGGATGGCAGGAATACAACAGAGGAAGAAAAGAGGAAGCCTTCAAGGATCTCATCCAAACCACCCAAGAATTTCTCAGTATTGTTTACATTCAATTTCAGACAATTAGGTGGTCGCTACAATGGGCAGTACTGAACATACCATTTTGTCCACTCTTGACCTAACCAAGACCCTTTTTCTGCCTTTTGAGGTAACAACACAAATTAGGTTTCTAAAAACAAATGCTGAGGACCTACCTGAAAGAAGCCAAGGGCTGGAAAATATAATTAGGGGCATGTGGTTTGTAAAGGTTATCTGTTATTTATAAGATGGAGGATACAATGGGAATTAATGAAAGTGGACAGAGAAGTAAGATTACAGCAGTCTTCTGGAATGTGATGCTGTCCAGTCTGCTACAGAGGTACCAACATTTCAGAGGACTTGTTACCTCCATCTTCTGCTGTGAATATAAAGGTGTCAGGTGTCTCTGAAACATTGACATCACACAGCATCATATTCCAGGAGACTGTAATCTTAATATTAACCACTATGAGAACATAGCAAATATCAGTGGGGATACCTGATGACAATCTCATTGCCCTTGTTAAAACATGGATGCTTCTGAGCTTTCAACCATTCCTTGTTCTGATATCAATAGAACTTGCTTTTAGTATCACAGTGCTGTAAAGTTATATGACACATACTGATTAAGATCATCAGGAAACCTTCCCGTATGATCAACAAACATTAAATTGACACACAATCATTCACTGCTAGGCAATGATACTCAAATTGGAGAGAAGTCAAAACTATAGGGCTACTGGATGAATAAAGAACCAGTATTAAGGCTTCACTGTCCACCATTATTATATAATTTAAACTGAAATTATATGCACACAAACTGTTTAATAACATAGTCTGAACTCAGTAAAGGCTTCCTTTTGTTTTCTCCTTAAATGTTATTTTACTGAGAGGCCATGGTTCATTATTAAATATGAAAGTTAGATAATGAACTCGGAACATCCCTATAAATTATTTATCTTGTAAACTGTAAGACATACTAAGAAACACCACTGGACATAAAATGTGTAGTTCGTTTTTCTCTAAAACTCTTGTTCAGAATATTCATGTGTGTGATAAATATTTAGCAAGATATACAAAAACACACATAAGTCTTAACCAGACGTGTCTGATTTAAATGAAAATTTTCATGGCATGACAGTTTTTTTTTTTTTTTTTGTAAAACTCTGAAATATATTTAATGAAAATTTTTCTGGCAGTTCTCAAGTTGTTCAATACATATAGATGGATGGGCCAAGCAAACTTCATATATTTTCTGCAGATGACAGATGTACCCAAAAACTGAATGTGTGCCCACATGTGTTCTGTCATGCTTCAACAGGATGTGAGCAGCTCCAGAGAGAGGCCTACAGGAGAGCACGCAGTCTTGGTCTGGAAGGCTCAAAAATTCGAATCCCAGCATGTAATAAGGAAGGTGACTTTAATCCAATTCAGTGTGACTCGGCTACATCAAAGTGTTGGTGTGTGGATCAGGAGGGATTTGAGGTGCCTGGCACACGGGCTGCTACCCAAGATCTTGTCAACTGCACAGGTAAGACAGTTGACTATGGTTTGACACACAGACAAAGTTTAATGCTTAATTTCTCTGAGATTCATGGTGCTGTCAAATGGCAGGATGGCTAATCAACAAATTCATAACTCCGTGGAAGCAAAATGTTTGAGAAGCGGGGATATCTTTGTGTCACAGATCCGAAGCCCTGCGCAGCTCATACCTGCCGCATGTTCTGTCCTCACGGGTTTGCTCTGGGGGATGATGGATGTCCCAGATGTCAGTGTCATGACCCATGCAGTGACATAAAATGTCCAGGTGCACTGAGCTGTGAGTTGGAGAATGTGGCATGCCTCAAACAACCATGCCCCCCCATCCCCCGATGTGAGTATGGTGTGTCTCTTGTCCAAGAAATACTCTGCATTTCACAGGGCCCAAAGGCTCATTAAATTGCTGCTTCATTATAATGCTCTACTATGTACACAGAAGGTTCCGCCACTATACAGCCCCTGATATGGACAGTCACATCGATCCCATAATGTTGCTATGATTATGGTGCACAGGCAAGAGGGCCCGCAGCCTGCAGAATGTGTGTCCTGTCGGAGAGCCCCTCAAGATCACTGACAGTCAACGTCCTTTCCTCTGTGGGACATCTCCTGGGAAACCAAGATGTCCACCGCTGTTTGAATGTCTTGTGGAGACAGGTGAGTCAGCTGACAGAGTGTACATCCTATCAGGGATCTTCAACATTGTGAAAAATGGGTAGGACAAGTAACAGGCCACTTCAGCTTCAAAGGTTAAATTCTGGTTACAGGTAATGATTATGGGGTATGCTGCCCCGCATCATTCAAACTGCAGAAGCCAGGCTCCTGTCCCAAGCAGGGATCAAACCAGGAATGTGGCATGCACTGTGAGCATGACTTGGAATGTCCATCTATGCAAAAGTGCTGTGCCTGTGATAATGATGGAAAACACTGCAGTCAGCCTCTGAATGTGACTACATGCTTGCAGCAGCGTATGTTGGCAGAACTGCTTGTCATGAATGAGCATGAAGGAAAGGGTTATGTGCCACAGTGTTCCCCAGTCACTGGTCAGTTCAAGGCACGGCAGTGCAGTCGTAATGGACTCATATGCTGGTGTGTTGATGCCCAAGGCAACAAGCTGCCCAAGTCAATGGGACCAAGGGACACTGTCACCTGTGAATGTGAGTGGCAAGCAGATTACACAGTGCTGGATTATGGTACCCAACAGTATTTCTTAAGTCTCCCTCTCTGTTCACAGCGAGCATGACACAGGGCCGCAGCAGGGCTCTATCCTGTAATGTGAATATCTGTGCCCAAATCTGCGAGTATGGCTTCAAGGTGGACCCTAGTGGCTGTCCAACATGCGAATGTGACAATCCCTGTGCAGGATTTCAGTGCAGCCCCACTGAACAGTGCATTGCTGTAAGAGATGAGGACTGTTCTGGGTTCCTCTGCACCACATCTCCACAATGTAAGGACTCCAGGATTCTCACCAATTCCACCGATAAGGAACCTTCTTAACAAGCTGACAAGTCACCTTTTATGGAATAACAAAGTTTATTACACTCTCCTCAACCAGACAAATTCAGTTCACATCCTTAGACCCCATTTCCATGCCATTCAGTTTAGTGTTGTCCTCCCATTTATGTCTGTATCTCCCAAGTGGTACCTGCCCTTCAGTTTTTCCAATTAAAATTCTGTATCCATTTATGATCTCTTCTATGCATATTACCACCTCCATCCATCTCACCCTTTTTCAGTTTATAATCCTAATAACACTTGGTGAAGAGAACACGTTATGAAGTTCCCCAGTATGGAATTGTCTTGAGACTCCTGTTACTTCATCCATCTTAGGTCCAAATATTCTCCACAGCACCCTGCTCTCAGACCGTCAATTTTTGTTTTTCCATATGGCAGCAGGTGAAGTTTCACACCGGTACAAAACAACAAAACTCTGGAAATTTCTGTTGAAAGTCATTTTGCTTAAACAGAAGTCACAATAGATAAATGTAGGTGTCACATATTCTTGATTTAAGTATGGGTTTGGTGATGAGAGTAAATGCAGAAATATTGCATGTGGACTGATGTGTCAATCAGCTGCTCAGTGGGCTACGCAGGCCACAGGTTGCAGACCTAAATACAGTTCTAAACACATGGTTTTTATAGCAAATTGTAAATACTGACAAAAATAACTCATATTTTATATGTGTATAACAGATTACAATTGCTACTTATATGCTGGCTTCAGGTCAACCCATGTGCAGAGAGGGGTTTCCCCTCATGGACCCCCTGAATGGTGCGGTTGTCCAGTGCACTGCAGAGGAAGCTGTCTGCCCAGATACTCATGTCTGCACATACGTCCCAGGGAGAGGGAGTAGAGTGTGCTGCCCTCAGATGCTGGAAGTTGGTAAGAATCTGCTCTGTCTTGTGTGACAGTGTAGTTTTTCTTTTTAAATAAAGGCAATTCAGATTGATTCAGATTCTAACATCTTAGCACCAGCAACTCCTGGAACACTTTGTCTGATGATGATTACTCTTGTCGTCCAACACATACATCCATTGGTATGACCTCTGTAGATGTAGGTTCCACTTTTCATTTTATTGTACTGTGATGTTCAGGCTTAAAGGAAATATATATCATGGATGGCCATCAGGCTACTTCCTGTTCCACAGTTTCCCTTCAGTGTCCATGTCTCCATTTTATTTGAAATATTGATCTTACTTTCCCTTCCAGGTAATGTCTAATTGCTCCCAGTTTCAAATATTTGCCCCACATACCAGTGTCAGCCAGAAGGTCGCGGACTCAAGTCCCGATGAGGTCACTGGATTTTTTTTAATTGACCTAATTCTTCCAGCCACACTATGGCCCTGGGGTCAACTCAGCCTCTAACAAAAATGAATACCAGGAATTAATTAAAATAATGTTCCTGGGGAGTAAGGCGCGGCCGGCGCGTAAGGCTGACAATGTTACCGCCATCTTTGAGCCGATTGTCTAGATAATGTGGGACCCTCAACGTCTCACAACCCTGTGGGCCTTCATGGCCTGGTACAGGGATAGCTTTACTTTATTTTACCAGTGTATCAGATTGTCTACAGTTAACATGCTGATCTAAGAGTAAGCAGCATAACAATTGTGTCCACAGACCATACAGAGCTGGGAGCATGCCCCATACTGACAAGCTGCAACAACGTCACTCTGTGCCATGTGGATGCAGACTGTGAGGACAACAGCAGGTGCTGCTTCAGCAACCAGTGTGGCACCGTGTGCATGAGAGATGAGGACAGACCTCCCTCCAGTGAGTCCCATGATATATTAATTCCACTGATACAGGACAGGGTACACGGTAGTGTAGTTGGTTGAGGCACATTGCTACAAGCTGGAAGGTCTGAGATTCAAGCCCAGATGAGGTGGAATTTTTCGATGTACCTAATCCTTCCAGCTGCCCTGGGGTTGACTCAGCCTCTAACAGAAATGAGTACCAGGATTCTTTCTGGGTGGTAAAGGGCAACTGGCACATAAGGCTGACAACCTTACTGCCATCTGTGAGCCAATTTTCTAGAGAAAATGTGGGAGCCTCGACATCTCACAATCCTATGGGCCTTCTCTGTGTGATACAGAGATAGCTTTAGTGTTAGAGGACAAATTACTTGATGTTCATTCTACTCTTGGGTCTTGGCACCATGTGGATATGAATAGTGTTCCTCATGTTTCAGAGGTACTTTCTGCCTCTGTTTTCAGCGTTCAAGTGAAAAGGTTGAGTGAATATTCAGGTATATGTAAAGTTCTGTTTCAACAGGGGGAATGGTGGAGTCTGGTGCCTGGTCCAGGCACAACAAGGACAGTGGAGAGGATAATGTTATAAAAAATATCCCTTTGCAGGGCCGCCAAGTTCATCAACAAATTACTGGCAGCTGGCATTCCCTAGCAGTTTGGAAGGTGGTAGAGGGATCTCCATTGGTTGAGCATAGGTTGTGATGAGGATGGGAAGGAAAGGAAGGGGGATGGTGTATCGCAGGAGGGGAATGACACAACAAATGGGGAGGTTGTCACAGCTGTTCCTCACTCTGGCAGGGGTTCTGTGAGATGTGATGTTCTCTCTGCTGCTTGAGGGTGCAAATGAACACCTTCCAGGTACAGCTGAACTGGTATCCTCCTTCACTGAAGTTCTGGTGTAAGTTAATTTCTGCGGTTTCCTGGATATCTCTGCTGGTGCAGTGTAGCAGTTTCACTACATTACTTCTCTGAACTGTAATGCTGTGGGTACTTGTTAACTGTTGTTTGCTGCAGCTACTTGTCTTTTCCTGTAGTATTTACAGGAATTCCATTCCCTGCACATGATCAAATACCTCTATGGGGAACTGGAATAAATTTAGATCTTTCAGACATCTGCCTATTCCATATCTATTGGCACAAAACTATACTATATATACTATTGTGTTATATGATTACAGACTTCAGTTTGCAATTTCAGTGTGTGAATACTTACACGACTTCTCTGACAAGATGGAGGGAACGCATGAGGGAATGAAGTTGGCTCTACCCCCACCAAAGTGCCACTTGAATGGTTCTTTTGAGGCAACTCAGTGTGCAGAGAGAAATGGTGAGAAGCAGTGCTGGTGTGTGGATTCGTTTGGATCTGAGATTCCAGACACAAGGTAAGACAGTTGCATGCACATGCTTGGGTTGAGCTCCAATGTCCTGAAGAAAGAATGCAGTGAGACAAAGCTTTTAAAAAAAAATACTACTTCCCTTAGAATGTTGTTCTGATATTTCGTCACATTATAGGTTTCAACTCTTTGACAGTTTCTTGATTTTCTGAACTTAAACATAGGAAAACCAAATCTCAGATACAAGAGAGTTGAAGGTTTGAACCAATTTTTCTTGTAACACTTGATGGTGTATGGGTACAATGCAGGATTCGTAATAAGAGGGTTCTCAGTTACATTCCTGGTCAGACCTGTGTGTGAGAATATTTCTTCTCACAGGTTGCAACCTTCACCTCTGCTACACTTACAACTTTTGAAATGTGAAGAACACCAAGCCCGCCTCCCTCACATCTGTGTAGTTGAGAACCCTTGTTAAATGCCAGGTCCCCTCTGCTAATATTGCTCTCATCATCAACCTATCACTGTGGGTTTCAGAATCTACCCTTTGGGTGTTTTTGCCTCAGAAATGGTTTATGTGCCTGGCCCAGGTGGACCAAGGCCAGAAGGGCCAACACAGACCCTACCTGGATACACTAAACAAACAAAAACAGCAAACATTTTTTGTTTCCTGTTCATAAAGGGACTTTAATTTCTTAATTTGAGTAATATTTCTTCTTTGAAGCTCTAGTTACTATATACTGTGATAATAAGAATCATTACAAATTCTGGCAGCAGGGATTCTTTTTAAAATTTATTTAAGGAACTGTCTATTTTACCATTCTACTCTCAGTATATATTCTCTTTATTAATGCTTGTTATTAATAATAAAGATTTATTTAAAATGAACTTGGACATTCATACTTTTAATACAAGACCTAATTGTGATTTGCATTTTCCAGTGGTAAATCTGATTGTATGCCAGAAAGGAGTACAGTAATCTCGTATTAAACTTTACAATCACCTTTCATCAACTCTTAAACAAATGTCGTATGATATTCCTAAATTTAAAGTGGCAATACAAAATTTCCTGACCACCAACTATTTTTCCACTGTGGAGGAATACTATTGTTATAAAAAGAATTTTGAAATTTGACTATATCTAAAGTGTTGAAATTGCTAATTTTATGACTGTAAATTTTGATTATTTTGATTCTAAGTTGTCAACTTTATGTTTTTAAATGTACTATTTTGTGTATAAATAATGTGACTACCTTGCATGTTTTTATAATTTGTCCGATCATGTGTAAGAAAAGTTATTGTGTTGACTGGTTTCAATTGTTTTTGAAACTATGCATGTATGGGGCTTGTTGCACATCCAATGGCATTTTAGCCCCTCTGGATCTATGGAATTGGAAATAAATATGAATATACTGGCAAGGAAAGTAATCATGGCCTGGGTGAGGAGAGGGCACTTCTGCTTGTAATATCAAGTATGTACCACAACAAACTGACAGATTCAGTGCCTTTCAGCAGGAGGCAGAAACTATGTTTCCCTTGCGTGGATCTGTCTAGCTTCAGGAGGAAGGTACACAAATGTTACATTGAGAGGCATTTTTCCTGCAGGACCAATGGGCCTACAGACTGTGTAGCACTGCGTGAGGCCCTGGGCTGTCTGGATCTGACATGCCGTCTGGGCTGTGACTATGGATTTGTGCTGGACCCATCCACCCGCTGTCCCTTGTGCGAGTGCCGCAACCCATGTGATGACATTCACTGCCCCAAGGGACAGATTTGTCAGATGGTAGAGGCAAACTGTGAGAATGAATACTGCCCACCTGTGCCTGCTTGTAAGTCTCCACAATTTTTTTTAAATTTTCTGAAATTGTGTACAATCATGGAAAGTAACCTTGAGCTAGTTTCTTTTGTATCATTATATAACCAGAGGATGACATCATAAATGTCGAAATATGTTGGGACACTGATGAATTTAAACTGTTCTCAAGAATTTGTGTTGTAACTGACAGTACTGTGATATTAAATAACACTATGAATTGAAATGTTGCACAACTTAACAAAAATATATTTAAAGGTACGTTTATCGACTGTAAGGGCTATGTGATCAGTGATCAGTATCCAGTGAGATTCGAACATGGGACCCTGGGTGCTAGCAAATGGAGATTGCTGTGTACGAACTACATGGTATCACATTCCAAAGACAGCAATCTTCATAATCACTGCTATCAGAGCCTCAAGTTTCCCCATCTCTCAGTATCTTGCATCCATGCCAGTTGACTATATGTCACCATGTTCCAGGTCTGCCCAAGAAATCAGGGCAGTGCCCTTATTTGATCCCTGTCACTGCTGGATCATGTGACTATGAATGTCGATCCGATCTGAACTGCAATGGGACAGCCAAATGCTGTTCGAATGGATGTGGTACTCGGTGTGTGGAACCTGTCATGCTTACAGGTACTCGTATATAATATCATCTATTTAATGGTACCATGTTAGCTGTAAAGTCATACACAACAGTGACTATCATAAGGTCCCACTGAACAAGTTACAGCACAACTGCTAGGGAGCTAAATCTTAGAAAGGACATGTATATCAGATCAAAGACAGTTATGGTGTATGGACCATTGAATGCCCATAACTTTAATGTAATCTACTCCAATGTAACATATGATGACTGGAAGAAAAATGTTGTGGTTAATTTTAAGGTACTTAGAAATTTCATATCATGTTCTTTCTTTGATATAGAGACATTTTTGGTTAAGGAACCATAGTTTATAATATTAATGTTACTGGGAAAAAAGTATGTTGAATTGCACAAAGACTCTTTGATATATACATATACCACTGTCACATAAGTTGGGGGATACTGGTACCAAGGGAAAACAATGAAAATCAGTCCTCAGATGAAGGTGCTTGACCTTTTGTAACAGTGAAACAGTGAACAGAAGAGAATTATTATGGTTTGGAGTTTCAGGAAATTAAAGAAAAATAATAAATGGAGTAAGGCATTGACACAAAAATGACATAATGTGAAACAAAATCCTAGGGGGAACAATTTTTGCTGATTATCCAAATGAGTAGGATATGGGGAAATGAGAAATGACAACTATAAACCTAAGAGCAACCAAATAATACATGAAGTTCCTATGCAGTTTCTTACAGAGAAGAATGTTCCTTTAAGTGCCATGCTTTGTTTCAGCATGCCAGCACATGCGGGCCATTCTGGAGCATAAGGCCCATGAGACAGGTATCCCAGCTAGGCAGTTATACCTACCAAAGTGCAGGGATGAAGATGGGAGCTTTGAGCCCATCCAGTGCCACCCAGTTACCCACCAGTGTTGGTGTGTGGATGATAAGGGTGATGAGCTACCCGGCACTCGGGCCCCACCTGATGTCCAGCCGTCTTGTGAAGGTACACAGTCCAGTACCTTTTGTATTCATAGAGGTCTCTAGTTTGAATCTAGGCCAGTCTCCACAGTTCCATTTGGCCCTACACTGTTCACAGTAATCTGTGCCTTTCTTACAGTGGCACTAAGTGTCTCATGCACAAATACATCAGGACAAAGTTTCAAGTGGTATATAGATAGGCCAGCAGAAATTATACAGTCACCTGAAATTTGCTGAATACGGTATCATAGTTGTATACCATCTGCAGTTTGTAATATAAAAAATATCATACATAATTCATAGGAGTATGTGTGATCCATCTCTGCACCAAAAGGCCCACATTTGTAGATGATACAGGAATATGAAAATTAGAACTATAGGTACCATATTGACAGTACAGTGGAACCTCGCTTAATGAGCATAATTTGTTCCAGAATCTTACTTGTAATGTGAAACACTCATTAAGTGAAACAATTTTCCACATATAAATTAATGTAAAATACGATAATGCGTTCCATGCCGAAAAAAATACTCAAGAATTTTATGTATAACGTTTATTCAAAGAAAATTATATATACATTGTTAAGGAGCGTGAATCATCTTCATCTTTTCTTCTATGCGGAATGAACCAACCTGGAATGTGAATTCGATTTGCAGAAAAAAAAACAAAAAACCCACGAAATAATTAGTTTATTATTTATGATACATATCTAATTCTTTTTTACTAGAAAGCTGTCTAGAGACATTTGTTTTTGCTGACACTTCAAAATTTGGTGAAAATGCAACACAACATCATCATTAAATAAATTTGTAGCGCACATAGCCACTGCCTTATTAGGGTGATGCTTCTCAATGTACGATGCAACAGTTTCCCATGCTTTCAGCATTTCTCTTATTGCGCCAGAAGATTGTTGCTTTGCTGTTACCTCCGCCTCCTCCTCCTCCTCCTCCTCCTCTGACAAACTCTCCTCCACAACTTCTTGCTGTGAAACACAATGCAACTCCAAATTGTGCAAATCGTTGATGTAGACCGATTGTATGTGCGTGCTAGATCAGCCATGCTCACACCTCGTTCTCGCTTTTCAATGATTTTATGTTTCATTTCTACGGTTATTTTTATTCTCTTATGGCTGTCTTTTTGCGGCTTTTTCTTCGGGGACATTTTTGCAAGGGTTATTAAACTTTGCACAAAAAAGAATCACAAATAATATGTCTGAGCAAAAGTTTGGAAAAATGTGTGATCACAAGCAACACTAACATGCTAGCGGAACAAGTGCTAAACACAGACTGATGTAGCAAGCTCACAATCCGGGACTTCCCCTCTTGTAATTTGTTATGCAAAACGTCGCTCGTTAAGCGAGTCATTTTTTTTACAATTTGTTTCGCTCATTATGTGAATTACTCATTATGAGAAGTGATCATTAAGCGAGGTTCCACTGTAGTGTCATTTTCATATGGCTTCTGCTCTCTTCTTGGTATTATTGATGGTAGGTAATTGGAAAGTATGAAGGTGGAGATCATTTTAATGGAAGGAACCATGCTTGATGACAGTTTTTCAGTTGTTATTAATGGGGACACACAGATGCACACAGAGGATCCAGTAATAAACTGACCAATTACTTCAAACTATGTAATTTGTAACAACTATTTGCTCTGCTGTGTTGCAAGCCCAGAGCAGCTGTCCATCACTCAAGTGCATCCCATGCCCACATGGTTTCCTGCTAGATGAATCTGGTTGTCAGACATGCAAGTGTCGAGACCCATGCGCGGAGATTTCTTGCCGTGAGGATGGGGAGAAATGTCGTCTGGTGGAAGTCTCGTGCATCAACACACCATGCCCCCCTGTGCCTGTTTGCCTGCCACAGCCCCAGAACCCCTGCCAGATGGGTCAACCTTTGCTTGTAATGGGCTCAACAGAAGTGATGGTGTGTGGGCCTAATGGATCTCCCTGCCCATCATCACACAAGTGCCACCTCAGCCCACTGGAAGAGTATGCAGTCTGTTGCCCAAAGCCCAGTGAGTTCCTGGCATGTTAATCACATTAAGCTTGAAGTGTGTGTGTGTGTGTGTGTGGAGGGGGAGGTTAAGCCCAGGTGATACATTGTAATGAAGTTTTCCTCTTCTGCTAGTCTACAAGCTGGTTCCACCTTCAGATCAATGTTTATAAAGTCTAGCAGTGTATCTTGCCCTCAAGGACAGTAACTGGAAACAGTCTTTAATAATCTCTTTTAGCATTCTGTTTACAAGTTCTACCAAATTTTGAGTGTTTAATTGTATTTTTGCTTGTTGTAGCAAATAAACAAAAATATTCGTTTATATTGCCAGTCTTCATTCTGTCATCCAAATAGGTATATTTTCAAAATGTTCCCTCTAAATTATGTACCCAGCAGAAATTACTACTAGTAGTTCAGTACTGTCTATTTTCCTTGTCAACACAATTACTACCGTCACATGTATTAGCAACTAATAATGCTGATTCAGGATTGGATGAATGGGTTTATTTACTCCTTATACACACCACCAGTAATTACATGTAATTATAGAGCTACTGCTATTTCTACACTTTATAATTCACTGTTACACACACCAGTCATCTCCTGGTAACATAATTAAAACACAGGATCTATTAACGGTCTCACTGAATTACACACTCCAAATGTTATACATAAAGAATTCTCTTCACAGCCACACTCTTGCAACTAACTCTTAACTACACTACACTGCACTGCACTGCACTAATATAAGCTACAGCAGGCCTTTGTTATATAGGGTCTGCATGGACAATACAGAAAATAGAAGTCTCATGATTCCTAGCCAGTGAGTTGATTGGCACACTAACTGTTGCCTAGCAATGAGCTATGACATTCGTCCACTGAGAGACATCTTCCACTGTTGCACGTTGGAAAGTGTTTACAGAGCTGTTGCCTATAAATGCTTTGAGCAAATCCAATACAATATTTTATATAAAAAGTATATTTTCTATTTAGTCATATGTGTGCCATCTTCAAGTTACATTACTAGGATTTGAATATAAATTACCTAACATAAATATCACTTGTTAGTCACAGTATTTTATAATGGCATTTTTAATAACTGATGTGAGCAAGTTACAGACAACATGCCTGTGCATCCATTTGAATCACATGACCATAATGTCAGTTACACTGAGTAACTGACATCTAAATCTTAGTTATATAACCTGAAGATGGCACATACATGAGGTAAGATGTTGTCACAGACATACTTTGTATGCAAAACAGTAATTGTGTTGACAAGGCACACAAATAACACTGAACTTATGAATTTTTATTTCCTGCATTGCAAGGCTCCAGTCTAAGCCAAAGCTTAAAGGGCAACAAATTTTAGAATGGGGAACTTCACAAACAAATGCAATATGCACTGTACTGTTAACTTCACAATTCTGATTAACCATTATAGGGCAGGCCGCGCCATAGCTCAAGCAGTCAGTCGCTGGCTTCCCACCGCAGCGGCATGGGTTCAATCCCGGGTCTGGTCAAGTGGGATTTGTGGTGGACAAAGTGGCACTGGGGCGGGTTTTCTCCGAGTACTTTGGTTTCCCCTGCCAATCTTCATTCCACCAAATTCTCCATCATCATAATCACTCGGGGCAGGCTACAATAGGCGAATCAGTGGCCGTCATGCCAAGTGGACCCAGTTGGACTCCACCCTCCACTAAGCGAATTAAAAAAAAAATATTATAGGGCAGTGGTATCTGTATAGTGCACCTATTTTAATGGTCAGTCTGCACATAAAAGTAATTTAATTCCTAAAATTAGCAGCTCTTATTTCCCAAATATATGAACACTGACAAATGTAGTCATAAAATGCTTATAAGCTGAATTCTTATATATTATTTTTGTGATGAGTGCAGGAAATGTGTGCTTTGAACCCATGGAAGTTGGGCCCTGCCACGCTGAGACTCTGCGCTGGTACTTCAACTCTGAGAACAATAAATGTCAGCAGTTCATGTATGGCGGCTGTGGTGGAAATCAGAACAACTTTCATTCTGAGGATATGTGCAAGACAGTTTGCCCTGGTGAGCAGTCTGTCTCATTCAGATGTCAATGAGAGGATGTATTTCTTTTCTCTAATAGTTGGCTCAGATGATGGTTGATCTACTTCAGAATGCATTCCAGTTAGTTTGAGAGTATGGCTGAGTTCTTGTAACTATCCTGCTGGATTTGGAGTTGTCATGGCAGTGATTGTGAACGGTATGATCTTCTGTGTTGTAATGCAATGCAGGTGAGAGAGAGGGCGACATTTTGGTGGAATGTATTGTTTCCAACTTCAGGGTCAAAAAGTAAACCAAGCAAGAAGCCGCCAGGTGATATGTTCCTCCAAAATACTGGGCTCCCTCTGTACATGGCATTAGAACCCAGAAGGCTCTTCATAAATGTTCAGATTTTATGTTCTCATAGCAGTTGACTACAAAGATCACTGTCTTCTAGGATGGTATGCTGTGCAGTTTGGTAGAATATGACATTTTAGAGAAACCTTCTGCCTTGTGTAGGTTGTCTACCTGAACATGGAGGCAACAGATTCCTCCAGAAAGCTGATAACATTCCACTGTGAACATCGCTGTGTATCCTGTGTTATGATCACATACTCGTATTACTCACTGTTAGGTTCAGCTGTCCTGTTACAAAACAATCTTTACAACTTCTCGGTGCTTTCTGCATTTACAAATTTGTTTTGGAGGTCCTAAGAGAGTTCATTCCTCTAGCACACCTTCTTCTCATTATCTCTTTATAGTTTTACTGCCCTCACAACAGAAAGAGTTGTAGATTTGGGGGGGGGGAGGCTGATTCCTCCTCTCACCCCTTATAGTCACCTGCAGTGCTACAATAACGTTGTTTGCTCTGCTATGTCCTGACATTAATGGCAATTTGAAATGTGTCCTAAATGTTTTAGACTACCACTTCAATAAAACTATGTACTATTATATTTTATAACATTAATGAAATTCTGATGCAGTATTAATAAACTGTTAACAAACTGAATTGTATACACACCCCAAACAATGATCAAACTTCATTTAAAGCCCTGTATCATAATCACACAATGTATAGACCCAAACTCAGGCATGCATGTGAACATGAGAAGAAGAGAATCCCATAAACCAAGCATTTATCCACTTATCATGATCTCATGTAATGTTGGCAGTACTTAGCCAATGTGAGCGCTTGCGAGAGAAGAACCTGAAAGCAGCAGAGAAATACAAGAAGTTGACATTCATGCCACGCTGTGATCCAGAAACAGGGGACTGGGAATCTGTACAGTGCTTGGAGCATGTTGGAGTGTGCTGGTGTGTCAACAGGGCTGGGGAACCCCTCAAGGGTTCTGTAACACGAGATGTGCCCCCCACATGCAATATCCGACAAGCTCGGCGCAGAATGCATGAGGAACTGGACTTTAGTAAGACTGGACAGTTCAAATGCTATTTTATGATTGTATAAGGAATTTAGTGTCATTATGCTCAGACACAGCAGTATGATGATGAAATGTATTTGCACTGTTGCAGACATTGAAGAACTGCTCAAAGAGGTGGTAGTACTGAATGAACATATGCCAATGAAGTCACGGTGCCAGTCTCTGCGTGAGCGCATGACAGGCACCAATGCTGTGTATGCAGTCAGTTGTGATGCTCAGGGCAGGTAGGAACTAAAAATGCTGAGCAAACAGTCAACAGAACAAGTGCAAAAGATTATAACTGTGTAAGGTTGTGTATATATGCAGGTTCTTGCCCATGCAATGCTACCCACGCAAATCAGAGAAGTTTCCTGACTGCTGGTGCGTGGACGAAGCCGGTAACCAACTGCCCAACACAATGACATTCAAGAGGGGAGCTAAGATATGCCGTGAGTAGCAGCCACTTTTATTTTCCTTCCATAAAAAGTTATCAAAATAAAGTTCAATGGAATACGTAAAGGTTTAACTAATTAAGCAAGCACTGTGCCATGAAGGCATATGGGGGAGTGGACGTATAGATCCACATTTCCTTGACCTTGGCACTAGCTGGAGGTAAGTGGTCAGCTTCACTTCCGGGAAAAGAGCCCCTGGTACCTATTGGATAGGAAGTTGGGTGGATCCCTGAACCAATCTGGATGATGTGGGGAAGAGAAAGTTCTTGACCCTACTGGGACTCAAACTCCAACCTTCTTGGTCATCCAGCCCATAGCCAGTCACTATACTGACTATACTATCCCAGCTTCCAGTGGAATACATACGAGGGGGTACCCAAAAGAAACCGAACTTCTTTTTTTTTAAACTTATTTATTCAAATTTTAAGCACAAACCTTCAATCCCCTTCAAAGTACTCTCCACTTACACTAATACACTTCTCTAGTCTTTTATTCCATTTTTCAAAACATTGTCTAAATTCATCTTTTGAGATGCTTGACAGCGCCTCCGTCATTTTTTCCTTCACCTCAGCAACATCAGCAAAACGCTTTCCTTTCATGTCTCTTTTCATTCGAGGAAACAAAAAAAACTTTGATCATTTCGGGACTCTTCTTTCAAAGCACAGCATGCTTCCACGCGACCTTGTTTTTGTTCAGCAGTCAGCAGTCGTGGCACGAATTTCGCAGCCACCCTTTTCATTCCCAAATCTTCTGTCAAAATTCGTTGAACTGAACTCCAAGTCACTCCCGACAGCTCCACAATTTCTTCAATGGTCCATCGTCGATCTTCCTTGATGATTTCACGAATTTTTTCAACATTTTCATGTGTTCGGGCCGTGGAAGGACGACCAGAACGAGGTTTGTCATCAATTGACATTTCACCATTTTTGAAACGGGAAAACCACTCAAACACTTGAGTTTTCCCCATAGCATCGTCCTTGTACGCCGTTTTTAACATTTCAAGAGTTTCTGTTCCACTTTTCCCGAGCAAAAAGCAGAATTTCATCGCCGCACGCTGTTCACGAAAATCAGCCATTGCAAAAACGACAATCACACAAAACAGTTGTCACTATAAACTCTGCCGAAACTAGTCCTTACCTTCTGAAGCAACGGTAGTCGGCTTATCGACTCAGGAATGTTAGCTCTATGCGCTCATAGGGGCAAAATGCGGTACTACAAAAGCTCTGCCCACAAAAAAATTAGTTCGGTTTCTTTTGGGTACCCCATTGTATATAGAATAAAATGAAACTTGCACACAAGCTCTCCATAGTTCTATCGCTTGGTTTTTTAAAGATAAAAAATGTTACTTAGTTTTCAAGACACACTCCAGCATCAAATGGGTAACATACTACTCAGCACAGTTCTCTCCATGATACATAGTGCACTGGTTATGTGTACTCAAGGCACACAACAGCGGTCAGTTGTGACTGAATGATCATGCAGTACACATGTGATGAATACTGTGACATGGTCTTGAACTCTTGGTACCTGTAACAAACAGTCTAACTGGTACTGCTGTATGGGAATATGCACTATGTTATCCTGCTCAGTGTCATCCAGACGCTAATGTGTTTCAACAATTGGAGCAGCATCTGCCTGAGACAGGAAGCACAACACCTGTGGTACACATGAATGCAGGTTGCCCAAGACTGTATGTACACCAGTGAATGAAGATGCTGAAATTGTAACCGTGGAACAAGAGCCATGGAATAGATCATGCAGTATCACACAAGAACTGGGAAATAACCCAAACAAAGGTCATCAGAGTAATTAATAACGATCAATTGCATCCATAACGCTGCTTATGGAGCACACGTTTGATTCCGCAGAGTCGTCCCCTGTGGATGCAATTTTGGAAGTGGCTACATCAATGCACTGCAAATGAGCTCTTCTTACATAATATTCTATGGACAGATGATGTTTTATGCATGCGGGTGTGTTCGGTGTCCACAACAGCCACCTCTGGACATGGAATAATTGTTATGCTATCCATGAACATTGGTATCAAGTGTCTCTCAGTGTCAGTAGTTGGGCTGGAATTGTTGGAGACAGTCATGGGACCCTGTCTACTACCTGACAGGCTCACTGTTCAGTGAAAACTGTGATTTCCTGGAAACTGTTCTGCTGCGGTTGCTTGAAGATGTTCCTCTAGCTGTGAGACAGAGGTGGTTTTGGCATGATGAAGCTCCAGCACACTGTGGGGAAGTTGTCTGGAAGTAGTTGAACACAACATATCCAGAAATGTGGATTGGACATTGAGGGCTGATTGCATTGCCTCTTTGGTCACTGGATCTAACTGATGGAATTTTTTTCCTGAGGGGAATATCAAAGATCTCATGGCAAGACTATAAGCAACTGTGACACTGGTCAATGCAAACATGTTAAGGTATGTTCAAGAGAATGCTGCCACCCATTGCACTGCATCTGCCTTGAAATGGATGGAAGCCGCTTTGAACCACTACTGTAATTACAAAGTCCAATGGTTCGATCATTCTGACACCTTGCACCTTTTGATTATGAAAACTAAATGTCACGAGACATATTGTGCAATATTTTCAACTTGTTTTTTAATAAGGAATCATATTATGGAGAGTATAAAGTTTTCATCTTGAGTGCTGCCTAGAAGTAAAACATGTGCATTGAATGCAGGATGCTCAGGTTGTCTCTAGCCAGAGAATACAAGCATTTCCTCTCTGCTAGATTGTTTACTGCCTTACTTCACCTTAATTCTTGATGATTCTATCTCCACTTTCATTGTGTTTCAGGTTATAAATGCATTTAGTTCCTTGGGGCATACAGGGTATGCATCCGTGATTAAACTAGGTAAAATTACAACAGAAATTAAACAAAAACAATTCCCTCCAGTTTCATCTCCTACATTGAACCTTTCATGTTCTAAACATTGTATGTAGCCTTGTTTTCTGTTCCACAAAGTGTTGAGACAGAACCATCAAGAAGAAAGGTGATGGCTTGCATGGTGTCAACAAGCTACAGCACTAGGGCTCTTGTAAGGTAAGGGGTTGAACCTGTAGCTGAACTGGGAATTCATATATGTGACTAAAGGGTACAATTTCTGGTAAAAGTGTTCCTGTTCTTTTCTTTACATCCATCATTCAGTGATTCAGTATTGAGGGGGTGGGTTTCCCCATGCACCACGACTGATAGTCTATTGTACATCCCCCTTTTAATTTCTACCGTCTCCATCCCCTACCGATACTGGTGCTCGCTATCAGTCCCTTTCTGCCAGCAAAGTTTCTACCCTCTACTTGGCAGTGGTATCTAATAATTAGTCCCTTTCTGTCAGAGAGGTCGTCCCTCCTCTGGCAGTGGTATCTAACACTTCCCCATCTATCGGAGGCATTGGAAACTATTTGGGCGGGAAACTTTTTGGCCTAATTTAGCTGAGGCCCCCTAGAGGCATGAGGTTCTTTTACATGCCGTAAATCTATGACACGGGACCCACGGCTTAAAGTCCCTCCCAGAGGACTTGTTCCCTGAAATTTTCCGCCCTTAAAAATTCCACGACCTCCGCCGGGTTTGAACCCGCGCACCTTGAGTCATGAGGTGGGAACGTTACCCCTAGACTATGGAGGCCGCTTTACATCCATCATACCTCTGGGTCTTACATGGAACACTTACCGACTTGTTAATGGGTTTATACACAAAGTGTATCAGATCACTTTTATGCTGATGTCATTTGATATCACTGTCAAAGAGTTATGAGGGTAAATGCCTGTCTTCCAACATACCTGCCCTTCATTCCAGCACTTGTTGACATGTTGATTCTATTTATTCCTTTAATTTGAGATTTTCTTTATAAGCCTTAAATGCACACAATTCCCCACCACATATGAGCCAATCTAATGTGTATAAAATATAACGTTCCTGTTTCCTACTGAAATCTAATGGAGAACACCCAGATATTCTGAAATTTACTCTGTACTACTGCCAATATAAACGGCAGCCATGGCTGTTTTTAAAGCAGCATGCTAGTACTGTGGTAGAGTTTCTGGATGTGATTTTAGCCATCCTTCCCAATATTTTTTTAATTACATGAGCAAAATTTGATTTCCTAATTAGAGCGTCACTCCTTTTAAAGCTTTACCTACTATACACTGTGATATTAACAAGAAAAGCTATGCATCCAGGGATAAGAATGAGCGCTTTTGCTTGTGTATTATCAATTATCATTTTAAAAATCTGATGCTGTAGCTTCAGAAGGGCAAAACTGAGAGATGTGTTGCTTGCTCAGTGCCAACTCTGGTTGATGCTGTTGAGGTGCAGCTCGGTTTCCAAGGCCAGCAGCAAGACATGACTTCAAATGAAAGGCTCATATCTGATGTCAGGAGGGCCACGGAGAAGCTGGGAGCAAAGCTCCGCAACAACCTCATAGAGGTTAAGAAGCATTCTGATGTCACTTATGTCACCTTTGAGATCATTGGCAGCAACAAAGTGGATGTGGCATTCCACCTTGAGGAGATGGTAAGTCCATATGGCACACCCACTTCATTTGATGCAATACAACCCATGTTATCAAACAAACAATGGCCAGACACAAAGTCATTCTCACAAAGCCATTCAAAACAGGCTCCTTCCTTCCAGGACATTAAATTTACAGCATAATGGAAAATGTTTCAGACCATAAAAGTGTTATGGAAGGATGCACACAATGATCTTGTCATGCTATATTACTGAATATCCTTTCAGGTGCGAGCAAACGAATTAGTGGTGGGTGCAGATGCCCTTGTGGCTGACATCACCAATTCTCGCTTCAGCCATCACCTGTCTGACGTCAGTAATGAGCTAGACATGTCAGATCATGTTATTGCTCTTGAACACCGTGAAGTTGTATCCCAGTCACCTGTGTCCATGGTTACACCATACCAAACCGCAATTGTTGTGCTGTCTGTTGCATCAGCATTTGTTATCTGCGTTCTAGCAGTGGTTATTGCCCTCTATCGCACAAAGGCATCCCGCAACGGTGTACATACAATGAAGACAAATGGAAATGCACAGAGGTTCTTGTCGCAGACTGCCCCTATATATGTGGTGTCTGTGCCCCCTATTGGGAAGCCAGAGACCAGCTTCCCACACACAGGAATCGGTAAGGAGGGAGCAGAAGGCAGCTAGACGGCTCTGCCCTCCAGCATTCTAGTAATGCAGCACACAAGTACCAACCATGCTGCCATGACAACTGACAATCAAACTCATGTATATATCAATTAAGTCTTGTAGTTACACTGTACAGTCAATAAATAATTTCAACTGTCAATAACCTTCACAGTGTTGACCTGTTGTTCTTATACTGTATGTCTGCATATCGAATAGGTTCTCCTTGCCTCCTTTCAGTTCCTTTGTTCACCTTGAGAAATGTTACAGACAATACATTGGCAATTTCACAGTACTGAGGGGATCAGCAGCCTCAGTGATCCAGATGGCAGAAAGGTGTCCACTTACATAGAGGGGGCATCACAATGCTCACATTACTTAAGGACTACCATCCTGTCAGTAGATTTCTAATCCAACTAATCTACTATTCTATTATTATTAATTATACAGTTTGTGTATACATTACACTTTTTCAATGTAACCTTAAAATTTATCAGTCATCACGTGTGTACCTGCTGACATACAAACACATTTCATACATAATACTTGCAAACATTTTTCTGTGATCTGTCTTTTCACTAAATTCATGTGCCTCACTGCAGTGGGTCATTAGTTACCACTATCAAACCAAAAGTTAACCATGTTCCTTATTTCACATTCTACAAAAATAATATCTCAACAGAAGTTGCATATGTTTGCAACATCTACATTGTTTCAAGAACCTAAAGTAAGCCAAACTAGCATAGCTTCCACCTCACATGTCTGCATACCTGCCGTGTTCTTATTACTGAATGCAGAAAGTTAGTAAGTATGGCAATGGAGTGGGCTCCTGTGACACAACATTCACACCAGGTTCTGTGAAAACTTGCCAGCTGTTCAAATGTGAAATGGATGCATACAGAACATGGTGATTCCACATACCTTCTACCTTTTAAGGAACAAACATAGGCTGAAACTGACATAAAAAAAACTTATGATGAAATTAAATTTGGGGAATACTTCCTACCCTTCATGATTTGGGATAGGTCATTTGGTATAGTGACTATGCTACAGGCTGGATGACTGATGACTCAGGACTTGATTCCTGGAAGAAGCAAGCGATTTTTCTCTTTTCCATAATATCCAGACCGGCTCTGAGGCCCACCCAGCCTCCTGTACATTGGGGTCTGGTTCCCTTGGGGGGGGGTTGTAGTGTGAAGCTGACTGCTAATATGTATTAAGTGCAAGGTTTAAGAAAGATAGACCTATACCTCCACTACCCCATACATCTTCATGGCATACAACTTTTTGTCACCTTAAGTTCAAAATTTTGTCTTCCTGTCTGTTATCTAAAAACATAGATTAAAATACAAAACCCATCATACTTTGCCCGTTGTTTTGTGTATCAAATTCTATCTTTTACTTTAATAAAGACCAAAGGAATGTGAAGTAACATTGTTCTGTGAAGAATATTGACCTAAAAGGGAAGAAGGAATACCCTGGAGAAAAGTGCATAATGAGGAGCTTCAAAACTTGTGCTGTTCACCAGATATTCTTATGATAAAATCAAGAAGGATGGAAACATGCAGGGCATGTAGCACATACAGTTATTTTTAAAACTGAATTTATTTCCATTGTAGTCTCTCCATGTTCAAGCACTCTGCTACTAATTCAACTGAATTCTGGCTAACAGTAATGGAAGAAGAGTTGCCACCTGTAATGAGATCATGGCGAGCTGAATTTGCAATAATGCGATGTAAAATAACTTCTGGCTCAGTGTATCGTGGCTACCTTAGGAACAACAGATTATGTTGGTCCCTGACAACACCTGAATGTCTTTTGCGGGCTACTTTATGATGCTACCAGTATGGTGTTATGCTGAAGATTAACTGCTGAGTTGGAAAAGATTTGTAAGGAAGTAGACATGGCCTAATCAAGGCCTGGAAGAACTGGCAAAAACTATGAAAACCTCACTAAGGTTAGATGGAATCCTGGCTAAGTTTCGAACTGAGCACCTTCTAGATATCAGTCTACAGTGCTACCGTGTGAGTAAAACTGAGATGGCAACAATTTCTATCAATATAAATAAAGCAAGGATTTGAATTTAATTTACATCATAGGAATCCATTTTATCAACAAAGGTAATTCCATGCCCTCTCTGTCAGAAGCTGGTCTACATTAACACCCTGCTTTTCTTACTGTGATTTTCATGTGTTATTTAACATTAGGTAATCAATCCAACTTCACTTATTACTAACCTTTCTTGCATTGTGCCTACAGTGATACTACAGACTATTTACATTCCACAGACACTTCACAGCTCCAAGCTTTAGATGTAGAACTTGTCATAATACAAATACAGTACCAGTTTCAAATATAACTATCAGTAGAGAGTTGTAACAGCTGTTTATATATTTACAGATATCTCTTATAATACAGAAGGATATCAAAATAATTACATCAAAGAGCCATCATCATCATCATCATTATAAGTGAGAATATTTAATTAACGTAAACATGAAGTAGGAGTGTAATGGGAGAAACTCTTTTAACTGGCTTAAGCATTTTTATATCACAATTCAAACATCTGATTGCAGTAGGAAGATTACTGAATAACTCAATTCCAGTACTGTTGTTGCAGTTTATCACTTAATTTGCATTGGCAATCTTTAAGCACATCAATATTCTATACACGCACAAGAAGTTGCACTTCAGAAACTGCCCACATAAATTAAAGCGCTAGATCCCAGAAGACGACTTTCTTCATGAAGGTCTTTGTTTGTGAATAACATATTTAATGTTTACTCTCCCCTCTGAACCCCCACATGACCAAAATAAGTTACTGTCAATTTGAAAGTTGATTCTAGGTTACTTGGTTGGGGTGAAGTTGTAGAATCAACACCATATCAAGAACCAGTGCCAATTTATGTTACTTCAGATTTCATGAAAAAATTTGGTATTTGTAATCAAGATAAAAAAAATCTGTCCCTGTAACAGGCCATTGAGGCCCATAGGGTTGTGAGATGTCAAGGCTCCCACATTTTCTAGACGATAAGCTCACAGATGGTGGTCATGTTATCAGCCTTACGCACTGGCCACCCTTTACACCCCAGCAAGATTAATCACTTACTAATTCATCTGTCTTCTCCCATCAAAACCTCTTGTGATGCCATCTTCCCTCACTACCATGACAACATGCATTCAAATGCAGACCTAAACAAATGCCACGCATCCAAGTTGGCAAAGTCCTTGAGCACATACCACTAAACCTTGACTAGCCATGAAGCCAGATAAATAATGATATCTTTACAACAAAAGCAGTTCTTTCGTGTCGTCTAGTAAGCAAGGTGTAACTATGAAAAGAGAATTCTAAGCAAGAAGTACAAATCACTACAAATGTTGCTAGATTTTGTTTCCACATTGGTGACTACTACATGGATGTTGTCTTCCATATATTACATTCATAAAAACGGTTCATATGTCGAGTTTGTTATATCATGAGGCATATGGGGTTATATTCATGGAGTGCAAGTCCCAGACCCATTTGTAAACATTTTAACCTCTGTCATAATTCTATTGTTTTTATTATGAAATCAAACACGGTTGTAAATAACATAAGACAAAACATTTTTACTATTAAAAGCTTTACAAGTAAGTAAATTAATATTCAGTAAGTGATGATTTGAGGCACCACAGCATTATAACCTGATCATCAAGACTTACTATTCGAGCTACCAAAGCATTAACAAACTTTATATTAAACAAATTAATATTCTAGCAAAGTCTTGACATTTCTAGTACATTCTCAAATTCAGATATGACAGCTCAGATTATAGGAGACTTTGGAAGGGCCCATTCAAGTCTTGGGCTTTCTGAAGAAGCTGCTCAAGGTCCAAAATTCGAGTTTTGAATCTGAAAATTCAGAGTGTGCCTAATGGGCATGTGGATTTAATGGGATCATAAATCTGGATGGCAGGTCAAGATATGACTAATGTCTTCTGGGACGCGATGCCCAGTCTGGTAGCAATTCCGATGTTTTGGAGGAATGTAATGACTCCATCCACAGGGTAAAAGACAGGTCAAACACGCAAATAGCAAGCTTGTTGCTTAGCACCTGTATTCCTCCGAAACATGAGCAAACATCAACTTGGCTATATAGTACAGCATTCCATCATCATTTATGTCACACATGTAACTAAAGGTATTCCAAGGTTGATGGCCTATGATGGCACAGAGGGAACCATCTGGGAACAGCATACTGATTCACTGACTATGATGTCAAATGAGAGAGAAGGGATGGCTAAAGATGCAATATGTGCTTATGCTTGAGGTCCTATGTGTAGAATAGGTAAAGGTATCCCTGTAACAGGCTGTGGAGGTCCATAGGGATGTGAGAAGTTGAGGCTCCCACATCTTGTAGACAACTGGCTCATGGATGGCAGTAAGGTTGTCAGCCTTATGCACCGGCCGCCCTTTACCCCCCAGGAAGATTCATGGTACTCATTTCTGTTAAGAGGCTGAGTTGACCACAGGGCCATAGTGCAGCTGGAAGGCTTAGGTAAATTGAAAAATCTACCTCATCAGGACTCAAATCCATAACCTTCTGGCTTGTAAAATAGTGCCTCAACCAACTAGTCTACCGTGTACCCCCAAGAGTAAAATAGGACTGAGAAAAATGGCATTAGACAGGGAGAAAAACATACAATAAACAATTTCAAATTGATTCCAAATATTTATAATCTATAATAACTACTGTCTTGATGTCATGTAACTGTCCAGCAACTTCATATAAAGTATAAATATAAATAACCTTGCCCTCTTCAAATACAGCAACAAATTGTCAACTGGCAGTTCTTGTGTCTTACAAACTATGACCATGTTGCAGGAGTGTGCAAGAATATTGAGACAAAATTAATTTCATAACCACCATATTTTAATACAGAATTCATTTATCACAGTCATTTCTATATATTACAAGATCATATAAAATAAATATTTAGAAATTACTTTGTTATTACGTTCAAGTATCAAATATAACATCAAATTATTTTAGAAAAATTCCCACTTTTACTTCCTTTTGTAGAAAGCAAATTCAGTTTTGAATTTTCCGCAGTAATAAAAATGCTGAAATAGATTTAACTTGTGTTGCAGACAGAAATTTAAAGTGCACAAAAGCCAACACCATATTACAGACAAGCAATCTGTACAATGCAAGTTCATCCATATTATTAAAAATTCATAAAGAATATTTTGTTTTGTTATGGGAGCAAAGACCCACAGCTACATGGAATCAATACAGAAAAAATTAATGCTTTGCTGTAACTGAAAACTGAGAATGATAATTATTCTCATCACTTGCACAGGCCTACTACAATGTGACAAAGTAACACCAACAGTCAGACGGGGCAGGATGCATGTCATCTGGTTCTGATTGGCTATCCAGCCATACATGACCTGTCTTGTTGAAATATCCTGACAAATTTACATGGTGCAAATTCATACTTCTACAGCTTGAATGACTGACTGCATAATGGGTAGGCCTAAACCAGCCCTTGATCCATGACCTTCAATGATCTACTGTTCATCCCCCTCTATTTCAACCCCTCAACAATCCTACACCTCAAATGAAGTGCAGTATCTTACTTACAGGGGTGTCTTGGTGGTCACCCAGCCCCATGAAGTAATGGCCCCAGTAGCAAAATCTTAAGCCACAGCCTCACAGTCACACAGGCTTATACAGTTTCCTGACAGGGGCTGACACTTTTCCAGTTAATCATGCCACTAAACATTTAAGTAACAGGCAAATGCAGAATATATGTCATTAACTTTACAAGGAAACCATTTTATACAATGATACCAGGATCAAGCAGACTTTGGTTGTAACTGTCTCCAACAGCTTCAAGCCAAATATGTCCAGTGGAGTTTAAAAGCTGTGCAAGATAACATTTTCCCCATGTCACAGCATCAGAGGCTGATATAGGAAGGCTGTAGCAAAACTATCCATTATGGGGTGAGTTTAATGCAAGATCAGAATATGATGTAAGCATCTGCTATTTAAATATCAAAGGGTACACTCTAACATAGGCAGAAATGTGACATGTAGCAGGTGTAAAGTTCTCAAAGATATTTTTAGTCACATTCAGACCTGTCACAAAGAATGCCTGTGCTATAATTGCCACTAGCATTACCAGATGAACAACTGTAGCATTTCCTATCACCAATAAATATGTAATTTATCAAGTTATTAACACTCCTCAACACAAGCACCTACTGCTTCACCAGTAGCAAATTCATAAAATTTACATTTGGTCAGGAGCCCCACAACCTTACAGCAATAAATACACGAGATGACCTATCAAAACCAGAATTACACACTTAAGCACAACAGTCCTTTTAGGCATAGTATGTGGGTGGGATCGTGAGATCTCGTAGGACTCCCAACTGCTGCTCCGTGAACTTCAAGCTGTGTTGCTCCCAGTTGTCATGATGTGTTCGCTTGAAGTCGCCAAGAGTCTTCCTGATCGTGGACTACAGAAAAGAGACACGTACTCAGTGAAATAAAGCCTGCTGCGAACCAAGATGGCAATGAAACTAATCATACTTACTGGTATAGGTTGTGGGTCATTGAGGTGGTCCCCCAGGTGAAGGAACACATCTGGCACAAACTCAGGCACATCATATGGGTATGCGTTGATGAAGGCACAGAGTCCAAGGATTCCAGAGTGGCGCAGCCTAAGTGACTGCAGGTCAACTGCATCCATCGCATGGCCATGCACCTGCTGCTTCTTCACCTTTGTTTTTGACTTCAGCTTAAACTTCTCCTGCAAACAGGATCTAGCTTCATGCCGGACACGTCCAGAACACAAATGGTTCCTAACCAATGGATATTGTGGCATATTCACTCAAAGCAAAGACTGTGGAGTCACAACAGCTGACTGTTACTAGGCAGAAGCCCATAAACAACAGAGGAATGGTGTTTTCAACAGTCGGTGCCAATGGCAGCACATGAAACAACGGAATACATTATGCCATAGTTAAGTAACAACTGCACTGCAATAAGGAATGGTGTTTTCTACGTGGTCCATGCTAAGATGTTATATGCAGGGCAAGTTAGAAGTCAGAGAACTGCTGTTCAGTTGTTGTGAGCTGTTGCTGTTAGACGCTGGTAGCTGAGGCTGGGGACAGTTCAGGAACCCAGAGGAAGGGTAACATCAACCGTTGGAAGCCACTACCAAGTAACATCACTGAGGCTGTGACTCTGGACACTAGTGTAATAGTGAAAACTGTAAAGTGTAGCCACATGCCATATCAAAGAGTCAAATAAATCCAGTCAACAATCCAAAACCCATCCATAGTCACTAAAACCCTGACAATATGAAAGACTCCTTTCATTCTAAGGTGACATGCTGACCACATGACCTCCATGTCCCCTAAAAGTTGTGCTGAACCTTCAGTGATGGAGGACATTTAATTCCTACTCACTCCTTGGGACAGAGGATATTTAAACATTTAAAATGGTAAATGCAACATTTCACTTAAAGTGTAATAAAATGGGAAAAACTGGAGGTTTGTTTTTCTAATTTTCACACTACGTTCAGAAATGTATATAGAATTGGGGTATTGATCCATGCTGCTTTAAAATTATTTTTTTGGCACAAAAAGCCTATAAAAATTAGGAATAACAGTATCATATTATCTTAGAAATTCAGCTGGGTGCATTAGTCATGAAAACATTCCACACAGAGTCCCACGTCACATGCGTCACACCAGTACTAAAATCTTGCTTATAAAATTTCTTTCTCTTAGACGGGGCACTGTTTGATGATTGTCAACCCAGCACTTTGTGTTCTACAACATTAGCACATTTCACAGAGTCCCTCAATTAACTGAATTCTGACTGACAAATGATCTGTTCTTTTCCTTGTGTTATTCCTACATATTATCACATTCAGACATTTTTTTTTGTCCCTTAGTTCTGCATATTCTCCCACTGGGCGTTAGTGCTATTCTCGATTCTGTCATTTAGCACAGAATCGAGAGAAGAACATCCATTTTCAATATCAAATTCTCAATCTCATAAAACTTTGTTCTGATTCGGTTTCAAGTAAATATATTCTCCACTGGTCATGACACAACACAGCTGTCCACTTCATTCCTTGCGGCTGGCCCATGCTGCATGATGCCTATTTATATAAGAAAGGGGAATTACAGTAGTTTCATTCATATAGTGAACTGTTTAACATTTGCTATGGTAGCAGTCATAACACTTCTTATAGTGAACGTCACGTCTCAAAGTCGTAGATTCTCCAGGTATCTTCTTGTGGTTAAAAATTCCAATCTAGAAGCATCACTGGTCAGAATATGCCTCAAGAGAACCGACTTTTCATTCAATCAGCATGCAGGACAGCACACAGTACCGACCTAACATATTTAGTTCATCAGAATTCCCCTAGGGGCAGAGATAGATTTCTATGGTAATAAGTACACCAAATGTTGAAATAGAAAACTTTTAAAAAGAATTCAACTGTATCACAACCGCTGCAGGAAGTGCAAGTGGGACAACAAACATATGAAATGATATTTCCTCTTTAATTTCATATCAAAAGAATTATCTTACATGAAAAACAACAGTTCAAAATACAAGCTGAAACTTAGTACTGCACTAGGCCGTGCCATAACTCAAATGGTTAGTTGCTGGCTTCCCACCGTGGCAGCCCGGGTTCGATCACGGGTCTGGTTAAGTGGGATTTGTGGTTGACAAAGTGGCACTGGGGTAGGTTTTCTCTGAATACTTCAGTTTCCCCTGCCAATCTTCATTCCACCAATCGCTCCACAATCACCCTCACCTATCATCTGGGGCTGGTACAATAAGCCAGAAGTGGCTGTAGTACAAGGGACTTAGTCCCACCCCACTATCAATTAAAAAAAGAAAATTAGCACTGCACTGTGTGTGCCAGATATGGACTTCGGCAACATGTGACAGTCTATGGCACTGAAGGGTTAAGCAGGATTACTTTATGTTCACAACAAGAACATTACCTACTGATTCCTATACGGGGGAATGACAATGTAGAAGTGCAGTGTACTAGCAGATGAACACCACAGTAATTAAAAACACTGTATTGCCACAATACCTTGTTAACTGCAAAGCACCAAATGACATCATGATGAACTGTTAAGGAAGCAATCGTGTCCTACTCTGAAGACCTATCCTAGCATCTGCTTTGAGCAAGTGAGGGAAACCTCAGCCATGTTAATCCATTCTCAAACCCATGACTGGAATCCAGGGATACCAATAACTACATATTATGATGAGTACGCAGCCAGGGCACTGGCTGGAATCAAAGGAACTAAGATGGGAAGCTATCATGAATACTTTAATACTTTAATGGGTAAAAGATTAAAAGGAGTAGAATGAGGGACTGAGAAAACCCACAAAAATTCTGGAGAGCTGGTAACATAGCCACGGTTCATACCAGAGGTACTGCACAGTGCTGTCCACCATACCAAGCTGTACTGCCTGTACACCATTGGAATATGTATGAAGATATTCTGGGCACAAAACAGAAATATACTTCCATATCCAACAGAGCTCACAAATGTAAGGATAATGATACACACTTAAAAGAGCACAGATGGCAACTCACAATGAGGTCATCCGTTGATTCGATGAAGTTGCAGTGCAGCAAGCCACCCAGCACCTGTGATGCTTTCTCACGCACCTCTAGCCAATCATCTTCCAGGAGCTGCAGCACAATGTCCAGCACCTGAAACAATCCTCTTATGTTCCAAGTCATTGCCAACACATCATGTCCTGGTTTGTTTAATGATGCTCTGTCAACTGCATAGGTTAGAGAATGTAATGGCAGAATGACTGGACTCACTGGAAAATTTGGAACAAAATGTTAATGGCTTGTTTTACAAAACTATCCTAGAATTTAACTGGAGGGACTAAGCAACACCACCAATAACCTCAGTCAGAATAGCCAATATCTGAGTTAAAAACCTAGCAACCACAAATACAAAGGAAAAATACTATTACATCACAGTGTCAGCCAACATTTCACACCATTTATCTTCCCTTGCACAGGGTGTCTTATAACATATTTCAATTTACCGCATGCTTTATCTTTAGCATAACTCTCACCTCACGAATCCAGACTTGTTTGCTGAGGATGGTGGCCATGTTATGGAACACAACCACCTGCAGGAACTCCAGACAGGATGACCTGGCCCACCATGATATGCTCTCAGACACCTGCAGCAATCAACATAGCAAAGGTCAGTACAAACTGTTGTTTACTTTGCTGACAACTGGGATGAAATGGAGCAATGCTACTAACATATGTCACTGGAGATTAACACCAGTTCTCATCATTTACCTCAATGACAGCAACCAGCAAATATGCTGGGGTGGTGTGGCCTGGTCCGTCGTTACCATCATAGTTACTGACATGTCAGCACAGGTTAGTACAAACTGTCCCTTTGCTTGTGTAATCTGTGGGGTAGGGTGAGACTGAGTCTACTGTATCAGTCCATTTTGAGTGGAGCAGCTGGTGGTGGGAAGAGATTGGTGGGGAGGGATCAAATATACTCGGGGTGGAAAACAAGCCACAGGTCCACTTTTTCCTATAAAAATCCAATATGAGTTGATCTCAGATCAAGCCTGGGCCATCACGACGTGATGCTTGAGCCATGACAGAGCTTGAGCTATCACTTACTTTGCTGACAGACTGGAGAACCACTGGGACATGCTGGGGCAGCATGAGTGCCTGGCCCATCATTGCCAACATAGATACACAGGACCTGCTCAGTTCCTCATCTGCATCATAGTTTGACATGAGGCATACCAGAGGGAAGAACTCATAATACTCAGCAACTGTTGCATACTGCGCACGTGAGATGCTGCCAGTCACCCACCTGCACACTGCAAACACATAACTCTCTGAGAGGAGATGGCCAACAGTTTATACAGATAGGTCCATTATGGCTTTGGTTGGATCTGATCCTAATTCTGGGGAAAATATATATATATAAAAAGTAAAGCAATCTCTGTAACAGGCCACGAAAGCCCACTGGGTTGAGACGTTGAGGGTCCCACATTATCTAGACAATCGGCTCAAGTATGGCGGTAAGGTTGTCAGCCTTATGCACCGGCCGTGCTCTACTCCCCAGGAAAATTATTTAATTAATTCCTGGTACTCATTTCTGTTAGAGGCTGAGTCAACCCCAGGGCCATAGTGCGGCTGGAAGGATTAGGTCAATTGAAAAAATCCGATGACCTCATCGGGACTTATATATATATATAAACGCAAAAGAGAACAAAGGACCAGTAGAATTTCAGGGCAGTATGAACACACATATTTAAATATAACAAGTACAGTAAATTAAATATAGAGGTTACACCAGCAAGATCAGTTCTGGAGATGAAAAAGCCAATTATCTTACAACAGCGCCTGGCCTACTCAGTAATTATTACTGATGTGGTGATGCTACGGATAAGCCAGATGCAAACTGCTCACTTGCATCTCTTACTACTACCAGCTAAGTCATAAGTCAGGAATGTCCAGCCATGTATTCACAAGTTGCTGAAGCTGAACTCCAGTGGCATCAGAGGAAAGATTACTTGTATTTAACTTACGTTTGTCCACAGGTAAGCACAGCTGAGATGAAACAAAGTCATGCATGAGTAACGGAATATTTATTAAAGTATTAGAAAAATCTGCAGGCGTAACTGACAAAACAGCATCCTGTCAGTAATCTCACTAACAGCAATTAAGGTTTTCTGATTATGTGTTGAGCAATGACTGCATTTGTAGAAGCTGTTATATTATTTTAGCAGATTTAGCAAATAAAAAGTAGCTTTAGTGTAAAAGGTGTACGTATCTGGGAGCTACTCCAAAGCCTTTCCCCCAAGCATTCATGTCAGATAATGCTAGGTCCAACAGCTATATGTGAGGGAATGAGATTACAGCATGCTTTTAAACTGCCAATTAAGCAGTGACACAACAAACAGAGTGCCATGCAGGTTCATATTTAAGGAAGTTGCTGCTCCTGAGAAACCCCAGAGTTTTGAAAATATTACGCATTGTGATGGTGACTGTAAAGTCTCTCCCAAGGCACTCCACAGGTACCATGCAGCCGTGTTCAAACATAATGGACTAGATAGTTTGTACTATGTACAGGCAAGATGCCAAGAAAAACAACCAAGCACTTCCCAAATACAAGTCTAGAGCACTGCCACCAGACCAACCTGCTCAGTCAAAACAGCTGTCTTTCAGTACACCAATCTTTGTCTGGCAAAAAATACTCACAATACAGCCTCATTCTGCTGTGTGGCTGTTTCATATTTCCACAATCAAAAATACTGTTCACAGTATGTAATTTTGAACTGCTGTGATTTCCTGCAATGTTTCCATATATAATAGAGACACAGAAATGTGAAGGTGATCACAGTCATCGAATGTTACATATATGCTGCTTCCAACCCACCTACCTGTCTTCAGCAGTCGAATCGCCACATCACGTTCCTCACCGTTCACCTGCATGTTCTCCAGCATGTTCATCACTGGATCAGCACTCTCCCCACTCAACTTCTCTGCACACAACACAATCAGTCAATGTATTAAAGTTGTAGCAACAACTCGGAAAGAAAATATTTCAGTGAACAAACTACATACTTCTCAGTTCGATGTGATTGCTGGAACTGTCCAGAGCTTTGGGTCCTATCTGGTACAGCACAGCAAGCTGGGGAATTATCTCCGACACAAAGGTGGTAATGTGGGGGGAGGTGGTGCGACTCCCGCCCAGCAGTAGGATGTCTGGCTCAAAGATGTTTGTTAGAACACTGTAATGAGCAACATAGAATTATTCCATGAGATTTACCCCTCACATTCCTTGCCTCATTGTAACAACACCTTAAAAAATAATCTGCAAAATGCTGATATTTAACAGCAAACAAAAGCATCAATGGTAGGTACAGCCGACAGACAGACACACACTTTCTCTACTGAAATGACTGATGTTCAAGAATAAATACATATAAAGTGTGCATTATTCTTGCCAGATTTTAACTGAAACTGAACTGCATTCATAAATTGCAACAAAACTTCAGAATATCAAATTTCATGAAAACTTGTATAGTGGTTCTTGAGCTGATACATGTGGACAGGCAGGGCACAGAAATGGAGAAGCTATGGTCACATTTTTGACAACTTCTCATTGAGAATGTACCAAAAACAAAACATAAAGAAACACCCTAAACTTTGGTACTAGAAATGACTGAATGACTGCCCTTCAAGGCCTCATTTCTGGAATTAGCTTTATTCGTGTCCTTGCCCAGACTCTGTTGCCACAGCCTCCATGAGATCACAAGAATGAAATGACTTGCTGTATGCCAATTATTATAGGTAGAATACAGACCTTCCCAGCCTTTCGCGAACATTCTGAAATGGATGTGTCAGGAATGGTTTCAAATAACTGAGCAACCGGTGGAATAACTCTGAGACACGCCACTCCTGCTGGTTCAGAGCACCTTGCAATGTGTACAGTCGCCTGCAACAAGACAGAGTAACTGGTGTGCAACAGAAGGGACACAGCATGCAAAAGCCCAAAAGAATGGTATATTTGGACCAATACCTACCCACACTCAATGAAGGATGCCTCGTCACGCAGAGGATCTTCCATCAGCAGCTCCAGCAACCAGTGATGTCGATTAGGGTCCCTGTTCTCCTGCACACACAACACAATTGGTCAATTGCCAAATTATTACAGCATCTCAACAACAATAATGAACTTAACTGTCCATGATAAATAAGCATACCATCAGCTTATTTATTTTTTTATTCACTTAGTGGTGGTGGAGTCCAACTGGGTCCACTCGGCATGGGAGCCACTGATTGGCCTATTGTAGCCCGCCCTGGGTGATTATGATGATGGAGAGTTTGGTGGAATTAAGATTGGCAGGGGAAACCGAAGTACTCGGAGAAAACACCCCCAGTGTCACTTTGTCCACCACAAATCCCACTTGACCAGGCCCAAGATTGGACCCGGGCCACCGCAGTGGGAAGCCAGCAACTAACCGTTTGAGCTATGGCGTGACCATACCACCAGCTTGCTCACAAATGGCCCATCAGATCAAATGTTAACAGAACTTTCAATATTTATTACAAAGGACTGAAAACTTTCTAGCAAAATGTTCTCTACACCTCTACTGAGATACACACAGAAGAGATTTGGAATTGTTACTTTAATGAGAGACTTGAAATATGACATTTCATGAACACAAGTCTCTCTCTTAACTTCATGTAAATAATGCCCAGCACAGAAGGGCTTGGCTTACTACGCAATACAACAAATTCACATCCATTCTAATGTTATTCTGCAAGCTTTATCTTAGTCTTTGTACTTCCTAAAAGATTTCCCTGCAGAGATGTCTCTCATATGTCCAGGTATCTTGTTTCTGAATTCTAGCAGGGAAAGATGCAAAGGCAGGCAGTACCTGGATAACAGGAAGCATTTCCTGAACTCCACTTCCTTTTACATGTTATGACTGTTCTGTAAGCCCTTCTGTCATCATAACACTGTTACTGACAGCGATGGGCAAGGTGCTAATACTTCCTGATGCAACATGCTACATGCTGACACTTCTTGACAAAAATCACATGTGAGATAGCTGACTATTGTACTTATGTTTCATATTACAACTCTGACAAAAATTGGTTAAAGTTTATGTGGGGGGGGAGTGCACAAAAGGAAGTGAAGCCTGTCCCTCCATCTGCATGTTTCAACTAAAAAATAAACAACAGCCACTGGAGGCCACCTCAAATTAATACTTTTTGATCTCATATAATTGGTAATAGTAAAGAGATGGATGCACAAATTTGTGAGGTGGAACTCCCACTACAACTACTGAATAGGAAACATATCAAGGACAGTAATGACAAAGTCAATAGAAAGTCCGTCGAGTGTAACAATGTTTTTAGGTCACTTCTTTATCACATTTGCCTTACATGTTTCGGTTTAATAAACCATCATCAGAGGCACATATTACAAACACATGAAAACACTGGCGTTGTTTAAATGTACACAGTATATATGCTGCGTGGACGCTGCTACAATTGTCGATGTGTAAAAGCACAACACTTGCTAGGAATGTGGAATGCACGTTCAACTCTCGCATTCCATCCGAAATTGCCCTCAAATTAAACCGTCAATGTTAAAATATTTAAAAGTTTAAAACATTTGAAGTAAAATGTTAGGCTCCTCCTTGTTAATTCATCCCGATGATGGGAGATGTCAACTTGAGGTTGTATAGGCTTATGGTCAGATGTTTCCTATGCGTTGTGTGTTGTGTACTCAACACAACACACAACGCATAGGAGTACACAACACACAACGCATAGGAAACATCTGACCATAAGCCTATACAACCTCAAGTTGACATCTCCCATCATCGGGATGAATTAACAAGGAGGAGCCTAACATTTTACTTCAAATGTTTTAAACTTTTAAATATTTTAACATTGACGGTTTAATTTGAGGGCAATTTCGGATGGAATGCGAGAGTTGAACGTGCATTCCACATTCCTAGCAAGTGTTGTGCTTTTACACATCGACAATTGTAGCAGCGTCCACGCAGCATATATACTGTGTACATTTAAACAACGCCAGTGTTTTCATGTGTTTGTAATATGTGCCTCTGATGATGGTTTATTAAACCGAAACATGTAAGGCAAATGTGATAAAGAAGTGACCTAAAAACATTGTTACACTCGACGGACTTTCTATTGACTTTGTGATTGATAGTGTAACGGACCAAAAATGAAGCAATTCAAAACAGTAATGACAGTTTGACTGCCAAGCCCATTAAGCAACAGACTGTTGCCACTGGGTGCAGATATGTATTTCTCTCACTCAAATTCAGACTGTAACTGCAGCTTGTTAACGCCTGACTACAGATGTATTTCACTAGCATTCTACCATTATCATTTTCAATGCAGAGTTCAAAATAAAGTTTCCTTGGAAAAATTGGCTGCCTAAGTAAAATCACAGATGAGGCATGGCAGAGAAAGTTTTAACGAGAATTGTGGCGATGGAACCAACCACAGTAACATTATTGAGAGCTTTATGGTGTGTTCATACACTGAAAATTCTGTGCTCTGGTACAGACAGCAGCTTTCCAGTCCTGTTTCCAAATGCACAGCAATGAACATGGGATGATAATCACAAATGGTATAATTTTGAATAGTGGATGGGCTTGTTGGAAAACACAAAAGTCATGTTACCCTGAATTTGAACCAGGTACTTCCAAACGGAAGTACAGATTGTTACCGCTCAGGTTGGGTAGTGCCTGCATCAGATAATGACAGACTTTTCTAACCAAACCTCACTTTCTTTTTCAGCATAGCAAACCTGCAGAGAATCTTAATATGTGCAGCTTGTTTCTGTAATGATTTATAATGGTAATGTGGCAAACACTTCACTACTTACTGATGAAGTGGCAAAGCATATGCCCCAGTCTGCAATGGTCTCCACTGTCATGTTGAGCAATGCAAGGCGGATGATGGGTGCCAGCGCCTTCCACAGGGCAGATACTTTGTGGAATGGCCAGTGCTTGGACCCCCGGATAATTCCTGTGAACAAAGAAATTGAAATGTACCAGTCTGAAGTTACCTGTTCCATGGTATGGGGCAGTCACATAGTACAGTTCCTCAAGGTTTAACACCATCCACTGGTGATCCAATATCTGTTTATATGACATGCTGCATGAACATTATTAAAATCATGAATGAAGCAAAACTCACCAGCAATGATCTCAGCAGCACAGCGCTGGCTGCTCTCATGTTTGTCTGTCACCAGGCGCTCCAAATGTGGCAGGAAATGGTTAAGGTATGTATCTCCATGATTCCGAAAAAGACCCTACAAACACAGCCAAATTGGAAAAATGTGGCCAACAAGTGACATAGGTTAGACACAGGACTTCAAATTTTAACACTATAAGAACTGAACTGTAAAATTACAGGTGCTACACATTTGGTAGCAGCAGGCTATACTAGAAGAAAACACACATGTGCACGCCTACGCACACATTACTCACACCTACACTTGTTAATTTTTGGTGTGTTCAAGAACAAACAGTTGGTAAAATTCTCCCATTATGTGCAGTATGTCTCTCAGTTTGTCAACATGCAGTGGCAGTGGCAGCAGCACTGCCGCCACCGCCGCCACTGCCACCACTACTACTAACAACAACAGGCAGTTTGCACAGAGACCTTACATGTATTCTCAGAAAAATGTTTAGAAAAATTGTTGTAGAGGAAAATGCAACACACATTTCATGCCCAATGTAAGTCTTACAAACAAATGCCTGTTCAATTTGCAGTAGCTTACACATATAGCTGCTAACTATTTCACCCAGTCCTGTTGTACATATGAGTATTAGTATGAGGGGAGAGCCATAAAAACTGGCCCTTGCACAGTGACCTTCAATGATCTATTGTGCTTCCCCTTTGGATTAACCCTTTAGTAATCCTACACTTCAAATGAAATGTAGGACTTTATTTATGTGGGCGTCATAAAAGTCACTTGGTTCCATGAAGAACTGACCCAGGTGGCGATATCTTAGGTAAGCTATAGCCTCACAATCACGTAAGATGTGTGTGGCTGATTCATCTTTTTGCAAGCACCTTTCATAAGTTGGGTCGTCTGTCAGACCCAGTTTGAAAATGTGCTCTTTTAGGTGGCAGTGTCCAGTAAGTAATCCTACCACCCATCTGAGTTCATCTCTGTTTAATTTTAACAGGTCCCTTGTTCTTTTGGCAGAGGGTCCTGATATAAATCCTTTTGCCTGTTTGAGTCCAGTTGTGGATTCTCAGTGTTTTTTGTGATTTCTATTAGTCCAGTCCCTGATCGCTTTCTTGGCAACTCCAATTGACAACCTCTTTATTACAACCGTCACAACACAACAAATATCAAGACCAGTGCCTAGTTTCGGCTCTGCTACATGTTTTGGCTATTAATAGCCATCATCAGGCAAATACATGGTTAACATATATACACCACTGAACCGCAGTACTAGTAAAATTGGATACAATATTATTAATTATATAAAAAAAAATACTTGACATAAAAATACAATAAATTAGATTATATAAAACACAAGTTATAGTATAAAACAAGAATAAGATTCTTTGATTGATGTTTTACATCACTGAGTCAGTCGTTGATTTTGCAATTTGTTGTATTCCCATGGACAAATTGGAATAATCTATATTTTGTGTAGATAAAAATTGTATAGGAGGCTCATGATGTAGATGTAGTAATATTAATGTTAATTATTTAGTCGGTGCCTCATCTTACAAAGTACTGTCCGTTCTGTGGGGAATGTACACAACGACTGAGTTCAGGTCTTATGAACGGCTGTTCAGATCCTGTTCTTGCCAGCTGACCTGCAGTTTCATTCCCAGCAATACCCTCATGGCCTAGCACCCATATCAGCTGAACTCTGTTATGTCTGGCCAGTTGTGTGAGGGATAGGTGACAATTTCAAACCAATTTTGAAGTGATTTGGTATGTACCAAGTGCTTTGATTGCAGCTTGACTATCTGACAGAATATACATATTCCTATTTTTGTAGTTTCTATCTAAATTCTCAACTGTGCATGCCTTAATGGCATACACTTCTGCCTGGAATACTGTTGTATACTAACCAAGGCCAAAACTACGTTTCCGCTCTGTTTCATCACAGTACACTCCAGCTCCAGTGCCTTTATTTGTCTTGGAACCATCTGTATACCAGTACAGTCAGGTTGAGACCCCTCTTTCCATTCACTTCTATCAGGAAATCTGATGGTGAAGGGTTTATCACAGACATGTTTCGGTATCATTTTATCAGATCCCAGTCATACTGTACATAAGTACTGAGCCTGTTGCTGCTGTTTGAATTTTCTTTCTTACCATTATTTAACAGTGCATTCACTGTTGGGAGTATATAGCTCTGGATGATGCCGCCCTTTGAAGTAACAATCAAAACACAGAAATAAACTACACATAATCTCTTCTGAATCCTTACCTTGAACATGATGAAACGATAACCATTGAACTTGTCCTTGCCTTTCTTCTCCTCAAGTGCAAGAAGCTCAACCAGTCTGTCAACATTTTGTTGGTCAGAGAAGAACAAATCCACTTCCTTCTCTTCGGCGGTCAGCTCGTCATGACTTCGGTCCAGTGCTGGCTGCTCCCCAGAGGCAGCATACACTTCCACTTGCCTGCAAACACTAGCCACTGTGAGACAGTAACCAACTGCTAGGTATGTTCTGGTGCTCCTATCGCAATGCTGGGAGTCTAGAAAACATTCTAAGCAGCTGTAAAACTTTCAACTCTCTCACTGAAGGTACAATCCCAAATACATCAAATAACTTCATGTCAGAGTCTTCTTTCACCTTTCAGTGGTTGTTCACATCTTCTAGGAATTGCTGAAAGTTCATATTCACAAAAGCCTGCAACTGGACCATACCTTGTGCCAGTTAAATGCACTTCATATCAACATACATCATATTTACTTGCGTATCATGTGCAGCTGTTATGGGGGCACACAGCAGCATAATTGGTTGAGGCATTATGCTACAAACCGGAAGGTCATGGATTTGATTCTGAGTGAAATCACTGGAATTTTAAATTGATTTAATCCTTTCAGCTGCACTATGGCCACTGACTCAGCCTCTAATGGAAATGAGTGCCAGGAATCTTCCTGGAGGTAAAGGGTGGCCAGCACATAAGGCAGACAACCTCACCACCAACTGTGAGCCAACTGTCTAGACAATGTGGGAGCCTTCATATCTCACAACCTATGGGCCTCCACGGCCTGTTATAGTGATAATTTTAACATTCTTCTACCTTTACCATAGGCAGCTGTTTATTCAAATTAACACGTAGCGACATGTGAGATTTTTATTTTTTACCTGGAAGCTTGACTTTTGAACACTAATGATGAATTCATTGCACTAGTACTTGATTCACACAGTAACTCACATCATGCCCTTGGTTCTGGTCATGTACAAATCGCAATGGTAGACAGAAATGTGACGTGTACGTTTGTGACAATGTCGCCACATTTTCAGAATATGTGGACTCATAAGGAGCAGATGTGTTTCTTACATGGGTTGCAGGTACCATACACATGCTGGAATAAGTATGAAACTGTTTCCTGTGTGTGAGAAACTGCAAATAATATGCCACTGTGTTTATATATATTCTTGATACTTTTATAAGAAATTAAATTAATTCCCCTCTCCCATAACTGTCTACTCACTTCTTCCCCCCAAACTCTAATCCTGAAAATAGGGGTGAAGGTACACAAGCAAATATAATAGGTGAACAGTAGGAGTTAACAACTCACTCGGGCCAGCAGTAAAAGCCGTGGTAAGGCTTGTGCACGTAGCAGGGAGTGTCCCATGCTTCTGCAGTCAGGGGCCGGGTCTTGCTGCAGTACTGCACCCACCGGTTGCTAGCGTGGTCTCCAGGGCCCTTAGCCTTCTCACCCCCTGAGAAGCTCAATGGATCTATAAGAATCTTCTTGTGGGCACGTTTCTGCTGTTTGAGCAAGAACACTGTGCTACGGATAGCAATCTGAAAATAAAAGTAATTAAAAACCCTTCCACCTAAACTTTGCTTATCTTTGAACTATAGAGTTTGGTTTCGTACCTTCCTGAGTTCCAAGGAGTCATGTATGAGTGTGTGCAAAAAGTAACGCACAGTCCTTGCAGAATAAGGCAGGTCAGGATGAACAAGGTCCCTTAGAAAACTTAGTGCCATCGAGCGGTAGCGCCAGTGCCTGCAACGGTAGGTATTAGACAACAGTTTCTGTTGGGTGAAATGCTCTCAATGCAATAGTGTTACAAAATGAGTGCCTTCCTCCAGTTTGACACAGGTTTCCATATAAAGGGAGAAATTATGGAACAGTTCTATGATCATGACCTCTAGGTCAACAGCTGAGATCTGGTGGTACATGTATTCCTAGAGATACATGAAATCACCTCATATAAGAGTGTGTGAGATATATTTCATACAATGTCAGATAGGCTGCAAGGGCACTAAGTACATCTTGACAACTTTCTTTATACCACTTTATCTTAGCAAAGACCAAATAAATTTGTTTAAAATCAAAAGGTCTCTGTATACTGTCATGATTATAATATATGATAACATGTAGTGTGAGATACAGTTTAAGTCATCTCAAACAGAAGTATGTAAAATCTCACTCTAAGATCCAACTATGCTTTGGGGCTCATGGGTTATGTCATATGACAAAGGATCAAAAACACAGCTCCAGACAGAGTACAAAAATCTGCATACAATGTGTTTATTATTCAATGTTTCACTAAAGTAAAATCAATATGCTGCATACAGCTGAACTAATTCTGCATACTCGTATTTCTTTCTATTATTTATTTTATGTAGCAGGCATTGAAAAAGCGGGAAATGCATTTCAAATTTTGATTGGGAAACTTGGTGCACAGAACAAGATGCATATGTAGCTGTAAATACGATGCAAGTATATGGAGTTTAGAGAAATAAGTGGTAAGGAAATGAACCAGTGTAAATCAGAATCCTCGAGTGGACTTCTGTGGTAAACGCAATCCATATTTGGGCTCCATAACCAAGGGAATTTCTTGAAGACTGTGGTATGTTTGATTATTAACTTCCTAACAGTTCTTGTTCATGGCTAAGCAATGGCAATATAGCTTTGCCAGAGCCGACCAAACCAATGCCAAAATTGAAAACATCTGCCATACAACTATTAGCAACAGAATACTAACATTTTGTATGCCAAAAAAACTTCAAAATATGAACAAATCTATTAAGGCCATTTTTATATAGAATATAAGTGTCCCATGTGGTTAGCGTAGTTGGTTGAGGCACTATGCTACAAGACACAAGGTCGCGGGTTCAAGTCCCGATGAAGTCATTAGATTCTTTTCAATTAGCCTAATCCTTCTAGCCGCACTATGGCCCTGGGGTCGAGTCAACCTCAAACAGAAATGAGTACCAGGAATATTCTCGGCTCAGCCAGCGGGTAGGGCTGACAACCTTGCTGCCATCTATGAGCTGATTGTGGAAACCTCAACATCTGACAACCCTATGGACCTCCATGGCCTGTTACAGGGATACCTTTACTTTTTCTTTTTTATGTCATACAAGCTGAGCCAAGGGGGAGTCTGAAAATGCCTCTTTCTTGACACATCAAAACTCCCCTCCTCCTCCTTCATACTTTTCAAGAAAAGAGGACTGCCTTGTTCATATTATCACCCAGATATTCTAGAAGTTATAACATGGTGGCCAGGCAAGAAGAAAACAGTCTGAATCATGCGGACATGTGCTACCATCACAGACAGAAACAGATATGAAGCAGTACTTGCTGGGAGTCAAGAAATGAGCTCACTGTTGGCAGTGACAAGATTCAACAAGAGAACAGTGAGGTGGAATTGCAATGAAATAACAGTGGACTTAAGTGCCTACTGACACTGAGGCAGTAACATGATACACACTACAACAGAAACTATACAGAATCCGTCATTTAACTGCAGCTAATAAAGGCATAAATGTTGTAGCAAAATGACAACATTGAGCCTCACAAGTTTTCCTGCTGCATAGCATCCATGAGGGAGTCCAGTAGAGCCAGATATTGATCCGTGTTGTACTGGTTCCTGTCTTCCAATTGCTGCATGCCAATTGCAACCTCTTCATCTGATACAACTTGGAAGCAAGGCGCTGGACTTGAGTTCCACAGCTGGCGTGCTGCAGCAAGGCAAAGTTCGGGAATCTGTTGGCACAAATGAGATGGACCACATGACCACTGTGGGTGGTTACATCACCGAGTGCTACAGTCTGTGAACAGCAGGACACTCACCTGCAGGCTGATGGTAATGGTGGGGAAGTGCTTGTGAACACTCTCCACAATATTCTCTATCAGGCGGATCACTGACAACTTCTCTGATGGCTTTGTGCGCACAATCGCGGGCCAGAGGTTCATCAACATCTCCCAGTCATGCCTGGTTACCAGGGGGTTCTGCTTTGGGCCAAGTAGCACATACAGTGAGCCCTGGAATGGATAATATCATGTGTTTCAATGAAATTATACAAAATGAATACATATTTTAAAATTAGTAATGACATCTGCTATGTCAAAAGTTGTTCCATCTGCAGAACTCTGCCAGTAGCTATACTGTATAGCAGCAAATGGTAGGATGACTGAGAGATAATAAACTGGATAGGATTTCAAAGAAAGTGGTCATGAACTAATAAGGCATTATACTGGAATTTATCTGACGGGACTGAGGAAAACTATCAAAAACCTCACTCATGACAGATGGTGTTCTGGAGATGATCTCAACTGAACACCTCCCACATATGATTCAAGACATTAACTGTGTAGCAAGCTACTCGGTGATGCTTTTATTATTGCTCAGCTGCAGACACTGTTCAACTGACACCTTGTTCTGTTCCAAACTAAGTCTTCTCTGAAATTAAGTGCTTGTAAGAATTTAGTGTAAATTCCACACATCAGGCCTAGCCTCAAGCAGCTGTCTCAGCCACTCTATCAGCAAGTGTGTGACATCTGAACAATGTAAGGAAGTTCAGGTTTAATCTCTTCTGGTACACCTGAGATGGCATATGTAAGTAAATAATAGGCATGTGTGAGAATGACTTCTTTGTGTTCGAGAATTTGAAGAAGTTTCAAGAATGAAAATTTCCTCCCTCAGACAAATTTTTTATTGTAACCACAATTCATGGCACTAGCTTCTTTTTTTTTACACTGAAATGTAAAAATTATCCCTTTTGATAAGAGACCCTATTTCAATAAAAAAAAAAGGTCCATCACTCACTCACTCACTCTCATCCACTCATGGAGCAGAGCCCTTCTTGAGAAGCTGCCACCTGTGCAGCCACTCAAAAACTACTCAGCATTTAATGGAACCCAAAGGATCATTACCGTGTTCACAAGAGCCGTCCACTGGTCCCGTCCTCAGCCACATTAATCCAATCCATACCATCCCATCCTATCTCTTCAGAACCATTTTAATATTGTCCACCCACCTACGTCTTGGCCTTTCCCACCAATATCCTACATGCATTCCTCTTCTCCCCCATTCGTGCTACATGCCCTGCACATCTCATCCTCCTTGACTTGATCATTCTAATTATACTTGGAGAAGAGTGCAAGTTCTGAGGCTCTTTGAGAGCAAGTTTCACACCCATACAGAACCACGGGCAAAATTATAGCTGTGTACCTTCCAATGTTTATGTTTTTAGATAGAAGACAAGAAGACAATTCAATCTCCTCTTAATTTCCTCCTGAGTCAGGTTTCGATTTGTTATAGTCGTTCCCAAATAACTGAACTGTTGTCACATTTTCAAAACATCTGTCAACTATCTTAATGTCATGATTTTGCCCTGCATTCAGATGACACAGCAACATATACTTAGTTTTCTCTGTGTTTACTTCTAGATCAACTTCCTTGCTAGTGTCAATTAAAGTTTGTGTGTTTTTCTTTAAGGTATCTAAATTATCACCCAGTAGATTCACATCATCAGCATAGACCAACAGCTGATATGTCCCATTTAATTCCAGTCCCACCTGGTTTTCCTGGACATTTCTAATGGTATATACTAAACCAAGTAGTGGCAATAAAGCATCTCCTTGTTTTAGACCAGTCTGGATAGGAAAATTATGAGACAAAAGTTTACCTAATGGACTTTTAATATATGTTTCATTTAAACACATTTTAATCAGCCTAACTAGTTTCATAGGTATCCCAAACTCCATCAGAATATTGTACAATACTTCCTTCCTAACTGAATCAAAGGCTTCTTGAAGTCTACGAATAGCTGATGTACTGTCTCATTGTACTCGCATTTTTTTCTCCAGTATATGATGAATGCAAAAGATCTGATCAGTAGTTGATCTGTTATGCCGAAAACCACGCTGATGATCCACAATAATTTCATCTATGTATGGGCTTAACCTTGAGAGAAGAATATTGGATAAAATTTTGTATGAAGTTGACAGCAGTGATATTATTTACTTACTTATGGAGCTGAGCCCTTCTGGAGGAGGCACAAATTCTGCAACTACTCAAGAATTTCCCAGCATTTTATGAAACGGGAAGGCAGTAACATGCCATGATAATTACTAGTTAGTTTTATCATCCTTCTTGTGGACTGGTACAATTATAAACTCCTTCCACTGATCAGGAAATTCTTCCTTATTCCAAATAGAATTAATTAGCTTATGGATCTCACAATGTAATATTTCACCTTCTGCTTGAATCAGTTCTGCCGGAATTTGATAACTAACTGGCGATATATACCTTCTCAATTTTACAATAGCAATTCCAACTTCAAAAGGGCTAGGACCAGGTACTAACCACTCAGCTGTATGTATTTCTATCTGCCTAACATCACTGACCCTATGCACATTCAATAATTGAGAGAAGTAGTTCTTTCACCTATTCAAAATGTTGTGGGAATCTGCAAGCAGATCGCAATTCTCATCCTTCACTAAGTTACTTCTAGGTTGGTAACCCCTCTTAAAGTAATTTATTCCTCTATACAGGTCTCTAATGTTCTTGTTCCCACTGTTCATTTGCAAGCTCATCAATTCCTTCATTTTATTCCTGAAATGCCTGCTGGTTTCATATCTCATATTATTCAGATTATCTCCATTTATTTTGCTTGGATCCTGTTGGTTGGTTGGTTGGTTTCCAATGGCTGCATTTGGGATCATTTAACTCATTTTGCTTCTTGCTTCCCAATACAGAGCACTCAAGTTCTTGCTTTGTTGCATCTCTTTGTTAAGATTAGGGCATTGAAGAAGGCATTCTTTTCCCATAGATGATCCTGGCAAGTTGCACAGTGTACATTCTTCTGTGTTATATATTCCTACCTTAAAAAGATGTGCTGCAAGGTAGTCATGTCCTGCATTCAATCAAAAATTTGCAACAGCTTCTTTTCTGTGTTTCTTGCTGTTAATTTCCCAAAGTTTTCCTACTGCTGACCATTTCTTGTTGTATGGTTCTTTGTTGATGGTATGGAGTATTTCTTTACTTGTTTTAGTTTTGATTTTGTTAGCTAGCGTGTGGGCACTTAAGATTTTACTTTGGAGATGCAGTCTTGTGCCTTTCACAGCAGCCTTCCTGGTATTAAAATTTTTAAAACTTTTTTTTTTAAACTTTAAAAAATTTTAATACCAGGAAGGCTGCTGTGACTGTGAAAAGTTGAACACTGTCTACATTGTGTATTCAGACATTATATGTGTATGTATATAATTTAACACCTACTGTAATAGAAGTTTCCGGAAAAAGTACTGATGACCTCTGAGGATGATCCATAGGGATCGAAACATGTAAGGGTGATGAGTTTTCAAGTGATAAAACTTAAATAGTCACACTGGATGGTGTTGTTTTCGTCTTTGTAATTGTTAGTGTGATGGACCAGAATGAAACAAATCAAAAAGCTAGACTCTTTTTGGCCAAAATTTCTATATTCTTTCTAATAGTTTCCCAAGCTCTATTAATAGCCATCTCAGTATCTAAGTTTTCCAAAGCTGTGAACCTATTTGAGATTTCAACATGATATTGCTCTTTACCCTGTACCTCCTTTAATTTCTTGAGACTGAACCTCTCCATGTGAACTCAGTGTGTTGTCTACTCACTGCAAGTCTTTCCGTAACTTTTGCCACCACCAGATGGTAGATATTATCACAAACCGCTGCCCTGAACTATCAGATATCAAGTATACTTTTGAATGCCATCTCCTGTCTATCAAAATATGGTCAATTTGGTTATGTGTCTTCCCATCAGATGTTCAAGTAAATTTATGAATGTTACAATGTGTGAACATTGTAGTTTTGACAATAAGATTTTTGGATGTGGTAAAGTTTACTACTCTAATTGCATTATCATTACTAATTTCATATAAACTCTCATGTAAACTTGTTGGTTTGAAAATGTGTTCCCTACCTACTTCGGCATTGAAATCTCCTAACAGAATTTTCACGTAGTATTTATGGAATTTATCGAATACGTTCTAGTCCTTCATATCATTAATTTTGTCCTCTGTTGGGGCATGAATATTCAGAATGATGCTATTAAACCAGTGACCTCTTAATATTATGTATGACATCTTATCATTAATAAGCTCTACCCTCTTAACTACTATGATTCTCTTATGTATGAAAAAACCTGTACCTAACTTATGATTTTCATTCCCCCTTCTATAGAAAATTGTATCTCTGCCTGCAGGTTTGGTGTCACCTCCATCCCATTTGACGTCCTGTACCCCCACTAAATCTAATTTATATTTGAGATTTCTTCCGTCACTGCCCTTAGTGAACCTGCCCTATACATACTTCTAACATTCCAAGCACAAAATCTCATATCCATTTTCTTTCTCTTAGAATGTTTATCTGAAGAATCCATCAAGGTCCAAGGCTTCTTGTGATCTTTCATAACAAGCTGCTTATTTTTTATGGTTAGGAGCTGTTAGCCCCACACCCAACCCCCAAGCTGGAGGACCACCCCTTGTTGGCTTTCTCCAACTGCTTATTAAATATATTTGCAGCTACCCTCATTATCTGGAGGCCATCTCTCCATCTGCAACCTGAGGACATGCCATGCCGTGGTGACAAGGGAACACCTAACATGTGTCCATCTATCATTGTATTAAAGGAAATTCAATTCTAGGGGTATGTACTTTTTCACTGTGGGCAGAAGGAGGGAGGGAAAGAAACAGATTTTGTTGATAAGTTGTTCTGCATTAGTGCTGCCAATATTATGATTCTGATGGCTCAGGAAGATTGTATGACACTGCACAAGGTACAAGCAGTTATTTGAAATCCTCAAACTGAGGTTGAAAGTTTTGTCTCAATTCAATCTTGAAAATTCCAAGACTCACAACTACACAGCCAATACCTCACTTGTTATTCCCAGCCTACAGCAGCAGAGTAACATAACTGACTTCCCAGAGTTTTGCTTTTATAGTGAAAAGCAAGATGGCCAGACACTAAAGCTGTGACACGACTCTCTTCCCATGTGCATGTTATTTAAATGTATCCTCAATAGTGAGAAAGGAAACACACTTTCACTTAGAAGTGAGAGTTGCTCTCTCTGATCTTGGACTTACCTTAAACTGCTCATGGAACTGGCTTGAATCCTGCTGGAGGTTCCTAAGCAAGTGAGGGATAAGCACCGTGTATGAGTATGAGAATTGGTCGAGCGCTGTGAAGAGCTTCACCTGGGCCCGAGAACGCACCTGCAATATGATAAATACTTGCTCACACTGTCATAATCCTGCAGTAAACCGGCCTTGCTCCAGCACACCCTGAGGAGACTCACCTCACTGTAGTGACTGGTGCTGAGTGTCAGGAGATTTATCATCATCTGTCGGTGAGTTGGGGTGAGGCACATGCTGCCTTGCTCCAGCAGTGACTCATGCTGCAACATAGTCCTGTCTATGAGGAGAGCACGCAGGTGTCGCTTCTGCCCCACCAGCTTGTTTTCCAGAACTTTCTTCAACATGCGGAAGTTCTTCCAGTGAACCTCATAACAGCTCTTGGAGCCAAAGCGGTCAATCAGTAGGTACTCCCACAGCTGTAACATGGAATATTGGCCTCACAGTGATGGCACACAACTGTCAAAGGAGCACTCACACTACAACTGATAAGTGAACTCACAACAATGAGACTGAAGAAAGACTTTGTATCATCCTCTCTACAAAGTAGCAGCTTTTCTTGCAGCCGGTTCACAGTGTCTGCAACTGACTTGCGTACATTGCTACCATCTGGCATTGTGACATGCCCCCCTCCAACATCAACACTTGGTAAGAATGGGGTGATGGGCAAGCAGCTGTCAATCCTGTGGGCAAAGAACATTATGTGGCTTCATTGGCTGACACTGACTACTGAACAGTTTTTAAACTCACAATGCTACTCACAGCTTGACGGGCGGCTCGTCCCACACAGGCAGCATGGAACGGCAACCCAGCACAGCGATCACAATGCCTAAACTGCACTGCAGCTCCTCCCTGAAACAGTGCCCCACAATTTCACTCTGTGGCTTGCAAGCGTCGCTGATAAGTTACACTTTATTCATTCACCTGCAGTTTACCTTGTGAGCTGGACCTCATCACTGATGAAGCTATTGATACGCTGCAGTTCAGGTGGCAGATACCTACTGATGAGTGACTGCACACAAGCGACCTCATTATTACCAGGCACATACCACTTCAGCTGCATGCTGTAAGGATTTCCTGGCATGCCCCAGTCCTGCCAACACAGTAAGCTTATACACATGACAGAAGTGGGAACAATTATGTAAAGGGAGTAAATATGCATACCTTGATGGGCAGGTAGTCCTTGACGGGCCGGTCAAAGGATCCAGGAACACTGCGGTACTCTACAGGAGTTATCGAAGTTAGGCCTGACAGAATGTGGCGCAGGATACAGCTTGAAGAGAGGAAACCCTCACGACACGCCAAGTGCAGTGTACGGTCCAATACTCGCTGCAGCATTCCCATATAAGGCAACAGAGCATTGCCCCGGCAGTCCACCACCTCGACACAAACAATACAACTTATTGAAACTAATTAGTCACAAACACAACAAGCACACATTTGTCTCTCGCTATTCCATACCTCATGAAAATGACACTCTCTGCTTCTAATTTGGCACTTTTGCTTGCGACTTTCATAAATAATTTTTAAGAACAGAAATATGCCAGGAGATGTTACTACATAATTCTGCTTAGAACATACAAAGCAAGTCATATCATACAGAATGCAAGAGCCAGCACTGAAATGTGCACTGGGGTATGTCGCTGCAAGTGAAAGTGTTTGCACAAATATGCAGATTATGACACAGTCACTTTATACTGGGTATCAAGCTGATGTGTTGAGGTCAAGTGAGAAGAAATCAATACCAACAGTACAGCAGCTTAGACAGAGCTGTGTGATGGAATGTCAACAGATTCAACACTTGTACATTAGTTGCAGGAACTCACTTCAGAGAGCAGAAGTAAGTTGTACAGCAGCTCATTGTCGAGGATTTCCTCCTCCAAGATGTCATCACTCTCCACCAGAGTGAGCACCGTGTCACACAGGTGTGGTAGGAGCACTCGCAGTGTTTCCTCAGGGTTTACCTGCATTCAGACAATCAACTCACTGTTACAGAACCTTGAGGTTCACCATCGTAATCACAAAATCCTGTCCACACAGAACAAATCTTCACAATCACTTCCACTTGATTAACAGCCTCTCTGTATGTCCCACCCAGTCGGTATCAGGTACTCTATTCCACAGAGATTTCCTTACCAAATTGTGTGTACATTCTTGGTTTCCCTTCCTGTGGTACATGTCACAGCCACCTCCACATATTATGTGAAGCATCTCATTTTTCTCCTCAGCATTTTGATCCAAACATACTCACTCTCACATTCAGCATGAAAGCAAACAGAATGAAAGTCTCTGAACAATTTTCTAATGTACTAAATTAACTTTTACAAAAATAACTTTGACAAGTTATGTTACTTAGTATGTGATACTGTGTAGTCCAGCAGAAGTTCATTTATGAGTCACAGGAATGTAGCTGCCTCTTCGGTCTTGAAGGATAAGCCAAGCAACCAGCAAGAGCAGAGCTCTGCTTGCTGCATGCTTGGCTTACCTTTCAATTCTGGAGATAGCATGTTGCCTTGACACATCCACAAATTTCTGCTGTACTACACAGCATCAGTACTGCTCACAGTCACCACTGTTAGAACCTCAAATCCAACAAAAATTATACTGATTATAAGGCACTAAACTGACCTTTTTGCATATGCCTTATGAGGCAGGCCAGACAGGTTGTATTTAAGCATACTGTTGAATTACTATATCTAAAACTGTTTATATACTACACAGTCTGTGAACAATGCAACAAATTATTCCTTCTTTCTTTCACTTTCACTTTCAACACAGCATGTTTCAGCCCTAAATGGCCATCTTCAGGCATCTTACTATGCAAAATTAGACTGCAAACATAACACAACAATGGGCTTACAAATAGAAAAACAGGCAGTGTGTGCTCTTTTAGCCCATACCAGTTAGACCACAACTATGACAGTTTGCATCAGGAAGCATGGAGTTGCATATGTAATGAATGAATAATATTGGTGCAGTGTAGCAGTTTTAGCATAGTAAGACACCTAAAGATGGCCATTTAGTGCCGAAACATGTTGTGTCAAAAGTTAAAGTGAAAGAAAAAAGAAATAATTTGTTGCATTTTTTATGGAATGTGTTGTTGTAACAATATTAAAAGGATGGGCATTAAATGATTCTTGCTCCGTAGCTGTGTTCAATCCAATGTGCATCCACTTCCTAGGATTTGGTATACTAACAGCCCTGCAATAAAATGCTCAATGTGGCCATATAACAGTAACTTGGTTTCACGAAGTGCATCCCCAAGCAGGGTTAGGAAGTCTCTGTTTGTTTCAGTTTATCTGTAATAACTGGAAAATACTGACCTTGGAAAATGAGCGAACCACTGTCGCTATGAAGTGTCCTGCCACCTTTGTCTCAAGAATCCGTCCTGTCACAAAGGAGTGGAGCTTCTTCAGCGCTGACTGTAACAGGACAGACACACATGAGTTAGAGAGAGACAGACCTCATCCATTGTTCTGAAGCGAACTCAGCATAATGTGCATAACCTTAATTTTGTATTTATCTGAAATGTCATAATTATTAATGAATAAAGTAAAAGTACAAAGTGTTTTAGACAACTGTTACAATTGCTGTGGGCTCCCTCCATCACTGCTGATATTTGTTTGCTGGCCAACTTTCACAGTGTGTTTAGCTAAAACCTACATCAGCCATACTTCCTACCTCTGGCACAATTCTTTAATTGTTTTAAATGAGGAAACTCTAGTGTTCCTACAATGAAACTTATAACTTTGCTGATGCAGACAAAAACCATTTTACATTATTGAAAAAGCAGCTTATCATCAGTGACCATGTAATGGTTCTCAAAGGAACTCCTTCTAAGATAATTTAGACATGTTTGTTTTATATAAGAAATTCACTCTCTGGCAATGCAACCAACTATGGACAATCGAAATATATGATTTGAAAGAAATCATTTACTTTGCTCTGCAAACCTTCATACTACATACTGTGACATGATGCCGAAAGCCGCAAAAGTAGAACCAGAGGAGACATCAAGCATAAAAATTCAAGAACTGTGATTGCAAATTAATATTGTTTTTTTAATATCAGTCAAGTCCTAGGGCCTGTTCTTACCAGTGGTGACTCAAGGATTTACGTGGTGGGAAACATTCAAATCTGTGACTCATCTTCCAGTGTGGACCCTTTACTAGATTTCAAAATGTGACTACATCTAATAGATTAAAGCACTTCATTACTATGAATTTTATACAAAATGAGAAAATGACATGAGGCCACACTCCAGGTCTAATTTTATACAGCAGCAGTTAAAAACAAGCAGAGACTGGATTCATATGTAACAGGGACTGGACTGAACTGGCTCAAGATTAGGTCCAATGGTGAGTACTGACATTAACAGAGTTCAGTACTTGCTTGCAGTACTTCATACCTTGAAGATCTGAGATGAGGTCTGCATGAGCACAGTGGTACAGGTGGAAGACAGTGCCCCTTCTGCCATGTTCTCCAGCTTACTGCGCTTGTCCTCCTCACGTTCCAGACGAGTTACCTCCATAGAGCTGCTCTCTATGAGTAAGAAGCAACGGTCAAGGAACTGCAGCACAAAATCCTCAAAGTCTGCTGTGGCTAGAGCAATCATCTCCTCCTCCTGCAAGCAGACAACAAGCATCACAGTCTGCTCTAGAGTGACCAACCATCCAGCACTCACTACTCATGCTTCTGAAGTACCTCTGTCAGATTCCTCCAGTACTCTGGGGCGGATGAGCAGTCCACAATGGGAACCAACGCTGCAAACGTGGAAATGAACTGGAACGTGACAAAGCACTTCTTGATGTCATTTGGGTCTATTCCTGGCAATGTTGACATGAGCAATGGAATGACGTGAGTTGGTCCCTCTTTGTAAGCACCACCCTGCACCATTGGTCGTGCCACTGCAACCATGCACTGCATGGCTGCTGTAAGCTTGTGGGGCTCTGTCAGCATCTCCAGTGTAGAGTACATCCTGACAACATTGCATAAGGTTACAAATGTGAATGGAAAACCATTCTGTGTTCAAATTCTTCCTGGCCATGTGACTTACCTTTCAATTATCTGTGGAATGATGATTGTTGGGCGCAATGTTGCCAAATGCTGCAATGCTTGGCTTACTTCTACAAGACCCATCTTGGAGAACATAGCTTGCATTGCAACAGGTTTAATGGACTGCACAAAGTTAGTGATGTCTTCCTCTGTGAGTCTGTGACTGTCTGGTATGGGCGTCTCCCATGTCAGCTTCTTGTACCGCTCCCTACAACAGGTTGCATGACAAGGCTGTGTGAACAGGTTGTGAAACAAGGACTGGCAATGAGATGGGACATCCTACAAGCCTCTGGACCACTGAAGTTAATTGGGATATCAGATGCAGCAAAAAAAAAAATATTAGTGGAAAGAATTACACCATTTAATACAAGTACTAACATTTAACAATGTTATATATATATATATATATATAATTTGTTATATATATCTACAGCAAGTAGCACCCTGTGTTGGACAAATGTTATATGAGGCAGGACAAGTGCTCCCTTTGGGAGTGCTCACAGTTTGATCTTGGGTTTGAAACCAAAACAAACCCACGCAAGTTCGTGTCGGAGGTTCATTTGTTAGCTCTGAACAGTGAAATCGCCTATCACCGTACAGGTTTCGATATTATTTACATTTAGATATGACTGTTTATGACCTTGTCAGCCAAATAGAGCCCAGCTTTGTTTTGACAATTTAGGAGTAAATATTCATCGGTGCTTGCAGATCAGTGCTTCCATAGCTTCCATAGGATTGATTTTCAGTGGCGAATTATCAGTTAGGAAGTCAGTGTCGGATTGTCATATATTTCTTTGTATATCATTTTTATTTTGTGTCTCGGAAGAGGTATAAACCCACTGAGCCAGTATCACTTTGTGAGTAAAAGGCATCTTCACCACTGTGACTTTCAGTATCAGTGTCGGACTGGCACTCTTTTCTGACTACTATTACAATTACTTCACATCACTATTTTGCGAGTATTACTAATAGGTGAGTGTATCACTTTGTCAATCAACATAATTTATTCGATTTAGCTGGAAACCCCCTTCCCCCAAGATGGAACCCCAAAAACGTGCCCGATATTCAAAACTTCTCGACGCGGAAATATTGATGGAAGAGGAATCTGATGAAGAGTTAGAAGAATTCAATGAGTTCATTGAACCTCATGAAAATATGTCATCATCATCATCATCAGGTAATGAAGCAGAGGAAACGGAAATTAGGTTTCGTGAAAGAAGACCCGAGGATTTGCCAAAGGTACTAGACTTCACTGGTCCTCCGAGTGGAATCAACAGATAAGCTGCTCCCAATATAAATGCACAGTCCTCTTCTTTTTCCATTTTCATTCTGTTTTCCAGCAAATATTCCAAATCTTGTTACAAGAAACCAATAGATATTTCCATCAATTTACGGCATGCCAAGATGCTCCAAGCCCTTCTGTTCAACTGCCCGACATTACAATTGAAGAGATGTATACATTTTTGGCAATAATAATTCAAATGGGCCACAATCAACAGGACAGCCTCAAAAATTGTTGATCAAGAGATGAACAATGCTACACTACATTCTACCATAACACCATGGTACGAGACCGTTTCTTCCACATTTTGAGATTCCTGCATTTTGAAAATAATGAAGTTCCTGCAAATCAAGATGGCCCAAATTATAAAAGATTTTTACAATCTGAACAACAAATTTTGTGAACTTTACAATCTATCGGAACATCTTGCTGTTGATGAAGTCATAGCGCTCTTCAAAGGAAGGGTGATTTTTCATCAGTACATTCCGAAGAAACACAAAAGAGTTGGTATAAAAATTTACAAGCTTCGCGATTTTCTTGGCTATACATATGATATGACAGTTTATTTAGGGAAACAAAGGCAACTTCTGACAGAAGAAATTACATCAACACATGGCATTTTTCTCCAGCTAATTCGAAGAGTAGAAGGCTTAGGACACAAAATTTAAGTGGACAATTATTCCAGTTCCCCTGCATTATTTGATGATCTATTAGAGAGGAAAATAAATTTGTGTGGCACCGTTTACAATGATAGGTGTGGAATGCCACAAGAAATTTGGCCCAAATCAATAAAATTGAAAAAAAGGGGATATTGTTACAAGAGTCAAGGGGCATCTAAGTGTTGTTCGTTGGAAAGACAAGCGTGATGTGTATGTTCTGATGAATACGCACCCTCCTATATTGGATGGAAACTTCCAAGATGAATCTGACCATGCTGTCAAAACCCATGTAATTGAAGACTACAATGCACACATGGGCTTTGTGGATATATCTGACAGGATGGTACCCAGTTATGGCATTGCTCAGAGGACATGGAAATGGACAAAGAAATTGTTTTTCCACCTTCTAGATACGAATATTCTAAATGCATATCTATTACAAAAGTCTTGTGATGGAAAAACGACACATAAAAAATTCTGCGAAATATTAGTGCAGGATTTCATTCTTCAATTGCACGAGGCGAATATCACGGTCAGTGGCATTTCTCGGGGGAGGCCTGGGACCCAACTGAGTCAACTGGAGGTGAAACATTCACAACACTGGTCAACCAAAGTGAAACAAAGACGTTGTGTTTGTTCTCTAAATTAGAAAAGCAGAAGAACGCTTTTCTACTTTAAAAAGTGTGATGTTGGGCTGTATGTGGTGGACTGTTTTGAGAAGTGGCGCACACGCGTCAGAGTATGAGGTATCGTAAACTGTGAAGTGATGCAGTTCAAACTTGTGTACAGTGTGAACAAAACATTCTTGTATATAGTGTGATTATATTTAGGGGTACACGGTAGCATAGTTGGTTGAGGGGCTATGCTACAAGCCATAAGGTCGCAGGTTCAAGTCCCAATGAGGTCATTGGATTTTTTCAATTGACCTAATTCTTCCAGCCGCACTATGGACCTGGGGTTGACTCAGCCTCTAACAGATATGAGTACCAGGAATTAATTAAATAATTTTCTTGGGGAGCAAAGCACGGCCAGGGAGTAAGGCTGACAACCTTACTGCCATCTTTGAGCTGACTGTCTAGATAATGTGGGAGCCTCAACATCTCACAACCCTATGGGCCTTCTCGGCCTGTTACAGGGAGAAATTTATTTTATTATTTATTTATTTATTTATTTTAGCGTGATTATATTTATAATATCACCATGATTCAAGGTTGAAGAAAAAACAACGGGTAAGTCCTTTGGAATTTCATAACATATATAATAAAGAATATATTTTGCATTTCATGACAAAATAATCACAGCTAATTTTCATTTCTGTAATTTCCTCTTTTGTGTATATGTAGAAAATTTTATTGTCTTTCAGTTTCTTTTTAGTTCATATTTCTATGTTGCATAGAATGGAAAATATGCATTTTTTCTGAAAGTCTGCAATGTTAAAGACTTAGAGCCATTTAAATTCCAGCCGTAGAGGGCTGCTGGTAATTTAAAAGTCAGTACATTAAAGGTTAATGTATGGAGGTAAAAAGTAAACTGGACCAATCAGTAAAGGGTGAGAAAGAGAACTGAAAATCAAGACAGACCAACAATTAACAAACACCAAGAATGAGACTGAGTGGATTAGAAAAAAAAGTATGAGAGATAAAATAAACAAATAGAGAAAAAAGGTAAAGCTATCCTTGTACTCATAACATGCCATGGAGGTCCATAGAGTTGTGAGACATCGAGGCTCCCACATTTTGTAAACAATCTGCTCACAGATGCCAATGAGTTTGTCAGCCTTACAGGAAGATTCCTGGTACTCATTTCTGTTAGAGGCTGAGCCGGCCCTAGGGTCATAGTGCGGCTGGAAGGAAACTGAAATGAAAAAACCAATGACATTGGGAATTTAACATATGACCTTCTGGCTTGTAGCATAGTGCCAGAAAATAAATCATAAATAAATATGGGAGGATAACTATGGAAGAAAAACAAGACTGAAAACAAACTGTGAAATGAAAACCCATGGATGAAAATGATTTGCACTGTACTAACGTATGCAGTCGCTGAATGAAATAGTATGGCAGTTTGCGTAATAAGTCCTTGAGCTTCACCAGCCAACGCCCAAAGTTTGCAGGATGAAAGTATGACTCAATTGCCTTCATAAACTTGTCCAGGTACTTCTGTGCAGTGCTTCCACCTCCCTGAAATATAAATATACTGATATCACTGTCAACCACACACTTATGCCACTATACTGTAAGACAGAGAGACAGGACTACAGTTCTCTGTTTGTATTTCAGCATGTGTAGTGTCAGAGAGCATATACTTGTATGCACTTACTGTAAACATAATCCACAATGTGAATAATGAGTACAAAATTAATCTTATATCAGATATTCCTATTATTGAAACCTTTTTCAGGTAGCTGTGATGTCTCCAATGGTCTGTGACTGTCAGACCGAATCAGATACAGATGAAAAGTGGTGACAGCTATGTAGAGGCTCGTATTAACTCACCACTACAGATACAGTCCAAAGTGCAATGGCTGAAGAGTCCAGTTTATGATGTTTGGAAGACTGCACATTCTTGTAGGACACAGGGAGGTTGAGGCTGCGCAAGAACCTTGTGAACATGAGTGGGATGTACGGCTCCCAGTCAATGTAGCCGATGTTGCAACGTGCCAGCCGTGCCATTAGCCATAATATGTCGCCTTCCCAGGCTGGTGCATTGTGGCACACCTCCCATAGATTCATGAACTCATGGAACCAGAGCTGGTGACCCAAGCAGCTCTTTACAGGAGGCAGTGAAATGGGAAGGAACCATTCCAGCATTTCGACTGTAGTGCACATTGCACCTGAGTCAAATGGGCACAGACGGGGCCGGAACATATCCAACACCTCCTGCGTGGCTGAGGCAGGGAAATAGCTGCAACATGGTTCATAATCACTGATCTCTGTGTAGCCCTATGTGGAAAATGCAAAAATTTATATTTCATCTCTTTGTCTGAGGATACTTCTTTATAATTAGACCTGTATTTAATTGTGTATACATAACTGAAATTATTCCAGTTCCTTGAATTGAAACACATAAAACTTTCTCTTCATTGTATACATTCTACTTTCACTTTCTTGTTGAATTAATTACAGTACTGCCTTTCAATTGAAAGAAAACTGGTGCAAAGACACTGAACATACTTTCTCATATACCCTTGATGGATCACACCCTTCTACTATCCTAGAATAAAAATTAAAAACAATTATCTACTCTAAATAGAAACCATTTCTAAATGTATGGCTGCTCCTAGATCCCCTAGAGAGGAAATTATCATTTTATGGCAAATGTAACCAATATACAGGGATACTGGGTTTTCTGACTTTGTCCATTGTCTGGATTCTAAATAACTAGGAAAAAACACGTTTTGGAAACTGGATCTGTTTCCATCCTCAGGTGAGGGAAGACATCTACTCTGCTGGGTCCCTTAGAAAGAGCTAGCCTCAATCACTAATTACAAACCCAACATCTCTGTGTTATACACCATCATCAGAACCCTAGAGTATCTACTTGTAACCAATATAGTTTTATTTGGGAACATGAGTATTATATATCTGAAGAAGTTTAACCGAAATTGCAAAGAGCTGTTTATGAGAAAAATAACACTCTGCAACTGAGCCCCAGATGGGGAGCTGTTCTTCAAATCCTGTCATGTTTGGGATGCTTTGGCCTATGAAATACCATCTGGTATGCTGCCTCTAGAGATGATTACAATTTAATCAACATCAGTTTTGTCACTTTCAAGAACACTGACTTTTTTTTATTGGGCCACTAGAGGATGTCTCTGAAGATACCATATGTTCAGTTTTATTTAGGGAAATGGTCTCCATGAATGACTGAAATTTAATGGAAATTGCTACAGTCATTTCAGGAGAAATTGCTATTTTGGGGCCTGGAGATTAAATGTTCATATTCACCAAACACTGACCTATGATGGATAGAAAAAATCTTAAATACCAAATATAAATAAAATCTGTCCAAGTGTTCACATAACAGTGTGTTCATGTGCATATACGTGCATGCAGGCATGCACAGAATGTATTCCTAAAATGACTTTTTCGTTTTCTTGGGTTCTGAAAACATGGAAATTCATCAAGATCGATGTTTTTCACTATCGTAACAGTTTCCAACTGGGTGTGGGTGACAAAGTATAAACCTCACACCATAACTGTGTACCAACATGAATCATTATCTAAATATTAAAAGATTAATTTGTTTCAGCTCTGTACTTTACTTTCCTTATACCTTATTTTTCAAAAATATGTTTTGTAGCAGTCATTTACTTTTAATATATTTCCATCATAAAGTGCAAAAAGCATACTGACTTCATTTCCACACTCCCACCAGCACACTGACCACTGTCTGCAAAACAATCCAGTACTTACTACCTGGCAGCATGGACCATTGAGTTTAGAGTGGTGTCAAGTGACCTGCAACAGTGAACACAACACAACACTTAGAGGCCACTGTGTCCATTCACACAGTTCACAAGTCTGAATTCTCCTTGTTCTGTACAGCACAGAATAACAGGAGGCTTACATCTTTCCATACATTGTCTTATTTTATTATCCTCCATCCTGAATGCCCATACAATGCTATTACAGATCCTGCTGCATGGCGAATAAATTTTGTTACTCCGAAGAAACGTTAAGTCATACCAACACTACTGTTTGAGTTTCAACCCCCTTTCCCCCTGCAGCAATTAGACTACAAACAGTGCAATGCAGGAGGTACAAATGTTTGTAGAAGTGACATTTTGTTATATCAACTAAAAAATTCACACTTACGAAAAGTAGCGGTACATGCCAACAGCACCGGGACTAGTGACCATGATCCGCTTACAGAGATCATATAAGGGCCTCCATGGAAGCACCAGTTCTTCTGGAGAGATCAGCTCCTTCTTCCTGGAAACAGCGTGCACCACAGAGATCTTAATTTGACACACACAGGAAATGTTTAGGTAAACAATACAGGATCAAAAACAAGAAATTGTTAAGTGAAAATGTACATGTGCAATTCACCATTGCACCTGCACAACACAGTATACGTCTGTTATATTCCATCACAGTGTTGGGTGCAAACAGGACCTCACAACACAGATGACAAATTACTCACTTCAAAAGAATAATCAATGCCTGTGCAAACTTGCTGACCAGCCATGGCTCCAAGTTGGGGATTGTCACTAGCTGATACATCAGATGAATGAAAGTCAGGTGGTCTTCCTTTGAAAACTTCATTCCATACAACTTCACATACCTGCAGACAGAAAGCAGCTGTGGGCTACACACGCAAGCATACCAATGTACACTGTACACATACACTGTAAGGTACCACAGCTCAACTTAATTTGGTTCCTACTTCTGGGCCAACTACACTTGTCTTAATAGCAAAAATGTTATCAGTCATAGTACTCCATGATTTGTGATGGTAAGGAATATTCTGTGACCTTGCATGCCTTTTGACTGTGTGAATCATATGATACTACTCACATTGGAATGCAAGCAAATGGTTAGAATCATACCTTACAAACAGGAACCACAGAGTTGTGATAAAGTCTGATATAGAGTACAGTGTGGAGCCCCAGAAGGCCCAAATTTGGTTCTCTCTGTTTTACAGTAAAAATTATTGATCATCCACCCATTATAACCTCAATGTAAAAATCCATTCTCTTTGTTGATGACATTAATAAAATACTCTTGGAAAACGATGACAAGTTTTGTGAAATTATCAAATACTCTCAGAAACCAAGAGTCTGCAAATAATAAATTAGCTTTAATTATTACTTACTTACCCATGGAGCTGAGCCCTTCTGGAGGAGCTGCAAATTCTGCAGCTACTCAAGAATTTCCCAGCATTTTATGGAACCCGAAGGTTCATTACCGTGTTCACAAGAGCCCTCCACTGGTCACTATCCTGAGCCTGATCTATCCAATCCATAGCATCCCATCCTATCTCTTTAAGATCCATTCTAATATTGTCAACCCACCTACGCCTTGGTCTTCCCTGTGGTCTCTTTCCTCCTGGCTTTCCCACCAATATCCTATACGCATTCCACGTCTCCCCCATTCGTGCTACATGACCTGCCCACCTCATCCTCCTTGACTTGATCATTCTAATTATACTTGGAGAAGAGTACAAGTTAAGCTTAAATTATTAGCAAAATAAACTAGACAGAATTTGTAAAAAAACAGCACACCCATAATATTATGATAAATCTGTGCAGGAAACTAAAACAACTAAGTTCCTTGTCCCCAAAATTTACAATCAGCCTGCGGAGGTCATATCACTCACTCATGGAGCTGAGCCCTTCTTGAGAAACCGCCAATTGTGCAGGTACTCAAGACCTTCCCAGCATTTTATGGAACCCAAAAGTTCATTACAGTATTCACAAGAACCCTACACTGGTCTCTATCATCAGCCACATCAATCCAATCCAATCCATACCATCCCATCCTATCTCTCTAAGATCCATTTTAATATTGTCCACCCACCTAAGTCTTGGTCTTCCTAGAAGTCTCTTTCCTTCTGACTTTCCCATCAGTATCCTCTAATCATTCCTCTTCTCCCCCTTTTGTGCCACATTCCCTGCCCATCTCATCCTCCTTAACTTGATCATTCTAATTATACTTGGAGAAGAGCACAAGTTCTGAGGCTCCTCATTATGCAGTTTTCTCCAACCTCCCATCACTTCATCGCTCTTCAGTCCAAATATTCTCCTCAGCACCCTGTTCTGAAACACCCTCAGTCTACGTCCCACCCTTGATGTCAGAGAGCAAATTTCACACCCATACAGAACCACGGGCAAAATTATAGCTGTGTACCTTCCAATGTTTATGTTTTTAGATAGCAGACAAGAAGACAATTCAATCTCCTCTTAATTTCCTCCTGAGTCAGGTTTCGATTTGTCATAGTCGTTCCCAAATAACTGAACTGTTGTCACATTTTCAAAACGTCTGTCAACTATCTTAATGTCATGATTTTGCCCTGCATTCAGATGACACAGCAACATATACTTAGTTTTCTCTGTTTACTTCTAGACCAACTTCCTTGCTAGTGTCAATTAAAGTTTGTGTGTTTTTCTTTATGGTATCTACATTATCACCCAGTAGATTCATATCATAAGCATAGACCAACAGCTGATGTGTTCCATTTAATTCCAGTCCCATCTAGTTTTCCTGGAAATTCCTAATGGCATATTCTGAAGCAAGTAGTGGCAATAAAGCATCTCCTTGTTTTAGACCAGTCTGGATAAGAAAATTACGAGACAAATGCTTACCTAATGGACTTTTAATATACGTTTCATTTAAACGCATTTTAATAAGCCTAACTAGTTTCATGGGTATCTTGGCACCTTGACACTAGCTGGAGTTGAGGGGCCAGCTTCATGCCCGGGCCGCTTTACACCCAGGGAAAGAGCCCCTGGTACCCATTGGATAGGAGGTTGGGTGGACTGCAGAGCTGGTCTAGATGACATGGAGTAGTGAAAATTCTTGACCCCACCGGGACTCGAACTCCGATTCCTCGGCCTCCAGCCAGTAGCTAGTCTCTATACCAACTGTGTTATCCAAGCTCACAAGTATGTGCGGTGTACTACTTAATTAAGCACAGAAACAGTTTTACCTCAATTACTTCTCCCACAACCCAAGTAACCAGTCTCCATAGACTACTTATAAACCTATGTATCTAACTTATTCCCTTATAAGTTTCGGTTAATTATTATTTCATTGCAGGCTGTCATCTAAAATATGAAAAATATTTGTATATTATTTTTCAGAAAAATTATATCATACTTCGTCAATCTTGCAGTCCACATTCCGCATCCAGGTCTCATTTCTCTCATCATCACCGCTCTTCCCAAGTTTGCTTTAATTTCTGACAACATGCGTACTGATTCTTCATCAAGCTGGTCAGCATAAGGTAAAAGTTTACAATACACAATTTCTCTTTGGGGCTTATATCCCAACCTCTTGATACGTCCACCAATATTTTCTCTATTGTCTTCGTCCATCATGACTGTTTCTACCGAACACGCATGGACATATACAACTGTACTAAATTCGTTCTGTCACTGATACGCGCAACTGAGTTCCATTACATCACTATAACAACTTGCTCTTTCACTCCTGCTTTAATAATAGTCATTGCACTGGAGCCATATTGAAAACTGACGTAGATACCAAAGAAACTCAGTCGAACACAACCATGCAACAAATATGTTTGCCCCAAACGTATGTAAGGTATCTAATTCCTATATGAACCTCTGGACTGTGTTTCACACGCTTCAAATGTCGTCTGGGGCATACTTATATGTTGCTGTTATTAACTATCGTTACCATTTTCTTAGCCTGCCATCTGTCGGATAGACTACCGTACCTTTTGCGTACTTGTGCGCTACACGTGTATGATTTCGCAGAAGAAAATGTCGACCGATGTGGAACGGCCTGAAGACCCTAAAGCCTGTCTGTCATGCAGAATTATCAGCGGCATAACTTTGACTTGTGCAGGACTATATATAGGCTACCATGGTTATCGATTTAAAGGTTACAGCCAAGGTGGTATGTTGGCAATCGCAACAGGTAAAAGGAATCGTGTGTAATTAATGTTACACATAAACTTACTAAAATTATTTTAAATGCTGGAAGCAATAAATACATTGAAGGTGTTTTTGTGACTTGACTAAACGCCGGACTGTGTAAATAACAAATTATTGCTAAAAGAATTCCAATTTTAAGGTGTCAAAAGCCTAGAGTGGTTCAAGTCACGCTTTGCACAACAGGAAATAAAAGAGTGAAATTGAAGCTTTTGAGTACATGTAATCATTCATCTAGGAAAAACTGTTAAACATGGTGTACCTCAGGGATCGGTATTGGGGCCACTCCTGTTTAACATCTATTTTTATGATTTATCGGTTTTGTTAACCCTAATAGGTCAGTGTATGCCGATTATACAAGTATCTCAATTTCCAGTAACAGCTATGAAGAACTCTATACAATCCTTAATGACGCTCTATATAAGAACATTAAATGGTTTTATGGTCCATCAAGTGACATTAAATATGAAAAAGACTAAAATAGTAAAATTTACAAATGCAAATCCTTCAAATTTCTCATTATGGATAACCTCTACTGAAAATATTCCTCTCATAAATTGTAGTCTTTCTTATATTGCCTACATTTAAGCACTTATATTTTGTTATACTATTAGTGTACCAGGGGCTCTTTCCTGGGGGTAAAGTGGCGTGAAGCTGACCACTCGCCTTCAACTAGTGCTGAGGTCAAGAAAACGTGGATCTATTCATCCACTCCCCCATACATATTCATGGCATAGTGCTTAATTAGTTAAGCACAGGGACTTCACCTTTTTTCTTACTAGATTCTGTACTTACTTTGTAATTTACGTACTGTGTTGTTTAATGTCTCTTTTGCTCAAGTGGCATCATGCAACATACATCTCCTGGACGAATGTTGGATTAAAGAAATGTGTATGTATATGCACTGGTACACTCGCAGTATAGAGAGGACACATTTCTCAGAGATTTCTGCTGTAACTGCCGACAGTAGAATGAGTCATTAGCACTATAAATGTGCGCCATCAGGTGGTCTGATCTTGTCAGTGCAGTAAGTTGCATTAATACAGCCGTAGAGGAAACCTGACAGCGGCATAGAGCGGATGGAACATTTCTCCATGACTACTGTGCCCTTCCCTGCTAGCGAGAGTGAAGTAGTCTCTCTGATTCCCTCACATCAGTTTCTGTAAATGCACACATTTATAAGAATGTAAAAAGATAACACAAACTTACTGTGTCTTATGACAGGTGCTGAAGGTGACCCCCTTCTGCTTGCAAACATGCCTTGCATTGCATAAATAATGTGGCACATTCTGAAGTTGGTCCGTAGTAACTGAACCAAATTACGCATGTTATTTCACTCTGCAGAGCTTCAGTGCTGCGAGGATTTCCCTTTAGGTTTTCCCAAAGATAAAAATTGCAAAAACTGGGATCTGGGAGGCCACAGTCTTCTGCTGATTATTCTGTCGAAATACGTCCCATATTGCAGCCATGGTTGCATTAGCTGAATGTGCTGTAGCGTTGCCTTGCTGAAAATACCCATTATTGTCTTTCTTCAGCAGTCAGCTGATTGAAGAATGGATTCAGTATATCATTAGTATAGCGGTCAGAGTTTTGTGAAAAAAATAAGGGGCCAGTGTTTCACCACAGACTACAGCACACCACATCCCCACCTTTTCACTACGTAATGGCACTTCCTATAAAATATGAAGATTTTCATCACTCCTTATTTTTCTTTTGTGCACTAACATGGCCACTAATGTGAAACCATGCTTCATCAGTCATGAACAGAAGCTGTGGATCCAAGATTCCATCGTGCACATTTCGCAACAGCCAATTGAAAAAATGAATTCTTGCTGCATAGTCTGGTTGTTTCAGCTTATGCACAGCTGTTATTCTATATGGGTGATTTGATTAATTTTGTGGCTGAGAAAGCAGATCCTAGCAAAACACCAGTTTCCTGTGCTAAGCGTCTTAATGATTTTCGAGGGCTGATTTGTAGTCACACCTCAATATCCCGAACCTTTTCTTCAGTCAGTCAGTCAGTCAGTCTTTGATTGCTTCTTTGTCACACACTCAACCTCTAGCCCGCCACTTTTACACAAGCTTGGATACACATGACTTTGTGGGACCTGGAGAGTCAGGATATTTATGACAAAACTTATGGATACATTTTCTGTAAGTTTTTTTCTTGCCAAAGTTTTGACAATAAACACGCTGTTCAATAGTGAACTTCATTTCTGTATAAATGTGGGCCACCTATCAACAACTCTAACAAAGACTGGCCATTAATGCGACTTCCTGCAGTGACAAAATCGGACCACTTGACTGCGCACATTTATCAGCACTAATGACTCATTCTGCTATCGGCAGTTACAGCAGCAATCCATGAAAAATGTTGTGTCCACTCTATGCTGCTGCCAGGTTTCCTCTATCATTGAATGCATACCAGGCTCCATCTCATCAGAAATTCTTTCCCAAGCTAAATCTATTTTGTCCTGCCTAGTATAGTCTGGGTGGCATTTGTGATGTATAGCAGGCTCTTGCTCAATTAACTGCACAAAAACAAAATCAGCTGCTTTATCAACCTTTCATGCCATCTTAAGAAACAACTGAATCACTGACATACATTATATAACAGCTGACACTAGGAAACCACATGGCAATGCAATTGTGAGAAGACTGGCATGCTCTGTTGCCTAGAAGTTGAGTTTTTCAGTCTTTCTGCGAGTTGCATTGCCATTTTCTCAATTGTGCTGCTCCATTCAAAAACATGTGTTCAACTTAGGCTGATAACAATTCTCGGAAATTGCAGCTGTGCTGCAGTTGTCAGTTTCCTTGGTGTGCGCTAGCACTTAAAACTATGAGTCTGAAAAATGAACTTTTATATCAGATCTTAAAAAAAAAAAATAAACATATAAAATATGTCTTAATATTTTGCCTTCTACATACAGCAGGAAACGTTTGAAATACAGCTGTTCTCCTATACTGAATTTACACATTTTTAAATTATATTTATTAAAGTGTCTATTTCTTTTAATTCCAGTAATCACAGGGTTTGGAGTTGCTCGATTAGTCGATTCGGAGGGACGTTTGTATGACAGCTTCCGAACATCCTGAACTTATGTATGTTACACCTAAGAAGTTTGACATTGTTATTTGCTTCTAGAAAAATGAGAATCCCGATAGAATCATGTCATATATTAAATAATATACATTTAAAACTCACAAATACTGATATACAGTAATTTCATTTACCAACTTTCCCAAGCTTTGTATCAGTTTTGGGATTTGCTGTCACACTTTGTACTGCCACAATACACTCATTAATACGTGTCTGCAAATCCCGGAGGTTATGAATGTACAGAAGACGCAGAATCTTTGCTGCCTGATTCAACACATAATCTCCAGTGTCAAATCCAAGGTCAGCTTCTTGAAAAGGAAATGGTTTACCCTGTAAGAGAGAACAAGCTCAAGAGGAAAAATACACATATGAAGATAACATGCCCTGTTTCATATGAGCCAGTGTTATTGTCATTTCACATTATTCAAACTCATACCAGCTACAATGAAAGGTTTAAGTATTTCCATGATACCATCAGAGTTCTTTCCACATCCTGGATACTCTGCCCCAGGGCATTCAGAATATGAAACTTTTACTAAAATTTGGATGCTTTAAGTGTTGGGTATATTGCAGAATTTTACAAACAGAACTGGAACCTTTATGATTTTTTCTTTATCATTTGGAAGCAATATATAAAAGCTCTCTACTGAGAATCACACCACAGCAACTTCTATAAGATTTAAAATTCTCAGAGCGGTGAATTTAAAGATTACAGTTTTCTGAGATGTGATGTTTAGTTTGGTAAATACTGTAGGTACTAAAGTTTCGGAGGAACCCTCTACCTCCATCACAACAGTGCACTGATGATGGGGGGGGGGGGGAACAGGTTTATCTGAAACATCCAAGAAGACTGTATGTAATTTTAACCCAGTTTCTAGTTTATGAACAGTGAAAATATTCTAATGCCCTGATTGTGGTGAACATTTATGTTAAAAAGTTTTACAGAACACCAGACATTGAGCTAGCTAAAATGCACAAACCTTCACAATGAAGTTACTTGGGTTTTCTATGGCTTCAGATGAGAGTCGCTGGCATACCACCTTACTCACTGCCTTTAAGGTAATTAGATGATCTGGATGTTGAGTAACATGCAACAACTGCGCAAGTGTGTTGACACCTCTCTTGAAATCTTCACCCTCAACTGCAATATTACAATTACTTTAATAAAGAAGGATACTACATTATCAGTGAAGTACTCAGAAAGCTTTGTGTTCTGACAATTTGTTCTAAGTGGCTTATTAAAATAATAAATGTGAACTCCTTTAACATGCACACAGAAATGAACTTTGCTTACAGTCGAGATTATCCAGTGGATTGGCAGACACAACTTTTGGAGTATTGAGTTCATTTTTCTTAACACAGTTCTTGTACTTCTCCACTGCAACATCAAAATTACAGTATTTAGTGTGATGAGGCCAGACTGTGTCATTTTTTCATTAATTCCTGAACTTACAAGGCCAACTCATGACTCCCCACAGCTAGCAAGGCAATGCTTTTCTGTTGATATGAGCTTGGTGATGACTGCAAACAAAAAGTTTGGAGGAAAATATATGGTGTGACACTGACTTTCTTGCAGCTCATAGTACTTGTCACAGAGTCCTTTGCTTATCACCCATGGGCAATCACTCTGTCATCCACATACTTTTACAGAATCACACAAAGAATAAAATAAGAGAAAATGTTACTTGCCACTGTCAGAATATTCCAGCCGGACAGCAAATGCCAGCAACCATTCCAGCTGTTCACCTGGCTTCTCACTAAGCACTGGGCAAGCTAGATCATCTCTGTACTGTTTGAAAGTTTTTGGCCAATCAGAAGAATTTATATCCCTAAGGGCTTTCCGGTCCTCTATCTTATAATGGCGAATCTTCTGATCTTCAAGCCACAGGACAAGATTCTTGTATTCGCTGGTATCTGAAATCCAGAATGTGGTTTCGTATATTAAATTTCTGTCATTGAAATACAAGATCCTCGCACATGATGACATATGAATGGTTTCCTTAAAAAGGTAAAGCTATCCCCGTAAGAGACTGTGGAGGCCCATTGGGTTCTGTGATGTTGAGGCTCCTGCATTTTCTAGACAGTCGACCCACAGATGGCAGTGAGGTTGTCAGCCTTATGTGCTGGCCACCCTTTAGCCCCAGGAAGATTCCTGGTACTTATTTCTGTTAGAGGCTGAGTTGACCTCAGGGTCATAGTGCAGCTGGAAAGATTAGGTCAATTGAAAAATCCAATGACCATCAGGAAATGAAACCCCGATCTTCTGGCTTGTAGCACAGTGCCTCAACCAACTACACTACCATGAGCCCCCACGTGCTTTCTGTACCTCACAGAAAGATGAATGTAGGACAAATCAGGGTCTATATATCATACTCAGAAAATACCTAAAGATACATTATAGTTACAGTTACAGAACATCTGCAATGACGAAATACAATGTAAAAAGACTGAAGTGCATACATGATTACAAAATACATATATGAAAGAACTATATATATATATATTTCACTACCCTCTTTGCATAATAATATACACACATGATTTATTTATATACGAAGGCAAATCGAAGTGTCTTTGCCCCTATTTTTTTTTCAGCCACAATAATACACATACAGTGAAATCAAAATACAGGCAATGTTCTACGTAAATTTGTCTATTTTTCCACATAGTCACCACCCCGGTTCAGGTGTTTGTCCCATCGCACCAATTGTACAATTCGGCTGGTTGAGCGCAGAACCACCACCGGACAGCAGTTTTCGTGTCGTCGGAAATAAACTTCTGGCCTGTCAGGAACTTCTTCAGTGGACCGAACACATAATCAGTCGCGCCCAGGGATTCTCATGAATGATGTGGTTCTCCTCCATGGCGCCAGGCCTCATGTGGTAAACAGGACCGCCACCCGACTGCAGTCATTCGGATGGGAGATTATGGAGCATGCACTGTATAGTCTAGACCTCGCACCCAGTGATTGTGTGTTCGGTTCACTGAAGAAGTTCCTGACAGGCCAGAGGTTCATTTCCAACGACGACGCGAAAACTGCTGTCCAGCGGTGGTTCTGCGCTCAACCAGCCGAATTGTACAACAGCAGCATCTCCAAACTAGTGGTGCAATGGGACAAATGCCTGAACCGGGGTTGTGACTATGTGGAAAAATAGTCTAAGGTACTTAGAACACTGCCTGTATTTTGATTTCCCTGTATGTGAATTATTGTGGCTGAAAAAAAAATAGGGGCAGAGACTTTTTGATTTGCCCTCCTGTGTGTGTGTGCAGAATTTACACACATATGATTACAGTATATTACTAATTTCTTTGTAATAAAAATTTATGTAACAGCAGAAAGTGCAATTCAAACAGAAATACTTCCAATGTTATTTTAAACTGTTTGCTGTTAGTGGATTAACATTTAATTTGAAGGACACTTGGTTGTATAGTTTTCTTTGAACACTGTAGAAATGAGAATCAGGGGTCTTCCAGGGAGTTTATGGGTGGCCAAGGCACAAGGCTGACAATCTCAATGTGACCAGACTGTTTAGAAAATGTGGGAGCCTCAACACCTCACAATCCTATGGATCTCCACAGCCTTGTACGGAAGTGCTGGGACGTGTAATAAATACAATAAAATGCGGTCCGCGGACGGAATACGACTACAAAACTGCAGCGTATCACGCTATAACCAAACTTACCGTTCACGTTAAAGCGATCAGGATCAGGATAATCCAATGCCGTCAGCTTCCTTTTAAACATGCTGACAATAATCTGCTCAGTATAACTATTATTATTTATGACTGATCTTGCAGTCAATTCGAAAACATAAAATATACCTCTTCATCTGCACAGTAACTACCAGCAACTAAATAATATGGCCCTTAAGAATGGTTAAGGTCTAGAAGGTCTAGAATATTTCGCTAGTAAATAATAGCAAGATGTACCACGGAGCGTGTAATTATGCAGAGATCGAACGTCCACAGTCCCAATGCAGGGACTCGGATGGCATCTGTCTAACCCGTGGATGGAAATACAATCAATGAAGAGTAGTGATGGGAAGTGAAATAAAAGACTCCCGCACTGCGAGAATCTAGTCCTTCTAGTGATCCGTGCTGAAAAGTGCTCGGATAGAAAGCAAGTAATAAAAATGAGTGAAAATGCAGAAATTACGATTTCAGTTTCGCCGGAAAATATTGAAAAGGCCGAGAAGATAAAAGAAGAAGCTAATAATTGTTTTAAAAGTATGCTGATCTTCCTATTTTGAAATAATTAGGTGTATGAATTATGATGGAAGTAATTTCTGTATTGTTAAATATTGTAGGTCTTGGATTAATTGCCTTCATTAGTATACAGTTCTGTGTTAACATTTGTAGACCATTGAAGCAGCTTTTGCAAATAAAGTAGAAGGAGGTTTGTTGTTTTATATTACAGAAGAGTGAGTGGGAGCGTCGTTTCAAGGCACATTTGGTTCTTAGGTATTTATTGAAAGCGAAATGTTTCTCAGCGATTAGGGTAGCCTTCAGCATTTAGAACAGTTCTGTCAGAAAAGTCATTGTACCTATACCATTTGGGTTATGACGCCATATATATATAGTCTCTGGAAGGTGGTTACAAACTTTTTGGAGGAACGTGTTGTTTCCATTTTCAGGATAGAAGTGAAGTATGAAGGTGGAGGCAGTATGTTCCTCTGAAAGGCTGGTACCTACCTACCGGACTACAAGATGCATAACCTTGACAACTCTAACATTAATCTTCGTCGAGAAGAGCCAGATTCTCATGAATTCATTGTAGTTTTTATACTGCATGGGGTGCAAGATGTACATATATGAAGTAAGTGACTTTATTAGCCTAAAAAAGAAAGAAACTCAGACCACAACAAACTGGAGTGTAGTAAGTAAATTTGTTGGTTTTTGAAAATGTAGTTGAGACTCAAACTGCCATGTTATGCAGGATGGTGGTAATTTATAAATAAATGTCCTTGCACTTACACTTTTGTGAATAATGTTCATGAAGTCATGACAGCAATTTTACTTCTCCGCATCATTCATTTGTTGTGTTAGGAAGAATTCAAGCAGACTATTTAAGAACTGCTGTTAGAGGTTATTGTGTTTTCTGGTTCCAAGTTTTAGTGCAGTATGTTGTTTTTTTCTGCATGTGATTTTTGGCTTTGGTGAAAAGCATACAAAAAAGATTAAAGTCTGAGGTGTATTGTAGCAAACAGTTGTCATTAACATTTATTGTAGAAGTTCAGAACTCAGGTTGTCTGATATAATTTTCAGCATTTTGAAGAATCTGGAATAAAAATTATAAGATTTCACAATTTACATTCTATTTTATTTTTTTTTAACTGAAGAAATGATGCTGTCATATTAAAACTGTGATAATTATTTATTCAGGCGATAAATACATGGTAACTGGAACTGATGTGGGCTTCCATAAGTTAAGTGCGAGACTTTGGGCAACATGTACGTGATCAACTTGTGATGATTCCCTCTCAGCCTCATTTTTGGTTTGGGAATCAGTTAAATTGGCCCAGTATTCTGCTACTGCAGCATTGTGTCTCCCCATGTAAATATTCTCTCTCATATACACACACACACCATATAGCATGTGCATGTGTGTGTTTGGGAGGGGGGGGACTTGACAAAGCCTAATGACATGCTGCGTAAGAATGTACGCACATTTTTATGTATGTGGTCCTAGTGGATCATTTGTTGAACTGTAAAAAGAGGAATTGTTGGTGTTGGTATAGATGAACAAGCTTCAACTCTAATCTTGGTGTTACAGAACAAGAGTACAACAAGGCCATTGACCTGTACTCACAGGCAATAGAGCTCAACCCAACTGTTGCAGTATATTATGGCAACAGAAGCATCACCTACCTGAAAACCGAATGTTTTGGGTATGCACTGAATGATGCTACAAAAGCTATTGAACTAGACAAGACGTATGTGAAGGGATATTATCGGAGAGCTGGTGCCCACATGTCTTTGGGAAAATTCAAGCTTGCACTCCGGGACTATGAGGCCGTATGTATTGCTGCTACAAATTGTTCCCTTGTTCATTTAAGTTACATTCCTGCAATATTTAACTGCCCAGTGAGAAAGGTAGCATAATGCAGCTATGCTGTAAGCTCAAGTAGCCTAACCTTTTCTATATGTATAATATAAATATTAAAATATGTTTGCAGACATATTAAAGATAAGCAGCGGCACGCACACAGGGGGCCTGCACAGAATAATGCGTGAATGGCGCTGAAAGCAAGAAGTAGCCACTGCAGCACATGTAGACATAGAGCAGGTATCCCTGTGATTTAAATTTTAAATTAAAATTCTAAATCAAATCGACGAGTGTATGTTAACAGAAATTTTAAACATAACTGACAAAAGCAGCAAAGGTATTCTGGTATATCGGGACCATTTGAAACGCAGCAATGACAATTTAGAGAGTTGGTGTTTTTAAATTTTAAATTACGTGCAGTGTGACAGCTACGTAAGTGAAAATACACCTGATGATGGCCAGTTACGACCAAAACATGTAGTGTAAAAGAAGAAAGACAAAGAACTGCAAATAAATTGTTGCATTTACGATGGTATTTATATTATACATACAGAAGTGTAGAGTGCAACAGGATGCTTAAATATAATATAGCCTAACCATGATTAATGGTTTTTTGTATTTTGGAGGTACCCAGTTCAAATCTTGACCAAGAGATCAGCTAACATATTGAGATGGTTTCTCCTCAGTACTGTGGAGCCATTTGTAATGTGGAAAAATTTACATGAGCATTGCACTGTTTTTGCAGGTGATGAAAGCAAAGCCAAATGATATAGATGCCAAAATGAAATATACAGAATGCAATAAGATTGTGAAGCAGATGGCATTTGAGAGGGCAATACGTGTAGATGACACAAAGAAGAGTGTATCAGAATCCATAAACTTGGAGAATATGGGTAATTGCTGTGTGATACATTGTTGCACATTTGGATGTGTGTTGTTGTATACGTGTCCTATAATTTGTGTTTGTTTCAGCAATTGAGAAAGACTATAATGGCCCAAACTTGGAAGATGGGAAGGTGACACTGGAGTTTATGCAGCACCTCATAAAGACGTACAAGGAACAGGGCAAGCTTCATCGAAAGCATGCATACAAGGTGAGAACATCCTTCTTGATCCTTCAGGTGGTGCCTATTCAGAATGTTTTCCCATCAACATTTTGTTGGCAAATTTGTCTAAGCTGCCTGTTCAGCCCAGTACAGTGACGAGCCAGAATGCAACTGCCAATTTAAGTTTGCTTTTACAGCAGTCTAAACTTATAAAAGCTAGTTAGATAAAAGTACTGAATGCTCATTTTGTTTCAGATTCTACTGGATGTGAAACAGCTTTTCATGTCACAACCATCCTTAGTCGAAGTTACAGTTGCTGATGACAGTAAATTTACAGTTTGTGGTGACATTCACGGACAGTTTTATGATCTCATGAATATTTTTAATCTCAATGGTTTGCCGTCACCAACAAATCCCTATGTATCCTTTTGTTGCTATACTTTTGAAGCTCAGGTCTGGCTGTTCCTGTGCTGATGGATTCTAGTGCAAAAGACAAGATGTGAATTAGTGTTGCAAGTTCAAGCCATATTCATGAATTTGAAGTATGGAATGCAGTGAAGGACTCCAGTATGTGTTCAGAATATTTGTCTTGTTGCCACAGTGGTGACAAGTACTTCCTGCAGGCTGTATACGTCATGCTACAATGGCCTCCTGTGCCCATACCATAATGCTTGAATGTGTTTTGCAATGCTGCCATATGGCTGCTGGGTACCTGCAGAAATTTCTAGGGAATGTGTCTGACTTGTGGATACCATCATGTCAGAATCTGTGACATTTCACATGAATGTAAAATGACATGTCTCAAAATGGTATTGTGGGGCACAGAATATCAAAATAATTGTGTTGAGAGCCTCATCTAGAATTTCAGCTACTTTCCTTGTGAATCTGTTTGTGTACTTAAACTCATCCCATCCGATGCTGTATAACCTCTGCACCTAAACAGACAAATAAGTAAATATATATATATATATGTCAGTGATGAAATGGACAGACATAGGAGAAGCAGGAATGTCTTTTGTTAAATACAATTTCCTTAATCAGCTACAGCTATTTAATGGTGATTTTGTAGACCGAGGATCATTTTCAGTTGAATGTATTTTCACCTTATTTGGGTTCAAACTTCTGTACCCGGAACATTTCTTCATGTCTCGCGGTAACATCCTTGTGATATAATTGTGGTAGTGTTATTACTAGTGATTGTTTACCTGGCTGATCAGTGTGTGGTGTGGGTGACACTGACATGTAGCAGTATAGTAGTTTGTTATGTTATGTTTAGTTATGTGTGTATTGGTCTACTTACAGCCACACGCAACTGTTTAAAATCATGCTGGTCACATAATATGAATGAACTGCATGTTAAAATGTGGGTTCACTTTGTTCTAAACTATCTAGCCCTAAAAGATCTGTGTAATGCCATATAGTTAAATAGAAGTCCAAAAACATATCATAGGACCATATCACCCCCAGCTTCAGGGTCAAAATTTAAGTGAAACAGTGCATCAGCAGTAAGCACACAGCAAGCATAGCTTGTGGACCTCTACTGAACTGCAAGGTGTTACAGCTCGGACAGTCATGGCTGGTGTACCTCAAACCAAACACTGCAAACACAGTTATTATGAAGCACTTTTAGGTAGCAACTCTTTACTGCTTAATATTATTTTCAAAAAAAAAGTCGCGTATAATTACAGCCCAAATTACAAATAATAAAGCTTTCAGAACTAGTCATAAACTATTCGATTTCCAAGATGATTAAAGAGATATGTTGAGTAATCAATCATACATATCCTTCCAAGCAAGAGGACATGGTACAACTTATTGGAGCTGACAGTAATGTATTTGCAGAATAAATCTGTTGTTGTGCAGCTAATCACGCTACATACTGCACACTTCAAATGAAAGTTGTGTAACATAATGTCGTGTGTATTTCATTACTTTCATTTTCGGAAAAAAATGTCGCATATAATTACGACCCAAATTGCAAATAATGAAGCATTCAGAACCGGTCATAAACTACTCGATTTCCAAGATGATTAAAGAGATACGTTGAGTAATCACTCATACATATCCTTCCAAGCAAGAGGACATGGTGGAACTTATTGGAGCTGACCGTAATGTATTTGCAGAATAAATCTGTTGTTGTGCAGCTAATCACACTACATACTGCACACTTCAAATGAAAGTTGTGTAACATAATGTTGTGTGTATTTCATTATTTATACTAATTTTATGAGCAGTTTTGGGGAAAATGTTCAATCTGGCTACTGTATAGAGAAAGTATGATGGACTGTAGTTGACAGTTTCACATACTTTGCGGACAGAGTGTAGAATTTTAGTATATTAAAGCAAGGGGTACATATAGTAACTGCTGGGCGTTAAAGGGTTAAATTTAATAAAACCCATCTGATAGTTTTACAGTTGAAGCACCTTGAATAGATGGATGTAACCTGTTCACACAGAGAATCCAATATAAGATTTTTTCAGGCAACCACGAGAGCCACAGTATGAACCAGATGTATGGGTTTGATGGTGAGGTGAAGGCAAAGTACACTGCTCAGATGTCAGAACTCTTTGGTGAGGTGTTCAACTGGCTGCCATTGGCACACTGTCTTAACACCCGCGTCCTGGTCAGTATGATTTTGGGATGCATCGGCTGTGCTGTGTATATACTAATAGTTGTTTGTATATGATACTGACAGAGCTTGTGTTCCTTCAGGTTATGCATGGTGGGCTGTTCTCCAGGGATGATGTCACACTGGATGAGATCAGCAAGATCGATAGGAACAGGCAGCCACCAGAGGAAGGTATCATCAGCAAGTTTTCCCAACTATTTATATATCTTTTGTTTTGCTATATGTCCTACTTGCAGAGCATGCAAATTGCATAATATAGCTTTGTTCTTAATGTCACTAATCTGTCTTAGAACCATATGTTTCATTTTTGGCCTTTCCATGTGGCTTTGGCAGTATGACCTGCTGCTGATGCATTTCATATTTCTACTATTTACTGTGATCATATTTTTTTTTAACATGCTCTCTGATTTCTTCCAAAAGTTTTGGGTTGAAAGTTTAACCTTTAACGTCCAAAGTGCCCAGATCGGGCAAGTGATGAGTATGGTCATTGTGGCCTAAGTACTTCGATTTGGCCAGTTGAGCATTTAAACTCTGCCAGTGGATGCATGCGCACACGCCAGTAGTAGAAGCGCATGCACAATCCTAAATATTTATTTTTAAATGTAGTAATTACCAGACAGACTTCAGTAGAACTCTAATAGAGGAATTAAAATGATACCTAAGTGAACAACAACAAAAAGAGTATACGTATGAGTTATAAACAAACTCATCCACAATCCAGTACTTTTATTGAAGATTCTGCAGATTAATATGTTAAAAATATATAGTAAAATTAGATGTGCATACCGTTTTTGTTATCTGCTTGATGTATATATAGGCTGAAATGACACCACAGTATTCGATTTCACTATGAATGCACAGAAAACAGATCACACTCTGTATCTCAGCCACGATGAAACTGTCTGTTCACGACCATAGAAAGGCCAATAATCTCTTGCAGCTATAACGGAAGGTCTTAGCACTGAAGAAGGGACTCCTATAGCTTTTTCTTGAATAGCCATACTTTCATTCATCTGTCCTTTAGTCAAAAATTTGAAAATGTGAAGAGTTTAACAAAGCTGTGAAACTTGCCAGCAGAAGACCAAATGATTTTATTGCTTCCATCTGTTTTATGTATACGAAGGGGGACCCAAAAATAACCGGAACCAACCTGTTGCGCGCGCATGCTTTGTAGTTACGAGTTGTGCTGTTAGGTGGTGTTAGCTGGGTGTCTCCCGCGACTGTTAGTGAGCTGGCGTCAGTCTGAGTTAAGTGGTTTGTCTGTGGTGCTCTGTTGTGTGCGTTCCTGTTTCAACCCTTTGGCGATTAGTGAGATGGCCGACCAGAAGGAACAAAGAGTGTGCGTGAAATTTTGCTTTCTGTTAGGGAAAACTGCAGCCGAGACTGTTGGGATGCTTCGGCAAGCCTTTAATGATGATGCTTTGGGGAAATCACAGGTCTACGAGTGGTTTTCCCATTTCAAATCTGGCAACATGTCAACAGAAGACATGCCACGCCCCGGGCGTCCTTCGACAGGAAGAAATGACGAAAACATTGCCAAAATCAAACGTGCAATTGATGAAGATCGTCGAAAGACCATTGACCAACTTTCTGAGGAAACGAACATCTCATGGAGCACGGTCCAGCGAATTTTAACCGAAGGTTTGCACATGAGACGGGTGTCTGCAAAATTTGTTCCTCGCTTGCTCGGAGATGACCAAAGAGAAAACCGCGTGAATGTTTGCCGCGACTTGAAGAGTGAAGTGCAGAACGATCCAGAATTTCTTAAAAGAATTGTGACTGGCGATGAGTCTTGGTGCTATGGGTACAATCCAGAATCAAAGCAATCATCAAGCCAGTGGAAAACTCCAACTTCACCACGACCGAAGAAAGCGCGTCAAGTGCGATCCAATGTGAAAACAATGTTGATTTGTTTTTTTTTATGTGAATGGCATTGTCCACAAAGAGTTCGTTCCGCCAGGACAAACAGTGAACCAACATTTTTACCTGGATGTGTTACGAAGATTACGAGAGAGTGTGCGACGAAAACGGTCCGAAATGTGGAGAAATGGGAACTGGTTGCTTCACCACGACAATGCTCCAGCCCACACAGCTTTGACGGTCCGACAGTTTTTGACAAGCAACAACATGGTGATTGTGCCTCATCCACCTTACTCACCCGACCTGGCTCCGTCGGACTTTTTTTTGTTTCCACGGATGAAGAGAAGTCTGAAAGGAAAGCGATTCCGTGATGTGGATGAAGTCAAAGAAAACACGCTAAAGGCTTTGAACAGTATCCAGCCTCAAGAATTCCAGCACTGTTTTGAGCAGTGGCAAAAGCGTTGGGACAAGTGCATTAATGCACATGGACAATACTTTGAAGGGGACTAATATACAGTTCAATAAAAATGCAAAAATAAAAAATAACAAAAATAAATTCCGGTTATTTTTGGGTCCCCCCTCGTATGTCAAGTGTTACAAGTAGGACTGATTTTATAATGCAGAACAAGTCTGTGAAGAACTGGGAAACCATTTCTACAGTATGAATCAAAATTAAAAGAAAGAAATTGAAAATAAAATATAACTCTTCATATAAAAGTTTGCAAATCTTATGTTTTAATATGCGACACTGTTCTTTGCTGATACAAACCAAGTTAATTCCATCCATTTATCATAAAATTGTGTTAGATACAGCATTTTTAAACACAATGCTTAAAATTGTTTAAGCACCCTAGCAGGAACAGACATTTAAACACAGAGTAGCAACGGGCATTTAAACGTGCACCAGCAGTGGGCATTTAAATAAACTCTGGCCAGCTCAAGCTTACCACCATTTCAAAAGTCTGGCGTTTAAAGGTTAAGAGGTACAGGCTTTTAAGTTTAGAAGTCACTATAGTGCTGCCACTACATTTAAGCTATTCAGGCACTGATTTAGTACTTCATAGAAAGAAGATCACTTCATACTATGTATCTTATTCTGAACAATTATCCACAAACTCCCTCTTCCTGTATTTCTGTAAGAACTCCCTGTCCCAGCCAAACTTGGAGGAATGTTTTATCAGGAAACCCTGCCCCTACACCAACTTAAACCAATTTAATAAATTTTACCATTGGTCTCCTGACTCTTGGCTTGTTTCAGTCTAGGTAGAGAATATCAAATCTTTTCATTTCTCGTAACTACCCTACTTTATTCCAAGTTGAAGACATAATGGGGACCATACTGTATATAAACCTGTGTTCCAGTTCGCTCTAGGTCATCCATGTAGCCAAGCCTCTCTTCATTACTCTTAAAGTATTTCTTATGATTTCTGTAATTAAAATTGCCAGTTAATTGTATCACAGAAACTGCTTCCTATCTATCTCTACAGTGGTTTTGCTGTTCTAAGATCAGAAAGACCGGGCATTTCGTGTGATAAACTTGACTTGTGAAGTTAGTTAGTTAGTTATTGGAGAGGGTGGGTTTCCCCATGCACTAGACCAGTATTGGTCCATTGTGCTTCCCTCTATGATATTCTACCATTCTCTATACCCTACCAATACTGGTGCTTACCATCAGTCCCGACCAAGCCAGTGAGTTCGGCCTCTACTGGCTTAGCGGTATCTATAATGCTTCCCCCATCTATCAGGGGCGTTAGAGACTACTGTTGGGCGGGAAATGTCCTTGAATTTGGCTCGGTGACCTCCTTAGGAGATATGAGGTTCTTTTACGTGCCGTAAAGCTACGACACGGGACCCACGGCTTAAAGTCCCTCCCGGAGGACTTGTTCCCTGAATTTTTCCGCCCTTAAAAATTCCACGACCTCCACCGGGTTTGAACCCACGTACTATGAGTCATGAGATGGGAACGTTACCCCTAGACTATGGAGGCCGCTTACTTGACTTGTAAAACTCAGTCAGCTGAGATGCTACACACAGTTTTCTTGTGCTCACACTATGAGAACATGACATCACAATTTCAAAAGGCACCTCTTGGATAAAGAAAGGATCAAAAGTTTGACCCCACCAAGCAGTGTATACAAACAAGCAAGGTTGATCAATGGCCCAGTTAGATAGGGGTATTTGATTAGAGCAACACAGATGACAGTTCTGACAAGTTGATTCCAACCCCATTTGCACCATGATGGGTGACAAATTAGGGACAGCTGATAGGTACGACAAACAGTAGCATATGTAAGTTCATTGGTGACATGATTGGCAAAAGACAAGATGTTGGACCCCTAATAAATAAAAAGTCATCTCCACACAATGTTTTCATATTGTATTTTGCAGCAGTTGTTGTAGAGGAGTTCAGTCAACGCTGTGAGCAGTGCTTGCTTACTTTTCATTGATGATGGACTATGTCCAGTGCCTGATGTCACTGAATATGAAATGTGTCTGTTTTTAGCAGTCATTGTTCAAATTGGACTTGGCTTACATGGCAACCTGAAAGATTATTGGTTAACCATTGAACAGTTGTTTCACCTTTTTGTGGCAAACAATAAGATAAGACAAATTCTGTCACATTCTTAGATTTCTCCACTTCTCAAACAGTGACGGTGCTCGACGCAATAATGACTTGAACTATTAGAAAGACTGTGTGAAAACTAAAACATTTTCAACTTTCTAAACAATGCAAAGCAAGAATATTATGCCCCTTCTGAACATCTGGCAACAGGCGAAGTTACTTATCAAGTTGAGCATAATTTTCAAATGTTACATATCCAAGGAACACACATGTTTCAAAATAAAAATGTATTTATAAACTATGTGACAGGTCTGCTTCCCTATTCAGAATAGTCTAAAATAAGGAGATGCTTTATTACCGTCATGTTTCAACTTTGATTTACTAAAAAGATCAAAGAAATCCTGGTGGGATGCATCGACTTCTGGTGTAGGCTGATGATATAAATACCACAAGGAAAAACTGGAGGCCTAAGAGGCCCAAGTAAGGAGGCTGTTCTGGATGTAAGCACAGAAGAATGTGTATATGTTGATGTCTTGTCACCAGAATGTATGACAAAACCATGACATGACAGCTAAACAGATCCTATGAAAATGTGTCAAGAGTTCAGATAAGTGGGAATAACTGTAACATTGAAAATTTGATTAATGAGTAAGTTGAGAGCAAACTCTGTTCAGAAACTTCTGTATTCTCACCAGTTGTGTAAAAATATAAAGATTAAAATATACAAAGCTGTAATTTTGCCTGTAGTTGTGACTGAGTCCAAAACTTGGTCTCTTGCATTATGGGATGAACATAGATCAAAGGTGTCTGAGGACAGGGTGCTGAGGAGGATCTTTGGACCCAAGAGGGATAAAATAGTCAGAGGCTGGAAAAAACTGTATGGTGAGGAGCTTCGTAACTTGTATTCTCCGCCAAAATGTAATTAGATTGATCAAGTGAAGGAGGATGAGTTGGGCAGGAATGAAGTACGCACATGGGAGCATTGTGGAGTTTGTATAGAGTTTTAGTATGAAAACCTGAAAGGCACCATTAGTAAGACCTAGATATAGATGGGAGGGTAATACTATAATGAATGTATGGACTGTATTCATCTGGCCCATTATAGAGACCACTGGTAGGCTCTTGTGAACATGAGAATTAACCTTTTGAGTGCCATAAAATGCTGCACATTTCATGAGTGGGTGAACAACTTCTCAAGAACATCTTGGCTCCATGGCTGTAATTGTGACATATCTGGCTACACATGTGATATGAAGGTCTACTTAGGAAAGGACAGGACATGTATGACGGCAGATGTGATAGCAACACACGCAGCTGTGAAATGACTGACAGAAGTGGAAAGACATGGACATAATGTACATGGACTTTTTGTCACCTGTCTTACTTAGTTTTATAACAGAAAAGAAAATATTTCATTCTTGGGCAGTTAGACGCCACAGAAAGGGATTGCCACAGAGCTCTGCTTACTGTCTGCTTCTGCTTGACATACCCTTTGTCCTTGAGGATGGTGGCACATGAACTGACTATATATATGGTGTCACATCACAGAAGGTATATGTCAGTAGACTTCTACTAGACCAGTGTTTCTCATCCACCGGGCCCCGGCCCTGTACTGGGCCCTAGCATCAATTATGCCAGGCCCTTGTCTTATAGAAAAAAGAATTTACCAGGCCACGGTCTGACAAAGGTTGACAATTCCTGTAGTAGACTAGTCCCAGAAGACAGGAGCAGCCTTAAAGATTATTTTGCATGTTTTCTGCAAGGCACTCCAGAGTAATACCAAGATAAGCAGTTCACCGTTAGCCAGGGTATCTTCAAATACAATTTGAGGACCAAAATACAGTTAGGAAGGCTCTTAAAGGCTAATGAATATGGAAAATTTAGTGGAATGAATGAATACTGGCAGGGAAACTGAAATGCTCAAGTGAAACCCTCAGGACCGAGGGTTGAATGTATGATGATAAGGTCACTCATTAGCATGATTTGAACGAGATCAAGCCTGGGTTGCCATGATGGGAAGCTGGCACTTAACTGCTTGAGCTGTAGCATGGTATCATTTGTCCTGATGTGCAGTGATGTTATTCCAGATGTCACCATCTACACACATACGTGGTCTGACAATAAAATTTGCGAATTAATCGCAGTAAAAATGCTACATACCTCACTGCTGAATACCACTGTGGTTGCATTCAAAGTACTCCCCTTAGGAAGCTGTGCACCAATGTCAGCACCTAATCCCCCCTTTGAAACAATTTTGGAACTGGTTTTGTGGAATGACCTTCAGAGCTGCTGTCATATTACTCTTGATGTCATCAAAATTTCTTTTTGTTTTCAATATTTCCTTTGTCTTCAGGAACAGAAAAAAGTCATTGGGGGCTAGATCCATTGAATAGGGAGGGTGTTTCTGCACAGTTATTTCTTTACTTGCTAAAAATTCCCTCACAGACAGGGCCGTGTGAGCAGGTCCTTTGGCACCATTTTTGCGCTCACCTTCCTCATGTCAAGATCTTCAGTTAAGATTTTCCTAACTGTTTCTCTGTCAATGTTTGCATGCTCTGCTATGCTTCTGACAGTCAGCCGACAATTTTTACACACAATTTGATGAACTTTTGCAATGGTTTCTTCAATATATGACATAAACTCTGTTCTAAGTGCAACAATTTATTGTAGTTCTTTCATCTTGCTTTCTTCTACACTACATGTTTCGGCCGCAAATGGCCATCATCAGGTGTATACTCTCACGTAGCTGCTACACTCCACGTAGTTTAAAATTTAAAAAACACTAGTCTTCCCAATTGTTCATTTCGCCATTGCTAACAGGTTTCGATATATCGGAATCTTCCCCACTGATATTTGTCAGATATGTACAAAATCTTTGTTAACCTACACACGTCAATTTGATTTTCAAAAACTGGCACTTTTAAAATCTTCAATTCCAATTTTAAAAATTTCTTTAAATTTTTTTTCAAATTTTAAAATTTAAAATTCTCAGGGTTGCCCACTCTATGTCTATAGTGCTGCAGTGGGTACTTCTTGTTTTCAGCACTGCAGGTATTATTCTGTGTAGGCTCCCTGTGTGCGTGCCGCTGCTTGTCTTTAATACATGTGTTTCTTCAATTCCTCTTGTTGCTGACCATCCTGATCTCTCTTCGTCAGTGACACTTTCTCTTCCCCGAGACACATGTGTCACCCACTTATAAACTGCTGTTTTCTTCATAGCATTATCCCTGTAAACTTGCACTCACATCTCTCTGATTTTGCTTCCACTCTTGCCAAGTTTAACAAGATATTTAATGTTCATTCCAACATTGTCACAATGGCACACCAAAACACACTGAGACAAAAATAGATGCCACTCTGAAAGAGCCATAGATTAACAGCAACACAGCTGTGAAATGCTGATATGCGTCATCAAGCCATACTAAGGTGTCTGTCCACAGCTGCCATGGCAAGCGCATGGTGTCAAGTTCGCAAACTTTGTCAGACCTCGTAAATGTTCTTTTTTTCCGCACACAAACAGAATTACCAAAATACTTTGCAGCCTGTAGCCTTTTAATTTGCACAAAAGTCATTTCAGTTTAATGTGGAAGGACTCCACTGCACAGCCTGTTTGTGTACGGTGAACAGTATGTAACAACATTTTGCAGTACAGTTTCCAGATGCAGTTTTTCAGTTTTAACTTCATTGGCTTTGATTTTAATTTAATACAGATACCGTTACAAAACCTAATTTTATTCGCCATATTAAGGAAACATCTGAAATAAAAGTTATCTATAAAAGATATACTTTTTATATTCTGTATGAATTGGCACCTGATGGCTTAGTTGGTTGAGTCACTATGCTAAAAGCCAGAAGGTCGCGGGTTCAAGACCCGATGAGGTCATTGGATTATTTTCAGATGACCTAATCCTTCCAGCCGCACTTAGGCTCTGGGGTTGACTCAGCCTCTTAACAGAAATGAGTACCAGGAATATTCTTGGGGGTAAAGAGCAGCAGGCGCGTAGGGCTGACAACCTTGCCGCCATCTATGAGCCGATTGTCTAGAAAATATGGGAACCTCAACATCTCACAACCCTATGGGCCTCCACGGCCTGTTACAGGGATGCCTTTACTTTTCTTGTAATGATCCATTCTTTTAAGAAAAATAATCAAGGTGGAATTGTAGCTTTGATTACAGAGTCCCCAGTACCAAAGTTAATCAGAATCCATTGAAAAGTTCTATAAATGAAAGTATCTGTCAGCTCCACATTGTGTGTTCCACTTTATATCTGTACAAAGAATCACAAAAACTGGACCTAAATTGAATTGGTAATGGCATTTCCTCCATATAGGATGTTGTGGGGACCCAGCACCTACATGAACTTGTGTTGTAGGGCTGATGTGTGAACTTCTGTGGTCAGACCCTCAGCCACAGGTTGGACGGGCACCCAGCAAACGTGGTGTTGGTGTTCAGTTTGGTCCTGATGTCACCAAGAAATTCCTAGAATTGAACTCTTTGGACTACATTATAAGAAGTCATGAAGTGAAGAATGAAGGGTATGAAGTGGCTCATGATGGCAAGTGCATCACTGTCTTCTCTGCACCGAACTACTGGTGAGTGTAAGAAGCTGAATGGGTGGGCCCCAGGGACATGGGAAGGAAATTTCTTATTGTTGGTGCCCACACTTGAACCCCAGCATATATTGACTAACTCAGGTTTAATATGGACTGAATCAGTTTCCTTTAGTGTACTGGGACTACAGTGGATCCTTTTTGAGAAGTTTTCCAAGGGACCAAGAAATATAAAACTTCTTATGCAGGAAAATATCTTGAAAGGTAGGGGCCTGGGTTTTTGCCTGCCATTTTCCTTTCAGAACATGTTTTTTTGTCTGTACATACTGGTAGAGACCTCAGATGGTTGAGGAACCTTGGCTTCTGTGACTTCAGCTACTAGCATCTTATCAGATCCATCCAATTTTTCACATAAAAGCAGTAATTTTTTGTTCACTCATCTTGCCTCCATGACAGTTTTCACCTTTAAAAGCACATGATTTGTTTGGTAGTAGGTTGAAAAACAAACTATCCTCAGCTACAGTAAATATATCCTATAGATAGTATTCACTTGGATATTATGGAAGCACTCCCATCTTCTGGGCATTTACTTCCTCTTAAGCTTTTGGAATCCCTGTTCATGGTTCTGTAGCTGAGTGCTGTACTTTATCTGAATTGATTGGTCCATCCATTTAAAGGTGTGTTTCTTGTTCATGTTCATTTATTTGAAATTCAAGCAGATCCAGATACAGGTTGAGAAGTTTATTCACAAACCATTGGATATAGAATGAATCACATATCAGAAGAAATGTTCCAATTAATCATTGGAACAAGTCTAGACGACATAATGTAAAACATACACAACACAGACACAGAACACAAATAAACATGAATACAAAAAATGGAATGCAAATGAAGAATGTGTTAACCATTCATACAATAAAATTCCTCCAGTTTGTAAAAACAGTGCAACACCAGATATCTTCTTAAGGAATGCTTAAAAATTTTAGGCATCTGTACTAGCTCTTCTGTTCAAACCACTAGGAGCACTGATTCCATCTTCCCATATTTAGAAGTTTTTACCTTTTTTCTCCCTGGCTGAGTAATTTACATGTTGCTGAAGTATGGGTTTCCTTGTTCATATTATTATTTATTTGGCTTTGACAGTGCATCCTAAGCAGTTCCACAATGTTTGTGTGTCATGTAGCTAAGCATCCACCTTCTCAGATTTCTCAGAAATGGATATTGCCTTATGTTTTTTTGTAGGAATGCATACAGCTGCATGTAATACATAAGTCTGTGTATGTCCATCGTGATCGCTGTAAAACAGCCATTTTTGAGCCACAACCTTCCTTAGAAGATTCTGCCAGATTTATCTTAAATTAAAGTATCAGGTTTCCAATTCTTTGGATTTTGCACCAGTTCTTTTTTACAGGTTGTCAGCCTCACATCCATCTCCCCAACCTGGAGGACCTGTTTATGTTCATGCTTAATCATATTCAACACACATGTTCACCATACCTAACCTTGCACACAAAGATTATGTCACCAGCTAGACAGAAATCAGAATGTCACTGCTAATTCTGTCTGACTTGTACTGACTGCTGAATCCTACCAAGTGCTGGAGCATGTTTGAGTTATGTGAGCATCTACTTGTATCTCATTTATTTTTGCATATACGTAGCTGATTCCAAAAGTAAGGTCTCCAAAGCGCTGGGTAATTTTTCGTGCGGCTGTTGGCAACCCTGTTGCATTCGTTGCTTCCCCCACTCCCCCCAATACCACCAAGCATGCGCGCACGTAGCTAGGACGCTCAGTCTTGGCACAGTTGCCGTTAGAAATGGAGCTCCCGATTACTAAAACCGCGAAGTGTGAGATTCGCGCAGTTATTCGGTTTTTGAACGCAAAAGGGACTAAACCAATTGAAATTCATCGTCAATTGGTGGAAGTGTATGGCGAGTCGTGTGTGGACATAAAGAATGTCTGCAAGTGGTGTAGGGAGTTTGAATCTGGTCGTACTGCAATACACGACGAAAAAAGAACTGGGAGACCATCAATTTCTGACGAGACAGTCGCGAAGATTGAGCGAGTCATGCGTCAGGATAGGCGCATCACACTCGATGATCTCTGCATTTCGGTTCCCGAGGTTTCCCGAACCACCATTTATCGGGTTTTGACAGAGAAGTTGAATTATCGGAAGGTGTGCGCAAGATGGGTCCCGCGAATGCTCACGGAAGACCACAAACGGCAGAGAGTTGACTCTTCCCGTGAATTTCTTCGCCGCTATGCTGACGAAAAGGACAACTTCTTGAATTCAATTGTCACAGGCGACGAAACCTGGGCGTACCACTTCACACCTGAGACAAAACAACAATCACGTCAGTGGCGGCATTCCTCTTCGCCTAAGCCTCGAAAATTCAAGCAAACACAGTCTGCCGGTAAAGTCATGGCAACTGTGTTTTGGGATCGAAACGGGGTATTGTTGGTTGACTTTATGGAAACTGGGACCACAATAAACGCTGAGAGATATTGTGAGACACTGAGAAAACTCAGGCGGGCGATTCAGAACCGGAGAAGAGGGATGTTGAGCAAGGGCGTAAGCATTCTCCACGATAACGCTCACCCCCATGCTGCCCGACAAACCGTCGCTCAACTGCAACAGTTTGGATGGAACATCACCCATCCACCCTATAGTCCGGACTTGGCGCCCAGTGACTACCATCTCTTTCCAAAGTTGAAAGAACATTTGTCTGGAAAGCGCTTCAACAACGACGATGAGGTGAAAGCTGAGGTTCGAAGTTTCCTGAACAGCATGGAGGTGAACTGGTATGACATGGGCATACAAAAACTGCCACTGCGCCTACAAAAATGCATCGACCGAAATGGCAATTATGTAGAGAAATGAGTACATGTTCAAGATTCAACTGATATATCCAAAATTGAAAATAAATGTTTATTTTATATTTTCAAACATAGGAGACCTTACTTTTGGAATTACCCTCGTACATAATATAATCTTACAGAAATGTATTAAAATTGCTCTTTGTAGGCAAGATATCTTTTATGTGGGAATCATTTTAAGCAGTTGGTTCTCATTCTTATAGTTTTACTTTTGGGTCTAACATGTCACCTCCAATCATGCAGAGCCCAACTATGTATCGTTGGGGCATTGACAGCCTGTAAGCAGTCCTGTTACCCATATACATTGTTTGATGTCCAAAACCAGTAAATCTGCAGAGACAGATTTTGTGAGGCCCTTCAGTGAAGAGCTTTTGAGTGCCTCGGGTCACGTGGTAGCATAGTTGGTTGAGGCACTATGTTACAAGCCGGAAGGTCGCAGGATCAAATCCCGATGAGGTATGAGTATGAGTATGAGGGGTGAGCCATAAAACTGGCCCTAGCACTGGGACCTTCAATGATCTATTGTGCTTACACCCTGATGAGGTGGATTTTTTCAATTTACCAAATCCTTCCAGCTGCACCATGGCACTGGGGTTGACACAGCCTCTAACAGAATGAGTTCCAGGAATATTCTTGGGGGTAAAGGGTGGCTGGCATGTAAGGCTGACAGCCTTACCACCATCTATGAGCCGACTGTCTAGGAAATGTGCGAACCTCAACATCTCACAACCCCATGGGCCTCCACAGCCTGTTATTACAGGGATACCTTTACTTACTTTACTTTTTACGTACCCAGTATTTGAAATGCTTCTTCCTGTTCAGCTACTGCTTAAGCTTACCAAAACATTTGTGGGCACAGATTAGTTTTTCAAATGTACTGTAAACTTCACTTGAATATGAAGAAAGCAGTCTTCTGGGATGTGGCGCCATGTATGAAGGGGGACCCAAAAATAACCGGAAACGACCTGTTGCGTGCGCATGCTTTGTAGTTACGAGTTGTGCTGCTAGGTGGTGTTAGCTGGGGGTCTCCCGCAACTGTTAGTGAGCTGGCGTCAGTCTGAGTTAAGTGGTTTGTCTGTGGTGCTCTGTTGTGTGCGTTCCTGATTCAACCCTTTGGCGATTAGTGAGATGGCCGACCAGAAGGAACAAAGAGTGTGCGTGAAATTGATGAAGATCGTCGAAAGACCATTGACCAACTTTCTGAGGAAACGAACATCTCATGGAGCACGGTCCAGCGAATTTTAACCGAAGGTTTGCACATGAGACGGGTGTCTGCAAAATTTGTTCCTTGCTTGCTCGGAGATGACCAAAGAGAAAACCGCGTGAATGTTTGCTGCGACTTGAAGAGTGAAGTGCAGTTTTCCCTAACAGAAAGCAAAATTTCACGCACACTCTTTGTTCCTTCTGGTCAGCCATCTCATTAATCGCCGAAGGGTTGAAACAGGAACGCACACAACAGAGCACCACAGACAAACCACTTAACTCAGACTGACGCCAGCTCACTAACAGTCGCGGGAGACCCCCAGCTAACACCACCTAGCAGCACAACTCATAACTACAAAGCATGCGTGCGCAACAGGTCGTTTCCAGTTATTTTTGGGTCCCCCCTCGTAGATATTGTGTTGACCAACGTGTCAGAGGAACGTATCACCTCTATCTTCAGGGTAGAATATAATTAAATGGTAGTGCCAGTTGACAGTTTTGTGGAAAGTTATGCAATAAAGAAAATGTGATGTTGTCTGGGAGCCAAATACATTTAATTTTCATCTTATCTGTCTGTCGTATCCACGGTATGGTCTTGTTACAGACAGCTGATGAGAAGGTAGTTTGGAATAATGCTAAGAACCGCTAGCTTGTTTAAACTCTGGAAACGCATCTCATCATTCTTGTTTCATCTTTCAAGAATATTGGGTCTGATATTCTTCTTACCTTTTGCTTTGTATGGCTGTGAAACTTAGTCTCTCTGTCGTACAGAAGTAGAGATTGTCAACCCATGAGTCATGGTCATGACAGAAAATGGGGTTCTGAATGATACCTGATGGGTGGTAGGATCTTTGCGTTATTGAATGGAGTGATGGATCTGTTTTTTCTAATAGATTTATGGAGGAGGTGAATATTTCTCAGCTGTTTGGGGGAAAACTGTAACATGGAGTCAGTTAAGAGTTTATAGATGCTGTCTGGAGGAGGCTTGCTGCTCTATGTTCCAGAGCACTCCAGTGTTCTAATGTTACTACTGTTTCAGTGACACAATGGGCAACAAGGGAGCATTCATTGTGTTGACAGGCAAGGACATGCAGCCCCAGTACACGACATATGAAGCGGTGGTGAGTTAACACTGATGTCACTCTCCATATTGCATAGGCTGGCTGACTTATTTCAAACTTGAACTGACCCTCAAAATGCAAACTGTTCCGCACAGCACATCCCTCGTCATTATCACATTGGCCTTTTCTAGTTCTATGTGGGTTTCCATTGTTTTACAGAGTCCATACAACCATCCTTATTTTACTCTGTAACTATTTAGCCGTTTTCCTCACCTTTGTACTTTTTAACCCTTCACCTGTTCCATTTGGGATACCTGGAGTGCACTGGTGTCAGCCCAGTTTTATCTGGGTATTTTTATATTTTAAATGTTTTTACTATGATTTATGATGTAACTGGCAGAGTGCTTTTAATTATACTGTGTTCTAGTGCCTGAAGAGAATCAAAGGGCTAATCCCATCACATCTTGTTCAATCCTCAGTCATTTCTCTGTCTCTGTGCTGCTTGCTGTCATGTGAATTATGGGAAAATTCATAATTTCTCTGTGACATCAAGTCTATTAGCAGAACTTAAAGTCAGCCATGTTCACTTATATTTTACTTTCTTAGTAGCATTAAGTGATTTTGAGACGAGGGTTATGATGTCATACCATATAAGAGCCTAGCAGTTGGTTAGTATAACTGATAAGCCGGTTTTCTTGAGTGAGGACTGACTATACTCTGAAATATTGTGTGTACAAAGATAAATACAGTGACAGTACTGCTAACTTAGAGAAATTAAAACTAATGGCAGCCATCTTTGAGCACATAAGAGAACTTTGCGTCTGAAACCTGATCCTCAGAAAAGGCAGAAGGGAAGATAGGATGTAGCACTGGAACCCACAATCTTAGAAAGATGTGTGTGATTAAGTCCTTAACAGTAAGCTGAGCTTCAGGATGGATACATGTGGATGAACTCTTCAGTTTACACATTTCATTTTACTAGACCGCCTCTGGTCTAGTGGTCACAGTTCCTGGCTACATATCCAGAGGTCTGGGTTCGATTCCTGGCACTACCAGATTTTCTGAGAAGTAGTGGGTCTGGAACGGGGTCCACTCAGCCTCATGTGGATAATTGAGGAGCTTTTTCAAGGAAATAGCGGCGCCAGTCTAGAAAACCGAAATTGACGGTCATGGGGATTCATTGCACTGACCACACAACACCCTCTATCTGAAGTTGGCACTAACTTCACTGACAACCAGCAGTTGCTCAGTCGGTATAGTTTGCTTGTGAACTGAAACCATGGATTTTTGTTTTTTTGTGCTATCAGCATAAAATTTAAGTGATACTGACTTCATTTATTGTAAATACTATGTCTAATTGGGTGCTGTATGTGTGTTGTGTTCCAGCCTCATCCGAATGTGAAGCCCATGGCTTATGCAAATTCACTGCTCAGTCTTATATGCTAGTGCATGTAAGTTGTACATTTGTTTTAATATAAGATCGAATGACGATGTGTACATGAAGATGGCTGTGATCCACTTGCGAGCTTAGAGAGGAAGGAGTAATATGAGTTCTGGTGCTGAAACACAGGAAGAACCGAATGCATTTTATACTTTTTTATTCTTCATTTAATCCCTCACATTTCTTGAGAAGATGAATTGTGTACAAACAGTGCATGTTCAGTTCAGTGCTGAGTACAGTTCTCAAAGCATTTGTAGTTATGTTCTCTTTTGAGATTGGTTTCATGGAGAAACATTCCAGCCACCCCTCTTCCTTCACCTTATTACTTGAGTGAAACCCTCAGAACTGACAGATTAGGGTCAGGGTTTTTTGTACATGTATGATAAGGTCACTCATTAGCATAATGATTTTAATAGTTTTACAAGAGAGGTCATGTTTTGGTCAGCATATCAAACACCTGAACAACCAGATCATCCCTGTTCCTCTGGTTGACCTGAAACAAGTGACAAAAGTGACTTGGTTATTGTTACATTTAATAGTGTTGTGATTTAGTTTAAAAACATTGTGTGTGTGTGTGTATATATATATATATATATAGACACACACACACATACAATGAAATATTTATACAAGAAATATCAGACTAATTAAATTTGAAGTTTACAAACAAAGTTCATGTTTCACTTTTGTTAGAGAAACTGATGACAAAAAGTTGTGAAACCAAAAGGTTCATTATGATATATTTTGCATTGTTTTCCATACCAGAATTTTGTACACATTCTTTTCCACTGTGTGTCTTACCCACCACCCAAACACTGGTAATAATAGTGTTAACAACTTCTGACTGTAGATCCCATGATCAGCAGTACATAACCACACTTAAAGGTTTTAGTTTTAATCCAATCTATTTTTGACAGCTGCTTATTACAGAGCTGATATCTGAGACCAAGCCAACAAGCCAAACTAACTTCACAAAGCAGAGACCTTGAGAAGAGCTGTCAGGAAACTGTGTGCCTTTTATGGAACCTGCAAATGTCACTGGACCTTACACTGAACTGGCTGAATCCAGATTACATCCTCACACCCTACTTCTTTCAGAATAAATTTTTATCTTCATTCAGATATGCCTAGATCTGTCAGGTGGTCTCTTTTATATGTATTTGTAATCTCTCTAGCATACTACATACATTCCCTGCCCATGTCATACTCCTTGATCTCATTATCCTAATATCCAGCAAAGATTACAAGTTACGAAGATTCTGGTTATGCACTTTTCTCAACTTGTTGAATATAATTAGTATGCTCTTACATGAGAACAGTCACGTTTTTATTTCTGATATCCTACATTTTGGGTGGCACTTCAAAAAACATTAATGTAGACAACCACAGACTTGAAACCTATTAGTTTTCAATGAGAGAAAGTGTTTTTTTTATCTACGTAACAACAGTTCTGCATCTCTACAAACTGTAAGTAAAACTATGAAATTAAACTGTACAACCTTGAGTGAAGAAAATATTTGCAGATATATATATGAGGGTAAGTCAATAAGTAAGTTACAAATGGATGTAGAACTTAAACATATAAGAGTATTGATTTGAAAAATGCTTTTATTTCTCAACATAATATCCCTGTACATTGAGGCACTTGTCCCATCGTTTCACAAGCCCCTGAAAACCAGCAGCATAAAATTCTTTGGGCTGCTGTCGGAACCAGGCATGTTCACACAGCATGACCTACCTCATAATGCATGACAGGTTAAGTTTTCACAAAGTCTGTGCACAATGGGTGCTGCGCATGCTGACCCCACAACACAAAATGCAAAGAATGGGTCTGGCATTACAGCATCTCAATCGCTACCACAATGGACATGATATGCTAGCCCAAATTGTCACAGGTGATGAGTCTTGGTTCTACCAGCCTGAGACAAAGCGTGCGTCAATGCAGTGGAAACATCCTGCGTCACCTGCCAAAAAACGTTTTCAGGGGCTTGTGAAACAATGGGACAAGTGCCTCAATGTACAGGGAGATTATGTTGAGAAATAAAAGCATTTTTCAAATCAGTACTCTTGTTTAAGTTCTATATCCATTTGTAACATATTGACTTACCTGCATATATATGCACCTTCAGACTTTGTACATTTGACATGAACTGTTTTAGTATTATAGTATTTTAGCAAGAAACAGCTACTTTCACTGCTTTTTAACACTTTGCGGACCAGTGGCATATTTTAAGCCCAGTGCTTTTAAACGTGGCGGACCGGTGGCATATTATTATGATTTTAGGACACATTAGATTGTAACACACTATACCCTTCTCTGGCGCCACCCAAATGAAATTACTTCTGCGTATTATTATTCCGGAATGTTTGCTTAGTAGGCAGGGACTTGATCTCGCTCTTTGGATTCCCCATTGAAAGGAAAATGATCTTTGACCCTTCAAGCTCTTATGTACCAGGCAGGAAGTTAGTAGTGCAATGAGTCAAGGACAGAAGTGGGTGAAAACCAAGTGAAATATCTGACTTGTTCTCAGACGCTATCTGACGTTCCTTCTGAGACTTGTAGTGATAGTGTGGACAACAAAGAATTGTGGCCACAGACAAAAGTGCAGGTAGTAAAATTGCGCAGACAGCCACATGGGGAAAAGTAGACAAAACACCTACTTTTGGACAGTTTACTGGAAATCCAGGGGTGAAACAAATTCCATCGGACCCAACGCAAATGTCTGAAGTAGCAGAACTGTTTTTTGGAGATAGGGATACTCGTGTTGTGAATATGATTTCTACAATTCACAAGTCGAGCATGGTTGATGTTCAAAGGACACATGGACAAGTAAAGAAGCCTATTTGTATTTCTGAGTATAATATGTTTATGAAGGGAGTTGCTAGAGCTGATCAATACTTGGCCTATGACTCTCTTCCTAGGAAAATAATAAAGTGGACAAAGAAAGTTGCCATGTGGCTTATAAACTGGGCCATTTTCAATTCATTTTTGGTTTACAAAACTCTAAACCCTGATTCGAAATTGAAATACAAAGCATTTCTGATGAATATGGCAAAGGCCTGGGCTACAGACCAGATGGTGGCGGCAGAACCAGAGTCAGGCACAGACTTAGTGCAACCAGGCCTCACGTGGACACCCCTGGGCGACTCTCAGGTGATATGTGGAAACATACCCGCGTGAAAATTGTGAAGAGTGAACATTCCAAGGGGAAGCATCCTTCTCGGCAGTGCTGTGTTTGCACAGTTCACAAGAAAAGGAGTATGACTGTCTACATTGCAAGTTCTGTGTAATGCCACTTCACAAAGGGGAATGTTTCCACAAATATCACATGCTCAAGCACTTCTAGAAGCATTGGTGAGTGTTCTCCAAAAATTTTAGTTCATAAAATTAATTAGGTTTTATATTAATTTTTAAAGTGAACAGTGCACAAGTTATGGTAGTAGGTTTAAAAATGCCGGTCCGCAAAGTGTTAATTGATAACTATTAAGTGTAAAAATATGAAACTTCCATATACTGCTCCTCAACCATTGACCTGAGTGAGAATGCCAAAAATTCCACACATCAATCTGTAGATATTTGTAATTATAGTGGTTTTCTTATTATGTGTTAAAATGTCCAGGCACTAGCTACTATGTGTATTGAATGTCAACACAGCTGTGATCCTGTCATATGAACTCACCATAAAGACAGTGGTGTTGGGGCTATGTCTTAGACTTTCAGTGAAAGACAGAGGTTTTGCTGGAATGGTGGCCAGTATTGAAATGGAAGGACTGCTGAATGCTTTCTTAACTTCCTGCCGGAACCGATCACTGAATAACTCCATTCGGCCGATCTCATCCAATACCAAGATGCCTCCAAAGTTTTGCTGGAACACAGGCAACTGACTCAAAGATCTTAAATCAAGATAATTTTTTTAGTTGCTGAAATAAGATTCATATAGATTAACACAATAAAGAGAAATATATAACATAACATTGCATTGCATTCCCTGGATCCAAAGTTAGTCAAAATGACTGTAGGATGTGGAATATGTCATATAAATACAAAAGAGACCCAATGGAGTTGTTACACAAGAGAAACCAAGAATACACAGTGACTATACACAAGGCTATTTAAAGATACATAAGTTATTTTCTAGACAACAAGTATTCATCAACAGAGTAGAATGAATGTCTACTTAATTATAGTTTCAGTGCTATTTTAAATCGTGCCTTTTCATTCATAAGACCTTTGAGATCAGATGGCAGGTTATTAAAAATTTTGATCCCAGCATAATATGTGCTTTTCTGAAAGCATGAGAGGTTAGCAGTTGGTTTATGAAGACAGTGTTTGTGTCTTGTGTTAAAACTGTGTACATCTGCATTCATCTGAAAATGTTCTTCGTTATTTGTAATGAAGTTTAGTAATGAATATATATTCACAAGGAAGAGTTAAGATCTGTAGTCTCTGAAATAGATCTCTACAGGAATTACGGGATTTGACACCCATCATGATTCTAACAATTTTCTTTTGCAATGTAAATACCTTTTACTCTCAGATAAATTACCCCAGAAAATTATTCCATACTTCATTAAAGAGTGAAAGTAAGCTAAACAGACTGATTTGAGAGTGTCAATGTTACTAATATGTAACATGAATCTAACTGCATAACATGCTCTACTTAGCTTTGGAATCAACTGATCGATATGGTTTTTCTAGTTTAAATGATTATCAATTTGCAAGCCAAGGAATTTTGTGTTTACTCCCTCTTCTATATATTTATCATTATATCCTATGTTTAATGGATATTACGAGTTTTTTGTTATAAATTTTATTACATTTGTTTTTTCTAGGTTCAGTGACAGCTTGTTTGCAGAAATCCATTTACTCATTTGTGAAATAACCTTGCTTGATAACAGGCAGAAATCATCCTAAATTTTTACCATAAATTATAACACTAGTGTCATCTGCAAATATTATAGGTATTGATGAGGTCCTTAGTCTAGAAGTAATCAGTAGGTTCTGCTTTCTGAGTGTACATTGATAATGTTAAAAGAACATTTTGTTTGTTCATTTAACCCCATGGTTTGTAATTCTTTTAAATGTTTTCCTTACTGGGCATTTGTGTATTGGTTTACTGCTTTAAGGTCTTGACTAATTAATACATATGATAACAGACATACTTATTAACCCTTTGACGTGGTCATTTAAATTCCACGGCCGCGGCTCCTNAAATACAGAAGATTTAACTTACTGAAATGTAATTAAGCAAAATTTCTTTCATGAAATGAAATATTTCAAAATACACATCATGATCATGGTATCTGCATGCAGTACATACAGCACAACAGAACTGTCATTAAATGTCACAATTCAAAATTGCTGCTTTCATGTTATTTGGAAAAAACTCAAGCATCTCTGTTATTAAAAACTACCTGTAAGAAAGAGAAGAGCAATAAATTTTTCTGGTGTAGACATCTTAAAGCCAAAATTAGTGTTTAACATTTGGAAAATATGCTGTTGCTGCTGATACAATTATAACTGCATCATCCAAATTAATATAATAAATTACTGGCTGTACAATATTGAACCACTATACTACATAACTATTCTCTTTCCACAGAAGGCAAAGAAAAGAATTGGGGCAAGGATACTGAAGATTCTTTCTCATATATTGACCTTGACTACATTACCTTAGAATGCCTTGGAAATGCTTGGTAGACCAATGTTGGTTGCTGAATAATGAAATCTATATGGCCTTTAGTGCCAGTTTCAATAAAACTGACACTTCACATTCAGGCCCCTAGTGCCCATGGTCTTCATAAATTAAAATCAGAACTGTTAGACCCATTTTAAAGGTTACCATTTTCTGAATTTGATTTGTAAGTTGCCATTTTCTGTCGGTGGCCCATCTGAAAAGCCCGTTTTTGGAGCTATAATTTTCATACTCACATGGAAACCTATGATGGATACTCCTGAATATTGAATATGAATAAAATCCATTCAACTGTTAAGGTGCCACTGAGGTGCATGTGTGTATAGAAACATGCCATACCAAAACGACTGCTCAGGAAGGCTCAAGATGTGTAAATCCATCAAAATATCAAGACCAGTTTTTTTTACCATCACAGTAGTTTATATATAGTGTGACGTGGATGGCATAACCGAAGTAGGGGTCACATGAACTCTGTGGTTTTGCGAGTGATGTCACATACCCCCACTCCTTCCACCAGTACGCAAAGCTCGGTGGGTGCCCCCCTCCCCTGCAGTGACATGGCAGAAGAACGACTGTGTTGTTACCAAGGGATACCACAGTTGCTATGCAGCAATAAACAACTCGATAGTCACGGTGGAGGTCGAATACCTCCACCGTGACCCTGCGAGTTGTAAGAGGCAATGAAAAGGGAAGTCTCAAATCTGAGAGAGTAAAATATGGTCTCAAGTCCCAAGGGACTCAGACCCTGGAAAGACTGCACTTGCAAGGGCCAGCAGCACATACAAAAGGCAGACCCGTCATCTCGTCAGAGAGGGCGCCCCACAAAAACGACCATAACTGTTAAAGGTAATAAATATCTGGTCATGAGCCCAATCTGGGGCTTGACACCAAGACTTACTGACTGACTGACAGATCGTCAGTTGCAATGTGACTTGGACTTGGACTAAGGAGTCAGTTGAAATATAGCAGCAGTTGCGGGAAGAAGACCCGAACGCGTGGTTGGAAGATTTGATGTGATAATCAGTGATAGTGTGTGATAACTGAGAAGTAAGCCAGTGAAGACTTGTTGTGTGACTTAAAGACTCTGTGTGTGCAGTAGTACAGTTATATTGGGAGAGAGTAAATAAGAGAGACTTGTATAGCTCCTGCGTTATAAATACGTGAAGACTACTGAAGCCAGAGTGAACAGATTATTCTGTAGGGTTTATAAATTGGGTAAACCCGCAACTGTGTTATAATTAATTGTAGTTACGATTTGTAGGTTGTTAAATAAACCAATTAACAATCTGAATGGCGTCTTCAGTGGCAAAACACGTTAAAATCTATATAGTGTATATATATACTACATAAATGACAATGTAAAAAACAAAATTATATAAAATATGTTATAACGAATGTCCTTTTGGTTGAAGAATATGAAGAAAGACATAGAGTGTAAATAAATATATGTTACAATTCTCTGAAGTAGATAGATGGGTTCAATCTTATCATATTTTGTTAAGACTCCCATGTCCGGAAACACTTCCTTTTGGTGCTAAGAGTCACAAAATTTTCCAAGAGGATACACAATGTCAAGAAGATCAAGTTTATCATGTACTGAGTTTGAAAAGTGAGACATACCTGTGTTGGGAACACTGGCAAAGCAAAGCTTTCAAATGACTTTGGAGTCACTGCATATTGACCAACTGTACACTTCGATTCTGCCCCAGCACTAGCCTTCCTGTAAATGACAAAGTTCAAGTACTTGTAAATCCACATGAATCTAATCTGACACTGTCAAATTAAATCTGGTACTTAACAGTCTAGCAAGAGCACCCCTTCTTCCATCCAGCGTGACAACATCAAAGCCAATGCGTGTTCTACCATTTCGTATCTCTTGAGTAAAAAATCCTTTTGTAGGAATGCCTGTACCTCGTAACAGGTCACACACTTTCTGGACCAGTGTCGTCTTACCTACACCTGGAAAAGACGAACCTCATTAATTATTAAACCACAGATTTCATTTACTGTTGTTACATTTTGACAGAACAACTATGTTGAAGAATGTCATACAAAATATTAACAATCATGATTATATAATACTGAATGGTAATTATATTAGTTTAAGAAGGCTTGCTTGTGGGGAAGTAGGTTTATATTATGATCAGAAGAATGAATTGGAACGTTATAACACATCTAAATAAATAGCACACAGTTACATAAAACAACAGAAATTATGAAATTGGTCCCCGAGCAAGAAGGCAAAATGAATCTGACGAGTACCTGGAGGTCCAGTCAACAAAATGCGTGGTTTCGCCCTTTCCACTGCAGTTCCCATTATATTGCGGCTCTCTGTTCCGCCTTCCACCATGTTTTAATATCCGAGTATGACCATTGAATCAGAGAGTAACATAAATTGCTCTATACCGCTCTATATGCTCTATATCTCGTTGCTCTCGGGCTGTCGACTGGCAACTGAAACCGGCAAATAAAAATGGCGTTGCGTTGTTGAGGCCGAGTTGCAAGCAAGGGAAAGAAGTGCTCTGAAAATTGAGGTGTAGATAATACTGCACTGAGCGCTGGTTTCTAAATGGGAATACATTCTCGTAACTGGACAACGCTCACGAGTATTGGAAAGTGCATTCTTAATCATTATGTGAGTTTTGATAGACATATCCGATAGAGCGTAAACAGCATGGTCTGGCATAAGTTGAAGGACTAGATACGTGTGAAGGGAGCATATTAACATATTTTGTTTCGGTTTTAGCTTGCTGTTTAGGATGAAGTTGAAAATGTGAGTCTGTACCAATACTTGCACCTTGAAACGTCGGATCTTCTTTGGTTATGTTCGTTCATCTGGGTTATGTCTGTTCATCTTGTACAACTAGTTTAGGGAGAGTGTGGTAGCGTAGGTGTTTTTCGCCAGTACCGCGCGAAGTAACATCACGCTTGAAATTTTATAATTTTTAAATAACTACATTTTTTAAATTTTGTGGCTTGTGGGAGGGGGGGGGTAATTTGTGTTCTTTTATATAGATTGTGACTGACGATTAAACTTGTTTTTTTTTTATAAGATCTTTGACATGTGGACAGTTGCACCACTCATGACAATAGGATGATACTTTACTATTATACCTCTCTACTGCCTGCCATGTCTCTTGTGTGGGAATTCAGCAGACAGAAAGTTCCGTCACTACTATGTCCAAATTATTTAAAAGTAAAAAAAAAAGAAAAGCTATCTCTGTAACAGGCCGTGAAGGTCCATAGGGTTGTGAGACGTTGAGGGTCCCACATTATTTAGACAATCGGCTCAAAAATGGCGGTCAGGTTGTAAGCCTTACGCACCGGCCACGCCTTACTCCCCAGGAAAATTATTTAATTAATTCCTGGTACTCATTTCTGTTAGAGGCTGAGTTGACCCCAGGGCCATAAGATTAGGTCAATTGAAAAAAATCCAGTGACCTCATCAGGACTTAGAGCCACTAAAGAATATTATTTATGTTCAGGGAAGTTATAGAATAGAATTTACGTGCCTTTTAGGCAGAACAAATGTATTTTGAAACCTAGCATATCATTTTTGTATTTCAGCATCCTGTTACAAATATTTAATTAAAACGTCTATGTATCCACAGTCCGTTAACAATACAGCAATTGTTTATTCACCATTTAAGACTTAACATGTTTTAGCCGTAGATGGCCATCTTCAGATGCCTTAATGTATGGAAACTGTTACACTGCTCTGATGTGCGTTAAAATTACACGCTGCAGTCCACTTAAAAGTAACAAAAATAATTAATTAAAATCCATTAAATTTTCTATTAAAATTTTTCATTATTTTGTAAAATCCAATTCCACCTCATAAGGGGCATCACCCACTTGTTTAGAGCTATGTGATTATTCCAAAAGCTTTGTTTCAGCAGCTTGTTTTTCTGTTCGTTAGCCCATTGTTTTGCTACGTCTGCAATCCGTAATCTACAAAATGCCACATATTATTGTTTTATGATTGTTATGTTATGTTGGTTTGCTTTATACTCACATGCCCCTTGCTTGTGTGTTGTTCCCTCTAGCAGCGTGTGGTGTTGTCTTCACTACTGCAGATGTGTGTTTATTCCCATGTTTATATGCCCTGGTTGTGAGAAGTGGGAGAGGGTATTATTATTATTATTTCTTACTATTTCCATTACATCTGTAGTAGGCTAATTGTGTCAATTTATCTTGCTAATACTGTCAAGCAATTGTCAAAAAGACATACCAGGATAGTACCGAAAGTCATGAACAACAATTTTTTGTAAAGTAACATGCTTTATTATTGAGAAACCAAATACACCACCTCAATCTACAGACCTGTCTTTATTTTTCCACATAATCGCCACTTCTTTGTACACATTTCTGGGAGTTCGAAAATTCCCCTTCTGTAAAATTCTGTTCTAGCCATCGAAGACACTGACGCACTGCTTTCTGATTTGCCTGCCTTGTCTCAAAACGTTGTCCACACAGCTGATCCTTCAAAAATCCAAAAAGATGGTAGTCTGAGGGTGCCAGGGCTATAGGAGGGGTGTGGAAGAACTTCCCACCCCATCTTTGCAATTGCTTCCAATGTGAGGCGAGCGGCGTGAGGGCGAGCATTGTCATGCAGGATGATGTTTCGTCCTGGACGTTTATCATGTAATGCATGACGGAGCTTGTGCAGCATCTGAACATAACGAGCAGCATTGATGGTTTGCCCAGGTTCCAGGAATTTGGCCAGAATAAACCCCTCTGCATCCCAGAAGACTGTGCCCATCACCTTCGCAGCTGATGGCACTGTCTTTGCCTTCTTTTTTGATGGAGATTGCAAATGGTGTCATTCCATACTCTGCCGTTCTGTTTCAGGCTCGAAATGGTGAAACCAGCTTTCATCACCTGTCACAATACAGAGCAAAAAATCATCACCTTCGTGTCGATATCTGTGCAGCAGATCTGAGGTGATGGCTTTTCGCTGACCTTTGTGGTCTTCAGTCAGTAACCACGGGACCCAAGGAGCACAAACTTTCCTATAGCCCAAGCTTTCAATCATCTCCTGTACTGCACTGTGCCCTATTCCAAGTTTTCGGGCTGTTGCGTTCAGTTGAGGCTGTTCGAGGACGACTGCTCCGAGGCTCATCTTCGATGCTGATGTTCCCATCTTTAAAATGTTTCACCCATCTTTGAACACTGCTTGCACCCAAGCACACACTTCCATAATTACGCTGAAGTCTGGTGAATTTCTCCAGCAGGGATTTCCTCTTTTCACAAGAAATTCGATGACAGTATGCTGGCAAAATGACATATCGTTGTCAGCCATTTTGTTATGAGTGATACTGGTCACGTGATGCAAGCTGTTGACGTCACAAGACACTCAAGGTTAACACAACACCTGGTTCCACCTGTTCCCAGGTTGCATGCAAAAAATAGTTGCTCATGACTTTTGGTACGACCTACGTAATATATGACAATGTTTGTTTACATCATAATACAATTACTTTCTAGCACAATACACTCAATATTATTATAAAAATATAAGATAAAAGTTTCTGTCAAAAGTAACAGAATATTTTGATCATATAGCTTTAACATATTCAACAAGTCCAACATATAAAAACTTTCAATTATAAATATGATTATCGTACATTCACGATGATTATCCATTTATTGTACTACTCAACATCTTATATATTTATATAGGTGTATAATCATTATCTCTTAAAAAATTCATCTAGTGTATAAAAAGAATTTAAATAAAGAAATTCCTTTAAATTGTTTTTAAACTTATTTATGTCATTAGAAGTTACTTTAATTTTATTAGGTAGTGCATTGTAAATCCTTACGGCCATGTGAAATACTCCATTACCATATTTTGCCAAATTTATCTGGCTCATATGTATATCCATATTATGACTAGTATTTATTTCATAGCGATCCCTATTCGTATCAAATATTTCTCTATTTTTTACTACAAACATCAGCAGAGAGTATATATACTGTGATCTCAAAGGAAAATATTCATATTCCTAAACTGTTCTCTGCATGACTCTCTGTAGCCACATCCTTTTATTATTCTTATAACTCTCTTTTGTATCTTAAAAACTCTTTCTGCATGTGTTGAATTACCCCAAAACATGACTCCATATGTCATAACAGAATGGAAGTATGAATAACAAACACGTTTTATGTTTTTACAGACACCACCGGTTTTACATTTCTTATCATATAACAAGCTGTATTTAATTTCTTTATTATCTCATCTATATGTCTATCCCAAGTTATATCATTTTGAATAGTCAGGCCAAGAAATTTTATGTGATATGTATTTGATAAAACCGTTGCTATGCCTCCCATTTCTCTAACTACATTATTCTTTACAGTGAAGTATATATAATATGTTTTCATTATATTAAGTGACATTAAATTTTTTTAAACCAGTCCAACAGCATCCTATATACTTCATTTATTGTATTTTTAAGTTTTATTGGATTGTCTTGAGAGGTTAAAAAACTGGCATCATCAGCAAATAGAATGGGAATACTCTTAGTCTCCAGAATCTTGGGTAGGTCATTTATATATATTATAAACAGCAGTGGTCCCAGCATCGACCCTTGCGGGACACCACTAGTTACTTTAACCCATCAAGAGTTTACTTTACTACTGTGTGTCCCATTGGAGATAGCAGTTCTCTGTTTTCAATTCAATAGATATGACTTATATAGGTCATATTGTTTGTCTTTTATTCCATAATACCTCAATTTATTTAATAATATATCGTGGCCAACACAATCGAAAGCCTTTTCTAAGTCACAGAAAATCCCACAGACTTGCATTTCTTTGTTTAATGAGTCTAGTATTCCAGATATAAGTCTATAAATTGCATTTTCAGTCCCTTGATTTTCTCTAAATCTGAACTGGTATTTGCTTAGTATACTATTATCATTCAGATGTTTTAACAATCTACTATGCATTACCTTCTCAAATATCTTGCTAATAGATGTCAATATGGATATAGGTCTGTTATTTGATTCTAAGTTTTTATCACCTTTTTTGTATATTGGTACAATTGTAACATATTTTAATCTGTCTGGGAATATACCCTCATGCATAGCTCTGTTACATAAGTAACTTATAGGTTCACTAATAAAGATTTTACAGGCTTTGAGTATATTATTCAAAATTTCATCATATTCATGGATTTGACTAGATTTTAGGCACCATATAATCCTCTCTATTTCCCTACTCGTAGTTTTTATAGTTTTTATGCTAGGTAGTGAACTCTCAAATGCATCAGTCAAGTATATCATATAATTTGTAGTTTTAGATTTATTATTTTCACCATTTCCTTTTATATACTTATGTATATTATCCGCTATACCACTAAAATACCTATTAAACGTTTCAACAATATCATTCAAATTAGTATTCTTTTTACCTTCAATGTTCCAGGTTTGAATATTTTCTCTATTTCCTTTCTTTAACACTTCACTATTTATTATTCTCCAGGTGGTTCTAGCTTTATTTTTTTAATATTTAATTTATCATATGTCATCATCTTAGCTAGATTTGTCACTCTAATATTTTACAATAGTTCTTATATATAATAGGTGGCTATTATAGGATTGTTACTTTATTTTTTTGCTTCAATATAAAATTTTCTTTTGTTTCTACAAGAAATTCTTATACCAGTGGTAATCCATGATTTCTGTTTATACTTTTTATAGTGTTATGTTGTGTAAATTTTGTTTAATTCTTCAAATTTAGGATTGTGTGTGTTGATATTAGTGTCATTCATATGTAGATTTTCTTTACTGGTTTAGTAAATAAGATATTTCTCAGGTGTATTCAAATGTTTTCCTTTCCTCCCTGTTATAATTTCCATGGTGTCTCTTATTGTGCCGTATGTGTCCATTGTTCAGTATATGACTTGAATATCTGTAGTTACTGTTGATACTTCTTATGTCATGAATGTGTTCTTTATACAGTCAACTCTCGATTATCCGGGGGCGGATTAACCGGTTTGCGGCTTAACCGGGGCTTTTTTTTTTAAGTTTATATGTTGTTTAATATTCATTCACTTTTGTTTCACATGGTGAGTTTAACACTATTTTCGCACTAGTGTGAACCGAGCTCTGCATTATTTCGTCCCGTTATGCGAACACAATGTTCTAGGGTGGGGGTGAAAGAATGCAAGAATTTTTGGAAAGTTTCAAGGACAAATACACCGCCCCAGGTTATTTAACGGTACCATCTCAGTGTGAGAGTGCATTGTGAAAGTAAGTATCAGTTTCTTAATATAGATCTTCAAGTGCGTTAGCAAAATGTCGGGGTTTAAAAGGAAGCGTGTTGTGTTAAGTATTCAACAGAAACTTGAAATTATCAATCAGCTGGAAAAAGGAGCTGTACTTTAATGGGCAATCTAGGCATTTCATTTGATGAATTCCACTTCTACTATATTTATCTGTTTGCAGCCGCGGCGTTAATATGTTCTGTATTGTGTTCCGCATGTGGAAGGCCACTTTTATTTCCTTGTCTCGATATATTAAGACACCTGAAATTGGCCATCTGTGTTAAGTGTTAAATGGTGAATAAGCAATTGTTGCATTGTTGACAGACTGTGGATACATAGACATTTTAATTAGTATATCATTCATTCATTCATCAGTAATCTGTCAGACAACAGGTCCACAGTCTCTTCCAAAACAGTTCCTCCACTTAATGCGATCTAGAGCTTTCTCCTTCAAATGAGAATATCCTCTTCTGTCCCCAAGGTTTTCCAGCAACTTCTTACGTCTTCTTCCTCGTCTTCTGGTCACTTCTATCCGCCCCTCTATCTTTCCTTCAATAACTTCTTTTAGAAGGCAATTACTGCGTAAGATATGACCAATCCAGTTCCGTTTTCTTATTTCGTGTAGGCTCTTCCTCTGCTCACTGACTCTAAATAACACTTTTTCATTTCCCAAATAATCGGTCCAACTGATCTTCTCCATCCTTCTCCAACACCACATGTCGAAGCTTTCCAGGTGTTTCTGATCTACTGCCCTAAGTGTCCAAGTTTCACATTCTCCAGTTGTTTTTGGTCTATCTTTATTGTGACTGGGGTTGGTTGTCTCGAAATTTTCATTACTTTTGTTTTTTCCACATTCATTTCCATGCCATAGCACCTTCCAATTTTGATTAGTCTATCAATCATACCCTGTAGCACAGTTTCTTCCTTAGCCATTAACACAAGGTCATCTGCATATTTCACAGTTTGAATAATTTGCCCTCCTACTTTGAAGTCACCGAGCCCATCCAGAGCTTCCTTGGTAAGGCATTCGCTGTACAAGTTGAACAAAATTGGTGATAAACAGCATCCTTGTCGAACTCCTCTTCCAATCTTCACACTTCTTGTCTCCCCTCTGTCCAGTCGCACTCTAACTTTCTGATCCATGTACAATTTACTAATCAATCTTCTTTCACGCCAATTGATACCTGTTTCCTTTAGGATCTGCATTAATTTGGTCCAATTTACATGGTCAAATGCCTTCTGCCAGTCTATAAAGCAAGCACACAGTTCTTCATCTATCTCCAAAGTTCGTTCTGCTATAATTCTCATCATCCCAATTGCATCCCTGGTTCCTTTTCCTCTTCTAAATCCAAACTGATCTTCTCCAAGTATATCCTCTATTTTCTTTTCAATTCTTCTTTTAGGTAGCTTTGTTACTATCTTTGCTGTATGTGCAATAAGGCTTATTGTGCGATGGTCGCTGCATTTTGTAGCTTTTGTCTTTTTCTTTAAGGCAATCATTGTCACTTCTGTAAAGTCCTTGGGCCACTCCCCAGTTTCATATATGGTGTTTATTAGTTTTGTCAGTGTTTCCAACCATCTTCTCCCAGTGACTTAGGCACATCTCCAGGTATGTCATCATCTCCTGTAGCCTTTCCATTCCTCATGTCCTTGATAGCTTTTTCCACCTCACTTTGTAAAATATATGGTCCTTTGTCGTCTGTATCTACTTCTTCCAATTCCACTTCCAAGGTTTCTGGCCGATTAGGTCGATCATATAGTTCTGTAATATAATTTTCCCAAATTTTCAGCACTTGCCTCTGATCTACTATTCTGTTCCCCTGGGAGTCTTCGATGCCAATATTTTTAATCCCATGGTTCTCTTTCCATCGTAGTTCTTTTGTCTTCATGTAGATCAAATCATAACGTCCTGTCCTTTGAAATTCTATACTCTCATTACATATCTTCTCAAGATATTCCTTTTTGGCCCTGTCCATGGCTCTTTTCAATTCATTCCTCAGTCTCCTGTATTTCCTCCTGCCGTCTTCATGTTTACATTCTTCCATTTCCTTCACTCCTTAATTTTACTCATCATCCCCCATGTAACCCATGGTTTTCTTGCTATCTTCTCAACTTTACCAACCAATTCACTATTAGTGAATTAGTATATCATATAAAATAAATTACTTAGTATTATTGAGGTAGATCTAAAATGCCTTGACTTTAAATTTGATCTTGATGTTTAATGTGAGGCATAGTAATGTGTATCTAATGTGATCTATATCGCGAATCCCGATTTAGTGAAGTCTGAATTAGTGAAGAAAAGCTTAAAAAAATGTAGAGCCAGCATTTACAAACTTTAATGCAACTGTTGTGTTCTGCTTTCATTTTGTCTGTCAGTGATGAGTATGTCTTGGAAGTGATGATTTAGGCCAGTAAATAAAACAGTCCCTATGTAAGATTTGAGGTTTTCATGGTGGTGACTATGGTGTTAACACCACATCTACATGGTGCCACATCCCAGAGGACTGCTTTTTCAAAACAGTCCCTGTTTTATTGGATTTGAAGTTTTCATGGCATTGACTATGAATAAATTCTCGGGCTTCCGTAATGGCATATTTTTACATAAGCATTTTGTAGCATTGAAGAAATTGAGTTTTTTGCCATTATTATTTTGCCAAATTAAGTAGGTAGTTCTTTTTGCCCTGTAAATATGTCATTTTGAAGACAGAATAAGTAAGTATTTACATCTTTTAGGAAATTAATTATGAAAAATTTATGTTTGTTTGTTTGTTTGTTTGCTTGTTTGCAGGAAACAAGGTGGAGGTTAATTATTTCTGTCTTTAGTAAGAAAGGGTTCAGCTCCTTGCACCCTCTCGTGACTCTGAACTACCCCATCATGAAGATTGATACTCCTGAATTCAAGGCCCTCTTCACCCCAGGGCTGACAACTTTAGCATCCTTGTTCAAAGATTATGGCTATGAGCTGCGGATTGCGGGTGGAGCAGTGAGGTTAGGGGATCATGAATTCTTGTGCATTCAGGCATGAGGAAGGTTTTTTATTTGTGATGCAACATAATTGTAATTTGCTCTCTTGAACAGAGATTTACTTATGAAAATTCAACCAAAAGACCTGGACTTTGCAACAACAGCAACACCAGATCAGATGAAAGAAATGTTCAGTGCAGAAGGTATCCGAATGATAAACACAAAGGGCGAGAAGCATGGTACTGTCACTCCAAGGATAAATGACAAAGAGAACTTTGAGGTTTGTAATATTTTGTGCAAGAAAGGCTTAAGTAAGCAGTTCAGAAAAAAAGTTCCAAGGATGGGTATTACTTACAAGGAGCGATCCATATACAATGCCTCCCCCCCCCCTTTTTTTTAAAAATACAACAGATACAGAAAGCATAAAAACACAGTTAAATAGAGCAAGATTTCTTCTACTTACCGTTATTTTTCCACATAATCACCATTCGTTATGCACTTTTGCCAGCGATGAACAAGAGCCTGTATGCTTCACCCGTAAAAGTCTGCGCCAGCAGAGGCTAGCCACTTTCTTACAGCTGCAATGACAGCATCATTGTCTGGAAAATGTTGCCCATGTAGTCCATCTTTCATAGGCCCAAAGAGATGAAGTTTGAAGGTGCTAAATCAGGGCTATAAGGTGGATGTGGTAGGACAGTCCAGCCAAACTTTGCAATGTGTGCGGTGGTCGCCAAACTGGTATGGGGTCTAGCGTTATTGTGTTGCAAGCGAAAGGTTGTCTGCTTCTCTGGCCTGACTCGGTAAATGTGGGCTTTCAGCTTAGCGTTAGCTTGTTGCTTTCAGAATTAGAATTAACAGTCTCACCAGGCTCCAGGAAATCCAACAAAATCATACCCC